TTATTTTTTCTAATTGATTACTACATTAAGCAAATTTATTCTTTTGATTTGTTTTATGTTTTCTTTTGTATTTCAATATCAAATCACATTTTAAACAGTTCATTTATAATTTCTATAAATCATCTAGTGAAGTTAATTCACCTGATAGATTTTTATCATTATCTATTTAACTAAAATCATTATCATTTAAAATACTATCGTTAAACCTCATAGATAGTATTGAAATAGCTGATTAAATAGGAATTTCATATTTTTCTAATTCTTTATTGATTTATAAACTTTATTGCTATAAATAACGTTCGCTTTCCTACTTATAATATTAATTTTCTTTCTTTGTTATAAGTTATTCAATTATAGAATAAAAACTCTATGGAAATGCAATAAGTTTTTTAAAATCAATTCTCATTTCTCTATTGGGATTCTTAATTTAATCTTCTATTTTAATAATAAACTAAAAAAGCCATTTAGTACTATCCTAAATTTCATTAATATAATTTTAAATAGTTATTTAAATTCCATCTTTGAATTAAATATCCTCATTAAATTAAATTTTGTCTACTAATTAAATTTTTTCTATTTCTACTAAAAAAGATTAATAAATTTGATTTGATATATATATAAACTCAAAATATTCTTATTTTAAATTAGCCAATAAGTCTTAATTTTATTTATTTTTAAGTTTCAAAATTATTAATGTTATTTTCTCAATTATATCCCTTAAAGTTTAACTATAGTTTTATATCAATACAATTGTTTAATAATTAGGATCGATTATTAAGTTTTCTCGATTAGTATCCTTTATTTCAAGTTTAACATAGAATTTCAAATATTATTCAATTAAAATTTCAGACAATTTCTAAAATTTACTTTGAACTAATTTAGAATTTTCATCATCTTCAATAGGTTAAAATTTTGCTTAAGCAATTAATTCAAATATTATTTAAATCCAATATTTTTGAAGAATAAAAGAGTAGTTATTCGAACAATGCTAAGAAAAAGTATATTAAAGAATATTAATTGGTTCATCAAGAGTTTTTTTATAGTAATTCTAAACATCTTTCAATATAGACCATTTTATGACATAATAAAAGCTATATAGTTAAAAATCTTTGGTTGATATATCAGTTTACTCATAATTATAATTTAATAAATCTTTATTTTCTTCGAAATGCTTAACTATATCAAATTATTCAAAAGAAAGAAATAACTTCCCCTTAATAGAATCACAAAAAGTCATTTTATTATCCTTTCTACATTTTTCAAAAGCAATATGAATAATTGATATTTCATATTTGTAATCCTGTTGTGCTGTTATTTTTAAATTCTCAATAGCAATAGAGTATTTATCACAATACTAATTATTCAAAAAGAAATTTTTGTCTCTAAATTGAATTTAATATATGAAGTAGAATAAATCAAGACAGAGATAAATTAGTTAATGGCTTTTAATTTTTGAAATTTTAATAAAGCCATCTAAAGAGATAAGACAGTTCAATAATATTTCATAAATATCACCCTCATTTTAGGCTGAAAATTAGTAAAAGCTGTTGTTTCTAATAATATTTAGTTATAAATTGTTATTCTCAATATATAATTTGTTAATAGATTCCTTTGCTTTTTATAGCATCTAAGGAGAGTTTTATTAACTACTTATTAATTGCTTTAAACTATTAGCCTCTTCCTTTATAATATCGATTATAGGATTTTTATTATTATTCAATCTCCTTGTATCCTTTTTTATACATGTATTTAAAAGGAAACCACAGCACCCTCCTCCTCCTCTCAGATTTAAATTCATATGACCTGGATTGATGTCCATTATAATTTTATAAATAAATTATTTATTTCAGATCTAGAATTATCTAAATAATAATTAAAAAGAAATCATTTTAAAATCACATTTTTTATAATTAAATGTTCAAATGAAAGCATTTCTTACAATAGTTTATCAATATAAAGAAATATATACAAATAAGTCTAGTTAGTATGTTAAAAAAACTAAATCAATTACTTACTATATAAATAATAATAATAATAATAATAATAATAATAGAATTAAATAATCCTTATAATATTAGATTTTTTAAGAAATTTTTATCATATTTTTTTATCAATTTATTATGCTTAGATTTTAAATTAATTTATTTTAATTCTGTTACCCACTTATCTAAGAAATTGATTAGGTCTAAATTCTTTAATTTAGATAGATAGGTTAATGTGAAGAAAACTAATTAATATTTTTCAAGAACTATACTAGCGATAGTTGTTTGAAGGTAATTAAATTTTTTTTATTTAGTAATGGTTCATCCAATAATATTTCTAAATTTTAGAAAATAGTAGAAATTCCTGATTAAAAAATTATAATACAGGAAATTGATAATTATCATTTAATGATCTAATAGGTTAATTGATCAAGTGAATGCATATGAGAGATTTAATAAATAGTTCTAATTTTGAGAACATAGAATCTTTAATGTATATAAGTGGTTTTATAAGCCAACTTAATAGGTGAATATAAAACAAACAGAAATTAAATGCAATCCTCTCTATAATATCTATTTCACAAAAAAAAATTTAAAAACATTCAAAATAATATGATAAAAAAATGCCTGTAAATTTTCTATCTCTAAAAATTGTATCAAATTTTATCTTAATAGTATAAATAACAATATTAAATAAATATATTTACTAGTTTCAAAGTTATTCACATCAATTAATCAATCAATTCAACATGCAAATAAAATAGGAGGGTTTCTAATTTATCATCTATTTCTTTTTTTGAAATTTTGGTTATTGCTGCAAATATATAACAATTTTATTCATTTTGTTAAAACCAATATGTATTATAAAAATATTTAACTTATGGAGATTGAAGAATAGAATTAATGATTTCCTGTTCCAATTATTTTATTTCTTATTCATTTATATCAAATTTATAATAATTTGAATATTCATCTAAATTATATTTTACTACATCTTAAATATGTTATTCTATCATTTTTGTTAATTCTTTATATCTTTCATTTTAAATATTTTATTATTTTAAAGCTTTTTTTTAATAATTAATTAATGAATATGATTTTAGATTATTAGCAATTATTGGAATACTATAATTTAATAAATATTCAATTATAATAATTCCATATTATTATCCAAATTGAATAATTTATTTAATATCATTATTAACATTTTAAATTAATTTATATCTTTTTGATCCAATATAATCATTATCATTATCATCAATATTTAATGATTATATTATTTTATTCTTTTAATTATATTAATAATTATAATCATTTAATTTTTATTTAATGTATTCAATAATTATATTAATAGATTAATTAGAATTACATAAATCTATTATTGGTTATAATATCTATTAATATATTTAATTTCTTATTTCTTAATTATTATTCTTTTTTAATTGAATTCTAATAAAACATTTATCAATTATAATTTTTATGATTTCTTTAATTTTAATTGATGCTTGTTATTAATATAAATTTTAATCTTTTATTGAGCAATTATATCCTGTGAAATGTATTGAATAATCTAAGAATTAATATATTAAACTTGGATATTAACTAGTTTCTGATAATTTCATCCAAATTCTATTTAAATCTAAATAATTATGTTAAATTCCTTTATTTTCTATATATTAAACTTTTTCTAATATGGATAATATTAAATATAACAATTAACCTAAATGAATTCTAACAAAATCTGATTCCTATTAAGAATTTAATATATTTATATAATTACAATCCAAAATAATAAATCTCTTAATCGAATACATTTATTATGATTTATCTTATAACTGATTGATTTTTTAAGAGGATCTAATTTATTTGGTTAAAATTAATCTAAACTTAAGGCTTTTATAATCTCTTCTTCATTTTCAAAAGTATATACCTCTTCTGTAACATATTACAAATTTAACATTATTATTATATTTCTCTTAATTTTCCTTGAATAATTAGTATTTATTTTTCAATTAATTGCTTTTTGATTTTGAGATGAAATCGTTTGTCTTATTTTTCTTATGTACTCTACTTCATTAATATTAATAGGATATAATCCACAAATTTAAACTATTGTATTACGATGTAATTACCTCTTCTAAATCTAATATCATTGATTATTGTTTATATTATGATAATATCGAAACCAAAGGGAAGGAATAGCATTAGATAGATTAATTTAGAGTTTTCTAGTACTATGAAAATAGAGATGTTTCCTCTTACAAAATTATTCTTTTTTCACTTTGGATTAAATATTTTAGTGTTAAAGAACAAAACAATAAATATGAAACATATAGATTTTTGTGTATCGGTATAATAGTTAGATTTAATGAAGCATGATGAGAATCATTATTTAAGTCAATAAGAGATTTACTTAAAAATTTTTAGTCATGAATGATAAACAAACTTCAAATTATTTTAGGCTGAAATTGTAAAAAGAATCATTCATTTTATAATTATAACTAGAAACTATTAAAAATGGATTAGAGAAGTTTGGTCGAATAAATTAGATACAAAGTATTGGTAGTTTAGGTTAGATATAATTAATAAAATTGAATCAATATTCAAATGATTGATTCCAGCATTTAAATTTCTGAAAAATAAATAATAATTATTTGATATAAAACAAATCTAAAAGATATTATATTTATATATTTACATCAAATGAGTTAAGGATACTTTTTATAAGATCATAGCAGATCAAAATTTGGATGGCTTATAATTCTCATAGTAAAATGAGTTTCACATAAAATTCAGGAATCTTGAATAGTCACAAATTTACAAATAGAGGATTGCAATAAAATTAAAAATTGAGAATGTGAACAAATTCAATTATTTAAAAAATCAGCAGAATTTTAATTATTAAGAAATCAATTAGGATTAGAATTATAATAATAATGAGAGGAAGAAGATAAGAAACTAAATAAAAAAAGTAAATGAATTGATATAAATTAAATAAATGCATACTTTAAATATTAAATGAAAATATTGTCTAAAGGTTGTTAGATTGTAGCTGTTCAGAATGAAAAGGTTCATTCTATTAAGAGTGAGCACTATCTAGAAAACGAAGATGTTGAATTGTATATATTTTAGGATGAAAATGTAAAATCTATAGAATACATTAATTACAAAGACATACTCAAGAAAGGTAAACCTAATTACATTATAGGAATTAAGAAAATTAGTGGATCAGGAGGATTAGAGATAGTTATAACACAATGTGTCAATCCCAATCAAATAATTATGGAATAAAATGACTAAGAATTCAATTGTCAGGCTGTTAGAAAATGGTTAAACTTTAAATCATAGAATTAGTTACATTAATTCAATTAACTCTACAGAACTCTTAAAGATGTATTTTATTCATATAATTAATTAGCTTTAAAATGCCTAAACATCTCTTACTTAAATCAAATAGAATGATACAATAGATGCCTTCTAAAGTTGTGTAGATCTCTCAGTTATTACTAATAGAAACGATAGTCTCAAGGAATTGGAGTAATAATATGTCAAAGGTTAAATGAAATGGGCATAAATTGATATGGAAAATGCTGAATTGGCAACCAGAATTCGATTATTGCAAGTTGAATTACAATAAAGAAAACAGGAAATCAATAAACTTAAATTTTAATATGAAAATAATGCATATTAATTATTGTAATCTAAACAATAATTAGGAGATGTAATCAATTAGGCTATAGAAATTGGAGATTCCTCAATTTTGGCAAAACTTGGATTATGAATATATATATATATATAATTAAAATGCTAAATATTACTAAAGCATTAAAAGAAAGTGTTTCAATTGCTTTTTAGAAAGCCTTTGCTAGGCATCATGAAATCTAAATCATATTTCAAAATTTAAAGTATTCAACCTCTTGTCCAGCTACATTCTCTGAGTATTATAAATCCAATTATGTAAAATTCACTTTCTAATCATCTTAGTAAAAAGAATGGAAAGAAACTCTACTTCCAAAAGATGTAGCTCATGAAATCTTAGTTCATTTTTCATCTCCAACTTGGAATGAATTAAAATTGGTTTCAAATATTGAAGTAAGTCAAATGGGACATCTACAATTTCAAATCAATAAATAATATTATTAGCATCTAATAAAATAGATTGAGACTTCTTTATGGCCAAATCTTACTCCTATTTACAAAAGTATCAACATTTATGGTCCATTTATTAATATGAATGGTCCAATTAATAAAACAGAGTATATTATCTATTATAATTTAGTATGAGAGGACTTCACATTTAGAATAGATTGTATAGTGTCTTATCTTAATTAAGTGAAAATTGTAATAAATTTAATAATATTACTAATTAAATTACAAACAACGATTATTTGATTCTCCCAGCTAAAGTAATAAGAATTTATGATTAGATTGTTTGCAAATCCATTCAATCCATTTCATTGGGGATATAATTAAGTCTTAAATGAATCACTACATTTTGATTGCAAAGATCCCATAATCCCACTTTATGGTATCGATGATATAGAACCATTGATTCCAAGTGTTGAATTACTTGCTCATTTTCCTTAACTCTTAATTGAATGCTTAGAATCTAAATCATTTAAACAATTATATTAATTTGAGTTAACATATCCATAATATTTATTAAAATGACAATTAAGTTCTGAAATAAGATAGTTTTATATTATTAAAAATTTCCACCCATTAAGATGATAAGATATCATTTATTAATTATTATTTCAAATAATTTTAAATACTTTTTAAAATTTCAAGATGGGATGTCATAGCACAAAATTAAAAAAGCATCCAACATTTATTTAAAACAATCATGAACTAGATAATGAATTTACTATAAGTTGGAGCAAGAAGAAACTAACTAAATCAAAAACTAATATCGATCCAAAATAGGAAAAACAGAGTTATCGTTTAGACAAAAATCCAATATACTAAAGAAGATAACAACAGTATACTCTATCTGTTGCATGAATGTAGTGATTATTGAACTCATTTCTTTTTTAACTCTATAAAATTTTACTGTTTCATTTTTATTCTCGCATCTCTATAAAATGAGCATGCCCATAACTTTCACAAATTTGCTATGCTTCATAAAATTATTTTAATCACCAATATGACTGATTGTTAATATAATTTTATCATCATTCTTTGCATATTTTATTATTTATAATCGATATTCTTCTACAGATTCATTATTAAATTATAAATATTTGATAGTTATCTTTCTTATACAAATACTAACTTATTTAGAGAATAAACATATGAAATTGGTAAATTGTAGATTCTCAACATTATTTTCTATATTATTATATAAATTATACATTTTTATTTAACAAAACATGTTTGATACTTTAAGCAAAGTAAAACTACAATCAAGTTAAATCAAATATTAAAAAAGTAATGTTATCTAAATTAAAATAATTTAAAGAACGTTGATATATTAAATAAAAATTAAGTCTATCATTACATAAATTATTTATTTTACAAACCTTATCTTAAATTAAATTGAATTCACAATATTCTAAAAGAATTCAAACAAACTATTTATAATTTTTGAAATGATACAATGAGAAGAGAGTCAATCAACTAGGTATATTAGATAACTCAGAGAGAGAATTAATAATTGTTAAAAAATGGAATAATGCATTAATAATTAAACACTCTATCATCATCGAGATAAAACGAGTTAAATAGAAATATATTTAGAATACCATTTTAGAATATACAGATAAATAAAAATACATTATTAAAAACTTTTAATTGTTAATCATTAGAAAATTAACGTAAATCACAAATTCAAAAAAAAATTTAGAATCAGTCCATTTAATTAAATAGATCTATATGGTCTAATTATTATTTACCTATGTTAGCAAAAGGTTTCAAAAGAAATTCGATTTATTTGATAAATAATTATTAGATAATATTCATGAGCCAATAATTTAATTAATTTTAAGATGAATAAGACATAAACTTAATAGATTATTAAGGGAAAAACTTAGGGCTAGCAAATTAATATTTTTCTATTAACAACTAGAATACAAAGAATCATATATTAAACTAAAACATAACTAAATATTAAAATCTTAGGAATAGTATTTAAATAAAATGAGAGTATCTACTCAAAGGAAAATGATATCAAAGTCGATCTATTTGTAAAATTTCTTAAGAAAATATTAAATTTATTAAACACCATTTTAATTGCAAATTAAAGAATAAAATAACTCAATATTAACACACAATATATTTTGTTTAAAATTTAGATAAATCCATGATTATAAATCTCTCATCATGTTACAAAAATAATCAATTAACAATTAAATTTAATATCAAAAAGTAGAATATTAAGAAAGCATCAAATCAAGAAAACTAAATTTACAAGATTGAATTTCATTATTTCAAATAATTCCATAACTAAACTTATCAGATTAAGTAAAAATATACTAGCTTAAATTTCATATAATTTAAAATTACCTCATTAATCTTGAAAATTTGCAAAACTTAAAATTAATTATCATAAAATGTTAAAGTATAAGGTTTTTGTCATAAATTCGAGATTAAATTGACTATAAAAAATTATAAGAAAAAGTTCAAAGCAAGCAAAATATAATATTGACTATCTTAATTATTTTTCATATTAAATCAATAATCAACAATAATATTTTGTGCACGAAAAGGGTTTCTAATTTATCATCTATTTCTTTTTTTGAAATTTTGGTTATTGCTGCAAATATATAACAATTTTATTCATTTTGTTAAAACCAATATGTATTATAAAAATATTTAACTTATGGAGATTGAAGAATAGAATTAATGATTTCCTGTTCCAATTATTTTATTTCTTATTCATTTATATCAAATTTATAATAATTTGAATATTCATCTAAATTATATTTTACTACATCTTAAATATGTTATTCTATCATTTTTGTTAATTCTTTATATCTTTCATTCTAAATATTTTATTATTTTAAAGCTTTTTTTTAATAATCAATTAATGAATATGATTTTAGATTATTAGCAATTATTGGAATACTATAATTTAATAAATATTCAATTATAATAATTCCATATTATTATCCAAATTGAATAATTTATTTAATATCATTATTAACATTTTAAATTAATTTATATCTTTTTGATCCAATATAATCATTATCATTATCATCAATATTTAATGATTATATTATTTTATTCTTTTAATTATATTAATAATTATAATCATTTAATTTTTATTTAATGTATTCAATAATTATATTAATAGATTAATTAGAATTACATAAATCTATTATTGGTTATAATATCTATTAATATATTTAATTTCTTATTTCTTAATTATTATTCTTTTTTAATTGAATTCTAATAAAACATTTATCAATTATTATTTTTATGATTTCTTTAATTTTAATTGATGCTTGTTATTAATATAAATTTTAATCTTTTATTGAGCAATTATATCCTGTGAAATGTATTGAATAATCTAAGAATTAATATATTAAACTTGGATATTAACTAGTTTCTGATAATTTCATCCAAATTCTATTTAAATCTAAATAATTATGTTAAATTCCTTTATTTTCTATATATTAAACTTTTTCTAATATGGATAATATTAAATATAACAATTAACCTAAATGAATTCTAACAAAATCTGATTCCTATTAAGAATTTAATATATTTATATAATTACAATCCAAAATATCAAATCTCTTAATCGAATACATTTATTATGATTTATCTTATAACTGATTGATTTATTAAGAGGATTGAAAGTTCCTGGTTGAAATTAATCTAAACTTAAGGCTTTTATAATCTCTTCCTCATTTTCAAAAGTATACACCTCTTCTGTAACATATTACAAATTTAACATTATTATTATATTTCTATTAATTTTTTTAATTAACTATCAAAAATCCAATCCAAATATCAGGCATAAGAATTTCTGATACAATCACACTTCGATATTTTAAAGAATTTTAAGTATTAATTATCTGATCGTTTTAAATTGTTAATTTTTAATATTCTAGTTTTAATAAGAAATTTTGATAATAAATCGTAAAATTGAAAAGTTATTTTTAAAGAAATGGTTATTACAATAAGAAATAGTTAGCTTTAATTTAAGTATACACAATATCACGAAATTTATCATCCTCTACATAAGCAATCTATTTTTCCAATAGTTTTGAGTATTGTTGGCTAAATTTGTACAAATTATTTTCTTCAAATCTTAAATCAGATCTGTAGTAAATAAGATATTTTGTTTTAAATAAAAAATAATTATTATCAGTTTCTGAAAGCATTTTTCGCCTTGGCTATTAGATCTTATAGCATTAAATGAAGAAGTAGATATTTATTATATTTATTAATGAAATGATTATTATTAATAATCTTGCTCCAATAGTCAAAAGCTTTAATAAGGGCTTTCCTCTCATTCTCTTAATTTAAAAAATCCCTTTTAGGTTTTCTTAAATATTGAGGAATTGTTAACCCATTTCTTGTCCTTATTTTATATAATTGCTCTTTTGATTGATTATCTCCTTCCTTATTTCTTGGACGCTCCTTATGGAATTTTCATGTTTTTTTTAGAAAAAAATTGTAACTATAAACCCTAGTTTGAATAAAGAAGAGATTAGATTATAATATATTGAGAAAAAAATTCGGAGTGAAAATTTGTTTTCATTATAAATTTTTGTTTGGACTCCCTAGACAATTTGTTTTAAATATTGCTTGAACAAATAGTTAATCTCAAATCTTTTATAGAATGAAGAAAATCAATAGTACTCTTAAAAAATAATAACGTTTTAGGTTAGAATTCAATTTGGATGAAGAATAAAAGAGGTTTTTGAAAATAAAATTTCTGATAAAAATTTTGAATTTGAAGAAAATTCAAATTTTAGAGGCCTTTTTTTTAAATTCTAAACCGAATTGATTTGAACTTATGTTTATTGAAACTCTATTGCCACATATCAAATGGATAACTCTTTAAGAATTGCTCCTCCTTTCTTTATCTTACTTTTTTATAACTCTTTTATAATTTTTAAAATAGCAAACGAGGTTTGCCTCTTGCACTTATCTTATTTTCCATTTGATGCTCTGAATTTTAATAATTTGAGCGGTATATATAGTCCACTCTACCTTGAACTTCTAGATTAGTTGCAATTCTATAAATTTATATCCTTGAGAGAGGTAACCAAGAATAATAACATATATATTAATGATTATTAAAAAGATAAAATTATTAAATACATTTATGATCCAATAATAACAGAATGTAATAAATAAAATATATAAAATACTTTAAAATTACTATTAAATATTTTAAAATAATTTAAGTTTAATAAAGAACAATAAACTATTGAATTAGATTAAAATATAATTTAAAAAATAGATACAAGAATGATTAAAAAAGGAACAGTTAATGAATATTGGAAAGAACTCATTTAAAATATAAAAGGTGAAAGCTCATTTATTATAGAAAATGTTATAATTTCAAAGATAAAACATTTAATATTTTTTTTTGAATATAAAAGATCTTCTTCGATCAATGATGATAAAGAAATGGAAGTAGTGAAGTAATTGAAATCATTTTAAGATAAATATAAAAAAATATTTGAGAAAAAAGCATAAAATATAATTTAATAATAATTTGAAAATACTTTAAATAAATAAATGGAAAATTATAAATTTGATATTGATGAAGAAGAAAAAACAAACATATTAAACAGTTTATTAAACAGAATTTTAAATATGAAGTTGAATAAATACTTTTAGAATTCTCCACATTATTTATTAAAAATAGATTCAAATCAAATTCTATAATATTAATTAAATTTAATTACTAAATTATCATAACCTATAATTATAGAAGAAGTCGAACTATTAATTGATTTTAAATACCAAATGATAATTGATGAATTAATTTGATTTATTCATATTTTCAACAACACCTATAACAATGAATTTGATCTACAAGTTGTAAAGTGTGCAATTTAAATTTCAATTTAGTTTAAGTAAATTTTAGATCAATTATTTAATTTTAATTATTTTATATCTAAAATTTGCTATTTAGTCCATTCATTTCTCTGATATAATTATAAAGTTAATAAGTATATATGGAAGATAAGTGATTGAATTTCATCATCAATCTTTTCTTTTAGAGTTTTCATGATATAATTACTAAATCTAAGTAAGAAGGAGTTTTGATAAATCTGCCATATAAATAGCTTTATAAAAATATATTAATTAGTCTAAATTCTATTAGATAATAGTTTTATGTCAAGTCATATATATAAGAATTCCTCGATATCAACTTGGTATAAAAGAGCTTGAACATTCGAATCTAAATATTTTTTTTTTAGTCTAAAACAAAAGTTATCTAGTGGATTTCTCACCTAAATGCACTCTTTTGAATGATTAAAAAATATTAATATATTAAATTCCTCGCTAGTATTTCTTTATTTTGATAATTAATAACTATTTAATTTTAGATAATTTTTATAATATTCTATCTTTATTTAGGAAATTAAGTAGCCATTATGATCTTTATTAAAGTATATCCCTTTCATAAATTTTTACTGCTAGTTGCTATGAATTTAAATTCTAATAACATCATTGCCTCTATTCATTGTTAATATAACTTTTTAAATATCGAAAATATAGTATATTAATCATCAATTTGAAGAATGAATTGAGTTTCACAGGTTTCTTTATCTTATGAGTATTCCTTTCTTGGTAATCGTCTTGCAGACATCCAAATGCCTTATATTTACAATAATCCAAATTATTGTGCATAAGTTTAGAATAGTTTAAATTACTTTAAATAATTAATATAATTTATCAGTTATCTTTAAAATAGAGATTATTTAAGAAAGGGACTTAGGGCAAACTGTTAATAAATATATCTAAGGATTTAAAAAAAAAAACTAGTTAAATTAAGAGAATAACTATAATGAGCATTTGTTTTAATTAATTTATTGAAGTTGCATTTCTAATTATATAATATTTACAATTGGCATTTTTAAATTAAAATTATAAAATTTGTTATAAATGCCACTTTACTGTTATTTTTATTATAATGTAAAATAAAATTATTGAAGTTAATGACTTCTAAACATAATTTAATAATTTAAATAATATACAATAAATAATCCTGTTATGTTAAATTTGATAAATACAAACATTATAATTGTCAAATTAACTCATTAATCAAGGTCAATATTTTGAAATCAATTAATAGTTCGACTTCTTCTATGATTATAGGTTATGATAATTTAGTAATTAAATTTAATTAATATTATAGAATTTGATTTGAATCTGTTTTTAATAAATAATGTGGAGAATTCTAAAAGTATTTATTCAATTTCATATTTAAAATTCTGTTTAATAAACTGTTTAATATGTTTGTTTTTTCTTCTTCATCAATATCAAATTTATAATTTTCCATTTATTTATTTAAAGTATTTTCAAATTATTATTAAATTATATTTTATGCTTTTTTCTCAAATATTTTTTTATATTTATCTTAAAATGATTTCAATTACTTCACTACTTCCATTTCTTTATCATCATTGATCGAAGAAGATCTTTTATATTCAAAAAAAAATATTAAATGTTTTATCTTTGAAATTATAACATTTTCTATAATAAATGAGCTTTCACCTTTTATATTTTAAATGAGTTCTTTCCAATATTCATTAACTGTTCCTTTTTTAATCATTCTTGTATCTATTTTTTAAATTATATTTTAATCTAATTCAATAGTTTATTGTTCTTAATTAAACTTAAATTATTTTAAAATATTTAATAGTAATTTTAAAGTATTTTATATATTTTATTTATTACATTCTGTTATTATTGGATCATAAATGTATTTAATAATTTTATCTTTTTAAGAATCATTAATATATATTTTGTTATTCTTAAAATTATTTAAAATATCCTTAATAATCTATTATATTTTCTAATCTGCTGGTATAATTAAATCTTAACCTTATTCATATAATTAACATTAATATCCTGTAAATGCAATTGTATAATTTATATAAGTATAATCTATATTTACACATTAATTTGAATCTTGAAATATCAACCAAATTCTATTGTCATCAATATATTAATGATTAATTTTATATTCAATTTATAATTAAATGACTTTTTCTAATAAATTATTAAATAAAGTTAATAGTTATCCTAAATACAATTTAATATACTTTTGATTCTAATAAAATATAATAAAGTTAATTTACAATTAAATAAATGAGATCACTCAATCTTAAACATTTTGATCGATCAATTTGATATTCAATTATTTATTCATCTTCATAAATATTATTAGATCCTATTGAATCAATTTTTAGAATATCTTATAATGATTTTAAGTCTTAATAATCATAATATTACTAAGATTAGAATGATATTCCAATCATTTTATATTTCTATTTTAATTAATATTAAACATATTTCTATTAAAAAATAATATTTGTTTATTATTTAAGCAAGGTAATTAAAATTAATATACTAAGAATTGTATTTATATTCTTATAAATGTAAATAATTTATCATTGAACTAGCATGATAATGGCAAACATTACAAAAGACCAGATTTAATTATTATTGCTTTCACATTCTACCTATCCAATAGTTCCACAATCTGGTTTGTTGTATGCTTTCGCTTCTTCAATGGTTGGGCATGAAGAATTAGCATCTTTCTTTATGCATTCTAAAGTAGTTGAACCAACAGCTTTCGCAGAGGAAACTTCAGCACCATCAATTGTAGAAGCATCTTCTAAAAATCTGAATCTCCTAGTTGAATTTGGATCTTCAAGTTTACCATTAACTGAGAACTCAACATTATTAGCAAGAATATCAATATTTAGGGTATAAATAGTTTATCCTGGTTGTTTTTACTATTAAGTGGGCTTCAATTTCTTATTCACTCCATCACCAGTTATAGTAACATCAGCATCTCCAACTTTCCATTATTCAAATCCAGTTTATTTTACTCTTTAAACAACATAGAAATTTTAACCAGCATATACTTATGGTTATTCAACAAGGGTTGAACAGGTTTGATCACTGCAGAATCCTACTTCAGTTTCTGCTCTAGAAACACAATTATCTTCAGTTGCACAAGCAGGAGTATCATCTTAGGCTTCAGATGTGGCTTGAGCTGTTAAAACATTTCCATCCAAGTCAACTGCTACAAAGAATGTAAAGAAGAATTAAACTAATTTCTTCTCCTATATTGTTAGTTTGACTGAATAGTAACCAGTATAGACAACTTTATCGGTTTATTCATCTTTGAATAATTTACTATCTATGTCTGCATTCAAGATTGTGAATTCCCAAATTCTTAATTGTTTATCATCGTCATAACTGCTTGTAACAGTTGAATCATCTAATGTTTCACTTAAGAAACTTGGTCTATATCTGTAAATTTATCTTTCTATACAAGCATTGGCATTTCCGTCTGATTTAATAAGTGGTTTATCTTTGTTATCAGGGAATGCTAATTATACAACAACATCTTTATTGTCATTGAAGTCAGCTTTTCCATCAAATTTCATTGGTAACTTCTTTTTTCCACCTTCTTGTTTGCTTTGAACTTTATCCAAATTTTCGCAGGTGGAGGCGACACATCTATCTTTGAACACTATTTCATTTTCAGCACAAGTCACTTCAACTTCAATACATTGTTGTTATTATTCTGAATCTTGAGTCCATTATCCTTTTGATTAAGGTGGCCCTTAAGGTTTTTATCCTTATCCTTATCCTTATCCTTATCCTTATCCTTATCCTTATCCTTGACCTTATCCTTATCCTTATCCTTATCCCTAACCTTATCCTTGTCCTTATCCCTAACCTTATCCTTAACCCATTTATCCTTATCCTTAACCCATTTATCCTTGTCCTTATCCTTATCCTTGTCCTTAACCCATCTAACCTTGGCCTTATCCCATTTATCCTTATTGCTAACCTCCTTATTATTGTCCAGGATATTACCCTCCTTATTACTATTAACCACCTTGTTATTAAACACCGCCTGGTTTCTAAACACCGCCTTGTTATTGGACTCCACCTGATTATTAAACTCCACCTTATTATTAAACACCGCCTGGTTATTAGGCTCCACCTGGTTATTAAACACCGCCTGGTTATTAGGCTCCACCTTGTTATTAAACTCCACCTTGTTATTAAATTCCGCCTTGTTATTAAACACCACCTGGTTATTAGACTCCACCTTGTTGTTAAACACCACCTGGTTATTAGACTCCACCTGGTTATTAAAATCCACCTGGTTATTAAACTCCACCTGATTAACCTGGTTATTAGACTCCTCCTGGTTACTAAAATCCACCAGATTGTTATGTTCCACTAGGAAATTATCCTGTACCATGTTACTCTTATGTTGTTTATGTGCCAGATGGTTATTATTAAACTTATTAACCAGGAAGTTGATTTCCAGGCACAGTTTATTAACTAGGTTATTATTATTGTCCTTATTATTATTATTATCCTTATTGTTATAATCCTTGTTGTGCTTATGTTGGTTAGCATTTCTTGGCCCTTCCACCAGGTTATTATCCACCTTATTGCATACCTCCTTATTGTTATCCTCCTGGTTATTGGCCACCTTAAAGTTATAAGAGATTATGAATTACCAGCTGTATTTTATTATCCTTGTAAACCAGTTGGGGCACCTTATGGAGGACTAGAGCTACTTGAGTCAGCTAAATAAACTAGATTAAAGGATCTTACGTTGACCAGGTTGTGGAGCATCAGAAGGAAGTTGTGTAAAAACTGAAGAGATGATGCAAAAGAGTAGTAAAATTTTGATGATTCTCATTTAAGTAAATTAATTATGAATTTTTTCATTTTTTATTAACGAGTTATAAATCTTGTCGGTATAATATTGAGTTTATTTATTGAAATTTGTTTATAAATGTAATTCAAAAGATACAATTGTTGTATTATAATTTAAAGCTAATTTTATGTTCAAGATTAATATAGTCCTCCCCAAAGAGTCAAGCCCTTATGAATACTAAGAATTGGTGATAAAAGAATAGTAAAAATTAAAGAAAATTTAATATCTGATTTATCATCACAGATGATTGATTTTTTCTTTTGTTTTTCTTAATTATAATCCCAAATGAATTCTTAGTAGTAAATCAATTAGACTTGAGTTAAAAGATAAAGCAATTTGATATCAGATTAATGTCTAGTATCTAATTTAAAATAATTGTTTTCATCTATATTAAGTGTCTAACAAGTAGATATAAAATCACATAATATTGGAATAAAGTTGTTTATACAATAAATAGATTTAAGTAATCCTATGAAACAAATAAATATATTTATATTATTTATAACTAATATATTGTTAATGAGTAGAAAAATGAAAATGAATTTTATCCTTTCAATAAAGCTAATAAGTAGTTAAATATGCATTATTTTTTATATGATCATAATCATATGATAAGCATTTTTTAGAAGAATCGTTTCAATGATTTATTTTGATAAATTCTTTTGCTATTTTTTTGTTACTCTAAAGATTGTATTCATGTTTAAGTATAATTAGACAAATTTTTATTGGTGAATAAATAAAAGATAATAAAGAATTTTGCTGTTTTTCGATAAAAGATTATTATAAAGAGTAAATATCAGAAAACTTAAATCGAGACTGGGAATTAGGATTTGAAAAGTCTTTCACCTTCATAATATTTTCAACGTTCATCATAGATTTCTATTTATGGTTTTGAATTATTCTTATTGTTTTCATAATTATTTTGAAGTTCTTATTTTCAATTATTATTGTCATAAAATCTTACTAAATATTTTAGATGATTGCATTAAGTTGCAGGATTTAATAATTTTGAAAATTATTTTCTTTTTCTTCAGGCTCATAAATAAAGCATTCTTCCTGTCTTGATTGTTTTTTGAACTTATTTTCTTTCATTCTTTAAATATTGACTACATAAACTTATGGTCATTCCTGACCTCTTAAATTTCATATCTTGCCATATCTTTCAATAAGAGTTGACTTTTTCTTTGTTAGATAATGATACTGTTACTTCCATTGCAAAAAGTTCTAAATTAAATTAGAATATACTATTATAAATCAAGTTTAACAGGGCTTATCAGTCAAGTATAGGTTAATTAACAACTTATTAAACCTTTTACCTAATATACATAGTTTTTTACTGTAATTCTATAGCAGGAAAACTTCTAAACAATCTTGATCTATATGAAACCATTTCCCAAAATCCATATATTCTCAAGGTAAAAATAAATAAATGTGTTATGACATTAAACTTATTAATTATTTACAATCTAAGCTTTAAACTTTTATAATTTATGAAAGTAGCTAAAAATTAAAGTTTAAGATGTAAATTCACTTAATAAATGATTTCAAAAATATTATTTTGGCTGCTAGACTTCCATATAATTAAATTGAAATATGAAATATGAACTAAATCAAATAATAAAGAAGATTAGTCAAAAAATAACTTTAATCTTCTGAAACCACTATGATTAAACATAAAATAATAATGAAAAACATTTAGTATTTTTCTTTATTAAGATAATTGATACTTTATTGTTTTGTTATAAAATTTGTTGTTTTATTTTTAAATAAACAAACTAAGATTATTCTTGAGTTTACCTTTTTTTCCTGTCCATAGTTTAATTTGTCATAATAAACAAATTATTAATTTCTCAAATTTATTAATATATATTAAATGAATTTTCATAATAATTTTTAATATTAGTTTTAGTATCAATTCTTTATTAAAATCCTATAAAATATGGATCTAATTTAATAACCATTTTACGAGATTCAAGCTAGAGTATTTAGTGTAATAGAATAGATCATAAACTCAATAGGAAATTATCCAATTTTATAGTAATATATAAGTCAAATAATTAAAAACAGAATAGAATTTATAGCAGTAATAGGATACATACTTTATTCAATAAAGTCTAATTATAAATTTACTAATAGCCTATTTTTATTTATTAATCCTTTTTCAATAATATTTATTATAATAGATGACAAAATAATAGATTCTTCAAATAACAAATGAATAATAGAAAATTAATTGAAGTGATATGATTTAATATTTATAAGAATTCTCAATTTTGAGTTAATAATACAATCCAAAACCAAATGCAATAAAGTATTTCCTATTTTTGCTATATATTGATCAGACTCTTTGCTAAAATAATATGAACCTCTGTCATGTGCTTCACTTTAATATTCGAATATAGCAATAGATTCAAAATATGGCAAAACATCCTATTAGAATTGATTGATAAAATCATTTTTGAATGTTTATTTACAGTTGTTTTTAAACTATCAAGTTATGGATAGAATTAGTTTACTCTGGCAGATAGAAGCATTATTATTGGATCGATTTTTGGATACTTTAGAATTGCAATAAGAAAAGTGATAATATTCTTTAAAAATAAAGTATTTCATTAAAAAAGTTATTGTCTAATTTCTTAGGTTTAACCATAATTTTAATAGGTTTAAAGACTCTTCTTTAATACATAATAGTCAGTCATTATAATAAAATGTAATATTTGAATAAATAATATTTTTAATATTAGATAAGTAAAACAATATAAATCAAGGATAATAATATAATTTACTTGTTTATTATCATATTTTTAGTGGATTTAATTTCATTATGATGTCAGGTTGTTTGAGATAAGATATTTTATGATCAAGATTGAATTAGTGCTAGATTAAATAATTAAAGTAAATAATAATAAAATCATGAATAACGAGCTTCTGCAATTTTAGTTGATTTTATTATCTTCTTCTGTGATCACTTTATTTTATATTTACGACCGAGAATTGAGTAAACCTAAGATTTCAATCTTGTTCTCTGTTTGTAATATCAGCATTTTTTTGATTGAGACAAGGATGATAGGAAATTCGTAGTGTATTTATATTCTCCTAAAATTATTAGATTTAACAATAGCAGCAGCACTATTTCTAATATTTAAGTATTATACTAAACAACCAGATGAAACCCATATTCCATAGATAAATATTTTGAAAACTTAAGTTTCAGAACACCCAGGAAAAATAGACTAAGAAATGGAATAATACCCTCAATATCTACCAGCCATTCAATCCATTCATGAAGAAAGTAACTCAAACATGACACCCAAGCAGATTCCACTTTCTAATGAAAATATTAATGGACCCTAGACTACTACAGAGAGGGGAAAATAACATATTAAACAAGATTCTGTGATGGGTTTCTTGGGAGATAAAAAAAGATCCTCTTATACTAAAAACAATAGCAATAGTGTGATTCCTTAGAGATAGTAGACCAGTTAGCTAACTTAAGGTAAGAATATTAAAATTTATAAAGCAAACTTCAATGTGATAAAGTTTTAAGATGATTGTGGAGAGATAAAATTTGGTCTTCTAAAGACATTGAAATCAATAAATTTTGATTAATTAGGAAAGGAGATTGAGATTATATATCAAAATGACAAAACACTTACAAGATTGTTATCAAATATTGAGAAAAAATCAGGACCTCGAATGTAGATTCTTTATGAGAGTCAATAACCAGCAAATCCTATAATTAATGATAATTTAAGAGGAGGTATATAATTAGATTATGGTAATAATGATTAACTTCAAATAAATGAACAAAAATAGGTGACATGGAAGAAGATATTTTAAGTATTAAGTTTTTAGATAGCTTTAATTTGTAATTTGTTAATTCTAGAATAATGGTAAATAAGATAGATTGTTCTATTTTCTTTCATTTGTTTTAGATATATATTTGTCTTTTCAAAATTAAAGATAAAATAATTAGAATTCTAATTGGAATTCAGATAAATTATAATATGGAGTTCTCTTGTATTGTTACCTTTGATTTCTTTATTTATTTTAAATCTTATAGAGAAGAATATCGCTTAAATTATAAATTCCATAGCTTAATTGATCTCAATTATGATCACACTTAAATATTACAAATCATTATAAGAGTAATTTAATAATATTTATATTTAGACATCCTTATTCAATATCTTTTTATATACTTTTGTTGGCCATAATTCTTTGTTTTATTTGAAGCATTACCTTTTATGATTTAATAATTTTTAAGTATTATTAAATTTTTTTTATTTCATACTTATAGTCTCATATAAAATCTTAATAATATAGTAATATTAAGTTTAAAAATATCTGAAAGTCTTATTAATTATATCTCCATTAGTTCATAAGTTTAAGTTATGTAGATATTTAGTTATAATTTTTATTTATCTTATATTTTTATGTCCAAATTCATTCTAAATCAATTGTTTAAATTTATTAATTGCCATTTAAATCTCAAATGTATGATAAATCAAACAAAATCCTAAATCAATTTGGTTATTAAATTCATAGATATTCGTGATATTTTTGGATAACTACCTAATTTTTAAGTTGTTGAAAAATGGAGATATATACTTTCTTTTATAGGGTTTTGTATGACCTTAGTTATAGATTCAATTTATTTTTATTTATTTAATAACCTAACTTATTATACTGATTGACTAAGCAGATTCTTGTTATATAGAAACAAAGATGATGAGATAATAATATTAAATTCTATTCAACTAAAGTAATTTCAATTGTATAACGATAACTCCACAATAATACATTAGTGATAACCATAGCTAACAAAGATTCAGAGTCTATTAAAGGAAATTTTTAGTAGTATAATATCTTTGTGAAAAAAAATTATAAAAGTGAGACATATTGACTTTACTAAATGATGTGTCAATGTTACATAAAAATATGATTCATTTTTAATTAGTTATTGAGGTCTTCTAATGATTTTATATAAATGAAAGATTTTCGAAAAATGAATTAATACAAAAAACATTCTTACAATTTCTAGATTAGGTGTCATTTAAAATTAAATTGAGAGTATTTATAAAGAAACCCACTAATATCTTTTGTTTCATAAATTTATTGTTTTTAAAGTGACGAATTTCTGGATCTTGTTACTAATATTTAGTGTTGGAATCAATTTGTAAATCTTTTTGAAAGTCAAAAAGGTATAGGCAGACTAATATTTCAAGATGTTAAATTCTTAATCCCAAAACTCTGTATGTCAGACCAATCATAATAAAGTTTACTATTTCAAATAATTGTACTGTTAATTACTGACTTTTATTTCCAAATAATCTCCTTTAAATACATAAATAAGTTAGTTGGTTAGAGTCAATATAAGCAGATAAATCTCTAAATAAATAATTAAATTATTAAACAGGAATATTTCACTTTAGATGACATAATAATAAAAATAAATTCTTAGATATAAAAGAATAAAATATACAAATAAATTTAATCAACAGGAAGTGTATATATCAATGGATAATACTAATTAAATAATTAATTATTGAAGTACATAAATAATAAGAATCTCATCCTTAAATTAATATGATTATTGAAGAAATCATTAAAAATTCATAAAATATTTAAACTAAGATGAATTAAGTCTCATATTAATAAAGAAATACTCAGATTTAATATTCTAAAACAGAATTAAAATCACTTTCAAATCTATAAGATTTATAAGATTTGCTTTCTTTTTTTTAATAATTTATTAAATGGTCGTATTACTTCTTTGAGTATTTTATAGATACTATTTTAAAATTTGAATTAAGTCTATCTAAAATATGAATAATTAAATCTATTATGATAATTAATATTCATATGAAAAAAAATAATATATTATAATAAATATCATTAATTTCAAATCAAAATATGACACTAATTTTTTAAATATGAAGTTCAACATCCCTGCAAGTATATTATTATTCTTTTTTGAGAGAAATAATTATTAATTAACCATATTGAAAATTTTTGATAAATTATTCATTAATTTATATAGTGTTGAACAAATAATTAATTAATTTTAGAATACTTTAAATAATTTTAATAATTTGATTTTAGAGTATAAAATAAGATAATCATTGATTGAATCTTTTATGTATTATAAACAATTGTTTTGAATACAAAAAAATTGGATGACTATTATAATAATATTATTAATTTAATCAATATATATTTGTAATGAATTATGTATTAAAGTCACTTAAAAATTTAATTAAATAATATAAAGATATAATTTAGATAATATTATTACTATAAGTATGTCAAAATAATATCGTGTATGTAACAAGAAACATAAATTTAATTTAAAAGGGATCTTGTCATACCCTTAACAATTGTTGTTTGGAAAAATACCTAATTATTTTAGAAGAATAACTTAAAAATTAGATGAAAAATAGGTTAAACAAGTAAATTTGTCTGATAATCATATTTGTTATATGATAAATGAGGATATATGTGATGTATGTTGGAAATTCATGTATTAAGGATTTTAATGTTAAAAATGCAATACATATAATTACCATAGTTCAAGAGAAAAAAAAATATGTTGCTTATGTAAGGTTGCTTATTGTTTAAAATGCGTTAGAAGAGTCGATTTATTTTCTTAGAATGGATTATGTACATTTTGTTAATTGCGTCATTCAGAATGTACTAGTTCTATAAGATATTTATTCTCTTTGTTTGTTGCTTTGATATTTCCTTGGTTAGCCTTTAAGTATCAAGCAAATAGATTAAATGAAACATTTGAAAAAATTTAGTATACAAATTTATAGAAAATATTTGGTTTCTCATCTTTTGTGATAATGTTTCCATTAATATATTGCATATGTTTAATTGGATTTAGTATTATTTTAATTTGTAAAGGATTTAATTTGATAATAGTACCTTTGAAAAAATATTATTTATAGAAAAAAGTTATAGAATGATTTATGAAATATATAAATTTTGTTATTCATAAGTTGTAATTAAATCTATTGAAACTGCTGTAATTATAAAATATATATTATTTATTGGGATTAAAAATAAATGTGAATATTTAATCAAATTATCAAAAGAGGGAAATAATATATTAAATATAAAATTTAATTGGGTTTATGGATGGTATTTCAAATGAATTATAAAATATAATTTATAATACTACATTTAGTATAAATCAAATTATTAATAATAAATTTATTAATAATAAGAATACTTTGTTTTTAGGAGTACATTATAATTTTAATTAGAAAATAAATTATTATCCTCATTGATATTAAAAATAAACAAAAATGTTTGTATTTTATAATATTTTATTTATATATTCTTTTAATTTATTGTAATGAATTTTTATAAGTTGGTTATTTGGTTATTGTTTAAAAATATAGAGTTTGTGTAGATAATTATTATAATTTATTAATAAAAATTTAATTTTATGTCTGGTAAGGAAGACGAATATGAAAAGTTGTTGTCTGAGTAGAATCTGAAGGATAGATTAGAGGCACCATAAACAGAAACTGCAAGATAAAGAAAATGGCGTATAGTGAAAAGAAAATTTGCAGAAGTTTAAGTGTATGCAAAATAAGGATTCATAATGGGATCTTTAGTTGGAGGTGGATTTGGATTAGTAACAGGTTTATGGGCAGCAGTTTAATACAAGAAATTATCTATGATTCCAATATCAGTAATAGTAAGTGGTGGAAGTTTTGGTTTCATCATGGCTTGTGGTAGTATGATTAGGAGTGATGAATTAATTGGTGGTGAATATTAATAGCATTTCAAATTAAATAATTAAGAAGTGCCTATTGAATAGTTCTGGTTGAATAGAAAGTTTGAATGAATTATGATTAATTGTTAATCAATTTCATCAAGACTGTTATTATTTAATGAATTATTATTTTCTAATTTCTGTGTTATATTATTTTCTAATTTTTCTCTCTTTTATTCTTATAAATCTATTTATATTAAGTGAATAGATGTTAAACTGATATTATACATACTAAGAATAGATAGTTGCAGAGAGAAGATAATGGAAAAAGATGTTCATATTCTATATTTATAAGTAAATTTCTATATTATTTTAAATGCAGTACTATGTATAGATCAAGTCATCTAAAGTTTCTAATGATGGATTTAATTCCTGCAAAGATCAATTAAATGATTGCATATGGAAATAGAAGAGGAAAGAGCAAAATGAAAAGGAGTAGAGCAGTACAAAATCTATTCTTACAAAAATCATATTGGTGGATTGGATCAAAGAATTTAGTCAATAAGTAATTGATAGCTAAGTAAGGTAAAAGTAATCCTACAACTAATATCATTATTATATAAGCAATTTTGTATTAAATGAATTCCCATCTTTAACAAGAATAGCAAATGCCTTTAGAGGTTGAAAAGAGTTCAAGTACAGATCCACAATATAAACAAAGATTGGATTAACAGAAATTACAATGCTTAATTGATTCATTCTATACAAAATTATATACTTGACATTTCTAACAAGTGAATCCTTATTGAATTAGTTACCAACATTATTCGCATATGTATTTTTCATTATGAAATAGTATATAATGATCAGTAAGTATGAGTTAGTGATTGTGCAGTGTAATCAATTTCAACACTATTTGTTGTATATAAAAATTTTTGTATTGACTCTTAAATTCTATTGGAAACAAGAATAGAGCTTATTTTAAGATTCCAAGTGACATTCCACATAAGGAACAGCAATGTTACATGCTTAATATTATTAAAATTATAATTGCTTAAATGTTTATGTGATTTAATCACCTTTTTAATAGTCTTTTCTATAAAAGTTTCTCATCTTTAGGTATTCTGCCAAACTTGTCTTGGACCTACCAATCAAATATTACTCCTGGATTTGATAAGAATTGTAAAGCTATATCATTACCAACAGACACAGCTAAATGGGCAACAGTTCTGTTATCTTCTGTTCTATATTGGGTGAAATCTCTTTCACCAGCTTCATAGAATAGATTAAGCATCTCTGCTTTGCCATTCACAATATCCTACATTAAGAGTTGGGTTAACTCTTTAATAGGAGCAATTAATTTGCCTTAAAATCTCAAGAGCAATTAGATCATTTGATTATTCTTAGCCATTACAGCTTCATACATAGGACTATGTTTCCATCTATCTACATTATTAACAATTTATGGACATTTTCTTAGAATGAGTTCAGCAATTTCTAATGAACTTTCTCTAGCAGCTACATGTAATATACTTCTTTTATCATAATCTTATGCTTTATAATTGATTTCCTATTATTAATATATATAAATAATCTATTACAATCTTAGATAATTTCATTGATGATAATTTCTTTTTTTGTACACATATTTAACATAAGATATTAGGAAATACAAGATCTTTGTTAAGATCTATTTTTGAATGTTATTATTTAATGGCTGATGATAATGCCATTAAAAAAGGTTCAGTTTCAGCAGTACCACCTGATTCTGTTAATTCACCTCTTATATCTCTTTGAAATTCATCTTTAATTCTATCAACATCATCAGTCTAAGCTAATAAATATCCCAGTTTTGTAAAAGCTGCTTATGATGTCATATCACCTCCACTTATTCTAAAAAATATATAAATTATATATTTATACACTCCCATATTTTCAAATATTATGCCTGTTTCATAAATCATTTCTACTTATGATGTATGACATTAAGATATATTGACTATTACAATTCCTTTTTAAGCTGCTTATGCAATTTCATTACAAAACTTTTCTTCTGTTTACATATTACCTGCTCCATATGTCTCTATTACTACTCCTTTCAATTTCTCATTCTTAAATATCTCATTTAAAGTAACATGATTTAATAATGGATTCAATCGTATTAAACTTATATTTGTACAAAATTTCTTATTCACTTATAAATTCTCTTCATTTGGATTCTTTAAAATAATATCCCATTTAATACTAATATTCACTCCAAAATATCCTAATGGAGTGAATTTTGGAGAATCAAATGAATCCAAAGAAGATGAATTCACTTTCTAAGCTCTATTACCTCTCAATAATTTATCTTAAAAACATATTAATACTTCTGGTATTGTAAAATGACCAGCTATTGTAAGAGCATTGAGAAAATTAGTAAACCCATCATTTCTTGGTTATGATAAAGGTACTTAACTGCCTGTTAATATAACTGTTTTGGATAGATTTTGGAACATAAAAGATAATGCACTTGCAGTAAATGCCATTGTATCTGTTCCATGTAAAATAATGAAACTATCATATTATTTATAGGCTTTCTCAATTCTCTCAGCTATGGTTACCCAATCATCTGGAGTAATGTTTGAAGAATCAAGTAATTTATCTAATTCATCTACTTTAAACCATATCCTTCGGTTAAAGGCGGTTATAGGAGTAATTAGAAAATCATCAGTAGCCTTAAAATAGGTGTAATCCATATCACAAGAGAATGGGTTGTTTTATAGAAAGTTTTTCAATGCACCCGTTTTTGTTACATATCCTGTTTAAGATGGAAACATTGATATTGTTCCACCTGTATTTAGAATCAAAACCTTTCTAGGCTAATCACTTAATTTCTCCTTGATGATATCATGATGGTTTTGCATATCGATCACCAAATGTGATTTTATTTTAGTCACATTTTGTGTATCATCATCAATATGCATTTTTAAAATAAATTATTAATATTGAGATAAACAAAAAATCATCACGAACTATATACTTCTATATCTATTAAATCTAATTTAGATTGAACTTTTGTTAATTTTATATCATGTTGATGCTATCTTGTACTACTTGCAAGAGTATTATGATTTTTTTTAATTTTACAATGATTTAAACTATTAGGTGATCTTTTTGTCTATTAATCCTTTTTAGAACCTTTAAGAGTAATACAATCCATATCATCATCTTCATCTTCATTTTAAGAATCTAATGGAGCCATATGATTTTATAAACTTGGATTATTTACTCTTTTTCTTCTATTCTTATTATCTTTAGCTTATCTGGATAATTTTTCAAGTTCAACAAGAGAATTAAAACTATACTAAATTGTAGTCTCTACCATTTTTAATAAACGTTGATTCAATGAATATTCTAAATTTTTATTATTATTTTATAAGTATTCTTAATTTTCATGATTTCTAAACTGATTTTCTAAATCTTCATTATTTTATTCTTTATGTTAATTTTATTAATGTTATTCAAATTCTTCACAATTTTCATGAACACTAAGAGCCAAACTTTCATAAGCTTTATACAATCTTTTAAATTTTCTTTCTGTATTGTATATTTATCTACCTCCCAATAAACTTTTTGAATTGCCTTTTAATTTCAACATATCATTCTTTTTATTGGTTAAATCATTTTCAGACAATTAATTTTCATTAGATTTTACTTCTTTTAATTCTTCAACAACACATACTACTGGTTTTGGTAAGTAATTAAATACTTTTCTTTATGTTTTATTAAGAAAGATATATTTGAATTTTTCAATTTCTTATAATTTGCTCATAACAACTAAAATGTCCATATCTGTTAAAATCATTTTCCTTGATTTTTCAAATATCCTAGCTTAATAATTAGCTGTACTATTCCTTTTAAATGAATCATATATTTATTTAATAATAAAAAGTACTCCAAATGATAATTTCTTTTTACTCTCCAAAATTAACTTTATAAATTAATCTAAGAATCTCTCTTTATCCTTATCTAAATTAGGTTAATGTTAATTCTCATGAGATTAATCAACAGATTTCTCAGATTTTAAATTTCCATACTGAATTTCATTATTAATTTTGTTTGTATGTATACTTATATTATCTTATTCACTCTTATCATGTTGTTAAGTTGAATTTATAGGAAACTTTAATGCTGTTGCAACTCTAGTCATATGAATAACTCTATGTGCACTATGTTTAAATTTTTGAACTACATCATCAACAGATTTCATAGAATCTATTATCTTAGTAACCAAAGATTAAAAAGAAAACACTAATTCTCCCTTTTTTTCTTCTGGCATATCAAACTAATATAATGCATTAGCCATTTTAATTTATAAACCAGTCTAATTATATCGAAGTATAAAATAACCCAATACAGTAGCTAAGAATTTAGTGATACCACCAACATATGAAATTAGTTCATCTATGCGATAATATTGTTTAGAATAATGCATTTCAGATTATGAAAGACGTAAGTAAAATGATGCAACTTTAGTAAGGTTAGAAGTATATATAGATTATTGTGTTAATTTATTTTCTACTATAGAAAAAACTTATTAGTTTTTTATGTCCTTTATTCCAGGGACAATTGAATTATCAACTGTCATTGCTTATTTTTCAAGATAAATATCAGTCTTTGTTTCTAGACCTAATTTGGTTGAAATATAGAAATCAGAGTAAATGTAAGAAATGTAATTGGATTCTAGATTTAAATTTGGTACTCTATTAAGCATTAAAGTGTTGATTTTAAAACTATTATTTAAATAGCCCTGGAGTTATAAATTTTGAATTTCAGATGTTGAATAACACTAGTTAGTGGAGCAAATTAGAGCTGTTATGCTTCCATATTAAAATGTATTTGATTTATAGGTGCCTTGTAAAATTAGTGTAAAATTGAGTGGTAGACAATAATAATCATTAAATTGTGTTTTGAGTATTTTCTAGAATCATATAATAAATATACATTATAGATAGTGGATTCATTAAAGTCTTTGAAATGCTAGATTGTACATTTTTCTAGTGGTATTGAGTATTTTTCAATTTTATTTAATGTACCATTTTCATTCATGTTTTACTCATATTCAGTATAGATAAAATCTATTAATTGTTTGGTTCCGTTAATTATAGGATTTTCAACTTAGAAGGCCATCATATAATCGTTATAATTAAGTATAGTTAATGGAGGATCAATATTCAATACTCTATTAGATGAAATCTCAATAGATTATTAAATATTTATACTGTAAATGTTTCTTATTTTATGAGACTGATTGCTCCTTGTATAAAAATGATTGCCAAAACAACTACCATTAGGATTGTGCAAAAACCACCAAATGGTGATTGATGAGTTTCTTTTTTTCTGAAATTCAATTTTACCTCTGCTCCAAAGGTATCACAATAAGAAACTTTCTAAATGAAATTTTATATCATAAATTATATTAATAAACATAACCAAACAAATAAAAAGATTGTTAATTATCCCATAAATTGTTTATGTATAGAAATTTATTAATATAATATAAAGCATTTGTGAATACATAATCTGATGATATTATGTCTCACGACATCAGAAATAATGTTGCTGATAAATTCACGACTTCACTGATTTATTATACATATATAATTCTTTTTTGATATTTAATTAATTTTTAATTACCCTTATGAAACTAAAACTATTTTAATTGAGTAGGATAAAAAATTAAATAAAATTTGTGATTAACTACTATTTATTATGATTTTAAGATTGTTGATCAATATAAAATTAAATTAAATATATTAGTTAATCTATATTATTTATTATATATTATATATCATTAATATTATTATTTTATATTATTACTTAGAAAATAATTAAATATTATTAAAAGTCTTAGATGTTTTTTTAGTGATTTTTATTTTTAATTATCAATCAAACATTTTTAAATAGAAACATTAATGTAAAAGTAAAAAAAATTGTATTTTATAATTAATTTATGTTTTAATCATATGTAAATAATCGAAAATTGAAAACAGAGTCAAGTAAAATCATTCAAACTGTTAGAATGACTAAAGAATTATAAAGACCATATGAACATAAAAATTATTCTTTTGAATTTCCTAATTACTATGATTAATTACCTAAAAAACTTAGGTGTTAATCAACTTATTCAAAATTATATGGTTTCAGATCTCATAAATACTAATTATTTCATGACATCATTTCTGAATTTGCTGAACATAAAAAATAAAGATTGGCTAATGTAATCATACAAAATCTAAGTAATCATATTTGTATTAAGAATCAACAGAAAAATCTAATCTACCATCCTAGAGTTCAGCTCGTAACTTATTCTCAAAGAATACACCAAACTTAAATCATAATTATAGTTAATTTATGAAAAAAGTTAAAGATTTCAAAATTGCTGAACAAAATATCATCACACAAACTCCCAAGTATTTATTCATTCATTATTAGTTCAATATGTATATCTCTTACAAGACAACCCTCCCTTGAACAAGTCTTTGATACCAAATAAACCATTACTCTAAGTTGCTCAAGAAAACAAAGTCCAAAAATACTGTTCAGTATTACACTATCTAAATTTTAGAACCTTAATAATTTATATTAAAATCCAAGTTCAAAACCAATAATGCTCTTGAAAAAATATTGACTGAAACCAGAAATTAAATCAAAACTTCATAATCTCCTAGATCTGTATAAGTAAGTCAACACAAAAAGACCAAGTCTCAACCTACTAAAGTGTATACTGAATAAAATAAACTCTTATAAAGAGTCATACTTAAAACTAAGTTGAATTAATGATTTATATTTTATTATAATTTCAATAGTGTTTATAGTATAAATTGGAAAATAAAGTATTCTCTTGTTTTCTATAAATATTTGATTTCGGTATATTGTATTATTCATAATTTAAGTGTTATTATTTATTAGACTCTTTTAATCTTTAAAGTTTCATCTCAAATTCATCATCAAACTGTCTTTATTTATAATCTCTCTCTATTTGTTTTGGACTTGCAATCCTTCTACTACAATTAGATTCATTTATCAAATCATTGAACACCTATCTTTCAAATGTACCTAATTGTCTTAAAAACCCATTATTAGGAAAAATGATTGGTCTTCTTTATTCAACATATTCCAATGCTTCTTTGGCACCTATTAAGTCTTTTTTTATAAGATATGCTAAAACAATAACTGCACTTCTTGATATTCCCATCTAACAATGTACCAACACATTTGTAGATCTACGAGAGGCTTCAATAAATCTAAATGATTCATCAAAGTGTTTGCTTATTTAATAATCATCTTCATCATCAGCCATACATTGATGATAAAAGTTTAGTTTTATTTTTGTTGATGAAGGAATACTTTAAGGACAAACAGTCAAAATGGCTTTGATTTAATATTGAGATAAAGTATATGGATCACCTAAATTCATTTAATAAATACTTGCAGCTTCCATGTTGCCTAAATACAATCCTCCAAATATTTTTGAAGGTTCAATAATACATGAGATTGGATCATCTCTTTTACTTGATTGTTTTTTTGGTGAACTCATTAAATAAATAAATTTTATTATTCAATAAAAATAAATAAAAATAATCCATATTTATATTGAAATCTTAAATTATTTAAAATTTAATAGGTATTTATTATAATTAATATATTGATATCAATATATATCTATTAATAAATAAGAATAAAACAGTATTTCTTATATGAATAGATTTCTATTTATTAATGAGAATTCAATATATAAATATATTCAATAATAATATTAAATTTCCAATGATTATAATCTATATATTCATAAAGAAAATAATAATATTAAAGAATAAATTCATTGAAATTTTGAAAAACAATATTTATTATAATTTTTTTATCATTATTCTAAATAAAAAAAAAGTTCTGAATGGATCGTAATCTATTTATAATATTAGAGAAAAGACGAGTTATAGTAGTTAATCGATGAATAGAATAAGGATGAGTTTTCAGATGACTAGGATTTAGTGTCTCAAATGGATATTGAGGATTTTGAATAGCGATTACATACTAGTCAATCTTTTGTTAGAGAGAAACCTCCATAACATAATTCAAGAGCTCAATCAGGTATGACTCAAACTGGGAAGCCATAACCACAAAGTTTGAAAGATCTGAATGAGAAAATGTAGTAAAATCTAGCGAAAAAGCAAGTAAATTAATAGACCAGAGTCTAAGGATAATAGAGATCATAATAGTAATTTTCACAAACTTAGCAAGTCCAAAAAAAATAGGAGTATTGAAACAATTCAAATAATTTATTTAGTAAGAGGAAATCTGTAGAGCCTAGAGCAAACAATAATCCACGTTAAGTGTTGGAATAGGCTCAAAGGGACAATTAGGAATTGTTGTAAAAATTAGGGATAATGAAGAGATAACTACAATCATTGGAAGCAGAGAATGCTGAGTTGAAATAGGAAATTTAGAGGAAGGGTAATTCGAGTGGATTTTTGCCGAAGATAGAATAGGCAGGGAATTCTGAGTTGAAATTGTTGAGAATGGAAAATGAAGAGTTGAAGAGAATCATCTAAAAATAAAATGTAACGAAAGTGAAACATTTTGTTTTAGGGTAGTGATTCTGGAAAGATGTTATAGATGTACGGTTTGTAGGTAGTGAAATTGAAATGTAGAATAGAAGAGCTCACTTAGTAATTGGAGAAATAGTGATATCATTAATATATATAAATAAATCAAATGAGTATTTAAGCTGTGAATTACGAGGTTGAAGATATGGGTCGGTATTTCAAATCGTAAAAAAATATGAATTCATTCTTAGATCAAAGAAGAAGTATAAATGGACATTCATGTTGGAGGATAAGCAACATATGTTGGAATTAGAATTCTCATATCTAAGTGGGAAGAGAAGATTGGTATTGGATGGCAGAGTACTACACGAAAGCATGTAAAATATGAATCTATTTTAAGGATGCTTACTTCCTCATTTCAGTATCCCTTTACTCTTGAAGGATTTGCTTTAAATGTAATTTAACAAGGGGATGCATTTGAATTGAGAATTAATAATAAGGTCTTCTCTCATCTATACACCTAATGTAAGAATATATTAATCATCCCTTAGAAAAAACACAGAACGAGTTTGTATACGATGAGAAACTCAATACCAACAATAAAACAGATAACAACTTTTATTCTGAGCCTCCGAATTTTAATACTCAATTTTCCAACAATAATAACTTTCAAAACAATTCATAGTATATTATAAATCATCATATTTCATTAGAAAAATTAATTTAAATATTAAATTTGAGAATCACAAGGATCTTAATCCTATCTAATAAAAGCCAAGTATAACATAATAGACTAAGTAAGAATCCAATTTTTATTCTAGAACATCAACTACATTTGGGTAACCTGGAGCATTTGAAGAATTTGAATAGTTTGGTTAAGTATCAAAAACAAGCAATAATCCATTTGGAGATTCTTTCTAGGTTTAAGGATTTTCATAAGGTTAAACAACTTAGTAACAATAAAAAAGTAATATATATGTATAATATTAAAAAAGAGGTGGATTTATTAAATTTAGATGATGATATACCATAATAAAAGCCAATAATTACATAAGATTAAGAGCCTTTATTTTAATAATAATAATAATAATAATAATAATAATAATAATAAACGATAAATCCTTAATAAACTAATTTATTTGATGCTTTTGGTAATGGTTGGAATCAATAATAGTAATAGTAATAATAATAATAACCTTAATAATTATAATAATAACCTTAATAATAATAATAAAACTTATTTTAATAAACAAATTAGATTTCATAACCATTTGAGTATTTTATTTTATTCTATTTTTAGTGCTTTTAATTCAATTCCATAAAATACATAAGGATTTTAAAATCAATAACTATAAGGTGGATTCCAAAATTCTCAAGCCTTTGGATAAGAATTTCCCTAAGTTCCCCAATAATAATAAAATTTAAATATCTTAAATTTATATGGGAATCAATAACCAGTTGTTGGAAATTTAGCTTATTCAGCATTTCCTTAAGTTTAATAATATAATTAGCCAGTCCCTTAATCATAGCCTACTCCATTTGATCTGTTCAAATGAGATAAATATTATTCATAATAAATATAAATATTCAAATTTAAAAATGGAATTGTTAAATTATGCTGCCACAATAATCTAAAAAACATTCAGAGGTTTCCTTGCTAGATAAGCTGTTAAATAAATAAGAAGAATAAATTATTTCTCATCTTTTGGTATAATAATTATCATAATTAGACCATCATAATGAATATGGTTTTTGTATTTAACCTTAAAAATCAAAGAAATCTACTCGTAATGCTCAATCATTAATATAACCTACTAAACGAATGATTAGAAGTACTGTCTACATTTAGAAATGTTATCGAGGGTATTTAAGTAGAAAATACGTTTGCAATTTTTACAGATTGAAATAGATTGTGTTATTTTTAGAAGGACATATTCATAATTTCTTGAGAAAAGTAAAATGATTCTGATATTAGAGAATTTAATAAAGGAAAATCAATATAAAGTAATTGATGGCATAATGTTACAATTTTCAAACTCAATGTAAATCAATTGCAAAAGGGAGATATAATTACAGTAAATATATGAATTAGAAATAATTTGATGAAATTAATGGTATAATATTTACATCTTTCTTGCATCTAATGATACCAAATTTTGAAAAACTGAATTCTGAATAAAAATCTCATTATGTAGATTAAATCTTAGGAGTTGTTTAATCAAATCCCCCAAGAAAAACTATGCCAACTTAGATAAGTTCTAAGACTCCATTAAAGTAGAGACATATCATTTAAAATGTCAGTGTATTATCTTCTGAAGTAATGACAAGTAATGGAAGTTGCACTTCTAGTCATAAATCCAAATCTAATTTGACAAATGAAGAATTTAAGTCAATATTACAAAGACAGAATAAGAAAACAAAATGATTTGATTTTTATATAATTTTTTTTTTGCTGAACTTATTAAAATAATTAAGTAATATTAATTTTGATGAACATAGAATTTTTAATTTTTTTATAGAAAGGGTAATAATGTATTAGAAATAAATATTAATTAAATGAGATTCCTATATCTCATTATATGATAATATAATATATTTATTAATAATAGTGTTTTTAATTAGAATGATAAATTTAATTAACAATTATTCTATATATATATGTAAATATATAAAAGTTCTAAAATCACTTCTTCTTTCCAACTGTCTTAGCTAACCAATCTAAACCATCATATAATCCATCTCCAGTAAGTGCACAAGTACCTTGAATATACCACTCTCTTCTAAGAGTATGTAAACCCAATTTCTCAGTAATTTCTGGGACTGTCATTACACCCATATCTTATTTATTGGCAAAGACTAACAAGACAGCATCTCTTAGTTCATCTTCACCCAACATTCTCATCAATTCTTCTCTAGCAACATCTACTCTCTCTTTATCAGATGAATCAACAACAAAAATCAGACCTTGTGTGTTTTAATAATAATGTCTCCATAAGAGTCTGATTTTATCTTAACCTCCAACATCCCATACTGTAAATTTGATGTTTTTGTATTCAACAGTTTCTACATTGAATCCTATTGTTGGTACAGAACTCACAACCTCTCCCAATTTTAATTTGTACAAAATAGTTGTTTTACCTGCTGCATCTAAACCTAACATTAAAACTCTCATTTCCTTCTTTCCAAACCATTGTTCGAATAATTTAGAGAATGAAAGACCCATTTATTTAGTTAATAAAATAATAAAATAATGAGTGATGAAATTGAAATTTAAATAAGTATTTTTTCCTTGTCAGAAAATATCACTAATCCCTATATATAGAACAGAATTTATAAATATTTATATTTGAAATTGTTTAAAACAATAGATTAATTATTCGTAATTATATATATAATTATTCTTGGTATATATGATTTTTTTAATTAAAATATTAAATAAAAATGTTTGAAGAACAAGTTGCTAATGAAATCGAAGAAAATGACAAATAGCAAGTCAGAGTTAAGTTCCCTTAAAGATCATGGATTTCCATTATTTAAGATAAAATTATTTAGTAAAATCAAGTTTTAAAATTTATTACTAATTTTTTAGATGAGTCAATCTGAAATGAATGAAAAACATGAAACACGATTAGGTGTGACTCCAAGTTTATCTGATAGAGAAACTTTATGCAAAAAATAAATTGGATAATCTGCATGTTTTAGAGAGGATTTAGGAAAATCCAGAATGAGTGATTTAGACACATCCTCTATTCGATATAGGGTATCTATGTATAAATACATTAATAGACTTAACCACATGAGGTTAATTTTAGGATAAAAGTCTTTATGAAATATTTATTTTTGAGGATTCTATTTACTATAATAGGTCCATTAATATTGGGTTATGGAATTATCTATAGAGATTGGTTGAGTTTTATGAGTAATTTTAGAATGTATGGTAATTATAGTGGAGTTTGGTATAATTATTTTAGATGGATATCAAACTACATCTTAATTGCTACAATCATTTATTATACTAATAATGAGGAAAAAAGTATAATACATTATGAAATTGGATTCTTTGCTGTTTTGTACATCACTGAGAATGTAACATATGCTATTAAATTTGCATTTTTTCATCCTTCAAAATTAGCATTAATAGAAAATTTTGAAATTTGTGTTGTTGGTGACTCTTGTGAATAGAGTATCAATCCTTATCATTGGGCATAGTAAAATTAATCAACAATAGCAAAAGAATTAGAATAATCTTTAAAGAGATCATAAGTGGAAAGTACAATGTTTTAATTGTACTTTATGATTTCACCAAATGCAGAGAGATTAAAAAGAATCTAAATTGAAGAATAATAAGATATAAGAAATAAGATATAAATTGAAGAAGTAGCAGCTGATGGATTTTTGATGGCTAAAGAGATAATTAATGAATTCAATAAGAAAAATAGTTTTAATTTTGCTATTAACCTTGCTATCATATTGGCAATCATACGTGTTGGATTGTATATTATGATTATGAAATTATGTGAAGAATCTGTTAAGAGTATTGCAATAGTTGTTTAAATGTCTATCTTTTAATTTCTATACTTTAGTACAATAATCTCATTGATGATGCTAACTTATAGAGATTTAAGAAGAAAGGTTTATTCAATGACACAATTATCACATTTAATATCAGCTGAGAAAGTTGAAGTCTATCAGGAATCCAAGATCTTTCCAACCATTAATTTATTATGCACTGTTTCTATATATTCTTGGGTTAATTTAAGGAAGATTCTACTTGATTATGGATTGCAATACACTAGAAGATAAACATTTATTTTATCATTTATAATGATAATCAATACCATATTAATGGGTGTAATGACACTTCTCTTTTGTATTCAACTCATTACTATTAATACTATACTTCAATAGACTATTGATTTCTCTATTATAGCTATTTTCTCTATTAGTTTAGTCTTATAAGGAGCAAGGATTAATGCACATTGGTCTATTCATAGAGGATTACTGAGAAAGAATCTCTTTATTATTTAATAATTGGCTTATTAAGTCTTTAAGCCTTTAGATTACACTTTTAAAGCAGAAGATCCTGTATTTAATGTATTTATTTATTTCAATCAAGTCTAGGCTCTAATGAGATTACTTGATACTACTTATGCTGATCTTGTGATAAGAGAAGATTCACTATTAAATTACTCAATTTTTTGCATCAATTCAATATAATATGTGGTAAATCATTTATTGAATTCAGTTTGATGATTTAGGACATTAAGAAAAGTCTTAGCCATATACTGTAATGGGTATAGCCATGACATATCAATTACTATTATAAGTTTGTTTGAGTGCGATGGGATTGATAGGAACTACAGGATTGAATTTCATTCTATAGTTTACTTAATGATTATAAATTATATTAATAATATTGAACTTATATAGAGGGACTTTATTATATGGAAATTAGTATTAAACTATAAAATTCTTAAATCTTGAATGATATGTTCAAATCTTCATAACATTATATATAATAAATTGAAATATTTTATGCAATTATTGTTCAATAAATAAGGATTGTATTTTGATTATAAAGTATATTGAGAATAAAGATTTGATATAATTATTAAATATCATATTTGAATCTTATTCTCAAATTAACTTGTATGTATATAATATTGTAGAATACTTTCTGAAGATTGAATAATTATAATCATTTTATATTGTTGGATATAAAAAGTGTAGATGTAGAGTTCTTAATTATTAATAATAAGGATAGGTGTAAGTAAGGAAAAAAGGAAATGAATTATTATTATTAATATGGAAGAATAAATAAAATTAATTAATTACACGTTAAAGAATTTCTAGAAGAATTCTCTTTGTATATAAATTGATTATACACATCATTTGGAAATAATATATTATGAAAAAATTGTTACTTGTTTTGCTCCTTATTTCTGTATCTCTATGCGAAGGCACAGTTGAATGCCCAGTTATTGGTATTGACTTGGGTACAACTTATTCATGTGTTGGTGTATTCAGATAAGGACATGTCGAGATCATTCCAAATGAATTAGGAAATAGAATCACACCTTCAGTTGTTTCATTTACAGATCAAGAGAGATTAATTGGTGAGGCTGCTAAAAACTAGGCTGCTACAAATCCTAGCAGAACTCTTTATGATGTAAAGAGATTGATAGGAAGAAAGTATATATCAATATGAATATTTCAAGATTCTCTGATTCTACAATTTAATATGATAAGAAATTCTTACCATTTGAAATTATTGATAGAGATGGAAAGCCTTACATTTAAGTGGAGAAGGGTGCATAATCAAAAATATTTGCACCTGAGGAAGTGAGTGCAATGGTGTTGTCAAAGATGAAGGAAATTGCTGAGGGTTATTTGGGTTAAAATGTTAAAAATGCAGTTGTTACAGTACCAGCATACTTTAATGATGCATAAAGATAAGCTACAAAAGATGCAGGAAATATTTCAGGTTTGAATGTAGTTAGAATTTTGAATGAACCAACAGCTGCAGCTATTGCTTATGGTTTGGATTCAAAATAAGTTGAATCTAACATTTTGGTTTTCGATTTAGGAGGTGGTACTTTTGATGTGTCAATTTTAACAATTGATAATCAAGTGTTTGAAGTAATTTCCACATCAGGAGATACACATTTAGGAGGTGAAGATTTTGATTAAAGATTGATTGATCACTTCATTAAGTTAGTGTAAAAGAAGTATGGAAAGGATGTTTCAGGAGATAAGAGAGCAATCTAAAAATTAAAGAGAGAATGTGAAAAAGCTAAGAGAAGACTTTCTGCTGCTCAAGAAGCTAAAGTAGAAATTGAAGATTTAGTTGAAGGATTAGATTTCAGTGAAGTTTTGACAAGAGCTAAATTTGAAGAATTGAATAGTGATTTATTTAGAAAGACTATTGAACCAATGTAGACAGCTTTAAATGATTCAGGATTGAAGAAGAGTTAAATTGATGAAATTGTTCTTGTTGGTGGTTCATCTCGTATTCCAAAGGTGAGATAACTTGTAAAAGAATTCTTTGAAGGAAAAGATCCAAATACAGGTATCAATCCAGATGAAGCTATTTGTTATGGTGCAGCCATTCAAGGAGGTTTAATCTGTGGAGAGAAATCTGATGCAACTGATGGTTTAGTTGTTATTGATGCTACACCTTTGAGTTTAGGTATTGAAACTGTTGGAGGAGTCATGAATAAGATCATTCCAAAGGGATCCTTCATTCCAACTAAAAAATCTTAAGTATTCACAACTTATGTTGACAATCAAACAACAGTAACAATTACTGTTTTTGAAGGAGAAAGACCTTTGGTTAAAGATAATCACAAATTGGGTTAATTTGATTTAACAGATATTCCAAAAATGCCTAAGGGATAACCTTAAATTGAAGTTACTTTTGAAATTGATGAAGATGGTATTTTATCTGTATCTGCTTCTGAATAATCAACAGGAAAAAAGAATCAAATCTAAATCACTGGAGATAACAAGTTATCAAAAGAAGAAATAGATAGAATGATTAAGGAAGCTGAATAATTTGCTGAAGAAGATAAAATTGCTAAGGAAAAGATTGATGCTAAGAATAGTTTAGATTCTTATATTTATTCTATCAAGAACTAAATTGAAGATGAGGTATTTTATTATTTATTAATATTTTTAGAAAAAATTAGCCAAACATTTAACTGAAGAATAGAAATAAACTTTGAAAGATGCTGTATAAAAGAGTGAAGACTGGATTAAGAAAGATGAAGCTAATTATGATAAAGAAGATTTCGAAGGAGAATTAAAAGATTTATAAAAGTAATTCATTATTTATAACAATGTAGAGTTTGTGATCCAATCATTCAAGAAGCTTAAAAGAAGAAAGATGAAAATAAAGAGAATGAAGATGATGCTGATGCTGATGATACAAAAACTGATTTATGATTTAATGTGTGCAATATTTTATTTAATGAAAGTTGTATTTCAAATTTGCATCATTTCCTTATTATTGACTACATGCTATGCATTCAATATTCATTAATATGCTAATATGTTACCTGGTCTCAAATTGCCTCCCAACACTAAAACCAGAGTATTAATTATTGATACTTTTGAAGACTTCTTATGGGCCAATCTGTATGTAGGGTATAATCAACAATATTTCTATTTAGACTTTTCTACTACTTTTCATACTTAGCAACTGGTGCTGCTCTAGAATTTACTAATCCTATACCAAAATCTCCTTTCAGAATGAAAAACATGAAACTTGAAATTAGTAGAGGAGTCTAAGCCTTATTCTGGGTACTACTCTCTGCCACTATATTCATGTGGAAAATTGAACCTTTAACACCTTATTATGGTTATTATGAAACACATGATTTTGGATTAAAAGAATGGCTAATTGGACTTTTTGTGTATTTCTATTATATTTAATCATTAGATATTCCATTGGATTTGATTTCTATTTCTATGTCACTCATATTATTCTTCATCAACCATTCTTTTGGAAATACATTCACAAACAACATCATGAATTTATAGAACCAACTGCATTTGCTTAAGATGCTGTCCATCCAATTGAAGCTATAGTATAAGGTCCTTTAGGACATTTCTTCCCTTGTCTTTTTTACCCAATCCCTCCAGTTTGGCATCAGTATATTTTATTATTTAACAATTAGCTTTTTTGGTTTTTTGACTGCCGTCTATGCCTAAGCTGCTCATGATGGAAGATGGGATCCATTTGGACATATCAATCATCATTTCTATGTCACTTGTAATTATGGAATATGGGGTGTATGTGATAGAATATTTTAAACCAATCATTCCTCATCAAGATTTCCTGTTAGATATGTTCCAAGTTGGGAAAAAGATGCTAAGAAATTGAAATAATGATCTTAAATAATTCACAAATAAATCAAAATTCCATTAATATTTTAATTCTGTTGTTCTTATCTTATATTTCTAATCTTATATATATATGATAATTCAATAAATATTCACATCATGTTTATTAATAAAATATATCAATGGATTTACATGAAATCAATTCAAATAACTATATGAATTATAATATTTCTTAGAATTCTTATTAATATAAATTTACAAATTAAAAAGAGAGCTTTATTATATATTGATATAAATATATTTTTATTATGGAAAAATCACTTAATGATTATAAATAACATATTAATATATGTTATAACAACTCTTTATATAACACTACTTTTAATAATAAACAATCAAATCTTAACTTTTAATATGAATTCAAATTTATAAATAATCTAAATTCTCCTTGATTATATTAAAAATTCTCTAATAACAATTTATTAACTTTTAGAAACCTAAAAAGATCAAAAATTGATTTACATCTGAAATTTTCAATCTACTATATTACTCATTTATATTTATTAATAAGTATTTATTTATTTTAAATAATTTAAGTTTTTTATAAAAGTCATTAAGTAAAAGTACACATTAAATGAAAATTCTAAGCATTTTATTCTTCTGATTGGTGAAATTATTACTAGATAATTTCTTGTTTTATCTAAATTAACTATATTCTCAAATGAATATTAACAATATATGATATCTCATATAAAATCAATAACTTTTAGGAACTCTATGTTAAGAGAGATTGATAACTCAGATAAAAGTGCTCATTGACGATTGTTATCATTTATTAGAATTGAAGAGATTAATTTAATATTTATAATTTATTTATGGATCCTTTATAAATGAATGTTATCATTTTCCATCTGGGTTTCCTGAATAAGAAATTTGATAGTAACTCGGTGATTTATATGAAATTTAATTTTTTTTCATTTAATCAACTGCATATACCTAATATGGATTAACTGTATTATTATATAAATTGTATTATTGAATTACATAATTATTTGGTAGGTATTTTGCTTAGCTATTGGAAATTTACTGAAATTTATTAACTATATTTTCGATATTGCGTTAAGCTGCAGTAATTTAAGTTTTGATATCTTTAAAATTATTCTCAAATTATCTTAAAAACTATCTATCCACCATACTTATAACAATCCAACTATTTATCTTTTCTTTTATATTTTTGGCTAATTCATCAATCAATTTTTGAATATATATTTGGGAATTTGGTAAGTATTATAATTATTCAAAACAATTATAGTAATCGGAATTAATTTATTTATTTAAGTTAAGTTAATTTTCCAATTTATTAATTTCTTCATTTTTAGATCTAAGTTAGTTTTCCAATCTATAAACCTCTTCATTTTTAGATTTAAGTTAGTTTTTCAATTTAACAATTTCTTCACTTTTTAACTTAAGTTCATTTTTCTATTAATCAATTTCTTCTTTTTTAGATTTGAGTTCTTAATGAAAAAGACTGATTTCATTTTATTCTTTTTCATATTTCTAATCTAATTTTGCAGTGAAAGCAAATATTTCTCTTGATTCACTTTAAAGGTCAATAGACATTTTTTAACAAAAGCGTTTATATTCTATAGAATATCCTTACTTAATTTCTTAGATGTTTTTACTAAGTAAACTTGCATTAATATTATTTTAAATGAACTTAAAGTTAATTAATTTATTTAAATTTTCTAATGATTATTCCTTTATTTTTAACATATTACTTTTAATTTAATCATATTTCTTCATTTTTTCTGATAGTTGTTTCTAAATCAACTCACAGTTTTTATTAAATTCTTATTACATATATGACTTGATTTTTTCTTATTCTTAAGTTATTAATTAAGTCTTTTCATCTTATTCTTACTTGATAAACTTATATTTCTTAGCATATATCTTGTAATTATGTTAATTATGTTAAATTAAAAAGCAGCTTTTGCAATAAAAAGGAAATGTTGATTTCTATGAGATACAATCATTATGCATACAAAGATACTTTTAAGGTTTTTGATGAATATTACATTATTAATATTTCACGAATGATTTTTCTTGAGCCTTAGGAATACTTGGTAAAGGCGTATTAACAAATATATTTGATAAATCAGATAAGGAAAATTTTAAGTCTTTTATAAAATTAATTCTTGCTGTGATTTCATTAATTTGGAATTATCTTTCAATATTAGATTATTCTTGTGCTTTTTAATAGTCTACTTCCTATTAATTCGCATTAATCAAGCAATAATTCAAAATTGAATCAAGATTTTATTATTATAATATCTATTTTGCCTCTTTGATTTTTGATTAGAGTTTATTATTTTGTTATTCTATACATTCTTTTATTGATTTTTTCTGTTAATCATTCCAGGCTATGTATGTTTGATTCTAATTATCTAGAAACTATTCAAGTTAGATTAATTCTTTAGTATTTTTTTCTATCATTTATTCCAAGGATTGGATTTACTTTTTAGAATTATCTGTTGCTAATGAGTAAACTTCTGAAAAATTTTTGGGTGTATGTTTTGAATGTGATTAACAATAGCATTAGAAACAAAGCATTTAATTACCTTGAATTTTAACACATTCTGGCTGGATACAAATATATTCACCAGATCTTTATTAGCAATTAACACACTTACTCATTTTATGAAGATATTTAATGAAAAGATAATTTAAAATTTAATAGAATTTCAATATTAAACTAACTTAAATAGTATTCTGATATCTATAATCCTAGCAAAATACATTAATGATTTTTTATTTTTTACAAAAAATGAGATACATCATTTTTTCATTCTAATGACCTTTTTATATGTTATGAAAATATGATGATATATACGTTTTTTAGTCTTAAAGAAAAAATTTTTATAATAGAATTAAAGAAAATAAAAATAATTTTTATATTATGGATTGAAACAATTAAATTAATAATCATTATATAAACTGTTATTCATAAGAATCATAATTGATAAATAAAAAAATAATAAACATAATCTAATGAAACTATTCATAGTCAAATATTCTTACTTTAATAACTCTTTATGAATTCCAATAGAAATCTCAAATTATACAAAATATTTTCAAAATAAAATTACCATATAGTGGTTAACATTCATCATTTTAATCTGATCATTAAAATTTGAAGATTCAATGAATCGTATTAATTATTTCAAAAGATGAAAAACATATCACTACTATTCTGAAGGAGAAATGGATCGATATAAAGAAATATCACAAATAAAAAGTAATATTCTTTCAGAAAAAACTTATCAAGTGCATATAATCAACTATCTATAAGAGTCTTCATTTCATTATAACATATATTGGTTAATAATAAATATAGTTTAAAGTATTAATCTCTATGAAGTTGTTATTATATATTTTAGTATTGAATTGTTAAAGAAAATTAAGTAATTATTATAATTTTTTTTATATTTATGCAAACTACAAATTCAATATTCACACTAGGTTCTTAAATTTATTGTCAGGTATCCAGTTTATAAAAATAATACTTAAAATTTAAAAACTGGCTCCATATAGTCGATTTAGAGGCCTAATTCTTTTCAGTAGTCTCCACTGACTGAGACTATGAGTATTGGATTTGTGGTTGGTGCATATGAAGCTTCTTGGGAGTTGTGTTACAACTTACCAACCAATTACAATATCTGATAAATTTTAATATTAAAATATAAAAAGAGAAATAAATAAAAACCTAAATTTTTAATTTTTATTTTGTAATATAAATTATGAATTATTTTCTTATTGAAAATACATAAAAAATATGATATTCTCTTATATTGTCAAAGGTAATTATCCTTAATGATTATAGGAAGATTATGTTAAATTCAATTAATATAGAATTGATTAGTAAAAAATTTAATTTAATTAAACATATTTGCACATTTTTTATTAAAGATTAAGTTATTTGGGGTAATTTAGGTTATGTAGGTTTTACTCTATTCTGAAAATTAAGATAAAAACTGTCATTAGATTCAATTTTATTATCACTTTTCTTTATACATTATTCTTAATGAAACAAGTTTTGAGTGAATAAACAGTGATAAGATTTTTAATACAGATGGGTTCATTAAGAGTAATTTTTAAGACTTCAATAATGTTTTTAAATGACTTCAGATCTGTCTATAAATAATTATAGATTGCTTTTATAGCTAGTCATAATTTCATTAAATAGTTCATTTATCATTTATCTTAGAATTTCATCTATATTAAATTCTATATCTGTTTTAATGTTAATGGTTTTAGATATTGGAATTTATAAACTATTTATTTTATTATTCATTGAATTTGACTATTTGGGGTATTGAATTATTGACAGAGATAATAAATTTACGGATTTAATCTCTTCTCTATTTCTCCTCTAAGTCTTTAATTTCTATAATTTCATTCCTTACCAACCTTACTAATAGCATATTTGGAACACAATTATAAAGAAAAGTCTTTTACAATATGATATTAAACTTTCTTGTCTTCATGATTAACACATGAATTCAATTTATGTATTTTATCTGTATTTTGGCCATTAAATTTAGTTTTTGAGTAAGTAAGTCTTTTTTTAATAGTTAATATCGTGTTTGATGTAAATTTTAATTATAAATTATTAAAGTAAGTAGAAATATTCATAAAACTTCAAATTATATATTTATTCTTTACTAATAAGAGTGTGAGGATAGAATGTATTTTTCATTTTGTAAGGTGTTTTGAGATTTTATTTAATATTATATATTGTATTTTTTATTTATTAGGAAAAGGTGAAACTCTATGGATTCAATTAGTTTTCTAATTGTTATCAATGAATGACGACATATTTATTAATATTCATTGTAATTAAAAATATTGCTATTTAATATTGGACTTTAGAAAAAATTTGACAAAATAAAATTAAGTTTATTATGATACCATAAGTTCAAGAATCAGATTATCTTTACAGCACTCCAAAGTCATTCTCAACAAGAGCTATTCATACAGGATAACATGCTGAACCAATTCATGGTAGTGTTAATGTTCCCATTCACTTGAGCACCACATATAAATAAAAGGCTCCCGGTTAACCTTATTCTAGTTTTGATTACACAAGATGTGGTAATCCCACTAGGGCAGCATTAGAAGAATGCATTGCAGATCTTGAGAATAGCAAACACTGCATAACATTCTCATCTGGATGTGCAGCAATGTCTTGCATCATCAATATCTGTAAACATGGTGAATAAATCATTTGTTGTGATGACGTATATGGTGGTACTTAAAGATACATGAGAAATTTCACTGTAAAAAATCATGGAATCGAAGTGTTGTTTGTAGATATCACAGATCCTGAAAATGTGGCAAAGGCAGTCACTGAAAAAACAAAATTGATTTGGATTGAAACACCTACTAATCCAACTCTTAAAATTGTAGACATTGCAGCTGTTTGTAAAATAGCAAAAGAGAATAAAATATTATCTGTGGTTGATAATACATTTGCTACTCCATATCTTTAAACTCCAAGAGATTTGGGAGCTGATATCACTGTATTATTTTTTAATCTTATTAAAAAAGGTTAACTCTGGAACCAAATATATGGGTGGTCATTCTGACGTCGTTTTTGGATCTTTGACTTGTAATGATAAAGAATTGTATGACAGATTATTCTTTTCTGCTAAATCACAAGGAGGTTGTCCAAGTGTTTTTGATTGCTATCTCATTATGAGAAGTTTAAAGACTTTAGAATTGAGAGTTAAGTAGGCTACTAAGAATGCATACATCTTTGCTAAATATTTGGAAAGCAATCCTTTGGTTGAAAAAGTTATATACCCTGGATTACCATCTCATCCATAACATGAATTGGTTAAAAGATAATAAAGAGGAGGAGGTGCTATGATAAGCTTTTATGTTAAGGGAGGTTTTGAAGAAACTAGTAAATTATTGAAAGCCTTAAAAATATTCACACTTGCTGAATCATTAGGAGGAGTTGAAAGTAATTATATATTAGACTACTTATATTAGGTTTAATTGAAGTACCATCAGTTATGACACATGGATCAGTACCTGTTGATGTCAGAAATTAATTGGGAATTACAGACAATTTGGTTAGAGTATCAATTGGTATCGAAAATGTAGAGGATTTAATAAATGATATGGAAGAGGCACTTAAAGCATCACATTGAATATATATTAAGTAATGTCATATATACACAAATATTAATATTAATTAGTAAATCTATTATTAATACTAAATTAAAGACTATCACACTTACATATTTGTTATAATAAACTTAATGAATAGGAATTAATATAAAATGGTTATCAATTCTAATAATGGATTATAAATAATTCTCTATATATAATCATATAATCTTATTTGAAGTGATGTAATTCTATTTACTTTTATTAAATCAGGATTATGTAAAATCTCTTTTAAATAATTTTGATTATACTTCCATATCATTATAATAAATTTAATATCTCTCACAGGTATCCAAAATAACTAAAAAATAATTACAATAATGTCTTCATCCAATAACATATATGTAATTATTGACTAATATATTACTAAAAGCATGTCTTATCTAATTAATTTTGAGGTTAAATAAAATTGGATTTCAAATTAGTAGTTTAATCATCACTTATTTCATTCATTTATTTAATGACTCTCCCATCTTAAAATAATAGAGATCCTTAATATATAGTGGTAGAATAAATATATTCATTCATTTTTATGAATTCCAATCTTTAATTTATACTTTATTAATTTATAAATTACATTCTTCTATTTAAAAAATGATAAGTTTAGAAATCAATTCTAATTTAAAATCTTAATCTACAATGCTAAATCTTATCAGACTCTTACTAAACATTTAAATAAAGACATTATTTTTTTATTATCTAAGTTCAAAATTGGGAAATTTCTCTTCTTTCACCTAATAAAGTTTGGCTTCCAAAAATTAAATTCAAAATTTTATATCCACATAGATTTTTTAATCTTTTAATATGAGAAGGAATGTTAGACAATTCTAATCCATCCCATCTGCCCTTCTAAAAATCAATTATCATAATCCCTAACTTCCTTATTTTAATAATAAATTGACTATGATTTCAAAAGCAAATAGTTTTAATTCTAATGGTTATAAAATAGTTAATTTTGAAATCTTGATATATTCATTTTATAGGTATTCATAATGATATTCTCTTCCAAATTGTATTAAAATAATGTTATTACCTACATCTTGATCGTTGTAGTTTGATCCACAACTTAAATACACTTTGTATACATTTACCTATATACATACAATATTTATAAACTACTAAATACATTCTAATAGTTTTAGAATCTCATTTCATATGAATTCATCCTTTACTGTATTGTAACTTAATAAAACATTAAAAAAACAAAAAAAGTATTATTATCTGGAATTACTTTCTATATTGATTATTCTATTTTATTAATCTTATTCTTTATTAATATAAATTTAAAATATTTAGAGATGTAAGAAAACCATATGATTAATTTTTATTGCTACATCTATGTATTTTAACAATGAATTCATTAATAAATATCAGAAGAAAACATGAAAAGGATTCACAACAATTTTTTACAAATGATTATTATGAACCTTAAAAGGAAATTATTGAATTTTTTACTTATCATCCACAACATAAAACTACTTTAAAGTTTGTTAAAAATTCCTAATAAACAAATATATAATTAAAACATAAAAGAAACCTTGTTAATTTTGATATGAATAGTTTTTGGCAAAATAATATTAAATTTGACAATTCTTTAATTAAAATTCATACTTAAATTTGAAAAGACTCTATTAATATTATTTTGAAGATAATTTTATTTTAAAAGGGATTTGAGACTTTTCTAAGGTTTAAAGTGTGTTTGTAAATTTATATTTTAATTTAGAATTTATATTTAAATATTTAAATCATAATTTATCAACCATATTCTACTCCAATATAGATAACCTGAATGTAGTTTTTTATAATAAGTTCTATTTGTATAATGTTGATCTTTGAATGAAACTTAATGTAAATAAAAAAAGATTACACTGACATTTAATTATGACACTAATATAAGCAACCTTATTAATTTGTATAACTCTCTTTTGAGTAAGATAATCAATTTCAAATACATTATTTAATGATGATTTAATCATACTGAATTACTGTTGTGTTAGTATTTCTGCAAGACTTGGTAAAATATTAATTTATACATATGAATCATTATAGAATTATTTATATGAATACATTTGAGATATTAAGGTTCAAGCAGGCAATGGTTAAAGATTATTACACTATAAATATGATAGATAATATAAGGTATACATATAGTATATAAATGATAATGATAATTAGATTCTTGCTTAATTTATGAATTAATTAGTTTGCATGAATACTGGTAATTAACATAAAATATATATATATATATATTTTTAAATATAATTAATATATGGATCAGAGTATGTTTGAGTAATTTGGGGGAGATGGACAGATATCAGATTTGATAGATTAATTTTATTATAAGGTTTTATTCGATCAAAGTTTGAGAAGCATGTTTTTAAAAGCAGACATGACTAGGGTTAGATTGTAATAAAAGACTTTTTTTGCTTAAATGTTTGGATGTATACATACCAAATACACTGGAAAGTATAATTACTAATGAATATACAGAGATCTAATTGAAGTGCATAAGAATTTGAGCATTACTGATCAATAATTTGATAGATTCTTACATCATCTTAAATGTATTTTAGCCGACATGAATAAACCGTAAGAATTGATAGATGAAATATTGAAGAAAGTCGACAGCCATAGAAATTTGATTGTGTTTAAATGATATATTCATTATTTTTTTCTTCTATTATCGATGTCCTTAAAATTCTATTCTTCCAATTACAATTTGGCTCTATAAAAAAAGATAAAATAATTTATTACTTTTATGCGTCCTCCATCTTTTGACTTCTCATAAATAAAAGATCATCTCTTCTTGTAGTATCAGATTCTAATACTTCCTAAGGTGATATCCATAACTTCTTTTCTTCATCTATCTACCAAAATTTCTCTTCTCCAAATGTCAATCCTTCCAACCATGATCCAATCCCTTATTATATAAGAGTCCTATATAATTATATATTCATTATTACTCTGTTTTATTTCCATTTTCATCAATCTTCACTTCAAAAATATCTACTTCTACAATGTCAAAGATTTTGGCTTATTCCTATGACTTAAAGAAAGAAGTTAATTTGGACATCATCCCTTCAGCATTGTAATTAAATGTAATAACTGATTTCACACCAGGTCCTTCTATTATCATCTTGCCTTGCCAATTTAATATTCGATCTCCCATCACCAATCCAGTTATTTCCCTTATATTTATATTTATAACTTCAATACATTGTTGGTCTCTATGTACATTTATATACAGCACCATTATTGAATATTATGGTTTATCTACCATTCTAAACCCCTGTTAATGAATTCACAGTCTTATGTACTTATATTTCTAATCTGTCATCTCCATATATTTTATAATTATTTCCCTATATGTAATAAAAACAAATTGGTGGATCAAAAGAAGTTTATTCTGCAAAAAACTATGTGCCATCCTCTTTCACCAACTATACTCAAATATACTTTAAAATTACCTAAATTGTCTCTCCCACTAATGGATCTAAAGGTGATTTCATTTTTGTGATCTCACCATTACAATGCATTCCAGATATCTATAATATGATTCCAATTCTTACACAATAAGCTGAGATATATTTAATTTATTCAATTGGTGCCAATTGACTACATCTTTCCAATAAATTACTAAATGTATGTCCTCTAATTTATATATTGTTTTTATTTACAAAGCCACTCCATGTAAAAAACTCATATCCAAAGACATAGCAATTGGTTTGCTAATTTACATCAATGATCCAAAATTTCCTGTTATGATCTTCCCACTCAATTATTTAAACACACTTGCTGCCACTTTCTAGGTTTCAGAATTCTCTTCCCCAAATGATAAGTTAAGACCTCCTAACGTTATATTTATCAATAACTAACCTTATTAATGAGCTGCCTTATGTCTATTTGCTGAAGATTGTTGAGCTTATTAGACATTTTGATTTTCATTCTATTTTTTAAATCCAAACCACATCTTATTAAAAAAAGATTTGTTATTAATAATATTATTTAACAATAATTATCAATATAATTTTTGAATACTAATATTATAAAACAATCATTTTTATTAATTTAATTTATATAATAATATCATAAAGATTTAGAAAATATATAATATTATTCATTTCAAGTTATTTTTAAAATGCCTTTCCAAATTATTTAATATAATTTCTTTTATTAAACTAATTATATTTCTAATTTTAATTTTTATATATTATATTCTTCAAGTAACATTTTATCATGATATAAGCACCTTTATATTTAATATTATTACTACTAAATAAAATATAGCTTCAATTATTGGAATCAAAATTGGGAATGAATATAATTCATATTTTAATTAAAATTAGAAAATATATTTGATTGATATATATATGAAAAGATTCATTACGCCAAGATTCTATTTCTAAGAGTTTCATATTTATATATATATATTAATTTTACTATGAAAATATTAATTAATGTACAAAACGTCAATTTTATATTACTANGTTTATCTACCATTCTAAACCCCTGTTAATGAATTCACAGTCTTATGTACTTATATTTCTAATCTGTCATCTCCATATATTTTATAATTATTTCCCTATATGTAATAAAAACAAATTGGTGGATCAAAAGAAGTTTATTCTGCAAAAAACTATGTGCCATCCTCTTTCACCAACTATACTCAAATATACTTTAAAATTACCTAAATTGTCTCTCCCACTAATGGATCTAAAGGTGATTTCATTTTTGTGATCTCACCATTACAATGCATTCCAGATATCTATAATATGATTCCAATTCTTACACAATAAGCTGAGATATATTTAATTTATTCAATTGGTGCCAATTGACTACATCTTTCCAATAAATTACTAAATGTATGTCCTCTAATTTATATATTGTTTTTATTTACAAAGCCACTCCATGTAAAAAACTCATATCCAAAGACATAGCAATTGGTTTGCTAATTTACATCAATGATCCAAAATTTCCTGTTATGATCTTCCCACTCAATTATTTAAACACACTTGCTGCCACTTTCTAGGTTTCAGAATTCTCTTCCCCAAATGATAAGTTAAGACCTCCTAACGTTATATTTATCAATAACTAACCTTATTAATGAGCTGCCTTATGTCTATTTGCTGAAGATTGTTGAGCTTATTAGACATTTTGATTTTCATTCTATTTTTTAAATCCAAACCACATCTTATTAAAAAAAGATTTGTTATTAATAATATTATTTAACAATAATTATCAATATAATTTTTGAATACTAATATTATAAAACAATCATTTTTATTAATTTAATTTATATAATAATATCATAAAGATTTAGAAAATATATAATATTATTCATTTCAAGTTATTTTTAAAATGCCTTTCCAAATTATTTAATATAATTTCTTTTATTAAACTAATTATATTTCTAATTTTAATTTTTATATATTATATTCTTCAAGTAACATTTTATCATGATATAAGCACCTTTATATTTAATATTATTACTACTAAATAAAATATAGCTTCAATTATTGGAATCAAAATTGGGAATGAATATAATTCATATTTTAATTAAAATTAGAAAATATATTTGATTGATATATATATGAAAAGATTCATTACGCCAAGATTCTATTTCTAAGAGTTTCATATTTATATATATATATTAATTTTACTATGAAAATATTAATTAATGTACAAAACGTCAATTTTATATTACTACTTGAAAACTTAAAATAATATAATACATTTTATTAATAGATGTTCTAATTTGGTATATTTTTATTTTTGGGAAATAAATTTATGATGATCGATTCAAGAATTCATTTTGGTATATTTTTATAGAAATAATCCTTAATAGAATATATTTTAGGAACAAGACTATTCATTATTTTTTGCTCATTCAAAAATCTATTCAATTTTTACGTTAAAGTATTTTTTTATTTAATTATCAAATATCATAAATTTTATGATAAAATACTGTTAATTTCATTAATGGGAGGAGGAAAAATATATCTGTATTCACAAAACAAGGCTATAAAAGGAAGATAACAAATTTTCATGCCATAAATGTTTAGACTGGAAAAAATCAAACAATTATATAAAGAGCATGAAGGAAGTTGAAGAAGAGGCAAAATAAAATATTGTGAAATTTGTGGAAATGTAAACCAAAATAATAAATTCTAATAATGAAATGAAATAAAAATATCTAGAATCATTAACTGAGCTTTGTCAGAAGATAAATCAATATTTTCAAAAATAATAAAAGTCCATAACTTCATTAATCGAATAATAAAATCAAATATTAACACAAAACATCAACTAAGCTAATTCACTTTTAAATGAACAATCTGTTTTGGATTCTCAATCCTTAGATAATTTTATTATTTTTACTACTTTAAATGAAGCAAATCAACAAATTATTGAAAATAAATACGTTTCTATAAATAAATGTTTAGAAAAATAATTCTATTATGAATTTGCTGAAATCTAATGTAAAGTAAATTAATTAACAACGTTGGAATATAAATTTGATAATATTCCAAAATATGAAGTTGAATAATTCAAAATTTTAACTGCTGATAAAGAAAAAGATAAACTACAATATTGCAAAGACCACTAAATGGAAAAGAACTGTATTTGTACACATGAAGATTGTTTGAAAGAGAAAAAAAAAGAATATCTTTGTTTAGGATGTTCAATGAATTCTCATAGTTAACATTTTAAAGGTAATTTTATAAAAACTGTAAAAAAAATAAAGACTGAGCAGAATGAAAAGCTGAAAATCATTAAAGAATAATATGAAATGCTTAAATAAGAAGTTGAAAACAGAATTGATAAAGAATTAACAGCAAATTAATAAAAATAATAGGAAAATTTTGTTAATTCTTAAACAACAAGAGAAAATCTCAAGCAATTAGAAGCTTAGATTAAAATTAATCCTTTCAATTAAAAACCAAATTACACATATTATAATATTGACTAGAATTTATTATCATATGATTAAGACATGATCAAATTAGAGTTTTAATCGAAATTAGATTAATTAGATTAATTAAAACAACAAATTACAAAAATAAAAAAAGAAGAGTTTAATTAATAATACCAAACTACTGAAGAGTAATCACTAACTTATAAGTAGGAAACATTTAAATTAAAAAAATTAGTGTAATAATATGAAATTTAAATTTCAGAGTTATAAAAGAAATTAGAAGCTAATTCTAGTGAATCAATAATAGCAGAAATCAAAAAATCTTAAAAATAATTGATTGAGGAATCTCTTAAATAATCATAAAAGTAATTTATTGAAGGAGTAAATGAGATCAAATCTTAAATTTAAACTTTTCCAAAAGTTGTTACTGAAAGTAAACAATTTAGTTCTCTTTAATCAGACTTGAACAATGTTATTACAATTATTAATAAAATAAACTAACAAAGTTTATAGATACCAAATTTATATTAAGAATTAAAAAATTCAATTAATGGTTAAGAAGGGATAAAATAATAAATTACTAATCTAACAAATTTATATTAAGATCTAAAAGTTATGTTAAAAGGGATGAATGAGATCAAATCATCCATTTTAACTATCCCAAAACTTGTTCTTGAAAGTAAACAATTTAGTTCTCTCTAATCAAACACAACAGATATGATAAATCGAATAATTTAATTGACCATTAAAGTTTCAACTCCATAAATTGTTTATTAACCATAATAAATTTTAAATAATTCATAAGGGTAAAACGAATAGCCTATGGGTGCTGGTAGTTTTCAATAAAATCAGGGCTTCCATTATAACTATCATAATAATAGCAAAAGATGAAATATTGATTGAGCTAATTATTTAGAATTATAAAAATTATATTATGAATAATTTCTTGTAATAAAAAATGATATTGTTTTTTCTCCTATATTAAAAATTGAAGATAAGCCAGTTCATCTTTACATCTAGCACTAATATGCTTATAGGTTTGAGATATATAAATAAATAGCAATTAATTTAGATTTTGTCAGAAAATATCAATAAAAATTAATAAACAATTATTAATATATCTCATATATAAATAATCAGATATTAAATTGGAAAAATCTAAATGCAGTTAAGTATATACTTTAAGCTGATATGAGATTCATAAGAAAGAATAAATTCAATTAAATCATACTCAAATGAGTGTCCAATCTAATAAGTAGTTAGATAAAAAAGATATCATAATAATTGTTGGTATAATATTATGGCCTTCGAAATTTGAACTCATCATTAAAACAAATATGTATTTCTCATTTAATATCTCTAATTATTATTTAACTTTTGTAGTATTTAAAGTTTTATTTAAGCCTCAAATAGTTATACAATGAGAACTTAATATAGATAGTTTCTTTTAAATGATAAACTCTCCTAAACTTTCATGAGTTTAACCTTTACCTAAGTTTAATAAGATACTAGATGAGTTATTCAATTCAATAATACAAGAGAAGATTTGAAGTGTAGCATCTGAATCAATGTATTCTTGATAAACAATTGCTTAATTTAATTTACCTCCTATAATAGTTTAGGAATTATTGGTCATATCTTATTTATGGAACCAATAAAATTGGTTTCTCAAAAAAAAATGTAATTGCTTTAATAGTTCGATAATAAAAAGACAACAAAAATAAATCTCAGAAAGGTGAAAAAGTAAAAATCTTAAATTATTAAATCAAGTTTTTAAATATATACTCCTAATATATTAGATTTTCTATGTATCATGATAATTTTAGACTTTTTAATAATTCATTAATGTTATCTTTCAATTTATGAAAGATTAGAATTTTATAATATTTAAAAAAATGAAATATTTTTTGTTTTGATTGAACAATACTTAGAAATTTAATAACATAATTCATGAAATTAATACATATACTAAAATGTGTTTTATAATTTCTGAAATCTAATCAAATCTGTGTAAAATAAATTTAAAATTTATCCTAGAATTCAATTTAGTATTTAGAAAGATTGAATTATCATTTAAATAGATAACTATAATCATCTATAATTTGCAGTAAGCTAATAAATAAATTAGATTAATCATAGATTATTTTTAGTTGTATTTCTTCATGATTTAATCTGAATTTTAATTTTCATTATTTTATTTATTTAATTACAAATCTTTTATTTCTATCATGAGTAAAATATGTTAAAAGCATAAAAAATTCGAGGAAAAATTTATCTGCATTCACAAAACAAGACTACAAAAAGAAGGTAACAAATTTTCGTGCATCAAATGTTTAAACTGGAAAAAATCAGACGATTACTTAAAATGTATTGAGGATGTTGAAGAAGAGGCAAAATAAAATGTAGCCAAATATGTAGAAATGTAAAGCAAAATAATAAATTCTAATAATGAAATGAAGTAAAAATATCTTCAATCATTAACAGAGCTTTGTCAGAAGATAAATCAATATTTTGAAAATTAGTAAAAGTCCATTACTTCCTTAGTTGAACAATAAAATCAAATATTAACACAAAACATCAACTAAGCTAATTCACTTTTAAATGAACGATCTGTTTTGGATTCTCAATCCTTAGATAATTTTATTATTTTTACTACTTTAAATGAAGCAAATTAACAAATTATTGAAAATAAATACGTTTCTATAAATAAATGTTTAGAAAAATAATTCAATTATGAATTTGCTGAAATCTAATGTAAAGTAAACTAATTAATAAACATGGAATTTAAATTTGGTAATATTCCAAAATATGAAGTTGAATAATTCAGAATTATAACTGCTGATAAAAAAAAACTTTAATTTCCGTATTGCTAAGATCATTAAATGTAAAAAACTTGTATTTGTACACATGAAGATTGTTGTAAAGAGCAACAATAAGATTATTTTTGTATTAGTTGTGCTATGAGTAATCATGATTCACATCTTAAAGGTAATTTTATAAAAACTGTAAAAAAAATAAAGACTGAGCAGAATGAAAAGCTGAAAATCATTAAAGAATAATATGAAATGCTTAAATAAGAAGTTGAAAACAGAATTGATAAAGAATTAACAGCAAATTAATAACAACAATAGGAAAATTTTGTTAATTCTTAAACAATAAGAGAAAATCTTAAACGATTAGAAGCTTAGATTAAAATTAATCCTTTCGATTAAAATCAAAATTATATTTTTAATAATATTAATTAGAATTTATTATCATATGATTAAAATATGATCAAATTAGAGTTTTAATCAAAATTAGATTAATTGGAATAATTAAAATAACATATTTCAACAATAAAAGAAGAAGAGTGTTAATAATAATGCCAAACTACTGAAGAGCAATCACTAACTTTAAAATGAGGATTAATTATTTTTGAATAGTAATTATTCTTAAATGTATAAATTATTATTTTCTTTGAAAACATTTCAATTATTCTTTAGAAATATATTTGAATTAATTACTAATTGATTAAAAAATTCTTTTAAGAACACTAAAAATAGTTTAATGAGATCAAATAATAAATTTAATTTTTCCCAAATTTTGTTAATTAAAGTAAATAATTTAGTTTTGTAGAATCACAATTAATGAAATAAATTCTTAGATTTCAATCAAAACAACTTTAAGATAAGAATAAAAACTTCTAATTATGGTTAAGTAGGCATAAAATCTTACTGTCAATTTTATACAATATAATACTTAGATAAATATTAAACTGAAATAAATTTTTAATTAGAAAATTTACTTTAAAAATTGAATAAATATTAAAGTAAGCATCTATTAGAAGATAAATTTTGTTTAATTATGGTCAAATATTATTCACATATATTAATCCTTTCAAAAATGCCTATTATTATTTATTAATCTATTATATCTCCAATATCTGACTATTAATATATCAATTAATTTTAACTACAATAACAAAAATTTGTCATGAAAAATTGTTTAAGATTATAAAATAAAATAATGAATAATTTCTTGCAAAAATAAAATGATTATCTTTTCACTCTAAAGTGAAAAGTTTTATTCTTTATTTGTTTCTATTAATAGGATATAATAGATTAGTAAGTTCCTCTTCTCCTATAGTACCTAAAGAATAGTTCTTCAATTTATATTTCTTTGAACAGAAATGCAGGAGTAATTAGAAATATAAAAAACATTGTTCATCTAATTTAATACATGTATTAAATTGTGTTTTATTATTTTCGAAAATCTAATCAAATCTTTGGAAAATAAATTTAACATTTTTATTAAAATTAACTTTAGTTTTAAGAAAGATTCAATCATCTTATCGTAGTAAAACAATTATAATCTATATTTCGTATTAAGCTAATTTGTTCAGGAATAAATCCAAAATTTATTTTTGATATTTGTATTTATTTAATTAGAAAATTTCTTAATTCTATCATGATAAAAAAATGTTAATAGCATTAAAAATTCGAGGAAAAATTTATCTGCATTCACAAAACAAGACTAAAAAAAGAAGGTAACAAATTTTCGTGCATCAAATGTTTAAACTGGAAAAAATCAGACGATTACTTAAAATGTATTGAGGATGTTGAAGAAGAGGCAAAATAAAATGTAGCCAAATATGTAGAAATGTAAACCAAAATAATAAATTCTAATAATGAAATGAATATCTACAATCATTAACAGAACTTTATCATAAATTAAATCAATATTTTGAAAATTAGTAAAAGTCCATAACTTCATTAATCGAATAATAAAATCAAATATTAACACAAAACATCAACTAAGCAAATGCTCTTTTAAATGAACAATCTGTTTTGGATTCTCAATCCTTAGATAATTTTATTATTTTTACAACTTTAAATGAAGCAAATTAAAAAATTTTTGAAAATAAATATGTTTCTATAAATAAATGTTTAGAAAGATAATTTAATTATGAATTTGCTGAAATCTAATGTAAAGTAAATTAATTTACAACGTTGGAATTTAAATTTGATTCTATTCCAAAATATGAAGTTGAATAATTCAAAATTTTAACTGCTGATAAAAAAAAAGATAAAATTCCCTATTGCGAAGAACACTAAATGAAAAAAATATAAATATGCACATACGAAGATTGTTTAGAAGAGCAAAAACAAGAATATCTATGTTCAGATTGTGCTAAGAATAATCATGAATAACATTCAAAAGGTAAATTTATAAAAACTTTATAAAAAATAAAGATTGAGCAGAATGAGAAACTTAAATTAATTGAGGAGTAATATTAAATCCTTAAATAAGAAGTTGAAAACAGAATTGATAAAGAATTAACAGCAATTTAACAACAATAATAAGAAATTTTCGTTAATTCTTAAAAAATAAGGGAAAATCTTAAATATTTGGAAACTTAGTCTAAAATTAATCCTTTCAACAAAAATCCAAATTTTATTTATAATAATATTAATTAGAATTTGTTATCATATGATTTAGATATGATCAAATAAGAGTTTTAATCAAAATTAGATTAATTAGAATAATTAAAATAACATATTACAACAATAAAAAAAGAAGAGTTTCAATAATAATGCCAAACTACTGAAGAGTTATCACTAACTGCTCAGTAAGAAGCATTTAAATTAAAAAAATTAGTGTAATAATATGAAATTTAAATTTCAGAGTTATAAAAGAAATTAGAAATTAATTCAAATTAATCATTAATTACAGAAATTAAAAATGCATAAAACTAATTGATTGACTAATCCTTCAAAGAGCAATAAAAATGTTTTATTGAGGGTATTAATGAGATTATATCATAAATTTAAACTGTTTCAAAAGTTGTTACTGAAAGTAAACATTTCAGTTCTCTGTAATCAGATTTGAAAAATGCTATAACAACAATTAATTAAATTAATTCATAAAGTTCCTTGATACCGCCTTTATAATAAGATTAAAAAACTTCAATTTATGTTTAGGAAGAAAAAAAATAGGTCCCTATGGCAAGAAGATATGAAAAATTTAATTGAAAGTTTTTTATATAAATCCCATATATTTAATGATTTAATATCAAATATTTTTTTTAAGTTAAAGATATAATAGATAATATAGTTTCATTTCAATCAACTTAATTAAGCTTATACTTTAGAATAAAGTGAAAACTCAGAAAATAAAAATCTCAAAACTTAATTAAAACAATTTGGAAATTCTATCTACTCTACTAAATATAATTTAGAATAGGAACCATTCTTTTTTCTTATCGCTATAATTTGAATGTCAAAACGCCTAACCTATTTTTCTAATTATTAATATTGATGCCTTTATTAAATAAAAAATATAGAAGAAATCCATCTTGTTTTGCTAGAAATGATTAAACAGATAAATAATGGGAGGGGAATCCATGTCCTAAACATCCTTTAAATCCAGAAAAATATGTTTAGAGATTCTTCACTTAAGAAAAATCAGAGTAGAATATTTATTTTTCTTTGTTATTAATAAAGAAAAACAAAATGTAAAAAGATTTTCCATAGTACAAAATGATAGATAAACAAGCTTGAAGAAGTAACGAAGAAGAAAAAAAGAAATTTTGAAAAATAAGACTAAACAAAAAAGCAAATTGAAGAAGCTACTAAAGAACTAGAAAATTTTTTAGGAGATAAAAGATATAAATGGATGGATAATAAAGAAGTTTTTTGGATGATTTATAAAATAATGATCAGAATCCTTAATATAATTTTTTTCTGAATTCTTATTTTAATTGTAGATGCTTGAATTAATTTCTGGAGATGGTAGAGATATATGTCTAAAATAAAGTTGAAATCTTTGTCACAAAAAAGATTTTCTAGCGAGACTTCAAATAAAAACCTTAGGCCCAAGAAAAGTGGTTTGGATTGAAAAAATTAATTAAATCCATTATGAAATTTATTGAAATATTTTTAAAGTATTAAAATTATGAATGATGTCATTCTTAAAAAAAGATTTAATAATCATTTGTATTATAAAAAGTAGATCATTATAAATTTGGAAAATAGTTGGTAGAATACCACTTTTTACCAACCTTAATATATAAATCAGAAAATAGTGAAAATTATATTAGTTTTATTAATTTTCATACTAAAGATATTTATCGAAATGATACGCTTAAAAAATATCTATATGAAGATATCTATTATCAGAAAATTGAACATGAAAAGCTGTAAAATTATTAATATTATGTATCAAAACTCTGTTAAATTGAATCATCATATACTTAGACCAAAAATGAAAATTTCATTATTTAACAATGTTAAATATTTACATAATTAATAATTTCTTGCAAATAACAAAATGATTATCGTTTTCCTCTCATTCTTAATTAGCTTTTTTAATAGAGGTTTTAGACGTTCTTTCCTCTAGCAGCACAACAAAAAGAATATTTAATTTTCATTTGATGAAAATGCAAAAGTCCAAAAATATATTATATGCAGATGTATTATTCCTATTTATATAGTTTTAACTTGGATATAAATAGTAATTAATGTAAATTATTTTTTATGAGTAAAAAACATTAATAAAAAATTAGTACTCCATCAGAACTTATCTCTAATAAAAATGGATGAATATTCAATAATGAAATACATAAACAGTGAGTCTTCTAAGAATAAATGTTAAGCAGAAATTAGACACAAGTGAAGATAAATGAATAGTAATCATATTAAAATAGTATGACAAGATTAGAATATTTATTAATGGTTTTCCAATATTAGTAATAATTATTATAAATAATAAAATTCTAAATTATGTTTTAAAAGGAGAGTAGTTGAATAAAAATTTAAATTAACAAGACATCAAGTTTATTTGACTGATGAAAATCTTACTAATAGCAACCTTCATTTTATTATAACGCGCTTAGATAAATATTTTATTTATTAATCATGGCCAATTTTATTTTCAATTTGAATATTGCTCATTTCTATTTATTCTTAGGTAATTTATAAATTGCTTATAGCACATTCAACTTAAATGATGTATTTTGAACTGTTCTTTCTTTTAAGGTTAAAATTATTAATTTGATGAAAAGGAATAATAAATTTAAATGATTAATGAATCATAATTTACTAAATATTAATTCTGCACAAAATTTATCAATGAAATGCATATCTTATTATTTAATCCATTAATTATGGTTTTTTTTTAAATAAAAATTGAATGTTCGTTTTAATTCCATTTTAAACTGAATATTTAATTGAAACTCTAATCGAAAGATCAATACACTTTTATAAGAATTTTAAACCATTAAAAATAACTTACATGATTCAATATACTAAGAATATTTTTTATATAACCTATTATGAACATTATGTCTTACTTTGCTTAAAAAATTAAAAATTTGAAGCATATTGACTTAATTAGAATGAATATCAAAACGGAACTATTTTTATACAAATCTTGAAATAGATATTTGCCCTTTTAGAAAGTTTAATCTAATCTTGTAATAGTTATGATTTGATAAAGTTATAAATTTACATATCAATATATATTTATTTATACTATATACTAAAGTTTTTATATTTTATCAGTATCAAATAAATATTGGTTAAATAATAATCTTAATATAAGAAATTGTTTAATTCTAGTTAGATAGAAATAAGTTCCCCATTCAGCTTATTATTTTAAAGTTGAGATATCCACATTCCGAATTGATTTATTTTAATGATAATATAAATTAAAAGAGTATACCTAATAATCTCATACTTTATTGATTTCCATAAAAGATGATTCAATTTAGGTTTAATTGTTTTTGATTTTAAATAATTTAATTGATAGAGATATCAAAAAGAAGATAAAGAATAACAATAATAAAAATATCCATTGTATTCTTTTTGAGAATATTATGGCCAATAAAATTCTGCATAAAATAATGCTTTTATCAATCTATAGATATAATGATAATTAGTCCATTAAAAATTATCATTTCTAATATCCTATTTCAGACAGTGTCTCTCATTTATCTATCTTTTTTAAGATGGATAACAATTTGAATTTTCTAAGAAAACAATCCTATTTTTGCTATACAATATCTACCCATTGTGTAATAATATTTATTATAATAAATTTATCTAAATTCAGATATATATGAATTCTTAAGAATATGAAGGTTTCATGTTAATAGATGTTGATAGTTTGTACTTGAAGATTAAGTAATTTTAAGATAGCTAAGATTTGATTATTTTGAATGAGTCATGCATTCAAAAGGTAAGATGAGAATTATTAATATATAGATGGCTTAAAATGACTAATGGATAGATTGTTTAGGTGATTTGGAAATAGAATTAAAAGCAATACTATATGACAGAGTTATCAATATATCGAATTTACCTTAATATTTAAGTCAAAGATTATAACCATTCATTATATATATTATGAACAAAATGTATTATAATTTCTATCAATTAGAATATTTGATCATAAGCGATTGAAGTTGCAATGTTATCTAAATGAGATCTTGCATTTGATATAGAAATTGATATTTAAAATATGGAAGCTGTATCCTACTTAATTGCTTGAATTCTTGAAATTAATTCATTAAAATTAGATGATAGAATTCTACAATAGTAGAATTTCAGTATTAGAAGATTATAAATCTACCATAAACAAGTTCTATTATGAAAGATAGAAATATGGTATAATTAATTAGGCTGAGAGTTATCTTAATTAACAGGAAGTTGAAATATTTTATCCACTTCAAAATGAAGTTCTCGATCAACACCATTTAGTCAAGAATGTCCACATATTCTCACCATTTCAACGTATGCAAATTAATTACTTTTATAAGAATGGTGGTTTTGAACTTCTAAATGAATCTTTTACTAATTTTACACTCAAACAGATAGAGGTTTTATATATTTAAGGTTATTTAAAAATTTATATTGATAAATAATTATATATGAGTTACTTTCAACATCTTAATTATTAATAGATTGCTTTTAAATTAACTGATGAAGATATCAAAAATGCCAGCAAAGAAAATATAGAATAATTTAATTCATATATACCAAATCTAATAGATTTTAAGAGTACATATCAAGAGAGATAAAAAGAAATAGAATAAATTTAAATGTCCATATATTTGTAATGCTTTCGTTGTTCATCACTTCAGAAACGTATTTTTGGTAATTAGCATAAAATGTATTTTATTAGGATTGTAATAACTTTGCAAAAAGATTAACACTAATCATAGTATTATTCAAAATTATTAGAACAATTAAACACTCTTAAAATTTCTAATAGAGAATCAAGTATTTTAAGATTTATTTGGAGAGAAAACCCACCTTGAATTGATTAAAGGTTCATTTCCTTTAATTAAATTTCTTTATTAGAATAAAAGTATAAAAGGAGAAGAATTAATTAGTATTTTAAGATTGGCCAGAGGTAGACATGAAACTTGGATTAATATAATATCAACAATCTTATAGGATCTTGCAGAAATATTAAATTTAGAAGATATTTAGATAATGTTATAAAATATATAATCAAATTAAATAGGTTTAGATAGTCTAAAATTCATAAAAAGTTTGGGTAAAAATAAGTATTTAAATAATTATTCGGAAGATTAAGACTAAAATATTATTGATAATAGGTATAAAAAATAAAAGCTTAATGCTGATGATGATTGTAAAGTGATATCATATGGAAATTTTAGTGATTAAAAATAAGATAGAAATCATGTTTCATAAATAATCTAACCCTAATAGACAATGAGACATAAAGAAGAACAAATTAAAACTTAAATTGTTGAATACTTATTAAATTTAGTTCATGATTAACCTAATAATATTATAGGTCAGACTGCATTTGAAATTGCAATTGAACTTATATGTCATTAATTTTAATTTCTAAGAATCTAATATCTTAATATAGCTATAGAAGCATTAAATTCTAATCAAGACTAATTATCATTTTATTTTAATATGATTCAATAAATTATTTAATCCTCTTATCCAATTGAGCAATTCAAAAAATCTGATGAAATTTTAATTTGGATGGAGGAGAGATTTAATTTAAAATTAAATCATTTAAGATTGATGTAAAGATAAAAATTAAAATTTCTCTTAAAAGAGGAGAGTGTATACTTAAAGGTGATTATTTAATGTGTTAATTTCTATAAATTTTTACATAAGAATAGTAAAATTAATCAATATGAATTATAGATATTATGGAGATTGCTTGTAGAAAATGCAAGATATTTAGAAGAGAGAGATTTATTTTTTGATTGGTTTAATGAGTAATTAAATTTAGAGAATGATGCAATGGAATGGTTATTTATTAAAATAATTAAATAAAATCATTTATCAGAATCAATGCTAAAATGTTTGATAAATTTGATTTTATATTTTAATGTAAAATATAAGGTAATTAAATTATTGTATGATGACGAATATCAATTATTTGATTATAATTTAATAGGTCTCAATATATTATGGAAAATATTTCACTCTCAACCTGAATTATATAATTAACTTTATGATTTCTTGATTAAATTATTAAAAATGAATCAAAAACCTAATATACTAAATAGTTTGAAATAGTAATATTTAAATGAACTCTTTTCATGTATTCAAAATCCTACTTCTATTTAATTTGTAATACAATTATTAGAAGAATTTGAAGGATTTAAGATTATTGAATAGGAAGAAAAGATATCAATAACAATTCTTAATAACTGTTAAAATGCCTTGAATCCAAAGAAATAAGATATACAATTATAATGTAATTTATAAGTTTACCAGGCTAAATAAATTATAGGATAAAAATTAAATCCTTAAATGAGACCAGAAGAATTTGATATACTTTGTAGAGGTTCCTTATTTAAAGATCAAAATACACTTAAAGATTACAAAGTAAATTAGAATTTGACATTCACAATTTCAAATAAATATGATTTTAATTAAGAAGATGATACTATTTAATAAGAAAATTAAGACATAAATGAGAAAATAAACAAGATTTAAGATATTGTTAACATTTAAAATAAACAATTTATATTATCAGTATTAAAGGATAAGAATTTCAATGTAGATACTACAATAGGAGATTTAATTGATTAAGGTGATTAATTATATATGTAGTATCAATAGAAAAATGTAAGTAAAGCTCTTCCAAAAAAAATAGAAACAAGTACTTCTTTTGCATCATTAATTTCTAATTAATATATAGATTAATTATTTAATTTATTGAATTACAACAATCAATAAAGAAATGCTAAAATTTGGAGTATTTTATAGATGATTCCTCGTAATCCAAAAGTATATTAATTGATTGAATAATCACAAAATGATTGGAGTAAATTGTTAATTGTTGATAACAAATATAGATTACAATATCACTTATAAATATTAAAGGAATAATTGCTTTTTGATTTTGTGGAAGATTAGGATGTTTATAAAATATTGAGATACAATTTCTTATCTAATGGTGGTTTACAATTATTATTAAATAATCTTGATAATCCTATAGAAATAGTACTTATAATATTGGAGATACTTCAAATGTATTTAAATAGTCATGCTATTAATGAACTTAGAGATTATAATTATCTTATGCTTCTTAAATTAAAATCAGTCGATTAAATTATTAGTTTGTTTTCTACTTAAACTTAAATATAAGATAATCAATTTTAATAATCTAAATAATTTTAAGTATTTTATTTTTGTGAAAAACATGATGTCTAAATTAACTGGGAGAACTTGTTAAATAGTTTATTTCATTGGATAGGAATTGAATAATGTTACACTATAATACTCTGTTTACTCTATGTTAAACCTAATTTATTGAATTACCCATTACCAATCAATTAATTGCTTCATTTATTGAATAATTCTAAGTTAGAACAAAGAAGAATGGCAGCTATATTTATACTTACATTGAATGATATATGCATAAAAAATAGACAAAACTTTAGCATCAAATTCTTACCAATACTGATACAAGGACAAACTGAATATGAAGAGTTGTTTATTGTTATTGCAGAATTAATAGATTAAACCTAAGATATATCCTTTTTGTAAACTAAAGAATTAGTACTATAAATTTTAGATTTCATAAAAAATAGATAAATAAATGAATCACCATTTATTGAAAATGAGGATAAAGTATTATAAGGTAATTTATTGTTATTAAAATCTTTATTAAAGAAGGATGATTAATTATCATTTAATCTAATTGAAATTGATTTCTCTAAATATATCTATGAATGTTTGTTTGAAATGAAGAATAATTATTCTATTTATCCAGTATATAAAAGGAATAATACAAGAAAGAGAGCTTTTGATTTATTATTAGAATTAAGTAAAGTCTAAAATCATTTAAATTAAATTCTATAGTTAATTTAAATAAATCAACATAAAAGACCTAATTTAGAAGAATCTAATTTTGATTATGGTATAAAAGGATCACATGGATATGTAGGTCTCTAAAATTTAGGAGCTACTTGTTATATAAATTCACTTCTTTAGTAATTATTTATGAATATCCATTTTCGAAAATGTATTTTAGATGTTTAAATTCTAAAATAGAACAATCTTAAGATAAGAATAATAAAAATAAATAATGCTAATACTAATTAACATATTAATCTAAATGAAAATACATTATATTAGTTATAATTAGTTTTTATTCAACTTTAAGAATCAGTAAAATAATACATTAATCCAAATTAATTTATAAAGACATTGAAAGGTTTTGATGGATAATAAATTAATCCTTTAATTTAAGAGGATTGTAATGAATTCTTTAATTTGTTAACAGGAAAATTAGAATTAGATTTAAAACCTACACTTTAATCTAATCTAATAAATTAAAGTTTTGGAGGTACTTTAGTAAATGAAATAAAATCATTGGAATCAGATTGTGATTTTAAGAAAGAAACAGAAGAACCCTTTTTAACTGTTTCTGTTGAGATCAAAAATAAAAAGAGTTTATATGAAGCATTAGATTTATTTGTTAAATCTGATGTTTTAGATGGTGAAAATCAATATTTTTGTGATGAAGTATAACGTAAAATTGATGCAGAGAAGAGATGTTACTTTATAAAGTTACCTAAAACATTTATTTTCCATTTAAAAAGATTTGAATTTGATATTAATACTAATACTCGTAGTAAAATTAATGATTATTGTGAATTTCCATTAGAAATCAATATGTTCTAATGGACTCGTGATAATATTGTAGAACATAAATAATTAAATGATTTTACAGAGTATAAATATGTATTGAAAGGTGTTCTTGTTCATACTGGAAGTGCTGAAGGAGGTCATTACTTTTCTTATATAAAAGATCACAAAGATGAATGGTTTGAATTCAATGATAAATTGATTACTCATTTTGATGTATAGAATTTAAGGGAAAAATGTTTTGGAGGTAATTAAAATAATGAATGGGGTATATAAAATAGTAAGAATGCATATATGTTATTTTATGAGAAATAATGTGTGATGAAAGAAAATAAATAAAATCATATAGAAATTGAAATTGAAGATGTATCAGAAAATAAATAAATATTAAGAGAATAAATTATAAAAGAAAATACAAAATATATAGAAAATAAATTGTTTAATGCTTAAGAATATGTGAATTTTGTTAAAACACTTGTATAAAGTGGTATGAAGAATTATCAATTTGAAACAAGTTTAGAATTACTTTAATTATTTACTACATTCACTTTTTCTTAGTTTCTAAAAAATAAAGATATCTTTTAATTTAAAAATAACCTCAAAGTTCTCAACAATTTTTATAATCAAAATAATTAAGCTTGTGTATGGTTACTTGAATATTGGAGATGTAATAAATAAATATTGATTGAATGTTTAATTGAATATGAATTAATTGAAAGTGTTTAATTGATAAATTTAGTCATTGATTAGGCTTATCTATTGGATATTTTTATATTATAGAAATTCTTTTAGTTTTATTTAAGTGAATTATTACCTATTCTAAGAAATAATAATAAGAATAGAATATGTTATTATAGAGTTATCAGTTATTATTTAGAAAGGACTGATGTTTTATTTAATTAGATATATTAAGATGGTTATTTCTATATATTTTATGAAATTTTAAAAGAGAGAATACAATAAATATAAACTAATAATTATTTCAAAATAATATTATAAAATGAAGATTTTCTTATTATAATTTGTGAGATTATAAGTAAAATAATTAGATGTTGTGAGACATTTGGTATGTCATCCAATAAAATTTGTCCAACATATATATAGATTGGATCATTAAATTATAAAGTCGATTAATTATGGATTGAAGAATTGTTTTAATAAAATTAATTTAGAAAGTATATCTTATCCATGGTTTAACATTAAAATTAATTGATTTTTATGATTAAACATATATGTTGGTATGATTAAAACATTAGTCAAAAAGTCATATAAGAAATTGTTATACAAATATAGGACAATTAAAATTAATGGTAATAGTTGGAGAAGATAAGTGAAATATTAATAGAAATCTTGAAAATAGAAGATGGATTATAAGAGAAAAGAATTAATTGGATATTCTCATATGAAAATCCATTTATGGAAACATCAAAAAGAGGTACAACTATATTAAATACTATCTAAAAAGATGATCTTGATTATGTTATTGGAATTATATGTATGTTAGCTGAAATAGGTAGTAAAGTTATTAGTTTCTCTCAATATTTAAATACAAATAAAAGGGATTTCGAATATTTATTGTATAAATTAAAAGATATCTTAAAATAATAATTTAATCACTTTTAATATCCAATTTAAAAGATGCAAACAGCCATAAAATAGGTAATTTATTTTTTTATCATTAGTTTCAAAATATCTTTGAATTATAATTTGATATCAATATGGATGATGATAATAGAAGATAATCAGAAGAAGAATCTTTAGGTTAAAGTAATTAAGCACATTAAGATTAAGAAGATACTAATCAAAATTTCTGAATGATTTAAAATATATATATAATTAATAATATTAATTAAATGGCATCTGCTTTTCCAAAATTGCCAGGTTTTGTACCCACTCAAGATATAGATGTAATTTAATAATAATAATTTGAAATTAGAAACCAAATTTCAGAAAAGTCTCTTCTACTAAATAAGAATAAAATAGAGATATCAATCATCTACCTAATAAGGAATATGCAGTACCTCGTAAATAACCAATACAAATACCACCATAAACAGGAATGTTTAATCCTGATTATATGAGTACAACTCATGCTATGCATCTTCCAAAAGTATAAAAAACAGTTACACTCTTAGAATGTAACTAATGATTCTGAAGAATTATATTAACCATCTTGGGTTAAAATGGATAGACATGTTTTACGATTTAGTGGATATTTCAAAGAAGCAGTTGTTGAATCAGCACTTGAAAATTATAGAATTCGCAAAATTACTATTTGTTACTATCTTGAAGATCATTCATTAAGTATAACTGAACCCAAGTAAGAAAATAGTGGAGTACCATAAGGAGCATTCTTAAAAAGATAAAAAGTATAATTTATTTAATTATTAATAGGTTTTACGTGCTGATGATTCAAAGACCTTTATACTTCCTCAAGATTTTAGAATTAATTAAGATATCATTATTTATGGAAAGACAATACGTCTATATGATTGTGATCAATATACAAGAGAGTTTTATGAGGTAGTGGATGTTCTTTAATCTCACTTAGTTATAAGGAATACCTCAAGAATCTTCTTTTGTACCACAGTCTGATTCATTTGAAACCAAGACAATGACTAAATTTATTCCTTAAAAAGATACTGTGATGAAAGATTATTTAGAACATAAATTAGGAGGTGGTCGTGTGACATCCTAAAAGTAATTTTTAGAGAATGATAGAAAGGTTTTTTTATTTAATTATATAATATTTTAGGTTCTTAAATTCTATGTATTCTCAGATATTGAATATATTCTACACTACTATTTAGCAGATGATACAATAGAAATTAAGGAAATAAATTCAGCTAATTCTGGAAGAGTTCCATTCCCAATGATGTTGAGAAGATAAAAATTACCTAGAAAGTTTTCACTTAATCAACCTGGATAAACATATGCTGAAGATTTCATTAGACCATAAGATATATAATTTGGATAACCTCTAATCATATATAATCGCAAATTCTAAATTAATGGTTGTGATTAATTTACTAGATCTTATTATTTTGAAAAATTTAATGTAGATTTTCCATTAGGAGGTTAGGAAGAATATGTATAATAAGAAAGATCAAGTAATAATAATTTAAATATATTTATTTAGATATTATTATACCTCCTCATAATGGTATTGGAGATGAGTAAGATTCACTTGGATATATATATAGATTATAACCTATACCACCAAAGAAAGATTTCTTTAAATGGGTTGATAACTAAGTAAATCTTAGATTTTTAGCTATGTTCAATACAACTAAACCAGAAGATAAAGATAGAGTATTTGTAATAACTTTCTTTTTAAATGATGATAGTCTTTTAGTCTATGAACCAACTGTAAGAAATTCTGGTATTTGATATTCTAAATATTATTAGGAATACCTGATGGGAAATTTTTAGAAAAGAGAAAATATAAAAATATCAATAATAACAATGAATTTTTCACTCCAAATGATCTTATAGTTGGAAATGAAGCTATAATAAATGGTTGGAGATTCTAATTGCTAGATTGTGATGAGTTTACTAAGAAATGGTATGCTCAAAACTTCAAATGAGATTTATTAAATAAATAATTTCACACATAAATTAATGTTTAGCAGTTAAACAGCATTTATTCCAAATGCTTAATCTAGATATGTTATATCTCCAAAATTAGGATTATCAGTTAATTAGAATTTGCAATATAATCATAAACAATTAGAATAAGAGAATAATAATTCAAATTCATCTGAACATTTACATCTTCATTTACATCATTTAACTAAACTTTATTTTATGATGTTATTATGCTATTTCATTGCCTTATTTAATTTAGTAGAATATTTATTATACTAACTAGATTGATTTTGAATCCATGAATATATTCTTTAATCAAAATGGATATTTTCTTTATTTATTTTTAGGAGCACTTTTATTAATATCAATATTATCTATTAATATAGATAATTCAATACTCTATATTATATTTTTAATACTATTCTACTTTTTATTTGCTTGTATAAAAGCATTGAATAATATGAATATAACATTAATGATGATATTCACATATGGAGGATAAGTATTAGCCTAATTTTTGAGTGTCTTATCATCTAATAATGAGAAAGATATTTAATTACATCAATAATCTTTATATATTTTAACAAGTGGTTTGATAGTTTTTTAATTGTTCATAACTTGTTTTGATATTGATTTCTTTAAAATGATTATCATTTTAATAACAGGCATTGTTTTTGGGTATGTTATTATCAAAATTATTACTTATATATAGATTCTTTTTGGTGATTTCAACAATGAGTAAAGATTCCAAATTTAATGGAAATGCTTTGCCTGAAAGCATCAGTATATATACAAAAATCTTAGTATAAATTCTAAAGAAATCTTAATAAATTGCCACTCTATATTACAAAGATCCTATAGAGATGGAAATAAAATTAATTGAAAGAAATAAGAAGATTGATGAGAATGATTATAAAATGATGAATCAATGTGATGCCAAGAATTATCAACATTTGTTAATTAATACATTAAATGGTTTAGATGGATTGATAGGATTAAGTGATGGCACCTTCATTTATAAGAAAGGAATGATTTAATATTCCAATTCTAAATTTGAAGAATGCACAAATGTGGCCATAATGAAATTATAATGATTAATAAATTATTATAAAATAATTGTGGCCCAATTCTCACTTTACAATACAACTAATTCTAAGGGGATTAAAATATTAATCGATCCATTCCTATTTCAAATTTGGAACTTCACCATTTCTCATAGCCACAATTTACATGAACTAAGATGCTATCTTTTCAACATGTTATGTATGTTATGCAGCATTCTCTTTTTTCCGTATACTCATATTACACATTCTAGTTGTATATGAAATACCCTTATTATCAAAATACTAAGTAATCTATTGATATGCTTATCTATTAATGTATGCAAATCTCATTTTCAATTCTTCTACCTCTTAAGTTTCTTTAGGTAACATGAAATGATATGATAGAATTTAACTCTATTTAATCTTTATCTTATCCATTTCAGTAATCATCTCCCATTTTTCAATTGGTTCTGTAGTAAAGTATTTGTGTTTCTTTTTCATTAAATCCTAAAACTCTTTTATATATCTAGATTAAGCTTTATTTCTATTGGAAATCAATTCAACACATTGATTCTACATATCCCTTTAAAATCTAAAGAACTCATATAGATTTTCATTTAAAGTGTTAGCTAACTTGTTTAAATTAACACCCCAATCTACTAAATATTCTTCTAGTAAAGTATATACAAATTCTAATAAAGGAAGACTACCAACAATATTTTTTAGATTGAATGCTTTTGTAGCTTCTTTTAATGAACCAATGCTGCCTGCTAAATTCTTAACTTTAAGAATGAAATCCTTCATAGATTATACAAGAAATCTAGAATTATCAGTTAATTCTTTATAAATATCATTAGTATTTAACATATAACTATTGATAAATGTTATTATTACTTATTAATATCCATAAAATATTTATCCATCATTGGATTGAATTCTAAAATGACTTAACCTTCTTAATTAGCATAATCAGTATATTTAGTTGGTTATTTCAAAACAGTAGAAGCAGCTAATAATTGTTTAAATTTGATATCATCTTCTATGAATAAAAAGCCTTCAATAAAATCAGATTATCTTAATAGATGATTATTTAAAATAGCACTTAAAAATTATTCTAACATTTTGCATCTTTTAGAAATGTGTTCAGGTGTGAATTTTCTGAATAGAGTTTTTGCAGGAAGTGGTGGTATCAAACTATCAGGATATTATTATTGTAAGGATTCTTATAACCAATAAAAGTGTTCGACTCTTCTCCAAACATTAGAACCAAATTATCCAACAACAACACAATAATTTACATAATTTGGTGTAAATGTATTACCTTCTATTATCTTATATTCAGCAATTCTAGGTTATATAATAATTTAAGGATTTTCAACATAATATAGAACAATTCGATTAGGAGGTAATTGTTTGCATGAAATTGTCTCTCTATAATTTTTTTCATCATTTATTATTACATTTGGTTTAAGTAGAATCTCTTCTTCTATACTCATTGTTCTTATGATATCTTGTATTTTTACCTTGTCCTTCTGAATTCATCATGCTTTTTCTCTATCATTAATTTAATTTCAGCTTCTAAGGCTTCATAAGTCCATGAATCAATTAAATCAAATTGTTCTCCTTTTACTTGATTCAAATGTTGAATTAATTCCTCTTTAGGTATTTTCTCATAAAGGACAGCTGAGAGCAACAAATCCTATTTTTTGAGTCTTTCAAATGTTAAACTCATTGAATACGCAAAATTTAATATTCCATAAAACAATAACATATGTATTTGGATACATTTAATAAATAATTTTATATTCATTAAAATTTACGCATTTTTATTATAAAAACTAAATAATCCTCTTTCTAATTTATTATTTTTCTGACAATTTAAATAAATTAATGAAACAATCCTTTTAAATCAAATCAGACATGTATTTATTATTATATACTTTTAAGATAACTTTGCTTTAAAATTGTGTTTTTGGGATCTAGTTCGGTTGGGAAAACATCTATAATTAAGAGATTCCTTAAAAATGAATTTGCAATGAAATCTATGAGTACTGTAGGAGTAGCATGTGTATTAAATTTTGCTTTAGTTAAGGAATCAAAAGTAATTACTATAAACAACCAATAAGTAAAGGTGTAATTATGGGATACTGCAGGATAAGAGAGATTTAGATCTTTGACTAAGAATTATTATAGAGGTTGTGATGCAGTAGTGATAGTTTATGACATATCAAATATGAAAAGTTTTGATTAAGTAAATGGATGGATAGCTGATTTTGAAGAGTATATAATTAATTAATGGAATTAGCAAATGTGAAAGACCAGCAATAAAGATATTGTTAGGAAATAAAATAGATTTAAGTAGAGAAGTGGGAATTGAGTTGGGTCAACTATTTGCTAGAAAATAAAAACTATTATTTAATGAAGTATCAGCAAAAGAGAATATTAATATTGAAAATGTTATGATAAAGTTAATAGAAATTTTGATTGAAGCAAGATAAATAGATTCTGGTGATAAAATAGTAAGAAGAGGATCACTTGTAGAAGGTAAATCAACAAATGGAGACATGTCAAATAGTGGAATAAGTAAATCTACAAGACCTGTATCATACAAACCACCAGAAAAAGATGTCTCAATATCTGATACTTCTAAATTATAAGCTATTAAATCTGGTGGTGAAAGTTCATAAGAAGAATCTCCTTATACTTCTGGTGCTGTATTATAATAGACATCTCCTCCTACTATTATTGTTACTCCACCTGAAGATGTCAATGTTGTTAGTCAAGATGATAATAATATGTGGTTATATGATTCTAAATAAAATAAAATGATGAAAAAGAAATCAAATTGTGTAAGTACTTTAGCTGTTCCTTTAAAATTAGTACATCCAAGAGAATCTGAAATGATTAGGGATGAATATCTGTTAAGACATAATATCAATCAGAGTTGTTTCTGTTCATGTTGATTATATTTTAAAATCTCTATTAATTAATTAACAAAGAAAAAAAAGATTTAAAAAATTATTTTAAATAATATGCCAAAGGGATAGACAACAACAACATAAAAAGCATAAAAGGCTGCTAAAAATACTAGAGTTGCAAAAAAGGTTATTAGAGCTAGAACTCATTTCCAAAATAGATTCCATACAACTAAACCTTTGGCACTTGAAAGAAAACCTAAATTTACAAGATTGACAAGATAATTGAAACCAATAAATAAAGGTTTAGATTTCTAAAATGTCCTTAAACATCCACTTATTACAGAAAAAGACATGAAAAAGATGGAAGATGAAAATACTATGGTCTTTTATGTCAATTAAAAATCAACAAAACCATAAATTAAAAGAGCATTCTCTAAAATTTATGATGTTAAAGTAAGAAAAGTCAACGTAATATATAAATGCCTATATTCAGATCTTAAATACCTTTGGAGGCAAAAAGAAGGCATACATTAGATTAGGAGGTGAAAATGATGCACTTAATTTGGCCAATAAAATAGGAATCATTTGAGTGACAAAGTCATTTTATATTGCATAGTAAAATATATATATTATTATTATTATTATTTATATTATTCGTTAAATTTATGAACACTACTATCCGTAAATTATATACTTTCAAAAAGAAATAAAAGAGTTTCGATAAAACCTTTGGTGTTAAATATGTTTAAGATATACTCAACAATATAATTGTTTAGAAAATTGACTTTTCAGTACATTCTGAAATATGCAAAACTGAAGAAGATCTTGATTTAGATGATTTAATCATTAATGAAATCTCAAAAACAGAAGGACCTGAAGAAGATATTCAAATTAATGATGATTTATCACAAAAATTAAATGATCTAGTAAGTCCCAGAAAAAAATTAGTTACTTTTGATTCAGACAACTATAGACTTATTTATAGATTAAAGAAATCTAAATCCAAACTCATTGTTGTACCTTGTAAAGTATCTAAACGAACATTTAAAATGACAGAATAAGATCTCTAATTTCAATAATTATTTGATTAATCCACTTATTAATTTTAACCTCCAAATGAATTAGACTTTTTAATACCTTTTAATGAATTTTATCAGAAAATAAATGAAATCGTGCTTAATCAATTGTGAATAGATATTTTATTAATATTAAAAACTTATATATTAATAAAATCTACATATCTTTAAAATAATAAATTCTAATCATCTAAATTTTGTAAATTTATCAATCTTCTATATGAATATTTATATATTGAATTCTTACCTAAACTTATTGTCATGTTCATTTATTTTAAATTAATAATCAATTTATATTAGTACGATAATTAATTGGATTTGTTAATTTAATTGAATAAGCAAAGCATTTTTGTTTATTTTTTTATTTGTTGATTTATTTAACTCTTGTTTAACTCTAAATATAGAAAGATCAATAAGTATTAAGTTGAATCATATATTTAGTTTTTCATTTCAAATTGGAAGTACTTTCTTTAATTATCATATATTTAACATTTGATTAGATATTTGAATAGTCAAATGATATTACTATTTTGCACGTGATTAAATATTATGAGATTGATCAAACTTAATTAAGTTAGATTAATTCTTATACAATAATACATAATATCTATCAATTAAATAAAACTTCATTAGTTGAAATATAAAATGGAAGCACTTACATACTTCTCTACAACCATGCATGATTATAGGCCTGTTATGCTGTATATCTCTCTCGAGATAATCGTTTAACAAGATTTTCAATAAAATCCCTGAGATCTCTAGATGCTGTGTATGGTATCATAAAGCATGCCTATATTAAAGATATTGATACTGTTTTCATCAATTCTTATTGATTCTCTTTCCATGGAGGCTTGCCAAAACAAAGTTCATAAGTTAATACTCCTAAACCCCATATATCTATCTTTTTATCATACATATCACCCTCTAAGATTTCAGGAGATGCATATATCAATGTCCCACATTAGGTTTATCTGTATTCATCTGGTGAATATACACAAAATGAGAAGTCTGCTAATTTGACTTATCCAAAACTCAATAAGATATTGTCTGGTTTAATATCTCTATGGATGACATCCTAATTATGAATGTACATTAATGCAAAAGTAATCTATTAAACTAATTAAGCTGCCTCTTTTTCAGTGAATTTCTTATTTTATTTAGTCTATTAAACAGTATTCAATTGTCCATGAGAACAATATTCTAATACTAAAACGATTTCAGTTTCTAAGCAGGTATTTTATTAATCTTACAAGTTTAAAAGAAAGTATACAATCTTGTGATATTGGGATGTTCTAAAAGATATTAGATTTTGATTTCCCAAGCCAATTAACCTTACATCATCTCTTTGATTATTAATGCTTTCTGTATGACTTTTAATGCAACCAAGAATCCTGTCTATATCTAAATTGCCAAAAACACTTCACTATACTTACCCACACCTAATCTCTTGATTATCTTAAAATTCTTATATTTTGGCATCTAATCTTTCTCTAACTCAGAGTTTACTTATACCTTTATAAATTTACTAATATCCATACATTTTGACTATCGATTTTGTTGTTATTACTTATAACACTCATGTTTTGGCTCTATTCAATTGGAAATGTAATTTGTTCACATTTTTTTGGAGTTAAATATTCAAGTTTGCTTTTTAATGTCTATTGTTGCACCATTGATTTTTGAGAAACAAGTAAAGGAGAACTAACTAAGTTCTTAACATCTGTATCTGTTTTTATGATGCCTGTATTAGTATTTGATTATGGATATCTTGTCTAAGGATCTGATGGTCGATGTCCATATGTATTTCTTGATTTCTATAATACAGAATCAACATAAGAGAGTATATTTGGATTCTATGGAGGAGTATTCCCTAATCTAGAGTAAGGTCGATATGGTTAGTATGGATTATTCATTCAGTTTTTTTCACTTTGATTTATATAAAAATTATACTATTATCAAATTGATTAATTCTAATTTATACACTCTTTTAATTTGTATTAACAAGCGACATGATAATTTTCATGTAATGAATAATTATAACTAACATGTCTTATTATCTCTTTTTTTTAATAATACATATACTTTTTTATTCTTTATAGAATTCTATAGATATGATAATATATAATATCTCTATCATTTTGAAATACTTATCATATTATAATTAATATTATTTTATTTCTTTTATTTTAAAAGTATTATAATTCTAATTGATGATATCAACTTTTTTAATAGGAACTTTTACTTAAATTAATTATTTATTTAATTAAATATATATAAATCAATTAAATTACTAAAATGTTTATTCAACATTTGTAGGGTCTTCTTTCTCTTCCCTCTTTCTTTTTATATGATTCATATACCAACCAACAATTATTATAATCAATACCACAATTAAAGTAACCAAGATCCAAATCCATGTATTGGAATCAGAATCCATTTAATTAATTGTAAAAGTAGAACCACCAAGAGGGTAATCATAATCTTCACAAATCACTGCAAAATAATCATAATTATCTCTTGGATCTATTTTTATATAGAAAGTAGTGTAATAGTTAGCGAATGTCATTTTATTATAACCAGATTAAATATAATCTTTTGGTCTCTCTTCAATAGAGTAATAATATGAACTCAATTTAAGAAGCTCTTTATCTTCTTAATGGCCAATATTAATTAAAAAGTTTGCTTATTTTATTAATGATCCATCTCTTTATAAAACCATAGGAATATCGATAATAAGGAATCCATTCTCAGATTTATACTTTACAGATTAATTGTTATATGTCATAAGAGAGTTAGCCTGTAAATCACTCTATTGATATTATGTCTATGATAATTATGAAGTTATACTGAAAATCTGTATTGAGGAAATATGGCTCCACCTTTTGATCCATAAGCTATGTATGTTACTGAGGGTGCTGAAAAGTTTTCACTCAAATAATCATAAAAGAAATATGTTCCAGGTATAGGTTATATTTCAATTAATTTTCCATCTTCTGAGACTCTAGCAAATTGAATTGGACCTTGAAATGACAAAAATGAAATTTATGTGGCATATGTAGATTTAACAGTGAAATTCTTCATCTAATTTATTTCTAGTACTCCATATTGATCATCAGAGTATGCAAAAATAACTGTGATGAATAACAATATATATTTATTAATCATAATATTAAATTGATTGTAATTTTTAGAATATTTTTCTAAATATTAATGTCACTACATGTAATATTTTTCCATATGCATTCAAGTGAAGAAAATCAGAATTTACAATACTATATTATACTATAACATATAATCAATTAAGAAAGTATATCTAGAATACGTATAATAGATATAATTCTTATACTTAATATTACCCCATTATGATTACCATTATGCATATATAATAAAAAATAATTACAAATGGTAGTAATATTAAATATATTTGATTATAACATATAGATTATTACTATTAATCATAATGGATTCTTTTTAGTAGTTTTAAGGATACATTTATTTATATAGAGGTATGACCTTTATTTCTTACTTCATTATAGATCATTATTTGATATTTAAATCAACAATAATTATTAACAATCCATATTTGATTCTATCAATCTCTATAATAATTCATGAATTCAACTATTTATCTTTAAATAGAATATTAAGATATTTATTTAATAAATCCTTAAAATTCATTGTTAATAATTCATCCTGAAAATTATTTCAAATAAGATTAAATTATAGTAATCAAAATTGACTAAATCTAAAATTTTATATTTTATAAATCTAATTAATGAATTTTTCAATCAAAAATCATTTTAAAGGAATAATACTATTATTTAGATTATTTAAATTTAATTACATATGTTTATTACAATTATTTTGAAATCATACTTGAATACTATATATTCAAAGTACTTATCCTTTTTGTATTACTTGATAAATATTTAAAATTATTTTGTATTATGAGATATGTAATTATATTGTAATGAATACTTTCATTTTACATATTCAATTTCCAAAACCTGAGGCTTCTTTAAAATTTCTCATAACTTAATTATCTGAATTGTTATCCCATTAAGCCAATTCTATACGTTCCTACATTTTATTTAGGGTCTCTTTAAGCATATCTGCAAATTCTAATGACATGTCATCAATCTTCTTTCTTAATTCTGCAATATCCTAATCCTTTTTCTTCAATTTCTCTTCATAATTAGCTCGATAATCAGTTATCTACTATTCTTTGGTTTCTAGAGATATATATATATATATAAATATTTACTAATAACTTCATCCTTTTCTTTGACAGTAGCATTCAATTCATTGATATCTTTAAGTAATTCATCTTACATTTGCTTATACTGTCTATTCATATCTGTACTGATATTGAATAACTTTTCCTTCTCTCCTTTGAAGTCCTTATCCATACTTAAATATTTTTATTGTAACTGCATCTCTTATGTTTTGGAACGATCAGCTCTCATTTGTTCCTCAACAATTCTCATTTATAATCTTTTGGCTTCAAAATCAAGCATCGTAATCTTGGCTGCATTATTTTATGCTCCATCATCTTTCTATTTTTTAGGAGGCATTGTTATTTATATATAAACTATAATAATATATATAAATGATTTAAATATATAATAATATATTAAACAAAAAGGATGTAAAATGTTTATTTAACACAAATAAATATATATATATATATTGACTGTTATATTTCAATGCTTATGGTGTTTCCTATTATATATTCAAATTATACTTGCTATGCTTTCTTGATTTACTCTTCTCTTTTTCTTTCTCCTTATCCTTCTTTTTCTTACTACTCTTTTTCTTACTCTTTTCTCTTGAATTCTCTCTACTCCTTGATCTCTCCTTTTCTTTCTTATCTTTTAACTTCTCTCTTTCCTTCTCTTACTCCTTGTCTTTTGCAATATCCTCCTTAAATTCTTACTTCCGAGCTTCCTCCTCTAATATCTTCTCCAATACTAATCTACGCACCTATAATTTCTGCAATTCTACTCTAATTGTTGAAAAACCTTAATGAATTCTTCCATCTAAATGTGTTCTAATAAATAGAATAAGACTCAATAAGATACTTGACTTTGTTTTCTGTTTCATAAAGAGATTGTCTAGCTCCACAAACCTCACAAATTTTATATGTTTTAAATGGATTGTTTGTACCCTCATATGCAAGTAATACATCTTCTCTAGCCTTCTTTAAATTGTCTGCTTCCATTATCAATCTTTCAGATTCCTCTATCTTACCTTATTCCCCCATCTTTTCACTTTAATCTGTCAATAGATTAATCTATCTTTCCATATTGTCAAGTCTATCTTAAATTTCCTTAGGTCGATCAGCCACTTATAGTTTGCTTGATTATTCAACTTACTCTTCATGTTTGGTCAATATCTTGTCTACTTCCTTCAACTTATCTTGGATGTAAGCTAATATAATTATCAGGTTCATACTAAACCTATTGCTTCTTCTATGTATTTCTTCTCTCTCTACTGCTTTTTTAAACTCTTATCACTATTGAATTCATTAATAAAGAATTGATCATGTCTCTTATTGCACTCTCCCTCATGATCATACTTAGTATGCTTCCAAAGATCATTAAAACACTTAGACACTAGTATATTCTTGCACACATCTTCATTCCAATAATGAGCATCATTTTTCCTTTTACTTGCAATTACATTTCTCTCCTTTCCAAATAATTCATCGAGGATTGCTCGAGAATCTTCGCACATTAATTTGTTAATTAAAATATTTTATACATATATATTTTACCCTTCAAAACTGAATATTATAATAATAATCTCTTATATCTCAAATTAACTTTATAGTTGATTCACCAATGGCTAATATCTTATTTTAAATAATGCAAAAATCATAAACTTTAAATAATGGAATTTATCTGCATTGATTATTCAACAAATCCCATTCATATAAGTTTTATTTCTAATTAATCACACATTTTTTATCTAAAAATAGACATTTATTGATTATGTCTCCCTTTATTTTGCAGATTTATGCTAATTTCAAATCTCTTATTATCCATTCTGATTGAGCATTTAAAAATAAATACTATTAAGAAAATCTTATCTACTTGATAATGCTTGGTCTACAATCAGCTATTAATCAAAATATTCAGAAATACCTTTCTAAATCTATTAAAATGTCACAACATCCCATACTTCAATCTGATTCTTATTATTTAGAACATACAATAGATCTGGATTTGGCATACCAAATACATCAGCATTGAATTACTATTAAAATTAAATCTTCAATAAACGTTTAATGTTTTCATCATATACACTAATGCCAGTACTTTGATTCTAATCATCGATTCTTTTAGGTGCAAAGAGATTGAATTATTGAGAAGGAGGATTATGAAAATCATAACTAAAAACAGAACGATTCTAATATAATTGACAACTCTTATATTTTTCAACTAACATCTCTGATTCATTATAATCATTATTTATAAAGTTCCATTTAACCAGTAAAGGATAAACACTCTTTGAGATCTTGAGAATAAATTATATAGTAGAATCATTAAGAAACATGACACTCTTTATTTCAAGATTATCAATCTCTTTTCTTCTCTAAAATTCTAATTTATTGTCAAAGGGATAGATTTCTATTTCTATATGGAAAATCACTTCTTCATCGTAAAGTAATCCACACTTTTGAACAACAGCTAGAAATTATTAATTTGGACTTGAACAACAATGTAAGACTTATTTTACTCTAGCCTTATAAAAGAATTGCTTTTCTAAATTAGTATTCAATATAATGAAATCTTTTTTAACTTTATGTTCAGCAATTATGATTTCTTAATTCATTTTAATTAAAGAATAAACACCAGGACAAAATTTGACTTCAAAAGTCTTTATTTTTGTACCCAATACTATATTCCAACTTGTCACTACTGCATTCTTACTAATAGAAAATAGTTGATTATTTGTATAACATAAACCATGATGAATATCATCTTTTGATGAATTCAAAATGATTTAAACTACAGCTTATTTATTAGATTAGAATTTTGTAATCACAATTTATCCATTTGAAGCAAATGCTACTGAATCATATGAGATGGGTATCCAACATGTTACTGCACAACCATATGTAGTTTATAGTTCCTCCAATTAATCATTTACAAAATCAATAATAAAGACTTCTCCTACTTTTTTTTATTTACCAAATACTAATCCATTTTATAGCATAAGTAAATCATCACAATCATCAAATTTCTCAGATAGTACTTTTTATAATTCAATTAATTTGTTGGTTTTTGATTAGATATTATTATACTTTGGTTCCATTTCATTAGGTTTTCCTAAATTGGATGTTCTCCATAACATAAGTTCCCCATCTTAGACACCTATGATTCTAGGTATGTATATGACACTACCTTGGATTAGGATGATTTGATACACAAAATGCTGTAAGTGCTTATTCAATCAAAATTGTCTTTTTGTTGGTTTCTGGTTCAATCATCATTAAAATGTCTCCAAATAATAAATAGATTTTATCATAAACTGCCACTAATTAATAAGGCATATTCTCTATTAATCCCTTGTATTCTTTTTTTAATTTCATTTCCTAGTCCCAAATTGCTAATGAATCTGATCCAGCTGTATCACACAAATACCCATTAAATGCTATAAGATTATTCATAGAAGGCTCTAAATAATCTTCACTAATTGGAATCTAATTCTTCAGAATGATATTACTTGATCGAATTATTAATCTTAAACAGTAATCTTCAATTCTAAATTTAATGATTCCAATGAAGTCTATTAAAATTATTGACTCTGTTTTTTATTCACATTAAACTTCTTCTTTTATGGTATCTCAATACCAGGAGGTGGGCCAATTTGATTATCATCATCATCACCTAATCCAGGAGGCGGGTTCATTATTTAATTTATTCTTTAATTACAGAATAGGTACTTGTTATTTATATCTTATTATTAAATAATATTCATTATTTGTGATGTTTTTTGCTCTTATGATTACTTCTATGATGCTTTTTTCCTTTGCTCTTTGACTTCTCTTAATCATTAAAATCATAATTTGGTTATATTTCTCCAGGTTCTGGTTCATGCTCTTATTTCACATTTTTAGATTTTTCTGGTTCAACTTGACTAAGATCTTGTCTAACAGAGCCCTCTTCCTTTGATTTCTTTTCCTTTTTTTCTTTTTTTTCCTTCTTCTTTTTCTTCTTTCTTTCACTTTAATCTTTTTCAGATGTCTATTATTATTAAATTGGTTCTTCTTGAATTTATGTAGATTATTATTATTATTATTATTATTATTATTATTATTATTATTATTATTACTATTATTATTATTATTACTATTATTACTATTATTATTATTAAATCTATTACACCTATTACACCTATTAATTCACTATTGGTACAATAGGTATTTGCTATTATTAAGTTTGTTATTATTATGATTATAATTACTAAAGAGTTGCTACAAATGATTCATATTGTGCTTTCTTTTATTCTTCAACCAATCCTGCTAATTTTGGATTCTCTTGAATCTTTTAATTGATAATTGGTAACATTTCTTCATAAGATTTGTAATCAGGTAATGATTTTAGTAATTTAATGTATCTTTTACACATCTTCTTATATCTTTTGCTTTGAATGTTGGATGACTACTTAATATTTTCTTGGAAGTAACGATAATAATATTTTTTCTCATGAGATGGCATTTTTGTCCAAATTTAGTTATCAACAAAATAAGCTTCCACTTCTTCAAAGCTTACATTTGTTAACACTTTAACTCCCTTTTATTAGAGATGCATCTTTAACTCAGATTTATAAAGCTAATGGTTCTACTTTAAATGTGATATGAAATCTTAAAACAACTCATGAGGTTGTGAGCCTGGTTGTCCTAACATGCAAATAAATCTATCATCTTATTATATTGTCTATACAAATTAACCCCATTTAGTCTTGTGTGTCAATAACCCTTCTGCCAGGTGTTCCTATAGCAATTCCCTGAAATTGATCCTATTCTATCTATATTTAGAGATAATTGACTATCTCCATTATTCATAAAGAGGATTGATAACCTAAATTAAAAGAGATTATACCTCTTCAAAGACACCAAGAGCATCAATTGGCAACATCTATTACAAAAGTCTATCTTAACTGAATAACTTTAAGCACTCATCCCAAGTGGAACTATGACTTAAGACTCCTATTTCTATATGTCTTTGTAACCTTTTTCTAAAATCTTCAGTGGTAGTTTTTCGACTCTCCTTCATCTACTCTTACTCTTGTTTATATAACTTATCTAAATAATCCTGGAATAAATTTTCCCTTTCCTTTTCGTCAGGTATTGCTTTCCATCTTGCATCTGTAACAAGATAACTTTATACTTTCCATAACTTTATGTCTGAAGAGAGAATCTTATGTTCCTCTAACATTTTCATGAAATCCTCCTTAGCCATACTTAATTTTGTCTTGTTCTCCTCCTTCTCTTGTTTTTTCATCTCTTCCAAATACTGATTATAGATCTTCTTCTTATGACTTATACTCCCAATACATTTCCATCTTGAATCACTTTGCAATTGCTTTACAACTGAATCCCACTTAACACTTGATGTAATCTTATTATCCTTCAATAATTATGTGAATTAATCAATAGGATTTGGCGGGATGATATCCTCTTCCTCACCTGATCTGCACTAATATAATATATCCATACGTATATTGTTCTTCCTCTGGCTTTTGCCATTTACTCTCTCTTGTAATGCGATTGTACCAATAAGGTTTACCATCTTCTGTCAAGTATTGTTACCATTCTTCTTCTACTTCTGATTCTTCATCTTAAAGACATTCTGGTTTCTCCCATTAAGATTACCCTGTCTTCACATTGTAGTAATAAGTCTATCCATTAGCAGAAGAATGCTTTGACCAATATCCTCGTTCATTGTCTCCTTCTTTCTCTATGCTATCCATTAAATTATTTTAAATAATAATAATTTCCTGCATGAAATATATGAACTGACATATTTATAAATTCAAAATCAAATAATAAATGGAAAATTCAAAATCAGAAATTCTTCAATGGATCAATACTCTTCTAAAAGTAATGAATTCAAAATAAGATAGACAAATTTTACTAAAATAGAACAACTAGGCAATGGTGTAGCTTACTGTAAACTACTTAACATGATTGATCCAACTTGTTTGAATTCTACTAAAATTGTATTAAAAACCAAAACCCAAATTGATCATATTAGTAATCTAAAGCTTTTCTAAACAGCAATGTAGAAACTTCATATGAAGAAATAATTTGATATAGACAAGGTAAGTAAGTGTTACTTCCATGAAAATTATGATCTAGCATTATTCTTAAAAAAATAACATACCCTGAGATTCTCTGGCATAAATAAAGAAAACACATCTATCAATAATTCCATTATTTATGAAAATCATCCTAATATTCTTGAAGAATAATAAATTTCTAATGATAATTTACTTACTTAAATAGCATAAATAATGTAGAGTATAGAATCAGCTGAAACTAAAGTGTTATAAACTATCAATTTATTAAAAACCCATAATTTTATTAAAAAAAATACTTAGTTCATAGAAAATAAAACTCTTTATGACACATCTAATAACATATTTAATATATTTAACAATCAAAATATATTTAATACAGATACTCTATTCAAAACAGATTCTAAGAAATAATAATAATAAGAATAGAAAAATAATTTATTATGTGAAACTCCCGAAATGCTACTTGATCCTCATCTTAATAATGAAGATATATTTGAACATCAATCTTCATCTAAATTAATTATGAAAATTTAATCATAATCAAAACTATAATAGGAAATTAAAAAAGAAACACCAAATTTTTGTGAATCACCATTTATAAAACAACCATAATAAAATAGTCTGGCTGATTTCATTAAATCAGAAAGTAAATAATAACAATAATACATGCAACAATACTCTTTATAAAAATAATTGCAAATGTAAAATCAGATTAATACTAACCCACCCCAAGAATATCAATCTCCATTTCGAGACTAGATTATATAATTGTCTTCATAAAAAGAGATATTCAATTAGACTACAAATCCTTAAGTGTTTTCTTCCTACTAAAAAGAAACATCTTAAAATAACTCTGTATTCTATTCATGCAAAGATCAAGGAGCAATAATTGAAGAATGATAATTATAATGATAATAATATTAATAATAATTTCATTTTTTAATTTTAATCAATAAATATAGTTTAATATATATAACTACCTAATCTATTTTATACTAATTAAGTTTGATGTTCTATATTAGATAGTAATTATTCATATATATATTAATATTTCATAATAGTACTTTGTATTGGAATAAACTTATCTAAGATTTTAATTGATTCTATTAAATAAATTTAAATTAATATGATGATATAAGAAATAATCTACTTATTGATGATTGAAAATAAATTCAAAAATAATTATTTTAGTTTCATGTAAATAATTTAAAATTGTTTAAAAATATATATTAATATTTAAATGAAAGATTGATTTAATAACAAAAATTGATATCAAACTATTATAAAATATAAATTGTTGAATATCATAATTACTAAATATTTGATCAAAATAGTTATTTTATAATTTGATTAAATTTTTTAAGTATCTCTCTATTTTTATTAATCTTGGATTCCTCTTTAGTGATCTTAGTTTCCATCTATTTAGCTTTTTTAATGACATCTTTAGGAACACCTGCTATTTATGCTACATTAGTTGCAAAACTCTTTTCTGCAATACCTTCAATTAATTTGTATTTAAAAATAACTTAATCTTTTTCTTAATAATGTTACATAACACACTATTTGATATTCTTAAACAATGCAAATTCATCCAATAAAATATGATAATGTGTAGCAAAGAGAGTCATAGGTTTGATTTTTTCTGATAAGAATCTAAGAACAGCTGAAGCCAATGCTACACCATCATATGTTGAAGTTCCTCTTCCTAATTCATCTATTATAACTAAACTTCTTGATGTGCAATTATCTAATATAGTTTTAGTTTCTTCAAGTTCAATAAAGAAAGTAGACTTTCCTTCTAATAATCTATCTGAGGCTCCAAGTCTACAGAAGATCCTATCAAAAGGAGTCAATGAAAAAGATTAGGCTGGTACTGCACATCCAATTTAGGCTAAAATAATAGAAACACCAATTAATCTTAATAAAGTTGATTTTCCACTCATATTTGGACCTGTTAGTAAAAGTGTATCAATAGAGCCAGTAAATTTAATTGTATTTGGTATCCATTCAATATCTCTATTTTACAATAAACAAGGATGATATGCTTCAATCAATTCACAATCTCTTTAATTATCATCTTGATAAATTTATGGAAAACAAGAAACTCTTTATTCATTTGAAACTTAGGCTAAGGAAATTCTAAGAATAAAATATATATAATATACAAACAATCAGCTTCTGAGAGATATGATATCAATTAAAAGAATTCTTTTCTATATGAATAAAATTTAGTGAAATATTCATTAATAAATGGTAATAATTTTTAGGATATTTCATCTTCTACTTTTCTTAATTAATGTAATTATTCTTCTATAAAAGTAGTTTAAAATCTTTGATATCCTTGTCTTTTAGATGTAATAATTAATTCTTTTGGTTTTTAATTGCCTTCTAAATATTTTTCAGGTATTTCTAATTAATATCGTATTCTTGCATGAGTATAAACAATGTCAGGACATTTTAATTTCTTTTTCCACTTTTCAAGTTCATCTTAAAGAGAATCATAAATATCATTTAACTTATCTAATGTTTGATCATATTCTGGACTGACTCCTTTAACAGGTTTTGGTTCATTATCATCCATAATTAAACATTTTTCTAATTCATCAAGTGATTTTTTCAAAATTTGTGTATTTTATTTATAATTTAAGATTTCCTTCAATTTTTTAGATTTAAATTATTTAATATCTTGTTCAAATATTTTAAATACTTCAGCAGCCTATCTGATATTACTTAAAACATTTTTAATTTCTTTCAATTTAGTTTTACCTAAACTTTCACCTCCAGTAATAGGGACAGCTTTTAATTTATGAGAATGAATAGTATTGAAACATTTAATAATAGCACGTTCCAAATCTGGTAATGATTTAATTCTTTTTTAGAATTCAAAACATTTAGGTATAAAAGTACATAATTCTTATACACATTCTTACCTCTCTATAATTAATTTATAATTTTATAATGGACTCTATACCCATTTTGTAAGGAGTCTTTTACCAGGATTAGTAGCACATCGATTTAGATAATCAAATAGACTACCTGTAGTAGTGATTTTAGTTTAAAGATTAACATTAAATATTTCCAAACTTTCTAAAGCTTAGGAATCTAAATAAAGATGAGTGTTATGAGTAAAATTGGAATCAAGAAAATTGAATTTACCTCTTCTGTAAACTGAATCACTAATTAATAGTTATCTTAGATAACATAATAAGAGATAAAAAGATTATACAGAATAATAATAAGAATAAAAGGTAGATTCATCATCTTCTTTATCTAATTACTTTTTTTCATGATAATATTGTTTTTCCAATTCTATTAATAGATTAGGATAATCTTAACTTAATTAATAATTTTCAACACATTTTTCTTCTTTAATTTCTTATTTTGAATCTGAATACAATCCTTAATTTATATCAATATCTATTTTTTATTCAGATTGATCTTTTTGAGTAGGTACAATAATACCATCAAATAATTTAGAATTTTAATTATTTTTTCCTTTACATAATTCCATATATTCAATTTTTAATTATTTGAAAATGTATTCACAATCTTTGAATGATTTTTTGTAAAGTATAATAGTAGGATTACATATACTTCTAAAATTATATATAATAATTAAAATTACTTGAAAATCTTTTCAATTTCAGGTGGAGTCTTACATAAAATGACTTCAACAGGTTTTGTATTATAAATAATAGATCTAAGATGATTAGATTAAGCATCATCAAAAAATTAATCAAATGAAAAGTTATTAGTAGTACAATCAACAATAGAAACACCATAAACATATGTATGACCTTTTAAATTGACAGGTGCTTTTGAACATATTAATACTAATAGATTTCTTTATTCATAAGTTTCTGTGTCTCCTAAATCTTACAAAGTACCTCTACTTATCATTTAAGTTATTTCTCTTCTTACAACTTCTCCATCCTCTTTATTAGCAACATCTGCTTTCTCCATTTATTCAATCATAATCACTTTATATCCTTTATCTAACAATGCTCTTTAATATATAGGTAATTGATTATCATAAACTGTTACACATGGTCTATCTTTTCCCCAGAATCCTAAATAACGATTGAACATTTTAGCAATAATAATGGCATCATTATACATTACAGCAATCCATCTACCACATCTAAAAAATACAATTGAATCTAAATAGTTTTTCTTTGCATTCCAATATTATCTAAACATAGGTGGTAATCTTTAATATTGATCATTTGGAATATCAATTGTGGATGGATTATAATTTGGTTCATCTGGTCGTCTTCCTTCTGAATCTCGAATGTGTTCAGGTTGCATAAATATGGGCAATGATTATTCAGCTAATTTATAAAATTCTTCATCTCCTTTGTTATGTTATTATTCTTCTTAATTTTATTCTTGTTGTTGTTGTTATTATTCAATCTTTTTAGGTTGTTTCTTTTATCTTGTTCCCTTTGATTTTACACTAATATGTGATTGTTTTTTTTTGTTTTGTTTCTCATCTTCAGAACTAGGTTGAAGTTCAGAAGAAGATGATTCATTTTATACTTCAGGTGTATAATCATCATCATTTTCATCATCAACTTTCTTTAATCGACGAGATGATCTTTTTCTATTTATTGATTTCTTCCTCTATTTCTATTTCTATATTTCAAACAATTCATCATCATCATCATCATTTCTATTCTTACGCATTTTTATTTCCTACCAAAATATTTCTTTAATTTAATTTTAAATTTTCTCTCCATCCTTAATGTCATCAGAAAGCAATAAAAAACCTATTGTCATAATTCCATAAACTACTATGAATATACGTAGATTAGAAATAGAATAAGTAGATTAGAGTGATGACTTAGAAGCATCTTCTGAAAAAATCTCAGAATAGTAATCAGATGACCCTTTTTTAAATTTTGTTGCCTCTTATTCACTCTTTACCAATAATTCAGAGGATACTCAATTAGAACTCTCTTAAGTGCTATAATAACTTAATGATAAGATTTCAATTATTAAACCACCATCAAATCACTTATTAGACTTTCATTAGTAATTATAAATTAAAGAAAATCAAATAAATGAATTAGTAGACACTCTCAAATAATTACCAGATTCTAAACTCTTTTCTTGTATTCAAGATGTTGAAAAGTAAAACTATCTTCAAATTATCTAGACTCTATTATAGACTATCAGTTGATTTTCAGGAAGAATTGCGAACTGCCTAAAAATTAAGAATTGTTTGATCTACATATATATATATATATTTTATATATATATATTTTATTAATATAACAAAAATCAATTATATGTATTTTACATTAAACTATTAAATTAATTATCCATTTTAATATATTGTAAATCAATCATAATTTTAAAACAAATAAAGATGGTTAGAAAATAATAACAATTATGAATCAATTAATTTTCTATAAGTCTTATAAGATGTCTTTAATTTTTTAATAAGATTTTATTAAACGATTCAGTAAAATTATTTTAATATAGTTATCATCATTATCATAAAATAGTAGCATGATTATTGTTTGGACTATGAGTCTATCTTTTTGAGTATAAGGAATTTTAAGTAGCAGGTACTAGAACTGGTACTTCCACAAATTTATTCTGGTTATAATCAAACATTTTAACAGTTTTTGATATATTTATATGTTAAGTATTTTATTTATTTTTCTATCCTTTCATCTTATTCTCATTATTATTACAAGAACTTTTACAAATCCCCATTTTTTATCTTAGCAATATTTAAAAACTTAATAAATTAATATATTAAAACATAAATATCAAAACTAAAAAAGTGAGGTATAATATCAAATTGCTGTCAGAGAATTTGATCTTAATCTTGATATTGTTTTTTTTTAATTTGGATTTTGAATTGCACTTTTAATCCTTTATCGACTATGTGTTGTACTACAAGACGGCATTCTTTTCAAAGGACTAATGCAAGTCGAATTTCGAGGTGATTCTTAATCTAAATGAATAAAAACCATCTAAAAACCTTTTAGTAATTCCAAAATGCGATGTTACAACTAAAACTAACTGTCGCAATCAATTATAGAAGCTCTTAGCACGAAATCATTTTGTATCAACATATCTTGTTTGAAAAAGTAAGGTACCTTTGATCATTCCCTTTTGTTCATAGGAAATCAAATTCTTCTGATACAATTAATATAGTGCAAATAACACTTCGCTCTCGATTGCCATATGTATTAATTTATTATAATATATATAATTATACCCTAGATGTATTATAAGAAATACATTTAATTATTATTACAAAAATGGAAATATTTTTTTATTGACCTCCCTTTTTGTTATTTAAAAATAAGGGAATGTATAAAATTTGGCTAATGTATTTTCTTAGTTTTGAAGGTTGAGAAGAGAAATCAACTATATAAATAGAAATAAATAATAATTCTTGAAATGAATGATTTATTTATTTTCCAAAAAATCAAAAAAAAAGGAAGTTAAATTCAATATCCAAAATTAGTCAATATATAATATATTATTTGATTAAAAAAATATGAGATTCAGGAAGATAAAGGAATTCAGATACAAGCGTAGACAAAATCAATAACTTTAATATATATAAATACCAAACAATTAAGTTCCACATAATTAAAATAATAATATCCAAAATTATTAAAGACAGCAGCCCTCTCCTTAAAATTAAATTCAAGTCAATTCTTAATATTCAAATTCCATTAAGTTAAATCAACCATAACCTTATATTACTGCACCAAATATTCCTTAAAACGTACCTTAATTATTGTGGCCCTATTTATGTTTATTTGTATTTAATTTGGGATTAGGAATTGCTATATTTGCTACCTAAGGAAGTGAAACAGCAATCATAATCTTTGAAGTTTTTAAGTAATGTTTATTTATATTACTTAGAATGCTATTAAACATTATTTCAGGAATCTACTATTACTCTAAATCTACAGAAACCATTTTTAATGTACCACAATGTTTCAAAATTTTATTTTGTATAATACTTACATAATTTTTTTGCAATTTTATCTAACTTCTAATATGTTGGATAACATAAGTTAGCTATTCACTCTAATTAGTAACTATAATATTATTAATTATTTTTTTATTATATTTTTATTATTAGAGAAAGAGGTATGTAAAAGGATGATTTTTGAGAATGAAATAGAATATATTATTTTAATTTATATTATAAATCAATTTGAAGTTAGAATTTATAAAAAAACTCATTTAAGTTCTATTTATTTTGGAGTTCCTATCTTTTTACCATTTTAATATTCTTATATACAAACTACTTGATATAGACTAAGAAACTAACATTAAATAATTTACTCCCTAAAATTATGATGTAAATCAACCCATTATCCATCTTATTTTCCTTCTTCATTATATATCCCTCCACCTCTAAGAAATAAGAAATCATTTATTACATTACATTATTCTCGAAACAAGTTTACCACATTCCACATTTTATTCCGTTTAAATACTCCCCCTTATATGTTACTTAACAAAATCTAATTGTTAAATCTCTTGATTACTTTGAAAAGTTAATATGCAAATCAATCCAATCTCCATTTTTCAATCCACTCTAATCATATTCTCCTCCTCCACTTTAATAAATTACTAATTATTACATAATTTAGCCCTCAAAATTAATAACCCACATTCCTTTTTTTTGCCCATTTTAGTACTCTCCAAGATAAGTGATCTATGAAAAACTATATATTAAAACTAAATATACTCAGAGTAATTTTCATGTAAATCTATCCATCTGTCATGTTTTAATCCTTTTTCATTATAATTACCACCCCCACTTACATATAAAAGAATATATACATAATCTGGTTATTGTTCATCATAATATCCCATCTTCCTTATTTTTAATCATTCTGATATTCACCTTTATAGATGATTTTGCAACCTCCACAGTTTGAAATAAAGTATTTTTCATGCAAATCAATCCACTTTCCAATTTTTAATCCACATTGATACAATCCACCGCCTCTATAATAAATGAAATAATATATACATTAAATTGGATTTTATTTATTTATTTTCTTTTTCAAGCTGAATTGTGTCCCATTTTCCTTCTTTAGCACCACCATGATATTCCCCAACATAAATAACCTTGCAGTAACTTTAAATTATAAAGATTGAATTATACTCTGAGAAATTTGGATGTAATTCTGTCCATTTTCCTTTTTTACGTCCATTCTCATTGTATGTTCCATTGCCTCTAAATATGATGTGATGGATAATACATATTGAATTATTCTATTTCTTTATGACCTCTATAAATAATATTCCATTTTTTTATTTTTCGTCCATTTTGATATTCACCATAAAATCCAACTTAGCAATATCTAATTTATAACCAATTTAATATACTCAGAAAAATCTTCATGTAAATCTAACCATTTTCCATTCTTTAATCCAAATTAATTATAATCGCCTCCTCCTCTGTAAATTAAATAATTATAATTACAAATAATTTCCATTATAAATTATTTTCCACTATCCACATTTTCTGCCATTCATATATTCCCCATTGTAAATGACTTAACATTTCCTTTAATATTATAATCACTTTTACTTTTTAAAATTATTATCTATATCTGTCCATTCACCTTATTTCTATCCTTCTTCATTATAGGCACCTCCTCCTCTAGAAGAATTAAAAGTAAAAACATACACTCTTTAGTTCTTCAATAAAATATCCCATTTTCCTTTTTTCCTTCCTTGAACATAATTTCCTTTATAAAATACTTTTGATTTTCTAATTATAATTTTATAATATAAATACATCCAAAAGTTTTCCCACAAATCTATCCATTTACCTTCTTTTTATTCCATTTAATTGTAAAATCCTCCAGCCTGTAATAATTCCCCTTTCCAATACGCGTTACATTGCGTTTATGTTGTGTCAGAAACAGTTTCCCATCTTAAATATCTTTACTAATCCAAATTACTACAAATTATTTTCCTTTTCATCATATCTTAAATTGATTCGCTTATATCAGAATTAGAATACATACATTTTCAAAATTTCTCCATCTTTGATATATTTCACATTTTCACCTTTTTTCAGCAACATGTAAAACTTTAGTTTTTATTGAACCCACCCATTAAATAAGTCCCTATATTCCTATTTCCCTAATTCCATAATAAGAAATTCTTGTTTAGCTCTTTCCTCATCTGATATTTAAAAAATGTGATGTATCATTTATTTATAATAATAATAGAGAAATACTAAAATAGAATTAAGTTATATATCAATAAAGTATATCATTTAATTAAAATATTTAATATGATATTGATATTAAATTACTAGATTATACATCTAATATTTCATTTTTTTGATTTTCAATATCATATGCTAAATTATCCCTCCTAAACTCCTTTTTTTGGCATAATAATTATTTCTTAGTATTACTTGTAAATTCTCTAAAAGAATTAAGTATCAAAAATTATCTATGTCAAAGATTTGAATAGATAGTTATAATTTTTTGAACTCTATTAAACTTATGGTATATTTAATATGCTTTATCAAATTATCATTAATATCGTTTAAAAATATCAATGTAGATACATTTTTTTAATTATATAAAAAGAGAACAATTTTACAATAGAGAACAATATATATTCAATCAGAATCAAACAAAAATAGAAACTAAATTTTGTGTAAATTATATTAATTAAATTCAATAAATTAATGATACCTAAACAATTTCAATTTTTTCTTGATTTAACCTGTTGTTAACAAAGAAATGATCCTAAAGAATACTTTTTTAGTATAACAGCATGTTGTTTACTTAAAGAAACTAAATTCTGGGAAACATCAGATATGTCCTAAGATAAATTGATTGCAACAATGAATATAATAGCAGATATTGATCCTGAGTTTATTTTCCAAGTGGCTTACTATGTTAGAAATCAGATGTATATCAGAAGTGTAAGTAATTTTATCCTTGCATTTTCTGCACTCCATCCAAAGACCAAACCATATTGCTCAACATACATGTGTCCAACTATGTTAATACCTGGTGATTTAATTGAAGTTTGCTAATTTGTTTAATTAATTTCAAATAAACTTAAATCAAATAATTAATTGAATGGATCTACTAATATTCGAAAGCAATTATTTTTCCCAACAATATTGTAAAAGCAGTTTCGAAAGAAGCTTACCTAATTGAATATTTATCAACTTGGTAAATAATGCTCAGATTGTAGTAGAAAGAAAAATATTAAGATATATTAATAAATTCTCAACCCAGATATTAAAAATAAAAAAAGAGAGAATAGATTATTGAATTTAAAATAAATTAGAGAAGTATTAAAATATTAAGGAAAAGATGTATAAGAACAATTTGAAAAAAGAACTATCTAAAGAACTAATTAAAGAAGAAAAAATATGAGAAATCATAAAAATGATTACATAATTTAGGAAAATTTAACAGTTTTTGATATAAACTTCTTACATTTAAAAGACATTATTAAATTTAGTCATGTAAAAGAACCTAGAAGTTTGGTAATGTCAATTTTGGGAGCTAAATATCCAAAAACTTAAGAAGAATTTGAAAAGGAATTTAAAGGAGAAGTAAAATTGAAATTTGATCCTGAAAAAGCAGGTTAAAGAATGTAAATTCCCATTCCAATTACATGGGATAGAGAATTAAGCAAAGGATTAAACTCAAAGAGATAAAACTTGGAAGATTTAATTCAAAAAAATTAAATTCCTTATTTAGCTTTGTTAAGAAGTCTAAGAAACATATTGAAATAAGGTTTGAGTGCAGAAGCACATTAGAAAGTGGTTTAGAAATTATCAAATAAATAATGTGTTGAAAATGCTAAGATATTTCCACTTTAATTTTTCACTGCTTTTAATGAAATTGATAAATGGTAAACCAATTAAGTTAAAAACTAAGAACCAAAGAAAGAAAGAGCAAAGCCATACGAAAAATAAAAGTAAGTGAAAATTGAAGAAAAAGAAGAAGAAGTAACTGTAGATCCTTAATTGATTGAATCATATAAAGATACTATTGAAAAAGCAATAAAAATAGTTGTTGATAAAAATTTAGATACAATTTTCGGAGTTACTTATGTATTTTTTGATGTAAGTGCATCAATGAGAAGTCCAATTAGTGGTGGAAAAAAGTATGGGTCAATTAATTCATGCATGGATTGTGCTTTTGTTTTGGCACATTTAATAAGAATTAAATGTGAAAACTGCTAGTTTTATTTGTTTTCATCCCCTTATAGAACAGAACATCCATATACAAAAGTTAATTTTGATGATGATACTTTATTCGAAGGTGTTAAAGATAAAGCAAAGAGTTATAATAAAATTATTAATTACTTATATATGATAAACCATAGCATTTAATTTCTTTATTTATGAAAGAAAAATTTTAATCAAAGAAGACCAATAAAGAATAAAAATTTGCAATAATAAAATAAGAGCAATGAATCATTTTGAATAGGCAATGATATAGTATTTAAAAGTATTGTTCATCAATCCTTAATATTTGTATGCAATGTTACGATGGGTAAATTAGTATACTTATTAGAAATCATTGGTTATAAATCCATAGCATGTAAACTCATTCTATGGGAAATGTATATTTATTGAATATTTAGCTTACTGTTTACTAAAATAGATTGTATATTCATCATATTTTCATTGTGTTAATATCAAAATGCTTTTTAACTTTTATGCTAAGAAAATTAATTGTAGCTTAGCAACCATTTAATTTTAGACTTGTTAAGTATTCCATTCGTCTAATAAAGATTAATGCAAAAGATTCTTATAAAAATGAATCTAGTATAAATATATTTTCAATTCCGATTAATATACAGACCAAAAATATATAATACTACATTTATGACTAATGTATATTTTTATTTTTAGTTCAAAACATATTTTAATTACAAAATAAATATGCGTCATTAGCTAATTACATAATTTGATTCATTACAGTTTTTTTTTCGAATCCATTAAATAATTATTATCAATGTATTATTAAATATTTTTAAATTGTACCTATTTAATCTCCACTTTTGTGGATTAATTAAAATTGGTGAAAATAAGAAAAATTATTTTCTCCATTTCAAGTTTCCAAATGAAGAATAATTTAATTAAATCAATTATTAATTATAAAAAACTGGTCAAAATAATATTTCGTAAATTCACCACGATTTATAATGAGTTATTTTAGCAATTATAATCAAAACTGAGAGAGATAATTTATCAACATAGAGATTATGAGATTTACTTAATACACATTCATTTTTGAAATCAATGGCAGATTCAATATCCATATTACTCAAATACATCTAGGTGGTTTTTTATATTTGAGTTTTTTTAAAATGATATAATTATTTTCTAATCCACTCCTGACTTATATATCTCACACAACTTTGTATATCGAAGTTCATGATACTTAATATTTTTCAATTTAAATCATAAATTTGATTATAATTATTTTCTTAAACTAATATCTATTTGCATGCTAAATTTAATTGTTTGGATAATAATTTTAATTTTCGTATTGTGAGAGCCAACATTTAAAGTTTAATCTAAATTAATTTTATTTCTCCTAATGAATTTCTTGGTGTTCTCTTACACAGAATCACTGATTATAAAATTATAAAGCTCTTTTTATCTACATTTCTTTTATTTAATTTGTAAATACTTTAGTTTTAAACAGAAAATCAATTATTATTAATACTAATTGAACCCCCTCTTATTAATAAAATAAAAGAAAAAAATAAAAAATGCTAATCTGAAAATGCATTTGAAAGAGTTAGTTATCTAGATTAGATTCTGGATAATTAATTTAAAAATTTTTTGCTTATAACCTTTTACAACCATCTCAAAATTTATTCTAGTTCAGAAATTCTTCCTGTCAAAAAATATCAAATATAAATACGAAAAGCAAGTATCTCATATTATTTACGCATAATTCATCTAAAAACTATATTTAATAGTTAAATTACTTGTTTAATTAATTCCAAATTTCAAGATTAATGATGGTTTTAAGATTATTTTCTGAGTTCCTTCTATTTTAATTTCATTTATTGTGTCAAAGACAGATTTACTACTTTACTAAATTATTAAAGTGAATTAATCCTTTTCATACTAAGCTTCGTTTTTTTAAATAATTGAAAAGTGAATTATTAGTTATTTACTAAATATCTAATATTCTTTCGCTTTTTATTAATTTATAAATCTTTGATTTCTATTGACCTTTGCTGCTTATTGTAATATCTGTTTGATTCAAAATTTAATCACACAATTATTATATGATTTTATATTTTTCAAATTTTCAATTTGAGATCCATTCTCAACAATGTTTATGATTACATATTCACTTAAATGGTAAGAACTCCATTTGGAATTATTCTACTAAAGTTTCTTGTCTGCAACTTTAACAAATTAAATCAATCTAAAAAGAATTGATAAAATCTTATCATGTGTTTTCTTAATTTTCTTATTAAGTAGAATCCACCATTGAATCATTGTTCAATTAAATCTATAAAAAATATTTTAAAAATTAAAAAATTTGGTATTTTAAAAAAAAAATTAAATATCATGGCCAAAAGATAAGTGATGGTTTAATTTGTTCCAAATATGAGAAATTTGAATATCTAAAGCAAATATCTAAGTGAAATTTTTTTTTGCATTTGAAGAATTGTAATTTCAATTTCAACTATTGGGAACTTAATTACTTAATGATAAATATATATTAATGAAAATTTGCTTAATACCAAACGATTAAAATATTCATTAAAAATAACTTATAAAAAATAATCAAACATTCAGATAAATATCTGGAATTTTTAATTAAATTTTCTTATCATGATTAAAGGTATTGTAAATTATAGTGATAGTATTAAAGTACATATGAAGAAACAAATGAAAAAATCGACATAGCAATCGAATAGCAAAACTTGATGTACATTTAGAATTTTGAAAATATTTGACAGTAGATTAGCAGATGCCAAGTTAAAAAAATTGCATACTAATTAAGTTAGTTTTTAAATTGTTGATGAAAATGATGTTATAGACTCATTCATTAATAAAAGTTCATAAAGTTGAATAGGATCTTTTGATCATGTTAAATCTAAATATTGATAGATTTAAGCAGAAGTAATAATTGCCATAATTGTCCTTTAAAATAGATAGCTGGTATAAATATTTTTAGTGATTGAAATTTGAAAAAAATTATACATTTTTTCAATAATATATATAGGAGTCTTTATATATGTTTTTCCTTTGCAGGATTTTATAATAATAATTCTTATTAACTTTTGGTAGAAAACAGATGTTTATATACCTAAATCATTTTGATTTCTGATCTGCTTGTTCTAATCAATTGATAAATTAAAAATATATATCGACAATAAGTAAGAAAATATACTTTTAAAATATAACTAAATAGAATAATTTAATAAAAAAATGGAAACAAAATTTTATTGTTTACCGATTGTGCTATAATAAATCATTTATTTCCATTTCCTATTTTATTTTTTAGTGCATTGTAGTATTCTTTTAAGAAATCTATAGCAACTTGTCTATCCTTAACTTGTTTTAAGGATTCTCCACAGTTAAATATACAATTATCAAAGGAGTTAATAGGATAATTATAATCGTCTGCAGTTTCATTTTGACAATATAAATACCAAAAATGAGAAGGCTTTTCTGATCCACACTTCTCACACATAATTGTCCCTTAGTTTGTTTAATAAACATTTCCTCCACAATGATGTTACCAAGTTTTAACTTTCTTTTTTTTGTTCTTACATTTACAGTCGTCCTAACAACAAGAAAGTAGCTAAAGAATTTTTTTTTCTTTTTAATGTTACTAAAGAGCTAGGAGAGAAAGCAGTAAAACCAATTCCTATTGCTCTTTTTTTTGACGTTATTCTTCAATAAATTCAAGAGCTGCTAAGCCAGTAAGAAGAGCTATTAATTCTTCTTCTTTTTTGCTAAAATAAAGTATAATAAAATGTTTACTTCATGTATAAATATCTATGAAATTGGTAAAAATAATAAATATTGAATTTAGTTTTATGATTTAGTTATTTAAGATATCTTATAAATTTTATTCTATTAGTAGGATTTATAAAATTATAATAGTTTATTTTTTATAAATAAAGGTTATTAAATATTTACAAAGCAAAAGAATAACATTATAATTGCTCATATAAATTTATTCTATTAATAAATTAACCACGTTTATGATTTAATTTTATCATCTAAATTTGATTTATTATCTTATACCTTAGAGAAAAGAAGATTATTTTTTTATGTGGAAATGTAAGTTTTATAAATATTTTAATAAATTTAAAGTTTTCTTATTAAATTTCTTCAAATAATAAATTTTGTAATGAGAATCATAGATTGGTTTAATAAATAATTTAAATTTTTGGGAAGTCTAATAAAAAACAAATATTTATAAAATTTCTTAACTCTGCTTCTAGTATTAGATTTTATAGTATCATTTACAACTTAGATATAAATAGCAATTGTTTTGAAAAATGGATATTATTTAAAACATATTTCTTTATAATTCTTTCTATTTAAAATTGGATTTAAGAAAATGTATTTTTTTTAATTTTTTTGGCAATAATTATGAAATATAGATTGTTGCATTTATATATTCAAAATTTTTTGAAATATCCATTTAAATAGAAAAATTAAGAAATTTATGAAATTATTTATTTTGCATATAAAATATTTGTCACTTTGGTTTTATTCCAAAAAATTAATCATACCTCTAGTCGATAAATACACTTGCTCGTCGATTATACATTTATCCTGTTGTAGATCCCTGCATTTCAGCCAAAACTTAAAGGAAATTTGCCAATATATGATGAAACTTAGCAGTTTCCAATGCTCTCATTTATCCCATTCGAACAAATTTCTTAGCATAAACTTTGATCCTAAAGTCAATCATCTGATTAATTTCATCTTACAGTTAATGATTCATAAATGCATACATTTCCCTTACTTCGCTTACTTGTTTTGTCTCATTAGGTAACATGTATTTAAAGGCTTCTCCTTTATTAAATTATAATTCTTTGAGAGACTTTGGAATATCAGGAGGTAATTCCCACTTTGTAGGATCCCCTTTATTATATAATTATTCTTTTTTTTCATTTAATTTGTTCTTCAAATTCTGATATTTTTGTTGCAATTAATTCTTACTTTATAAATATTCATATGCAGTGGATTGTTTTTTTTTATGATATCTAAAGAATTCATAAAAGTTTTCCTATTTATATTATTATTATTAATTACTTTCACATTTTTCATTTAAAAATTGACTCCATATTACCATCCAGTTACAAATTTTGATAATTCTTAATATACTAATTGGATTTATTCAATGGCACCTTTGGATTTAGTTTATTTAATAAAACTATCTGTAAGTTTATCCAAAGTGTTAAAGTTTTCTGTTATTGCAGTCAATGTATTACTTAGGTTTTCTAAATCTGTACATAATTTATTAAAATTATTGCCTGTCTTTTTATATATATCTTATGAATTTTTTAAATAATCTGACAAAGAGTTTGAGTAATTTTATAATTCATTAGAAATTTCTAAAACACAAGAACCATTAATCATTGTATATTCTTATGGTTTAGTTGGTCCTTTTGATTTTTCATATTAGTTGAATTTCTCTTTCAATTTAGCATCATCACTAATTTCTAAAAAGTCAGAAAATAAAGGATGAGTCTTAAATAATGGATGATATAAGCAATTCTGTAAAAATAATTCCATAATTCTCATACGCTTTTCTAAATAGGCTGCACCTGTCTAGGATTTTCTATTATGTATATATTTATTAATTATACAATTTCTTTCCAGGAATTGGAGGAATCAAATGACATGGGTACGTCATTACTAATATTTCTCTCAATTTTTGAAAATCAGTAAATCTTCTATTTACAACCCATCCTATTGGTTTTGTCTCAACTTTAAATGAAATATAAGATGATATTATGCCATCAGATTTACTTATATATTCACTCATGATTATTTCCACTTACTTAATTTAAAATCATATAATACTTTATGTGTATTCTCCATAATATAGTCTGTTAATTTTGTTCTTCCTGGCAATTAGCATTATACTTCTGTAATAAAGTTGCTATCATCTTAAATTTTCTGGATCTAAAATAGTGAATTGGTGGGCTATTGACTTAGTTACTTTTAGTCATTTTATATGATCTACTAATTTTGTTATTGTATCTCTTTTTAACTATATACTTTATTAAATCATTTACTCTTCTTTCTTGATGAAATCTTGAATTGTTTTTTGTAATTCTTCAAATGTCCACAAATCTATATCTTGGCTTCCATTTTACTTTATTTATTCACAATAAACCTGGAATGCAATAGTATCATATCCTGCATCAACTATTTAAGACATCAATATATCTTATTTTCTCTATCTTTCTTATTCTATGTCCTACATTTTATTAATAATATTAATTAATCGTTAATGATCCCATCTAAGACACTAAAAACCTTATAATCAACTAAGACATTATATCAAAAGGACTCTCCAAAAATGAAAAAGACATAAAGTAATTATGTACTATCCAATAAAACTTAAAGTCAAAAACTCAAAACAACTGGTTACAGAAATGATTCAATTAGATTAAACAACTCTATCAATTATCTTTAAGAGAATACAAAAACATTTCATTCTTCTTTGTGTATTCCTTTCAATTTAGATGAAACATAAAATAAGAATGAGATGCTGATTAAAAACCAATTAATTATTGAATTAAATAAAAAAATATCTCAATTAGAATTATATAATTCAGGTTTACAATAAGCTAATCATTAATTGCAAAACGATATTTTAATACTAAATCAAACAATAGAATAAATTTGTAACCAACTTTAAAAACAGAAAGAATTATTTGAAAGTTAAAAATCATAAATAAATGAACTATAAAATAATTTATCTCTTAAACAATAAGAATTATAATAATAAAAAAATGAAAACTTTAAATTAATAACTGTTCTCAAAATAAGTAAACTTAAAAATGGAAAAGAAAATTGTCCAGAATCTACTCAATATGATTATTAAGAATAAATTAATTTGTTGAAAGAATAAATTCAAAAATAAAAGTAGTCATCTTCATAAACAGAATCTATACTCTAAAATTAAATTAAAACATTAACTTCTTATTTTAGTGAATTCTTCTTGAAAACAAATAGTCAGAAAAAGTAAATAAATTAATAACAATCATCTCAAAATGAAACTGATGTATTCTAATTATAATTTAAAAATCTCGAAGATGAATTAGCAAAATATGATGAAAAATTTTAATACTTTTAATAAACTTTAAATAAGTTAACTGATAAATAAATTAATATAGTTGTCGAAAATGCTAATCTATCAAATACCAAAGAAATTTCTAAACTTAAATAAATAATTTAAATATAAAAAAAATAAATTGAACTACAACAAAAAACTATATTGAATTATCATTTTGAAATTTAAAACCTTTAAACTCTATTATATAAAAGTGAATATGAAAGTATTGCTGAATTTAAAAGAACCAGTGTTAAAAATAATGATTAATTTATCACTTAAGAATTTGAAAATTCACCAAATGATGAAATGTAATAATAATTATTTCTAATAATTTAGTTACCATCTAAACGATAGTTAAAGTGACATTAAGCCAAAATGCTTTTTAGATAGTATTTAAAATACTCTCTAAAAGTTTTAGGTCATTACAGAAGAAAGCACTTTTAGATATTGATCAATTTTTATGTATTTAATATTCTTAACTATTTGGTTTTGGAGTGAGGTTATAATCTTTTTACAAAACTATTAATTTTGAAACTTTTAAGATAGAATGTAAGAACTATTTCCAAATCTGGATATATATCTTTGAAATCTGCAAATTTTAAAATTCCATTCTTAGCAAAGTCGAACTAATTAAAAATATTATCTAACTTTAATGCCATTATTTAAATTCTATTTGTAATATTCAAAACTATTAACATTTCTAAATTATAAATTAATTACATTAATCATTTATAAAATAATGCTATTTCTTTTTTCTTCAATCTAAGAATCGGATATTTTTTCAATACTGTTTAATATTTTTGAAAATCAAATCTAATTCTTATTTAGTTTACATAGGTATGAATAATATTTTAGTTAAAATTTAAAATTTTGCTAAGAATCATTTTAAGGATGATATTCATCATTAGAATATTTTTTATCATTCATTATTATAAATTTGTAGAAGGTGGTATTATAAATATAAATAAAAAAAGAATCTATAAATAAACATTTTGATTATAGATGATGATAGAGATCTTATTCAGCAGGATTAATTTGTGGTGCAACTTTAATTTTATAATGATAGATAATTTATTATCTCACATATACATTGTTCTTTTTGCATATTTTTTTTTTATTTCATCTCTCTTTTCTTTCTCTTACAATTTGATTTATTATTCTCTAGGTAAAGATAAAATCTTTTATTTTTCCTTTTGTAATTTTTCTGTTTTCTTTTTTTATGCTTCCTAAAATATAACAAATAAATCATATACTTCAATTTTCTTTTATTTTTCATCTCTAGATTTTATCTCTTCAAATTTAATTCTTTCTTCTTCATACTATTATCTAAAAGTTTATGATAATTTAAAATTTGCAATTTTATCTACAATTTACAGCATCAATTAAATGAATTCAGTGTAATCATCTAATGATTCAATATTCATTAATGTAGCTCTAAGATTATATGGACTAAAATATTGATTATATGAATTATTTACTTTGGTAAGAGTGTTTTTTAATCAGTAAAATGAATATTTTAAATGTATTTGTCATATTTCTTTAAGGCTTAACAAAATTTGGAATCAAAAATAGTAGTCAAAGGTTCTTTCCCTTCACCAAGTGTGACAAGAGTTAAACTATGCATAGATAAATCAATTACTTATCATCTATTTTATCAATAGATAACTTTTCACAGAGATATTTAAGATCAATATTAGATTCTTTGTATGATTTAGCATCTCTTTTTTTGACCAAAGCAAAACAAATGGGTTATGGTGTAGCTGCTAAAGGTATATCAATAGTGATAGTGTCTCTTTCAGGCCAAATGAATGAAAATAATAGCATCGATAATAAGTCTTAGCGTTTCTTTAGATCAATAGTGACAGCTAAACAATTTAAATTGTTTCTTCCTTAAGCTATAAATCTAAGAAATTGAGAAGTGAATATTTACCCAAAGGAATTACTTGAGATGGATTAAAGGAGTGGTCCATTTTCTTTATTTGTAACGCCAACATAAGTGAAATTTGTTTTAAAGAAGTCATATGTTGTTGATGCAAATTTTAATGCAAGTTTTTTATTGGTTGTATTTCCTGTTATATACATAAAAATGTAAAAGAGGAAAAGTAAAAATCCTATGCATTCATAAGGGTAATTGTGTGGTATTTATTTTATAAATGCGACATAATCAAATGCAATCTATGTTTAATTATCTTCCATTTGATAAATATTTTATCAATTAATTTATGTATATTTACAAATATATTGATGAATTAGTATTTTATGGTATAGATAATAAATAGAGAGTTTTAACGAAGCTCAATCGTTTTAAGATTAAATTAAATTAACAATCAAAGCCGTGTACTTAAATTATAAATAGAAAATGATCTCGAAATAATTCGAAATAATTTTCAGGTGTTTTGGAAATATACAAATTTAATAAATTACCTTATTAATGAAATATATTTATTAAGTATATATTTATGAATAATAATTTATTGTAAAATCAATCATTTTATTAACATTAATTATGCATAAAATTTTAAGATCAATAAAATCGATCAAAGGTTCAAGATTTACAAATAAATTACCTACCTATTTAGAAAGATTATAATAGTAAGAAGAAATGGATCGAAAAACAAATTTAGATGTCTTAAGGAGAGAAGTTTTTAATGATTCAATATAATTACCAATCAAATTTGCTGCCTATTATATTACTAAGTATATTTAATTTTATTAATAGCTAATAGACTTTTTGGGCTGAATTAACAAGATCTATGATTGATGCAAGCAATCATCTAATTTTATTTGCAACCAATTATATTAATTATGGTAATTTTATCATTTATATATTAGGGCCTAATAAGTAATTTCCATATGGAATAGAGAAAGTAAAACATTTAGTAGCTTTAATTCCATCTGCCTTGTTTCTATACTTTGGTGCTTCTATTTCATATGAGTCATTTCTTAATATTTATAATTATGGTCATTATGTTGGTGAAATACATGGCAATGCATGGGGATTAGCTGTATTCCTATTTCATTATTGGATAGTTATATTTACTATCCATAGGTATAGAAACAAGTGTAGTTTTCAAAAATATTAGAGATGCATAAGCTGTAGATTCAAATAATGAAACTAAAACAGGATTGTTTAAATAATTCTTATCTGTATTTTAAAAGAAAGATCCAGTCTTATAAGCAATTCTTTATGAGAATGCTATTACTCTGGGATCCACTTTAATTCCTTTATTGTCTTCTGCATTCACTTTGATCTATCCAACACATGCATTTGAAATTGTGGGATCTTTGGCAATTGGCTTAATTTAATTGTATTATTAAATGATTAATATATCTTAGATAATTAGCCTATCACTTAAGTGCATAGAATTTAAGTTCCTTAATGGGTGAATAATCTATAAGTGATCTGGAAGTCAAGAAAATATTAGAAATTATTAAGCAAAATCAATATGTCGAGAANGTACTTAAATTATAAATAGAAAATGATCTCGAAATAATTCGAAATAATTTTCAGGTGTTTTGGAAATATACAAATTTAATAAATTACCTTATTAATGAAATATATTTATTAAGTATATATTTATGAATAATAATTTATTGTAAAATCAATCATTTTATTAACATTAATTATGCATAAAATTTTAAGATCAATAAAATCGATCAAAGGTTCAAGATTTACAAATAAATTACCTACCTATTTAGAAAGATTATAATAGTAAGAAGAAATGGATCGAAAAACAAATTTAGATGTCTTAAGGAGAGAAGTTTTTAATGATTCAATATAATTACCAATCAAATTTGCTGCCTATTATATTACTAAGTATATTTAATTTTATTAATAGCTAATAGACTTTTTGGGCTGAATTAACAAGATCTATGATTGATGCAAGCAATCATCTAATTTTATTTGCAACCAATTATATTAATTATGGTAATTTTATCATTTATATATTAGGGCCTAATAAGTAATTTCCATATGGAATAGAGAAAGTAAAACATTTAGTAGCTTTAATTCCATCTGCCTTGTTTCTATACTTTGGTGCTTCTATTTCATATGAGTCATTTCTTAATATTTATAATTATGGTCATTATGTTGGTGAAATACATGGCAATGCATGGGGATTAGCTGTATTCCTATTTCATTATTGGATAGTTATATTTACTATCCATAGGTATAGAAACAAGTGTAGTTTTCAAAAATATTAGAGATGCATAAGCTGTAGATTCAAATAATGAAACTAAAACAGGATTGTTTAAATAATTCTTATCTGTATTTTAAAAGAAAGATCCAGTCTTATAAGCAATTCTTTATGAGAATGCTATTACTCTGGGATCCACTTTAATTCCTTTATTGTCTTCTGCATTCACTTTGATCTATCCAACACATGCATTTGAAATTGTGGGATCTTTGGCAATTGGCTTAATTTAATTGTATTATTAAATGATTAATATATCTTAGATAATTAGCCTATCACTTAAGTGCATAGAATTTAAGTTCCTTAATGGGTGAATAATCTATAAGTGATCTGGAAGTCAAGAAAATATTAGAAATTATTAAGCAAAATCAATATGTCGAGAAAATATAAAATGAAAAGGCTGTTATGTTGGGAAGTAGAAAATTTAGATTTTCAGCTGAAATCACATTTAATATTAAAGTAAATATATGTTTTGAATAATTTAGTAAATAAATTAAGATACTGAATCTAAATATCTAGAAAGATTTGATAAAGTTATTTATAGTGAATCCTATAGAGACAGAGAGGAATACCTCTCAGAATTATTAAGAGAAATATAAGAATATGTTCTTGCTAGTTTACATATATAAGTATATGTATAAAATAATAATTTAGATTCAAAAAATTGAAAGTTCAATTAGAAATGAATTCCCGAATTGTATACATTTGGATTTTGAAATTAATAACAAATCTTTGGCTGAAACCTATTCTATTGATGATGGTAATTGGTTATTTAGAGAAACATTGTTAAAATCACCATTTAAAGTTGAAAAATGGATGCTTGATGAAGTAGACAGATTAATAAAGAAAATTACAAAGAAAAAAAACGAAACTTATATTGAAACGTAATAATTATTTGACAAATAGATATTAATCCTTATGTTCATCAATTTAATATAATCAATGGCACGATGTAGAAGATGATGATGAATCTTTAAAAATTATAGAGGATTATAGATTTGAAGAATTGTAAAATGAATTAAAAGGCATAGACTAAATATTGTAATTCAAAAATAAATCTAAAGGATAATGAATATATAAAAATAATAGCTATTAATATTCATATCAAAATGCGAATACTTAACCTTCTTCTTAATGTACAAAATTTTCTCTATCAAAAATTCTACACAATTTAACTCTAAATAATAATAAGATTGTAAGAATTACAAAAATTTAGGAGTACTTAAAAGGTGTATTCCTTTAAAGGAAGGTAATTTAGGAACTATATAGGCAAAGTAATAATATGTATGACGAATAAATGCACCAATCAAATTGGATTGGATAGACCTACCTGATACAATGTTGATTAAAATGAAGAACCAAACCATGTATTATGCTTTGACAGGTATTATGAACATAACTAAAAATTCAAAGTATACACTCGAAATAATTATTAAATTATGTTTTGGATTAATATTTATATTCATTTTAAATTATTTTAATTGATTATCATCTCAATAATGATTTTCTATTTCTTTCCAACTATGTTAAATTACATTATCAATTATATGTATACTTTAAGTCTTCAGATAATTATGAACTATTTTATACATAACATTAAAATTTGTTAATGAACATTTATACAAATGCTATTTTAATAATTTCCACACACCTTCAATAGGATTGTGTTCTTGAGAATAAGGTGCCAAAAATTTAACATTAATATTTCATAATTATAACAAATTTTTGTTGTTATTATTATTTTAGATGTCCTTTATTAAAGCACTCATATACTAGCCAAAAATACGCTAATTTACATTTCCAATATATAATTTAAAGTTAGCATAACCATTTTACCCTATACATCCAATTATATATAAACGCGACTTCATTTGAAGCACACGCCTATATTTTTATCATTGATATACCAGCTTTTTGGATTTGTCGATTAATGCGTGAAAGTAGACTCATCTAAATAAAATATCTAAAACTATTCCTAATAATATACGATAATAATTGTTAACAATATATTACCTTCAATTGTTATATATTGTTAAGAAAATATCTTTAATTTCTTTATCTGGTTTATTTGAATGTTAGTCCACTTTCTTTAAGTATATTATTGAAAGTTTGCTATTAGACTTCTTGCTCATCTAATTAGAATTCCTCAATAAATGATTTGAAAATAATTTATGAATTCCATAATTAATTAGCTTCTGATTGTTCGACATTTATCTTAACCAATCAATATGTGTCTAAGTATTATGAAATTAAGTTTAATAAAATTTTTTGGAACCTGCTATTCTTTATTATATTTAATTGTATGTAAGTCCTTTCAATGCAGATTTACATTATTTTGTATATCTATTTTCGGTCAGTTTTCTCATTAGGTAACATTTTTTTTTTAAATTATAATCAACCTGATGTTTTTTTTTCTTGATTTTATTTTGAGTGAATTGTAATACTATTTTGCTTCATTTTCGTTTAGAAAATTTTAAAGCTGCCTTTTGCTCTTTTCAGGAGTTATTATTATACTCAATGAATTAAATTAATTTAATTAATAACATTTATGTTAAGATGAAGTTGAAATGAAGACACTAGATATACCGAGTATTTAAGTTTGCAATCTAAATATCCAAATAAATTTTCATTTTTTTCAATATGATTGTCAATAATGTCTTTTTCCTTAAAAGACTCAATAATTATACTTTCATTGTTCTTTAAAATTGATTTAAATTTTCAATATTTATTACAGAAAGCAATATTAGCTTAATTTAAGAGAATTGTTTTTGGACTTTATATTTCGAATGCATGCTACAAATATTGATTTCAAAAAATAAGTGACTTAAAATATTAATTCAATATAATAACGATGTCATTCAATATATTTAGAATGAAAAATTCCTTGTTGAAAACAAAGCTAATCCATAAATCAAAAAGTTAAGCATAAAAATTAGATTCTACTAATTCCTATTTTGTTGGCTTGTATTTTTAATATACAATTATAATATGTAATTGTTAAGAAATTTAAATAGGTAATTTCTTCAATTTAAATATTAACCTATTTTCAATTGTTCGAAATTAGCATTTGAATAGATGTTATTTGAATAATAATTTATTTTATATAGAATATTTGTTTGTATGTATTTATATTATTATCATAATTCTATCTCAATCTCACTCATTACTTTGAATCTCTTCTTTAATTTCAAAATTATGTTAGAATTACTATAAATTCTCATTATTCTCTTAGCCTCCTACTTCTATTTAATTAATTTCGTTCAAAGATGTTTTTAATTATTAGAGCTTCCCTTATAAATCTGCTTGCTTTTTGGTTTCTTCATTTATTTATGTATGTATTTTTTGAATTTGATCTTTTATTTTATTTTTATTCTATACATTGCTCAAATGTATTTTTAAAATACAAAGTCTTTTTGATCTAAACATTTAAGTTTTAACCTTTTCAGTTTTCTTTATGTATAAAAATATACAGAGACTATATATCTTATTAAGTTAGTCCTTTTAACTCATTTGTGGTGAGCCTATGAAATACGATTGATTTGGGGAAGCAAAATAGAGCACATTAATCAACCATTCTCTATCTGGTAGCTTTTGTGATGTAAAATCTAAGTCTATTTCTTAACCAACTAATTAATGAAGCTCTCTATATAAATCTATTTTTGTGGCTTGTTTAATTAGGTATGCTATTTTGATATCTTTAGCTTTAGTGAAAACAAAAAAAAATAGTTTTTGTATAAAGTTGAGTTAATAATGGTATTTAACAAAAGAATGAAATTAAAATATTTTTGGAGTGTATTGTTACATAATAATGGTCTTTCTTACTTTTGTCTTCCCCAAACATACATAAGTGCTTCTACAAAGTATTCAGTTAGAGAATGCTCATTTAACCAAAGTCCTATTGAAGTAATGGTGACAAAATTCAATAACAAAAAGTATAAGTAATTTGCAAAACCTGGAAAAGTATGTTATTCCAATGAAAATGAGATTGATTAACTAAAAGATTTGCAATTTATTTTACAAAAAGAATAATCTTAAGACAGTAATCAAATCTAATTCACCAAAATATAAAATACTTGTCAATATTCTCCAAGGCTAATATAAATAATTTAAATACCTAAAACGATTCCAAAAATGCTAGTTTATAATTTAAGTAGAGATTGGAGGGCTTTAGATATTACACATAAGTTGAATAACTCAATATGATACTGCTTATTACTATGATTCTAGTAAGAGGAGGAATATCTAGAATATATTCTAATACCATCTTATTAATTATTAATATTATCAAAAATTCAGTCAAATATTCTAAACTCTATAATTTTCTTATCTTCTATGAAAAATCTAAATAAGCTTGATTATTTTCGAAATTACATAATTTGATGTTGAGTCTTTTAACCTTAAATCTCTTTTATAATTATTCTACTTGAGCCAATAAAGGGTTCTATTAAATATCTCCTAATTCACTTAATATTGTTCGAAAGTTAAAAAACAATGCTGTAAAGTCAATACAGTAAAATGACATTATTAAGATTATAGAGATTAACTCATTTTACAAATCTTAAATCATTGAGGTTTTGTTTTTTTAATCATTTTGGAGGTAGTTTTAAATTATAATGAAAATTAAATATATAAATATATTACACTAACAGGATCGTAGAATGTTGAATTATTCTTATTATTTTTCTTCTATTGATTATGAAAATATTATTGCTTAGGCCTAAGATAAAAGATTGATGAAAATTTATTTTTGATTATGGAATAACTTCATTTTATATCGACATTAAAGGGCCTTCAAAACCAGTAGTTTCTTTATATTATACTTTTATTCTTTTATCTTCATTGAAATTTCAAATTGGGTACCAATGAACATATTCATTTATAAAAATTATTTAATAATAAATATTTATTAAAAATGAATGAATAAGAGAAACTTGTATCACCGATAACAAAGAAAATCTCTGAAGATGATGTAATTAATGAGAAAGAAGTTCTTTAATCTCTTTCTTATATTAATTTTAAACTTCTTAATGTATACTAATATTGTTTATTTTAGACATTAATACTATAGAATAAACAAGAAAATAATGTAATAATTCTATTCAAAGCATTGTTAACTATTTTTTAAGAATCTGAAAATTGGATTCCTAAAAATATAAAAGATTGGTCAACTATCTAAAGAACAATTGGACACACATCAAAATTCATCCAAATGTTATAAAATTTTAAAAAATATTACATAACAGAGTCTAAAATATTACAAACTTAAGTCTTATTGCAAGATGTTCATATTTAAAAATTATCTTAAAGAGCAAATAATTTATTAAAAATTGTTAAGTCGCTTCTCCATTATTATAGCAACCCTTTCAATCAATCATTACATGAAGACTCTTAATTAACTAATAAATTTTATAATGAACCTCCATTAAGTCCCATCAAAAGTACAAATCTTATAGAACAAGACTCAGAAATAATAATATAAGAATTAATAAAGAAAGAAAAATTTTGTACAATTCCAAATGAGAATAAATAATCATGTCAAATAAACAAGATAAGATCAAGAAGTCCTACTACAACATCTTCAGGAAGTAAGAGTCGAACTATTCAGTCATGCTAACCACATAGATTGTCTATTCCTGTTGGCAATCCTCTTAGATAATAAAGTAGTTCCCAACAGAAATCCACATTCAATATCAAATAATATAGCAAAACAATAAATAATACATAATCTTTAAAGTCTAGTGGAATTTATTTTAGAGAAAGATCATAAACTAATACCTAAAACAAATTTGATCAAATTGACAAATCCCCATTGTAATAAACTAAATAATAATGCATCAAAGATTCACTGTTTACAAAAAAACCAACTTTAACAAATAATAAATGATTATATTTTTTATATTTTAGTATTACATTTAATTTATTTCATAATTGTAAAATTAAGAAAATTATTTATTTATTTAATTGTATATCTAGTGAAATAAAATATGTAAGTTTTTTTATTTGAAAACAGTATTGTTATAATACATTAACTTTAGATTTTAGATTTATTAATAAACATTTTAAGCTTATTTCACATTTTTTCTATTGTATTGAGTTAGGAGAGTTTATGGAGGCAAAAATATTGTCTTAACTATCTATAAAAGTTTTTTATTTGTTTACATTTGTGGATAGGGCTATATAATCCAATATCAGAACAACATTGTTTTTTAATAGTGATATTAATATATATTTAATTTCTATTATTTCAGCATATCTCATTTTAAGAAGCTGAGTAATTTGTTGAATCTATAGAATATATGCATACTGCATTTATCAATTTCAAGCATCTATTTATATAACTTTGTTTTGCAAATATATTTCAAAATACAGATGAATAAAAGAAACATATGTTAATTGTAAATATCCTTGGAAATATTATAATAAGAAAGTAAGTAAATAGCTTATATTTTAGAAATTGAAGTAAAGATTATAATCTAATCAATCAAACTTAACACATTTCAATAATAAAAATCAGGAATAATTATTTCTTTAGTAATACTAAATAATTATTAATCGTATATACTATTAATACTAAGGATATAACATTTCATTAAATAAATACAAAATATTGCTTAAAAGATGTAAAAACTGTAAATAAAACTTGTAATGCTTTATTCCATAATTTAATTTTATAATATCTCTTGTATATTGCTTATTGAACTTTTGATATTAAAATATATCTGTTTAATATATTTAGTTATTTTTAATAATATACTATAAAAATATTAAAATTACAATTATATATAGATAATAAGAATTTTATGTGTATTAGTTTTCATTTTAGCATTTCTTATAACAACTCATCTATTTCTAATAAACTTTAATCACAAGCTGATCCTCTTGTGGTTGCTTTCATTGATGCTTTAACAAAACTTTCATCATATGGATTTCGTATTTATGGTGTCATGTCAGTTATTTTATATTTTATCTATGTACTTTGATTGAATTATTCGTCATCACTTAGAGTCTTAGAATTTAATATAGAATAATCTACTCCTAATAATTTCTATTCCTAACTTTAAATAAACATTTTGCAAATACTTCTTCATTATTATCTGAATGTTTTTATGGTCGGAATAAAATACATAATTTTATAATGCACCAAATAAATGATGAAAAAACCGATACTATAAATAAGCATAATAACACTTCTTTATAGTGTAGTTTTATCAATATTTATTTGACATTCTGGAACTCTTATTTATATACACTCTGCTTTTCTTCACTCGACTAATCAAACTTAGGAATTGTATAATTTTATTTTGGAAATTCAGAGATATCTTCCTCAATTAATTCTTGCTACAAAACTAAATTTGAATCAAACTCTAATCTTTCTATCTAAAATGAGCTAATCTTTTCTTATCCTATTAGAGGTTCTTCTATTAATTATAAAATTGAAATTGGTTTCTGAACAATTCCAATATGTTTTTTTGGATGCTAAATCCTACAATCAGAAAATGCAATATTTTGCATAATCATAATAACAATGATCATCTTAAGCTGTGTTTATTTATTAAATAAACAATTAAAATAATGATGTTAATCTTCTATAATTTTGATTAATCAATAAATTAAACAAAGAAATAAATACAAATGTTCCTTAAAATAAACACTTAACAAATATTAAAATATAATTCTAAAATAGTATTATAGAAGATTATTTCTTTTTAGGATCTCTATTTTCCAATGTTAAAACTAATAATATCCTTTATTAATTTTTTATAAAATATATAAAATTTTAAGCAACTCTTAGAAATAGACTTATAAATAATATTATTCAAATATTACAAATATTACAAATAGTTCTAGTTAATGTAATTAAAATTGATAAAATTATAGATGATATAATTTTTTAGAGAATAATTATATTTTTTACATAAAATTATTATTATTAGTTTTTATATTATAATTTTATAGAAAACATTTATAAATTATAAAATTCTCAATTATGAATTCTAATTATCTTCAAACATTATTTAATAAACTGAGAATCAATAGATAATCAAATTCTCTTAAATTATTAGAGATATATGATATTTCATTTATTTATTGTGACAATTTATTATCTTAAGTAAATTCAATTTCTCTGAAAAAATTATTGTTATTTTCTAAACAACACAATCTAATTGAAAATTTTAATATGTATATTCTTCAATAAAACTTAAGATTTAGATTAGTTCTTCTTTTTTTACTTAGATTTCAATTTTTTAAGATCTTAATTGATGATCATTTTATATTAATCAAAATAGAACAGGACTCTAATTACTTGATAGACTTAGTTTATGAACGAGAAGATGATAATAGTTGAATATATGAATAAAAAATATCAAAGGATGAGTCTTGTGAAATGTTTAAATTTTCTGATCTCTTAAATTTAATACTTAATTATGATTATATGATTTCTAAAAAGTATTAGTACTCTTGTATATTTAAAAAAAATATACAATATAGTGAGGATGTTATTTAATAATTTGAGAACTATTCATTCCTTATTTTATTTTTGTAATGATAAATGTTCAGTAAATTTGTGAAATTTATTATTTTATTATTGGGAGATGAATGATAAAATCATAGTAACAATATGCTTTATCTATTTTCAGATGAATTCATCAGTATATTCCAAATAAAAGTACAAAATTGCATAGTCATAAATAATTTTGTACAATAACTCTTTAATAACAAGAGTACAAACTCCCAAGTTTAAGTAATAATAATATTCATGATTGTTAACAGAGAAAGGAATTCTAAAAATATAACTAAATAAAAAGTATAGAAATTGAATAGAATCTCGACCATTCATATAGGAATAATAGAAATATTAAGTTGTAATGAGATAATTATAAATTAGGAGAAAATATTGAGAATATAAAGTATGATTGGAGTCATGAGAAGGTTTTAATTTCCAGAATTTAGATAGAACAATAAACAGAATGAAAGATGAGTAATGAGAAATGATAGACATTTCAAAATGGTGTTTATGGTGTTCAATTAGGCTTAGAAGTAGGTAATAGAAAGAATGATGAATAGTAAACTGAGATTATTGAATAAGAATATTTTAATCGAATTCATGAGATAAATGAATGATTTAATTAAAGTGATTAATTTTAATAAATCATCAATGAGAAATCATATAGTGTATGGTTTTAATTTGTGGTAAATATGCATGAGTTCTAGAAAATGCTAGTATAGAAGCCTGAATATTAGGTTCAAGAAAGAATTCGAAGAAAAAAGAAGGAAAATAATTATAAATTTAAATTGTTGTTACAACTAATTAAATAAATATAATAATTTTTTATTTTTCTTTTTTTGATATTCAATAGCAATTAACATTAATAATCAAGAATTAACTCGTGGCAACATCATACCATATGGTGGTTAGTAAATATGTTGTTGAATTTGAATAGGGTATTGTGTTGGAGTTGGAGACACAGGTTCATATTCTTATTTTACGTTGATTTATTATTTAACTTCCAAGAGTTGTTTGAATATTAGTTGTGATGCCAAAAATAAATTTTAAATAGTTGTGTAATAAAATGGATTCTAAGATTCTGCAGCCTTCTAATATTATTATGTTAATGTAGAAAATAGTTTTTAACAATGTTATTGAAGAAGAGATCGCTATTCTTACATCAAATTAGCTTAGTCTTCCTTTGAAGGTTGTTTGTCAATATATATCTACATAAATTTATTTAAAATTACCTGACTAACTTCCGATGATACAATAGGCTCAGACAGTTAGAAAGTGAGAGGATTAATAATTTAAATCTTTAAGATATTCTCTACCTTAAGCTTCTTCTTTCTTGTCTCTTTCTTACCTATCCTTCCCTCTTTTTCATATGCCTTTTGTATTGTTCGTACAGTACAGTATTTTAGCTACAACCTATTCGCTACCTAAAAATATAAATGATCAAGATATCATATATAATGGTTAGACATATTCATAAATTTGGTATTAATTTGATACCTCTTATAAAGAGAGCTTGTCTTGTAAAAGAAGCTTTAATACTAGTCTTCTTTCTTCCTTATTAATTTTCTGGTACTTTCTACTTGATTTAACTTAAGCATCCTAATTTTCAGATTTAGTCATGAGGTTAGAATCTTTATTTTTATTATATATATATAAAATTAAAAATCAATACTTATTAAATTTGAATTAAGATTTATTTTATTATTTATATATGATTTTCTTTTCATCATCTAATTTATTAAAAAGTCATTCAATACACTTCAATCAATAATTCAAACTCTAACATATTCAATGCACTTAAAATTTCATTTTATATCCAAATAATCATTCATTCTATTAAAATATAATGCATTTTCTAATATTAAAAATTGAAAATTAAGTCTAATTTTTATTCATTACACTAAATATCAATTTTAATTTCTCTTCCATACGACATCATTCAATAATTTTTATCTTAAAGCATATCAAGAAGGAAATCTATATAAATTACTTTACATTGATTTTTAAATTGTTACATCTATGACCACATTAATTATTGATTCTCTTCCTAAAAATTAGTTTCTTAATTAGTTATCTCTTCAACCCTTTCATAAATTGTATTACTCTTGCTTAGTTCCAAATATTTATTATATTGTTTTTATAAATTCAACAGGCATATTTTATGAATAAAACAACTAACAATAAAGTGAGCATATTTTCTCAAAAATCTCATATAAAAGGAACCATTAATCTAATTCCTATTAATTATATTAGTTTATAACCCAATATTAATAATTGTTACATCATTTAAATTATAATCCTGGAAGTTTCTTTTCTTTATAAATTCTCTAGTTCTATAGTATAAAATGAAAGAGTTTAAGCAATCTTAATATGAGTTCATATAGGCATTCATTGAATTATTCTCTTTCATTGTTTGATTTTATTTTTGAGTAATAAAATGAATTCATCTTTTCAACATTATTTCTTAATAGATAACTCCCCTGTTTTGATTGAGGATGATCATAGTTCATTATTATTGAAAAATTAACATTTCTTTTGATTAGAATGCAGATGTTTATTTTTACCTGATCTTACATATTCTTTCTCTATTTTGTTCTATAATCATAAACTATAAGCCTAATTGTATAGATAGTTGAAATCTAATTAGACTTATGGATAGAAATTATTGTCTGAGCACTGAAGTCTGACAATTCCCATTAAGAAATTTAAAAATAAAATGTTCTTAAAATAGTATAAATTAGGATGATGTAAAATTATGAACATGACGAATTATTATTTTGTTTAAATAATCAAAAAATATAACGATATGAGTATGTCTAAATAATCAATCGATTTTCTTCATCATTGTAAAGAATTCATCCAATGAAATTTAACCATCAGAATTAGAATCAAATTCTTATACTACTTATTTCCACATTTCTTCAGGTATTCCACTAAATATCTCTTTCAATTCATCTATAGTTATACTTCCACTTTTATCCTAAATAATTATATCAAATACTTTATCAAACATACGAAAAGTGACTTATAATCTTTATTTAGATAATAACTATTATCTATCTATAGTTGCAATAACAAACTCTAAAATTTAAATCTATATAACAATATACCTGTATAATCAATTGATCCTGAATTATTCTTATCAACCTATTAAAATATACGATTAACTTCTTCAGCAGCTTCAATTGGTTTCATAATTTTTGAATATCCCACTAATAATTCTTCTTTACTCAATTTTCCATCTTAATTTGTATCTAAACATTAAAAGATCTTTAACAATTCAGCCTTTTCCTCTTTTGTAGCCAATTAATTAACAATAAATTTAAAAACAGCTTCTTGTAATTTTTGCTATTCTGTAAACTTTCTCATATTTGTTAAAACTTTGGTCATTAAAGGTTTATCAAATTCAGTTGGATTTGTAAATTTCTTAATCCATGGATCATTTAAAGCTTATTGGGCACTATATCTCTTACCTGAACAATAGTTTGATAATTTAAATACTAGGATCAAGCTAAAGCATTTTTCTAATAAATTCTTTGGCCTCTTTTGTAACTTCTTCCCACTCTTAAGTATCAAATGAATAAACACCTTTCGAAACTTTCTCCATAATTTTATCTTCTGATTTACCATCAAATGGTGGATATCTTTAAATAGATAATTAGTTTTACCCACATAATAAAATATATAAGATTACTCCACATGACCATATATCACATTTTTCATCATATTTTTTTTTTAGAACTTCTGGTGCAATATAATAAGGTGTGCCTAACTTCTAATTTAATTTTTAGTTTGGAACAAATTCTTTGGATGTTCCAAAATCAATAATTTTTAGCATTGAATTTTCCTTTTCAGATTCGTATAATAGATTTTCTGGTTTCAAATCTCTAAAATAAGATATTTAATTTAAATTTACCTATGAACAATCTTCTCATCATGACAATAATTAATAGCAGATAATATTTATTTCATAATTTCAGCTGCTTTTTTTTCTGAGAAACTACCTTCATGTCTAATTTTATCAAAAAGTTCCCCTCCAGTACATAATTCTGTTACTATGTAAAAGAATCCTTCATCCTAATAAAACTCAAAAATTTTAATGATATTTGGATGATCCTTTAATAGTTATGAATGATTACTAATTTTTAAAGCATTTTAACTTCATTCATTAATCTCTCTTATTCCTCCTTACTTGTTTGAGATTTATGAATAATTTTAACAGCTTTCATGAGGTTTGTACTCTTGTGGATAGCTTTTCTTACTTCCCCATATGCTCCTAAAGAGATATTATAATTTATATACCACTTCCCAAAGGTGGATTCAAGAGTGTATAATCTTTTGTGATACGTCCTAGCTTTTCGCTTGTGATAATCAAATTACCTAAACAAGATTGAACTTTAATGTAATATAATATATTTACCATCATTAGGTTAAAGTTTTTAAGGGGAAGAATTATCTGTTTCAGGTTTATTACTAGTGTTCTTAGTAGCTGAATTATTTTGAGAACGTTTTCCAGAGCAAGAGCCCATAAGTTATTATAAATAATAAAAATAAATGGGTACTTGTAGCTAAGGATAGAATATTGAGAATAATAAAGGAAATGATAGAACAATAACGAAGTTAGTGGGGTATTTTTACAGTATTCCAATGCAACAACATCCAGACATTGATAGTTTGGTAATTACAAAATTAGAGAGATAAAAAATAATTTCAAGAGGATTAAGTAAGAATCTCATTGAAGAAATCGTATTCTTTCTAAATTCTCGAAAGATAAGGAATAGTGAATAAGACAATTTACTTGATCATTTTAATTATGTATACAACTAATCATTTAAGAAAATGAATGACTTTAATACAAACCTGGGGAAAATGATATTGATTGTAAAACTTTTATAATAAGATATGTAAGACCACCATCGAAGTCTTATTATGTTTTAAGTCTCTTGAAATGGGAGAGTTGACTCCAGTAGATGTATGGTGGGTAGAAGATCATTTTTTATGGAGGTATTGCCAATTATAAGATCAGTATAAAGTAGAATATGACAATTTTTTGGATTTCAATTATCTAATCAAATTTATGTATCTTTTAAAGGAGTGCACAAGAATTGAATTGAAAAAGATGAATTTTGAATTAAAATAATTGATCAGTTCCATAAAGACTGAACATTAATAATTATAATAAGAAATCCCAAACACAGCTAGAACTGTAGATAGTTTTAGACCATAACAAAAAAGATTAGATACATTTTGAATACTTATATTCATTAATCAAATTCTGAAAACATTTTATATCTTCCTGGACCAGGTGTGACTTTATTAATTTCATAAGGTCCTTTCCTTATAAACTTACTAAAAGTTTATTAAACTACAGATCTCATTCCATTCTTAGAGTATATACCAGAAGAATTCATACCTATATTTCCCAGTAAATATTTTCCTGGCTCAGGATAATCATTTACTAATGAAGATTTTTAGAATGTACCTCCTAATGTCTTAAATCATTCTTGATCTTTCCAACGATACAAGCTCCTGAATTCTGAAATTTAGAGAGTGGATAAACTCCTTTTGATATAATAGCTTGTACATATTAATAATTGCCAGGTCCTTTTTTGATAATTCCTTTAATCATATACCTGGAGTATTAAATTTCTGTAAAGATTGCGTTCTTTACCCAAATGTAAACTTTTATCTTCCTGTAACTTTGCTTGGAATTTAATAACGATTTGGAGGGGGAGTGGATTAAGTTAGAGTCACCCAAATTCCTTAAAGCCAAGTATCTTCTCTGCTTAAAGCAAATTAAATTCCTTTCTTTTCTTAAATGTTCAATTCAGCAAAAACTCTTGATATCATATTTGTTTGTTGAAGGAACTTATTTAACATGTTTAATGAAATCATGTCTACGATCTATTTGGGATAAATTTACTTTTATCCATAACCAATACCAGCCATTCTCTTACTTAAACTATCAGGAATATTGTACATAGATCCATTACTAGGTTTGATTAAAGAGAATACATTTAATTAGTTGAATATGTTTCACAAGAAGCTTTGGCAAATGTGTCTCTTTATTTTGAAATAGAATTATTGTGTGTGGTTGATCATATATACTTTTGGAAGTATTCATGTTTATTATTTTATATTTGTATATATTGGGATATCTATTTTTTGATTATTTTATTTAACTTATTATCAAAGTATGAGTTAGGAGGAGTAATAAGAGGAATCAACTAAATATGGGAAGGCAATGTATGACTATGATTAATATATTTTAAGAAATGAATAAATAGGAGAATTGATGGAACATCTCGATAGAGAACATGATAGTGAAGATGAAGGCATGGAAGATTATAAAATTGGAGGTTATATTCATAAAATAAATATTAGGTTATCATCCAGTTCATATTGGTGAGATTTTACTTAATCGATATGTGATTATTTAAAAATTAGGTTGGGGGCACTTCTCTACAGTCTGGTTGGCAAAAGATTTCAAATATGATACATATGTTGCATTGAAAATTCAAAAGAGTGCTTCTCATTATTTGGAAGCAGCATATGATGAAGTATATAAATTATTTGAAAAATTAGGTTGAAATTCTTCAAAAAGTAGCTTAGAATGTTCAAAACCCTGTTTGGATTCAATCTTTAAAAGAGTATTATGCAGATGTAAGAATATATTATATAAATTCTTAGTAAGGAAGGACATCATTTAATAGAGATGACACTCATACTGTTTAATTGTTAAATTCATTTGTATATAAAGGACCATATGGTCATCATTTTTGTATGGTTTTCGAGATTTTAGGTGTCAATTTACTAGAAATTATTAAAAGATATGATTACAAAGGAGTAATGATTTGATTTAATATTAGTGTCCTATGGATATTGCTAGAAGAATGGCAAAATAAATTTTAATAGGATTAGATTATCTTCATCGAATATGTGGAGTAATTCATACAGATTTGAAACCTGAAAATGTCTTATTATGTTTATCAGATGAAGAAATTAAAGATATAGTTGAAAATGGATAATTGACTTCTAATTAATTGTTTTCAGATAGGATTCATATTTATAGACAAATGTTAGGAATTGATAAAATTAATGTTTAAGAACCAATTGTAAAAAAAGAGGATGATGAACTAAGTGAAAACACTACAAATTTATCTAAAACTTAAAAGAGGAAATTATTAAGGAAAAAGAAATAGAAATAATAACATGAAGAATAAAGAAAGGAATCTTAGGAAGTCTAAGTAGATTAAATTGAAATGCCAAAATCTATTAAGGAATTATTCTAGTAACAAAAGAAGTAATATATTTATTTATTTGATATAAGAATTTCATTTACTCAATAAAAGAAATTGCCAGATAATTTTCGTTTGAAAATAGCTGATCTTGGCAATGCATGTTGGATTCATCATCATTTTTCTACTTTAATATAAACTAGATAATATAGATCACCTGAAGTATTATTAGGTATCAAATACAATCCCACAGCTGACATTTGGAGTTTTGCTTGCATGATTTTTGAAATGCTTACAGGAGATTACTTATTTGAACCCAGATAAGGACCTAATTTTTCAAAGAATGAGGATCATTTAGCATAAATTCAAGAATTATTAGGGAAATTTCCATATGAATATAGTACAAGAGGAGTTAAGGCAAAAGTATTAAATAATCTAAATAAATAGAGATATTTTTTATAGAATGGATAAATGAAAAGGATACCATAATTACATTTTTGGAATTTACATAATGTTTTAACTGAGAAATATAGATTCAAATAAGAAGAAGCTTTATCATTTGCTTCATTTATGATGCCCATGTTACATTAATTACCAGAATATAGAACAACAGCTCAAGAATTATTAAAGAGAGAATTATGTCAGAACAATTTAGATCCATAATAAAAAAGATGTTTACTTAAGAAATATATAGATCAAATATTCTAATTTTAAAATTTTAGGGACTTAATTCCTAGTTCTGGTTGGTTATAATAGAAAACAGATGCTAGATTAGGACACAAAATGAATGAGGAAGAATATAAGAAATATACTAAATAAAAGAGAGTAAATGAAGAAGCAGAATAATTAGATTAGGCTGTTGATGGTATATAACCAACTTTATTATCAAATTATAGAAGAGTATACAATTCTTATTATTATTTTTAGGCTTCAACAAGATCATATAATGGTTCTAATTCTTAGACTCCTTAATAGGATAAATTTAAAAAGTAGGATGGTAAATATGTTGATCATAGAGTTATTGACAGATCCTTTACAGATTTAGGATATATTGGATATGGAGATGGAATTGATTTAGAACAATTGGATAGTACAGGAAATTGGTAATTTAGTTGATCTATGTGATTAAATGTACATGTTGATTTAAATAAATATTCTTTTGATTTCTATTATGATACCCAATTTTCACTAATTGTGATGGCCTTCGAATGCTCTAATATTATGAGCTGTGTTTATTACAAAGTTAGAAGTATCTATTACATATCCTTTTGTTGCTGCTTCAAATAATTCTGGATGATGTACTATTCCTTCCTATTTACAATTAATTATTCATATACTTTCATAAAATATATTACTTCATCTTATACTGTTGTACCTAATTCTTGAATATGATCAAGTTAACATGCTAATTCATATTTTAATTAACCCTCCTCTGTTAAATAGTCAGCATTATCTCTATCATCAAATTATTTGAAATCAGCTGTTAATGGATGAAATTAATAGGTTTCAACCCAATAAACATTTTTATCATTAGCAAGTGTTGTTGTCTCTATTTTAAGTACTTTTCCACCTCTTAATAATGAAAGTCTATGAATTTTATATTATAATGATCTCCAATACCTAATTTATAAGAGTTTTCTATTACCACATTCTAGGAATCCATAAAAATGATGGCGCATATATAAATAGATTATTCCAATACCATGCAATATCTAATGGGTTTTTGAACCAAAGATAAATTGATAAAGGAATTGCTGTCTCATAAAGAATATAAGGGTATTTTAAGAATATTGTAAGATGTTTATGAGGATCACATGAATAGCTAATTATAATAAATTAATATACAGTAAAACCTCTCCTATTCTATCAAACTCAATTGTATAAGTTGGTTTATATATTCTATCTGTTTTTACTACATATTGTGATTCATCATTCATAACTTATGCTTTATGTGCTATTGTTGCATTATGAAAACTCTTAATGTGATTCAATTAATAAAGATTCTTAATACCCAATCTTACAGTGTTTGTTATTCTTGTTAGCATTAATTTAAAGATATTAATAATATTAATATTGTATTTCTAAGATAATAAAAATACTACATTCATTTTTATACTATTTTTTAGTAAATTGTCTAAATATACTTTCTCTTCAATTTAAGTATTGTTATCTTAATGATTTATTGTTAGATGAACACTATTAACTATTATGATTACATTTATTCAATTAGATAATAATATATCCTTATAATGTATCAAATATAAATAATAAATGAAAATTAAATCGTTTTTGAGATGTATCGTTTTTTAGTTAATAAATAAATGAAAGGAATTATTGCTATCATTCTTGCATTGGCTGTGGTCTCAAATGCCACCAGCACAAAAGATTAAATCTTAGCTCTCCTATAAACAGGAACAAAGGCCAGTGATGCCATTGATACAGTCTTTGGATTGCTAAATGATTTAAAACAATCTAACATTGATGCCTAATTTGCTGCTGACCAAAAGAACGAAACAGATGAATGGGTTGGTGCTTAAACCATTGAATAATTCACTAAAATTAAGACTCTTAACCAAAAATTGTTCCAATAAGCTATTGAAAATAGAGCTGAGTATGAAAACGTACTTTAATAAACTAAAAACTATTTGGCATGGAATGAAGCTAGAAGAGACTCAATTGCTGCTAAAATTGAAACACTTTAAGACAATTAATGTTTCTCCAACTAATTATTTGTTAAATCCATCAAGCACAATTAAGAAGCTTTGGAAGTCATTAGACTCCTCAAATAAGATGTTGCTGGATACATTATTAATGGAGATTCTTTTGAATTCACATAAGTTAAAGCCTAATCAGTTGCTGAAAAATTGAAGTAATACAGCAACTTATTCTAAGAACATTAAATCAAATCATTCTTAGCACTTGCATAAGAAGAATAAGTAATTATAATAATATTGTATTCATTAGGCATCAGAATCATCTGGACATGGATAAACATTAGCTGAAAAAGTTTTGGGCGTTCTTGAAGGATTAGAAGCTGAATTAGCTGCCTCATTAGAAAATTTGAAATAAAATGAAATCAATGCCTCATGGGAATTAGCTGGATGGGTCTCATTATCTGAAGCTGAAATAGCCTCATTGGAAGTTGAATATGAAAGAAAATAAGTCTTTGCTGATAGAACTGCCACTGTAATATTTAATTCACTAATTAATTCTAGCAAATCTAAGCTGCCTTAGCATAATAAGCTAAATCAAAGATCATCTTATAAGAATCTTAAGATGCTTTAGATTAAGCATAATCTGATTTGGAAGCAAAGAGAGCTGATTATGCTGAAGCCAAAGCCAAAAGATAAGAAGAGAATGCCATCTTGGATGAAGTAATCATAATGTTCAAGAAATAAGTTGCCTCCTGGTCTGGAAGATGATATTCTTTTTAAAATACAAAATTAGTCAATAATTACAAAATTAATTATTTTAATAAATATTTGATGTTATTGTCTTCAAGAAACTTAAATTATCAATTATTAATTAGTAGACGCATTTAGCAATCAAAATCAACCAGATGTTGTGTCTCTTTTCATTTATTATAAAGCAAACATTTATATTCCTTACGAATCTGTATATATCTTGAACTCTTTTGAATCAGCATCTATGTATTTGCATTTTTCATTTTGGCAAAAATGACATTTAGGATTTTTGAATTCTAATGCACAAATATGACAAATGTAATTCATACAACAATTAGATGCCAAAATAACTAATATAAGAACAAAATTCTACAATTAAAATAGCAAAAGCAAATTGGACATGAATGCTAAGTTCTTTCTGTTATTATATTATTAATAGCTATATCTTTAAGTGGATGGATAGTTTTTATTTTTTTACTCTTATCATAGTATACACCATCAAATTCTTATAAAGTATAAAGACTAGGATTCTTATGATTCAATTTCAAATATTCATTAACAGTGTTATCTAAAATCTTTGTTAAATTATGATACACATTTGATTTGTAGTATTAGGTTCTTAGACCTCTTGAGTATTGCCACAACAGAAATATTTTTCAAAAAATGAAACTTTCCTTGTGCTCTATTAGTTCTGAGCCATATTTATTAAAATTTTATTATTAAATCTAAAAGTTAATTAAACAAATGATCATATTTGAATTAGATTATCTTTAAAATTAAAAAGGATATCTAAAGAGTATAAAATCATAACCTTTTACTAATAGAGATGATAAATCTTATAAAATAATATATTGATAGGTATGACAATGGATTTTAGTCATTAAAACAGGATATTTATATTTTCTTAAGGTTGATATAATTGAGTTAAGAATTAAATTAAAAATTCAAATGTAAGGAAAGTACTTTTGTAGTAGAAATGAATAAATAATTAAGTATGAAATCATAGGAATTAAGAAATCATTTATTTAAAATAAAACAATATACTAACAGCTAATTAATTAAATATAGATGAAGTATATTCGATAATGATGGATTTTAGTTACTTTAATATTAATTTTAATCGATATTTTAATTCAATATTTAGATCATCTTATCAACAATTTCATCCTTTAACGCTTGTTACAAAGAATATATCTTATTTTGGATTTTCATATTGAATTTCTTCATTGGGCTTAGCTTTGACAATAAGCTTTTTCATTAAAAAGTTTTACTGAATATTATTTAAATCTTAATCTGTAATTTGACCACGAATACCATTAAAAAGAGGCTATAAATAAAGAAATAAATTTTACATTTTTTGATTTTCTAAATGGAGAAATGAGGGATGCATCTACATGACTAGTATGTACTACAGAAGATTGAGTTTTAATTTCACATGTATTCTCAAATATTTTTATTAATTTAAAAGTGTTTGATTTCATCTCCTTCATATTTTGATTTATATTTTATAGCATTCTACCTGATATTTTATTTAAATCAAATTTTATCTCTTATTATTCATCTTCATGTTGTTATGTATTAATATCATTTTTATTAGGTAAACTTTTTGGAGTAATTTTATTTTAGAGATACTATTCATATCCTTATTATATAATTGGGACTGTATTGAATGATTATGGTATATCAGTATATAATTTAATTTTTTGATTAATGTCCATTATTTGTTAGTCAATAGACTTAACATTTTTAGGTGATGGTTTTGGAGTATCAAATTTAAAAGAGATTTATCTATCTGATAAATTTTTATGTTTATCATCTTTTTCTCTATTAGATTTCAATGGAGTGGTATATTGAATTCTAATTCCGAATCCAGGTGTTTTTATAGGCATTCCACTTGAAAATGCAGGTGTATTAACTCCTGACATTAATTAAACTTTATTCTGTTTAGGTGAAGGCAATATAACTGGTTAGGAATTAATTCTTAGATGAGTAGATGTATTTTTTCCTAAGTTGATCATATATTTTTCAATCTCTTCTAAATTAGAATCAGGTTTAATAGTTAACAAATAGAGTTAATCAAGTTATGCTTTCAATTTAGGTTCTTTAATAAAGTTAGAGACTACATAGATTAGATTACGTATTGCTGGTCGTATATCCATAATATTAATTGCCAAATTAAGAAGATCTGATTTTCTATATTATTTTTTCTTTTAATTAAAAATCCAGTAAGAGGATTTCATTAATATAAATCTTCTATATGTATAAAGAAATGAGAAATGATGAATACACTTATATTTTATATACATATGTAATAATGTTATATTATAATAGTACTTTTGTAATAGATAATGAGTTCTATAAATTAATATTTAATGAAAAGTGTAGAGCAGTTATTTCCACAATTTTAAGTTATCAATATTTTGAGATAAAATACTTACAAGAAATCAGTAATTGTAAAACGAAGTGGATATAATTACATGTTGCGTATATTTAATCTTGAAGGAATTCCTAAAGAAAGAGTTTAATCAATAATAAAAATCCTTAACAAATTATCTAATCATAAGAATCCTCATATTGTTAAATTTTATGAGGCATCTTTCGATCATGATATGACATACTTGGGGTATTGATAAAAATTAGAAGATTAGCATTGTCAGTGAATACTTAGATAAATAATACGAATACCCTCTGAAGGAAGTTGATATTTGGAATATAATTTAAGAGGTATCCAACATGTCCTATATAGTTATCATTTGGATTACAATAATTTCATCCAAAAAGAGTTCATGGCAAATTATAATTGTCTAATTTATTTCAAAGTAAAGGTAAGACCATTTTGGGTGAAATGAATGTTCTCTATTATTTACATAAATAAAACTATCAAGATATATATTTATTAGCACCAGAATTTATTAAGTCTCAAATATATGATCATAAATCAGATATATGGATGGCTGGTTATATGCTCTATTAGATGATGTTTAAAGATCCACCTATCATAGCTAATAATGTTGATATTTTACATAAAAAAATACTTAAAGGAATATAATTAACATATAATCCAAATTATAGTCTTAATTTGAATAATTTATTAAGATTAATGATGTGTTATGATGCTGAACTTAGACCTAATGTTGAATAAATTCAATACTTTTGTTAACAAGCTTAAATATCTAATGAAGAAATAAATATCAATAGAATATTACCTAAATTCAAAGTAGATAAAGTAATATTACATAAAAAGAGAACTGAAAAGAAATAAGAACCTATTTAAAATATTGTATATTTAAATGAAGATCAATTTAAATAACCATATTTCCCACCTTCTAAAATTATTAAATAAAAAAGACTCTATTTATCAAAATAAACAACTTCAGTCATTGACTTTGGTCCATCTCCAAAAACAACTTATTCTGTTTAGTTACCAAAAGTTCTTAATTATTAATTTAGTAAATTGAAAGTTAAAGAGGCTAGTACAGTTCCAGGTTCCATTGGAAATGCTGAATAATTAGAAAAGTATATAATTAATTAATTTAAGATTGTAAAATAAATCTCAAATTAATAAATTAGAATTTGATAATCTTTTTCCATAAACTAAATAAACTTTACAAACTTAGAGAAGATCTCCAAATAGAATTCAATTACAATAAGAATTTTAAAATAAATAAAAGAGTTAAAGATTATTTAATTGAACATTAATTTATCTTATAATTATCAAATTTCATTTCCTATGAAAAAGAATTTCTAAAAAGAGGCTTTACTTTTTAATGTCTAATCACATAGATCTGAACGATCCAGCAGTTCAAATATCTTTTAAGAACCTTAGTGCAATAGTATATTGATTTGTAATTTATAGAAAACATATTAGCATTGTTAACAAAAAAACCAATTAGATGTGGTAAATACTCTAGTTAGGAAACCATAATATGCGATATGAACTAATCTCATCAAGAATAATCATAAATAAAACAAAAAAAAATTGAATAACTAAAAAATTAGTTACAAAGATTAAAATAGAATTTTGATAATTAATCAAAATAAAAATTGAATATATCTAATATCATAGATAATACAATCTAATAATTGCTTTAAATAAAAGAATGGCTCTAAGTAACAAAATATGAAGAACCTTGGTAAGAGATTATTCAAATGGAGAGAGATATTTATTTAAATGAAGATAATATTATTAAATCCATGCCTCTTCCTCATTTTAATGAAATATTACTTCAACATTAATTATGTATATTAGAATTAGCCTCCCAATCATAAGCAATTTAATAATAGAATTTTTGGATGACATAAATTCATAGTTTACATGAAACATTTATTTAAAAGAATCATCTGATTTTGTAATTACTTAAACCAAAAAAATAAGAAGATCTTGAATAATCTATAGAAATTAGTGAAGAAGATTTTGGTCATTCTTTCGGAAAGAAATATTGATTAATTGTAGTATAGAACAGATACCTTTATAATATAAATTAATTGATATTTTATCATTTCCTAAATAATTCCTTAATAATGTTGAAATCTAAAGAGTAAAGAAATCAATAATAATATAAATCATGTGTTAAAATATAATTTGAAGACAGATCAGAAATTAACTTATTAAATATACAGATTTTCATATACAATATGTTATATTGAATCAATCTAATTCTTAATCTAATCTTCTCTTTCCCTCTTATGTTAATGTTAATGAAACTATAAATTTCACTTTTTTGCCTTCATTTATATCTAAAGTGAATGAATTAATTTTAGTTATTGTTGCAATGCCTCAAAAATATATATAATGAGTATACATTATCTTTGTAAAGTATCAGCAACTTTTACGCTATTTTTAGAAGCATCTCCAAGTGAATGTAATTCTACATTGCCAAACTTTTTTAAGAAGATTTTGGCTACAAAAACTTATGCTTTAAGTGACTTCTAAATTGATACTTATAAATGATTATCTTATGGATCTAATGTTTATTTTTATGTCTATTATTATGATTAATTTTGTTATTATTATCTGTCCATTGATATATAAATAAATATTTATTTGTTTTTCTTAATATTTTCATTTCTTTAAATTATCATAAATAGTATTATGAATAATCTATATAAAAAACATTACAATAGATTTAAATTTGATTAATTATATTAATGTAAAGCTCAGATCCATAAGAATAATAGAAAATTTAGAATTTGTCTCAATTTTTAATTTCATTATAGAATACTTTAGTAATGAATTATTATGAATAGATTTATAAAATGGATTAAACCCATTAAAATGAAGCTAAAAGACTTGATGATTAATTAGTTGAATTGAAGTCATTAAAAAAATAAATAAAACATAAAGAATTATGAAGTGATTTTTTTAAATAAAAATTACTATTATAAAAAGAATTAGAGGTATGAATTATTTTAATAAATTTGATATCATGATCCTCTTTCAATAATTTTAGATCTAACTCTGTCAACTAAATCTAATTCTTATTTTCTGACTGAGGTAGCTTTTTCATATTCTGAAGCGAAATCATTACACATTCTAGTTGCACTGTCAAAGATTTCACCATTTCTAACCTTATTATATTAAAATATCAAATTTACTTTCTTTCCTCTTGCACTATCAATGATGGCTGATTATTAATCTTAACAAATATCCATAGTAGTAATATGATCTCTTAATTTATTTTCTGTTCTCTTCAAATTATTGTAATATTCAACCAAATGAACTCTTCTGTCATCATATTCTTAAATGGATTAATCTTCTTCTTCAGAAATCTTTTATAAGTTAGTATATAAATTCTATTCTAAATTTTATAAAAGTTATTTAAGTCTTTCAAAAACTTCAATATATCTATTTATTGTTTAAATAATCTATAATACCCTCCATTTTATGTGAGCATTTAAGCAAAGATAGTTGAAATTTAACTCATGATGTTAGTTGTCTTTAATTTGACTGCATCTTAAATCATTCTCAAAGAGATCTCAGACATTTAAGCCAATGAAGCACCTCCAGATTAGAAACTATCTAAGATTTTCAAGCTTTCTTATATTGATCTTAAGGCATCAATATGATCTTGTTTTTTAGCATTATAATTTTAAGCACCTGCTTATCTAATTGAATCTAAGATCTTAATATCAGTATCAGTTGCCTAATGTGATAAATATATTTAATTACTTTTTGACTATCCAAATTGTTATCTAATTCAGCATCAGCCTTCTTTTTTGAAGTTGAACAATTTTCATATTATTCAGTTGCTCTATTCAATACTTATTCAGCATCTTTAACATCTTTAGTTCTTAATTCTAATTCTGCACTGCATTGATTTCTTTAATCTGTGTATAATTAATCATGTCTGATTTATTCTGAATCTATAGATGCTCTTAAGCTATCCAAAAAGTTGACTGCTGTATCAACAGAACCACCTGTAGTTAATTTACTTTCTAATTCTGTCAAAATGCTAACCAAGGATGGCTTACTCTTACCAATGATTGGATATCTATTGTTAATATTAATAGAACTCACTTGTGAATGAGATCACCAGCAAAGGCATTTCCTGCTAACAATAACACTAAAGTCACTGCAATTACTTTCATTATTATAATTAAAATAAAAACGGATTATATTAAATACTTAAATATATAATCATAAAAGTTATTAATAAAATAAAATATATGCTTATTATTAGAGTACATCATTGTTATTTATTACGGGTCTGAAAAAAAAAGAAGTTTTATTTAAATTATACTATGGTAGAAGAGATGGGAGAAAAAAATGTGGAGAAATTATTCATCTTGAATTTAAAATAATATAATCAATAATCCACAGAATCCAATGATTTCTTCAATTCTTTTAGCAAAGACCATAAATAATTCTCTAATTACTCATTAGTAATTGAATTGAAATGACCATGAATCATTCTATGTAAATTCTGAGTGGGCACTTGTTAATTTTTTCTTATAAATTACTTAAATATATTCCATATTTTTTCTATAGGATTGAGTTAAGGAGAATATGGTGGTAAAAATAGATATGGTTTTGCAGTTAATAATTTTTAAACCAATTTTGATTTATGAATAGGGCTGTTGTCAAGAACAAGCACAGCATTTCTTTCATTATAATAATGAATTTTTACAAGCCTAATTAGTTATATAAGGTGGTAACAATGAATCTTACTTGTTACATACCCAATCATTACTTGATAACATAAAAAGTTATATGTTCCAATTGCTCCTAAAATTACAATATTTTTTGTCCTCTTCTGATAATTTAATACTCTTTATTATTATATCAATTACCAACACCTGTTCTATCTGGTCTAATGGCCTAAGGAAACCTCATCTAAATAAATAAAGTCATAATTTTCTTTTGAGTAGCTTAAGAATTTAATAGCATATTTCTATCGAAGTAAAATCAAATCCAAATTTTAACTTTTTATGTTTTTTTTGTATGGTAATCTGTAGGAAACTTTGCAGTATTTTTTCAATATTTAAATAAAATAATTTTTACTTATTGCTAAATTATTCNGCACTGCATTGATTTCTTTAATCTGTATATAATTAATCATGTCTGATTTATTCTGAATCTATAGATGCTCTTAAGCTATCCAAAAAGTTGACTGCTGTATCAACAGAACCACCTGTAGTTAATTTACTTTCTAATTCTGTCAAAATGCTAACCAAGGATGGCTTACTCTTACCAATGATTGGATATCTATTGTTAATATTAATAGAACTCACTTGTGAATGAGATCACCAGCAAAGGCATTTCCTGCTAACAATAACACTAAAGTCACTGCAATTACTTTCATTATTATAATTAAAATAAAAACGGATTATATTAAATACTTAAATATATAATCATAAAAGTTATTAATAAAATAAAATATATGCTTATTATTAGAGTACATCATTGTTATTTATTACGGGTCTGAAAAAAAAAGAAGTTTTATTTAAATTATACTATGGTAGAAGAGATGGGAGAAAAAAATGTGGAGAAATTATTCATCTTGAATTTAAAATAATATAATCAATAATCCACAGAATCCAATGATTTCTTCAATTCTTTTAGCAAAGACCATAAATAATTCTCTAATTACTCATTAGTAATTGAATTGAAATGACCATGAATCATTCTATGTAAATTCTGAGTGGGCACTTGTTAATTTTTTCTTATAAATTACTTAAATATATTCCATATTTTTTCTATAGGATTGAGTTAAGGAGAATATGGTGGTAAAAATAGATATGGTTTTGCAGTTAATAATTTTTAAACCAATTTTGATTTATGAATAGGGCTGTTGTCAAGAACAAGCACAGCATTTCTTTCATTATAATAATGAATTTTTACAAGCCTAATTAGTTATATAAGGTGGTAACAATGAATCTTACTTGTTACATACCCAATCATTACTTGATAACATAAAAAGTTATATGTTCCAATTGCTCCTAAAATTACAATATTTTTTGTCCTCTTCTGATAATTTGATACTTAATAAAAAATACTCTTTAAGCCATATTAATTAAAACAATTATTTTCTAGAAATGAATAGTCAGGAATATATAATTTATTAAATGATCATTGCAAACACTCTTTTTTTTTATTATTTCTTAAAAATTGGGGCCTCTTAAATTTATTATTAATGTTATGGCTATATTAATTGATTAATTCTCAGCTAGTAAGATCTTATCTTAAGCTCTATTTTTTCAGATTCATCTCTTTTTTTTTAAAGTTTTGATTTAACATTGGCCAATTTTTATTTAGTTTGCCATTATTTTTTGTCAGCAACCTATTAATGGGTTCTCTTAAAAATTTAAGATTTTTTTTCTCCCAATGAATGTATCATATTATTTCAATTACCTAAAAAATATAAATTGATTACTCTAAATCATCTTTTGTCAATCCAATTACTTTGTCGTGCTCCACAAAATATTTAAACACCTCATTATTTTAATCCAAAGTGTGAAGTACATTTATAAGCCATTTTTTGTCTGGCAATTTATCAATTGTAAAACCTATGTTTATTTTTTTCCCTTAGAGCTTCATATCTAACTCTTAGAATAATTTTAGTTTTGGCACCTTCTTCAATATTTATCCAATTTTAATTTGACTAATTTTGATACGGAAACATTTGTTTAGGGCAACATTAAGTAGATATTCACAAGTTATTGCCAAGGAGTTAAATTCAGGTAAATAATAGTTTTTTATTACTAAAGCATTATACATAGATTCTAGAGAGCCTACTACTTCATTAGCTTCCATCAATGATACGAAATTCTAAAAAATAATTAATAGTCATTTTTAATTTTCATTATCATCTTAATTTAAATTAAGCTGAATATATGAAAATTATTAACATACATCGGATGAATAATGTGTTTGCTACATGTTTTTATTATTTTTAAATTCAAGAAATAAATTAAAAGTTTAAGAAAAATTTAAACTTTTATATTAAAAAATGTTAACGTGTCATTATAATAGCAATTTATTATCAAGATCGATATTATTTTCTGAATTTGAAATATAAAAAATGAATTCAAGAAAAATAATTTCATTCAACAAAAACGATTTAAAAACCCATATCGTATTCATTCAGTATTTTAAATGCTTTTAAAGAAATAATTAAAAATATAATTGATGAATAATAACACATAGCTTTGGAATTAACTCTCAAACAAAAGAAAAAGGCAACTAAACTAACCTATATAATTAAGACATTAATAGTGTACTTTGTCATGTTAACTGTTTCAAGAGTTCTAAAATCAAAATACTCGCATTTTATATTAAGAAAAAGAAGAAATTAAGAACTTAAACCTCAAGAGTTGTAGGGCTTGGTATTAGCACATAATTACATAAAAAAATAATAAAGTTAATAGAATTAGGAAATGGAAAGTGAAAAAAATTAAAAAAAGAAAGAAATGAATTATGAACTAGCAAAAGGGTTGTAGGCATCTGTAAATAAGCTTAGAAGATAAAACTTTTGATTAAAAACTATAGGAGCTTATCTTGGCTTATCAGTAAATTTGGTTTCTTATCTTAATGATAACAAAAATTTTTAAATTGCTAAATAAGCATACTTTAATTTTAATAGAAATCATGTTTTACGGTTAAAAAAATTTATCAAACAAAGTGAAATTAAGGATTTAGAATCATCAATCAATATATGAAAAGTTTTTAGAATAATTCTAATTGAATAATTTAGCAATAAGTAAAAATTATTTTATTTAAATATTGAAAAAATACTGCAAAGTTTCCTACAGATTACCATACAAAAAAAACATAAAAAGTTAAAATTTGGATTTGATTTTACTTCGATAGAAATATGCTATTAAATTCTTAAGCTACTCAAAAGAAAATTATGACTTTATTTATTTAGATGAGGTTTCCTTAGGCCATTAGACCAGATAGAACAGGTGTTGGTAATTGATATAATAATAAAGAGTATTNAAGCATTATACATAGATTCTAGAGAGCCTACTACTTCATTAGCTTCCATCAATGATACGAAATTCTAAAAAATAATTAATAGTCATTTTTAATTTTCATTATCATCTTAATTTAAATTAAGCTGAATATATGAAAATTATTAACATACATCGGATGAATAATGTGTTTGCTACATGTTTTTATTATTTTTAAATTCAAGAAATAAATTAAAAGTTTAAGAAAAATTTAAACTTTTATATTAAAAAATGTTAACGTGTCATTATAATAGCAATTTATTATCAAGATCGATATTATTTTCTGAATTTGAAATATAAAAAATGAATTCAAGAAAAATAATTTCATTCAACAAAAACGATTTAAAAACCCATATCGTATTCATTCAGTATTTTAAATGCTTTTAAAGAAATAATTAAAAATATAATTGATGAATAATAACACATAGCTTTGGAATTAACTCTCAAACAAAAGAAAAAGGCAACTAAACTAACCTATATAATTAAGACATTAATAGTGTACTTTGTCATGTTAACTGTTTCAAGAGTTCTAAAATCAAAATACTCGCATTTTATATTAAGAAAAAGAAGAAATTAAGAACTTAAACCTCAAGAGTTGTAGGGCTTGGTATTAGCACATAATTACATAAAAAAATAATAAAGTTAATAGAATTAGGAAATGGAAAGTGAAAAAAATTAAAAAAAGAAAGAAATGAATTATGAACTAGCAAAAGGGTTGTAGGCATCTGTAAATAAGCTTAGAAGATAAAACTTTTGATTAAAAACTATAGGAGCTTATCTTGGCTTATCAGTAAATTTGGTTTCTTATCTTAATGATAACAAAAATTTTTAAATTGCTAAATAAGCATACTTTAATTTTAATAGAAATCATGTTTTACGGTTAAAAAAATTTATCAAACAAAGTGAAATTAAGGATTTAGAATCATCAATCAATATATGAAAAGTTTTTAGAATAATTCTAATTGAATAATTTAGCAATAAGTAAAAATTATTTTATTTAAATATTGAAAAAATACTGCAAAGTTTCCTACAGATTACCATACAAAAAAAACATAAAAAGTTAAAATTTGGATTTGATTTTACTTCGATAGAAATATGCTATTAAATTCTTAAGCTACTCAAAAGAAAATTATGACTTTATTTATTTAGATGAGGTTTCCTTAGGCCATTAGACCAGATAGAACAGGTGTTGGTAATTGATATAATAATAAAGAGTATTAAATTATCAGAAGAGGACAAAAAATATTGTAATTTTAGGAGCAATTGGAACATATAACTTTTTATGTTATCAAGTAATGATTGGGTATGTAACAAGTAAGATTCATTGTTACCACCTTATATAACTAATTAGGCTTGTAAAAATTCATTATTATAATGAAAGAAATGCTGTGCTTGTTCTTGACAACAGCCCTATTCATAAATCAAAATTGGTTTAAAAATTATTAACTGCAAAACCATATCTATTTTTACCACCATATTCTCCTTAACTCAATCCTATAGAAAAAATATGGAATATATTTAAGTAATTTATAAGAAAAAATTAACAAGTGCCCACTCAGAATTTACATAGAATGATTCATGGTCATTTCAATTCAATTACTAATGAGTAATTAGAGAATTATTTATGGTCTTTGCTAAAAGAATTGAAGAAATCATTGGATTCTGTGGATTATTGATTATATTATTTTAAATTCAAGATGAATAATTTCTCCACATTTTTTTCTCCCATCTCTTCTACCATAGTATAATTTAAATAAAACTTCTTTTTTTTTCAGACCCGTAATACTTATTTGAACTTTTAATCATTGAATAACCACCACTTATTTTATCGTTTACAATAAGAATAATAATGACCTTATTCTAAAGATCCTGAATGTACAATTATTCCAACTAAACTGTAATTGATACCATAAAAAGTGGATTCAAATGAAAATTTAACATGTTGAATTATTTTGTTTTATTTTGGAAAAAACTTAAATCTTTTTAAATGAATAATAAGATATTAAGGTAATTTAGTTATTTTTGTTTTTTTTATTGCAGTTTTTTTTAATGACAATTATCACATTTATAATCTTAAATCAATTCATCTTTAAGAAACTCATCTAAAGATTAATTTATAGCATTTATTTTCATTAATGCCAAGGATAATGTTATAAAACTTCCATTATTTAAGATTTTTTATAACAATTTTTACAAATAATTTCACTAACTATCTATCCTTTAAGATATTTATCAATAACATTCAGTCATTTAGTCTATTGTTATCCATCCTTCTTATTGAAATTATTTATTTCATCTTCCAAAATAGACAATAAAAACAACAAAAATTCTTATGCATCATGTTAATGTTTTGGATTGAATTTTTTGCTGATATTATTACGCAAAGAATTAATTTTTATATAATCATATTAAGTATCTTTAAGTTACCTAAGAAATTCTTAATAATTTGTACAAAATGCCATATCTTATATATGCTATGTATTTATGCTGTTTAGTATTAAATTGTTAAGCTCTTTTATACACATCATACATTATAAACAAGAATGCATGTAACAATAATACAATTCATTCTTTAACCCTTTGATTGGAATCTCAGGATTTTTATCTAATTGGGATACATAAGAAGCAATGCTGATTTCAACTGATTTTGCCCTGTCAGTTGTAGAACTAGCATTAGAGGAAGGAGATGGAGGAATTTTTTCATCTAAGATTTCAGGACCTCCACTATATTCTTCAAGAAGGAACTTCCAAACTGTCTCGTTAACCACATAAAAATCCACATTCCTCACTAAATTTTTCTATTAGAGTAAATCAGTATTGTCAATTAGACCTGGTAATGTACTCGAATTATCATACAGTAAATTTATAATGGTTATGTTAAACTTCTATTTTAAGATATATTTTATAGAAATATTAATTAAAATAATAATATTTATTATTAATAAAATATTTATTTTTTGAATCATTTTTTCCTTAATAGAATATAATTATTTTATTCAGTTGTTCAAAATACAATTCTTCTATATTATATTGAAAAAAATAAAATTATAAAGAAATAAATAAATGGAATTTATATGCCCATACTCCATTCAATCTATACCAATCAGAATCACTATTTTTTTTGAGATCGACTAATCTTTTTATTAATTAACATTCCAATTCTCTTCTAGTGTTTCCTTAAGCATTTCTAAATGAATTTTATAATTTGAGTATTTGAGGAACTTCATTAGAATAAGATGGAGCCTTTTTTTATGGGAACTAGGGGACCTGCTAATTTATAGAGCTGCTTAATTTATAAACTTTATTACATTACTTATCTTCTTCATTCAAGTTTTCACTATAGTTATCAGTGTCTTTTAATGATTAAATATTACAAAATTAAATAAAAACAATATATTATCAAATAAATTCAAATCATTTAATATATTTCTATCTATTATGACACAAATATTTATATATTGTCATAAGTTTTAATAAGTACATACTGGTTTATAAAACTATTCCATTATAAAAAAATTGAAATCTATATATCTCAAGATTTATGTGAATATTAAATCTGAAATTAAAAAAAAAACTTAAAAAATACTAAAAGATGTTCTAAATATTATTTATTTAAATTAATTTTTTATAATAAATTAAGTTTAATAGAAAAGCTAATAGATTATATTTTATTTTTTAATTAAATAAAAATCAAAGCTCATCGTGTTAACAACATCGAATTAAATTGTTTTGGACTACTGAATTAATGAACTTCAAATATGCTCAATTCATTAAATTCATCTTCATTCTCAAATTTACCAGCATACTCCCCAGATACATCCTTATAAATATTTGATTTAATGATACTTCTTTAACTTCTTAATAAGTTAATGTCTATCATCAACTTTACCGCTCAAGATACAATCATGGAGCGAAATAATCGAGATTATATGAATTAAAGTTTTTATTAGATTAATAAATTCTTTTGGAATCAATTTAACTTCTAATAAAAACAGACTATTCTGGAGGAGCTATAGTAAATTAGTTGGATATTGTTTTTTAGAATCGAATAGAAAGAAAGATAGTAAAGAAAATTAATGTAATCGAAATTATAAATTGTTTTGCTATGTTTAAAATATTTGATTATTTAATTAATAACTTAGATTAGTTGTGCTTGAAGTATAAAATATGATAAATTAATTATGATTTCATATAAATTTAAATGTTTATTGCCAGAATTAATTTAGACAATTAAAATAGGATAAACATTTTTGTACTCTGAAGAATCACCAATTGAAGTCTTGTAATAAAATAATTCTCTCTCTTGATATTTTTTTTTTTAGAAATAGGAGATAGTTTTCTACCATTTTGAGTCATTCATCATATATTTTATATTTTATAGGTTTCATAAAAAACATCACAAGGGAATAGATTCAGTGATATATGTTCTTGTGGAAAAGCTCATGTTGCTAGTATATAGTGTTTAAAATGATTGAAATAAGAAAAAAATCAGAAATATTTGGATTAGCAATCATAAATTATTAATTACTATTATTCATTTTTCAGCTAAATCTTCTAATATACAAAAATGCTTAATATAAAATAGTATTGCATGACATAATATATCTATGAATGATTTATATTAATTAAACTAATATCTAAAGATGAATGATAATAGTATCCATTTTAATATCTTATAATCATTAATATATTAAATATTTAAGTGATTTTGGTATCAAAAAAGACCTTTGAAGCAATGTATATTATTAAGGAATCTAATTTCAAATTTTATATCAAAACATCTTTAAAGAGTATCTAATTACTTACTTTTATTAGAGTGTAATTTTGTAGTTTCTTATTCATTAAATAATATTTTCTTGATTAATTAAAGTTCTAATATTATTATAAAGTTTAAATGTTTTTATCTCTTGGATAATCCAACAAGTCTTAAATAATTGTGTCGATTAGTAATAATGGAAAAAGTAGTAATATTTAAGTTATAAGATGAATTTATCAATTAGATAATATATTTCTTTATTATTATTATTTTCAAAATTTATTAAACACAACCTGACTATTTGAATATAAAAACTTCTCTGAATAAAATTTCATACTTACTGAAATTATTTATATTCTCTTAAAGTACTATAATTATTATATTTTATGATATCCAACCTTAGTTATATCAAATAGATTTATTATATATTTTAATTATTTACAATTTATTTCTTAAATTAAATTCAAAACACTTTGGAACTTCTCCAAAAATACTTTAATCATTTAATATTTTTTATTATAATTTAAAACTGGTAAGAAAATTATAATGTTTTGCTAAAGAATATAATAAAGTGGATCATTTTTCTATTTATTAAAAAAATATATGATGATACGCCTTAGAATAGAGTTGAGATGCTCTAATGAATATTAGATGATTTAATCTTGAAAGAGTGAGAGATAAGAAAGAGTTTAATAAGTTAATGATTTCACAGTATTTTATTCTTAGATTTAAGTCCACCTTAAAATAATGTCTGGAGATAATTATTGTCAATTCTAAGGGTGTTCAATGAGAATATAAGAGTAAAGCAAGTACGACTTAATATTTATAAGGATAAATTCTTCAATATAATTTAAATAATAAAATTTTATTTCTTTTTCTATTAATACTCTTATGAGAATATTTCTTTTTTGATTTAATTATGATAAATAATAGGATTTCTAACTATGGATTAATAGTGGGAGATGGTTTAATGATGGGAGATGATTCTCCATAGTTTTTTAATTTAATTAGGTCTCTATCATATTTTGTCAAATTAACCTAGGGTAATAAGTTTTGATACAAAAATTCCCTTATAAATTAAAATTAATATTAAAAATAAATTCAATAAGGGGGATGAGAGGAGATTTACATATTGATATAAGGTTTAATATTCCTTTTTATTTGAATTTGTGTTTTAAAAGGAGTTTGTTGTATGTAAATAATATATTTTTTTTGAATATTAAATTAAAAATGGCTTCTCATTTTTTCTAAGATTTCTCAACTTTTCTTTTATTTTTTCTTTTCTTATCTTATAAAAAATAAAATGATAGGATTACTCTCATCATCATCTTCATCAATTTAATTTTTCAGCTAATAAGCTAAAGTTTCTTGGATAAGGGGTCTTTGGATATCAATGGGTTTATCAATAATCTTGGCATTAGCATTAACTATTTAATCATTAATAGTCAATTATAAATGGACTGGAGGACGTAAAACCTCCTGCAATTAAGAGGACGATGAATACAAAAGTAAATAACTTGATAATTAAAATTTCTTCAATACTTCCTATTTAACTAAAATACATAAATTCCAATAAGATCTCCATATTTCTTAAATTCTTAATAGACATTAAAAGCAAGAACATCTTTATCTAGTTCAACTTGAACCTAATAATTTCTAATCAATTCTAAAACAGGTCGTTATTTTTTAGAAACAACCAAAAGTGGTATGCCCTTAACATGTAAACAGGGCCTCAAGTTACAAAGAAATTGAACAGTATTTTCATCTTAAAATTATAATTCCAAAAATTGCATCTGATCTAAAGAGTCTTAATATTTAAAATAAATAAAAACTCCAAATATCACTAATAGGAGCACTTTATTTATGATGTTACATAATTTCTTAAATTACTTCTTTCTCATTAACTTCTTGTGGAATAGAGAATATGTAAATTGTATTCTTATTTGTATATACTTATTATGGTTTAATAGGTTAGACACTCTCTTTAATTGATTCTCTTGATGAACTATAAGAAGAATGTCTATTTTTCTTAATCTTTTTAACTTTTCTTGGTTCACTAGAAGAAGATGGAGATTTTCTTTTAGATCCTTGCCATACTTATTTATTGTCCAATCTCTTGTTTTTCTTCTTTTTACTTATGCTCCTACTCTTATATCTTCTAGAGGATTCACTACTATCACTTCTACCTTTAAATTATTACTAAAATTTAATTTAAATTTAATACATTTCTTCTTAAGGACCGTTCTAATTATTCTTTATCTAACATTTTCTTGTTTTCTAAATAATTCTAAAAAGAATCACTTAACTCTACAATTTCCTTTTATCTTCCTATAATAATTAAATCTAAGAAATAAATTACCATTTCGTCCAAAATTGAAATGTTTTTTTCCAATATATACTAATTTAGCATTATCATCATTTGACATTCCTATAGCTACATCACAAAATGACCCTTACTAATTAAACATTTACACAATTTCACAAGATCCAGCCAAATTAACTAAATATTACAATACATTACCTTTCCTTTTTATGAAACTCAAAAATTCATTATCACTCATACCATTCATATGTACATGATGCACATAAAAATGTATTTTGAACTCACTATTAGACTAATAACGTTTTCCTATCTTATTTTCGAAAGATGATGAAGGAGATGAATCATTAGAAGAGATACGTTTCTTAATTGAAGTTTTATGACCAGGATCATTTCGACTTTCTTCAGGATACAAAGCTACTATACCTCCATCCTCTTTTATTTCTTATTTTACACAATCTTCTTGTAGTTTTTACTACTAAATCATATTAATTATTTAAAATATTAATAATAAATGTTTTATGTAACCATTTCTTCATTGCATAATTTCAATCTTTACTTACCAAATCAGAATTGTAAATGATAAATCATTATGTTTCTATAGTACAATCATTCTTATTTTGATTATTAAAATATAATATATAATGAATAAATAGAGACGTTAGAAAATATTACCAATACAATAGATTTAGGCCAAACTGAAATTGCTGAAACAAAGTATAAGAGCAACTGAAATTAAGTCTTTAAGATCATCTTGTCTATTTACTGAAACAACTCCTAATGAGAAATTTGATATTATTAAACCTAAGCAAAATCATAATAGTAGTTTAGATGGAAGGACTATGTACATTAAGCCTACTTTCAAGAAAAAGATGAAAACAACTAAAAGGTAATTAAATATATAACAGAAGTCCTCAATCCATGAAAGTTAAAACAAGCTCAATTATAACATAATCTAAAACTACTGTGTCACCTTAAAAACATATTAAAGATATATTGTAAAGTTACATAAAGAGCAAAATCCCGAAAAGTAGAAATACTTCTAAATCTAAATCACCTTAAAAGTTAAAAAAAGTGTAAAGTCCACAATAAAGATAGATTAGAAGTTAAAGTAAGAAGAAGCTAAAATAAAAGTAAAAAACAACAGTAAGTCCTCAAATAAAAAACAATAAGAAATAAAAAACTTAGGTGCAGTATTATTAACCTTAAATAAGTAAAATCAGTTCTATCAGATTAAATACATTCTCTGTAAGTGAAGATCCTCATAAAATGTTATTGAATTCAATAATTGAAGAATTATAGTTAATGAATGAGAAATAAATGATTGAATTATAATAATTTCTAAGAAATATCAAATAAGAAAAGAAAGATGAAGCATTACAAACAAGTTTACATGAAAAATTTGATATGTAAAAACAACATTAATAATTTGCATTTCAAGAGAGTCTTCCTTTAAATATCATAAATGAAATATGTCATCAAAGAGAAGAAGGTATTAAACTTAGAGTTAATATGCAAATGAATGCATTTAATAATTTATTCTAATAACAAAAGATATCTCCTAGATCATTTTAGAATAATAATCAAGCACTTTAATAATGGGAAATCCAATAGACAAAAAAATTACATAGTTATTAAGAACATCTTAATAATATATAGAATGTCACAAATAAGATATAATCAAAAACATAAAAAGATTTACAATACATTTAAGAATTATAATTAAATAAATCCATCGTAATCTAATAGTTATGTATTATTATTAATATTATTTAGAGTAAATTTCATTCGAGTCTAGCTATTTAGATTAATCTGATTTTTAATTAAGTACTCCAAAATAACACAATAATATCAATTTCAAGAGAAAAGACATTATAATTGATGTTGAATATTAACCTTAACAAAATGAATTTGAAATTTAAACTAATGTTGGAACTATCAATTTATTCATTGAAATTCTAAGTTAATATATTATAGGTATAAAATAATCATAAGGTTTAAATTAGAAACCAACTTATACTCATTTATTAAACGAATGAATTATCCTTATGGTTTACAACCCTTTAGTAAACTAAGATAAATACATGGATATGAAGTAATAGATGATGATAAATATTAATATCCAATATAGGAATATATCTTTACTGAATTATAAGTATGATATTATCATAGAATAAGCAAAATAGTTCCTTATATGAAAAGATTCATAATAGAGCCATATTTGATACATTCAACGAAATTCTGAATTAATATCGTCCATTTTATAAATGCAATGGATAACCATATCCATGGTAATATAATAGAAATCTTGTGGTTATCTTATTTAACAATGAAAATATTAATCTATTAATAGAGAAAGCCAAGGAAAAACTAATATCTTATGCATCTGTTTTATGTGGATTAATTAATGATGATGATGAAGAGAATGCTGAATAATTTTTAGATTATGAATAAGTATTGTAAAACTTAGTAAATTCCGATTATTTGTCTCAATTACGAAATGAAAGATTATAGTTATGTATTAACAATGAAGTATCGATTAATCTCATAATTTATAGTTAAAAGAATATGAATATATGTGGTCATATACAGATACAACTGAAACAATAGTTGAAATAACAGATCACATTTTCGAAGATCTATTAAATGAATTAACACTTGAATTATTATGAAATAAATATTAATTCGTTTAATAAATTATAAATTAATTAATAATCTTTATACAATTTCTATTTAAAATTGATAATAGAATCTTATTATAAAGATAGTATTAATATTTATAGATTAAACTTAATAGTATCATAAAATTAATTAAATAGTTTATAAAATTTATTTAATTTCAATTGTACTAATAGGTTTTTATAAGAAATAGTCCATTCCTACTTCTTTACACATTTGTTTAGTCTACATATCAGTATAAGCAGTTTAGGCAATAATAATTGGCGGATCCAAGTCTGCTGAATGGCAAAATTCTATTATTTATTGAGTGGCTTAGATTCCATTCATGATAGGCATTTCAATATCCATAAGAATGACTTGATAATATTATTATTTGAATTTTTCTAATCCTTCTTTACCATTATGTGCTGAATCACATTTAATACTTAATCTTGATAACATAGTAGTTAATGCATAGATATTAACAAATTCATCATCAACAATAAGGATTTTAGCTCTTTCTTCAGCATATTCACTTACAACTTAATCAATTTAAGGATATCTGTGTTTTTTTGGTTTTTTTGGCCCTTCTCTAAAAACGTATGGAGCACAAATAACATCATCTGGTTCTGAAAGATCTTTTTTAGTATAAGAAATTAATAAATACTTTCTGATTATTTTTCAATTAATTTTTATTTTCCTTTTAATGAGAATGTAAATGATGATTATCTTTTATTATCGCTAGGACTAATAAGAAAACTTTATTCTAAAAAGCTTCTACCTGAACTATGTATTTTATTGTATTTAATAGTTCTCCTACTAACAACATCAGGTATATCCATTGTTTTGAGATCCTCAACAAAGAACCAAAATAGAGACCCAGTTTTATTATTGGATTGAAAATGTATACCAGATTCGTAATTAGGAGATAGACCATTACAAATAGTATTACTTATCATTAAACCTAAACCATAATTAAGATTAGACTTTCGTTTATGTGGTTATTGGAGAAACTCTTATAATCTAGTCTAAGTGTTTTAATCCATTCCAGAACCTGTATCTTAGACACTAACTTTAATAAAATATTAATCATGAATAGTTTATTCTTAAACATCAATTGTGACACTACCAGAGAATGTAAATTTTTAAGCATTTGATAATAGATTATTAAGTACTTATTTAAATCTTTATCCATCTGTATATATTTGGAATTCATTCATCTTAACATTAAGTTATACACCTTTCATATTAAGTTGTTATCTATATAATTCAGCTACTTCATGAATTAATAAATAAATGTTTTATATCTAAATAGTAAGTACAAAATTCTTAGATAAGATTAAACTGAAATCTCTAACATCTTAAACAATAGAATTGAGTATGTAACATGAATTCAAAATAGGTTAGATACAAGTATTTACTATATAATCATCATCAATATCTTCAATAGCATTTTCTGCTAGAATTCTTATACAATTTAATGAAGTACTGAATTCATGACTAAAACTGCGAAATAATTGATTCATTAATTATTTAGTAACTTTTCTTTCCCAATAATCTCTAATTTCAAACATTTCAATAAAATTCAAACCTACATTATCATTAATAATTGTTAATTCAATCATATAATTATCTCCAAAAGGTGTAGAACAATCTAATACTTTACATTTAATTAGATCTGTAGATTCTATCAATTATAATAGAGTATCAATTTTATATTTCTTGAATTATTTATCAAGTTTATGGATTATGATCTCTTAAAATATTTATTAAATAAGGACAGGATCATCAGTACCCATAAGTTTACGTTAAGATGATGTTTGAGATATCAATTTACCTTAACGATTAACTACAAGATCAAATTTATCATTCTAATGAATTATAATACTATCTGATGGATTGATCCATGTTTTGGAATAACTATGATTCTTTGATATCTAATGAACTTTATCAATAGGTTGATGAGTTGATAACCAAATTAGAAGAATAAATGTATAACCTATTAATGTGTGTTCATAACTAAATTCTAAATTGACACTAACCACTATAGCTATGAATGGAAGACAAAGAAACATCTTTTTAGGATGATGATGATTCTAGATTGGAATTATATAAAGCAACCTTTTATTGGGAATAATGCAAAATACATCTCACTGATATGTGTAGAACCTATAGTTCTTAATGTATTGCCAACAAGCAACAGTATAAGCAATTCAATTCGATCGTTCTTAAAGTGTCTTCTCTTGAAACGTAATACAAACCATATGCTTAAAACAGCCAAGGATGATAACATTGTATAGACTTGGTAGCTACTTTGTAAACCGAAGAGATATTCAGCCAATGATGCTCCACTTATTCCTACAATATACAAAAAATCAATAATAATCATATTTATAGTAAAGCATTCAAATATTCTCTAATCTATTGGGAATGTTAAGCTGATGAAATTGTTTGTCTAATCAACTCTCTCTTATCTTCCATTTCAGATGACATTATATGAATATCTCTAAAATTAGTATCCTATACCATATGATATACTGTATAATTTTAGAATTCATCCTTACTAATCATCCCTTATTTGTCTTCATCCATGAAATCATACATTAAAAGTACTCTTTATTCAAATGTTCCTTTCTGTAATTGTTAAACATATTTACTAAATTCATCCCATTATATCTTATTTTTCTTAAATAAAACACCATGTAATTTATTAATCATATATTTATCATCAATACAAAATTCTTCTGATTATAAAAATAATCTTGTTCCATATGATCTATTTTCATAATATGTACATAAAATATCAAAAAGAATTTTTAATCCTTATTAATTAACTTATGGTAATGAATAATAAAACATTTTATAATATCCCTTTGAAATCTATTCCATTTTATGTTATGAACATAAATCAATATAACATAATTTACAATAATGAATTTTACATTATTAACATAATATGACTGCTTCATTTATTTAACATTCTGCACATACAATTAAAAGTTATTTTTTTTATTTCAATAACTTTGATATCTAATTTAATTTCTCTAATACAATATCTCTCTCCATTCTATAATATAAAGTTAGATATGATCCACTATCATTCTAAGTTGTCTATTGTAATAATGATTCATTTGGTATTGTTATACTATTCATATTTTATTCATTCATATTCAATCTCTATATCAATTTATTATTCTACTTTTCAAGTCTACTTATTCTATTAATTAATTATTAACATTCATCCTCCTTCTATTTTAATTCAGAATTCTGTCTCTTTTTATTTTTTAAATCCTCTTCCCATTCCGTAACCCAACTAGGTTTATCTGGAATTATCCATTATATAACATATTTTAGAATAACATTTAAAAATATAAACAACAAAAATAACCATAACATATTTGTTCGTGTTACACTTCCATCTGGAAAAAGATAATTATTAATCTAATCTCCTTATTTTAAAAATACTAAAGCATAATTAGTAAAGACTCCAATAAAACTTAAAAATTCCCATATATACATCCAATCACCTATTCCAGCAACTCTTTATGCTTAAGGTCTTTTAAATACACTATTAAAACTGTATATCTTCATTCTTATTTCAATTATATTCATAATCATTGCAATAGTAGAACCTATAGGAAATGCAGCAGTAAATAAAGTAATAAAACCAAAATCTATCATAGTTTCCATGAAATAATTAGTCATTAAATACTTGTAGGCTGGTAATTTGAGACCATTTAATTCAACACTATCCATATCTATATTTTATTATATTTGTTAAGTTGTCAGATTGATTACAACTCTACTTTAAGATTTAAGTGGTACATTTGTTGTTTATTTCCATAATAGATCTATTGGATCTTAATATTATTTTAAATTCAATTTCTCTTTAAACAATTTAAAATAAGAACTTTCTTTATATTTATAAATAATTTATGGAATCATCATTATAGCTATTAAGTAACTAAGTTATTTAATAACTAAAACTGGTACAAGAATATAGAATATCTCTTCATAACTACTATCTTATTTAATAAAGGCTGTATAAAATACTGCAATATAACTATTAATAAATTTGAATAAAACATTTTTGTAAATCAAAGAACTTTCATAATGTTCTTCATATTTATGATTCTCTTTTTCAACAAAATAATGAACTAATGCTGTATATATTATATTTAAAACTGAAACACAAATACCTTATAATACGCCCACTAATAATTTATAATAACTTGAATCTGTATAAGTCTATTAGATATAATCAATAGTAACAAATAATCCAACAATAAAAGAACTAAATAATATCAATACAGGAATTGAAATTAAAAACATTATTGTAGAATGTCCTTTCTATTCGTATTTTTCAATTTGATGAGTAATATGATTCATATATTCATCTCCTTAAAATTCTAATCTTGTTGTTAATTCTTATTAATTCATTTAATCCAATAAACCCCATCTTGCATTCATTTCACATTATTTCCTCTTCCAAAATTCAACTGTTATTGTTGACCATATTGACATATATATTACATAAAGTGGAAGGAATAATGAATTAAAATCATTAATTGCCAAAATATATAATTAAAGAATAAGTCCTGGAATTGCTGCAAATATCATAAAACAAGTTAAATAAGATTTAAATGCAAAAAAATATGCAATTTATTCTCCAAAATATAATCTCAAAATTGAACATGATTAAAAATTCTAAGTTTATCCTTCTTTAAAATAATCTTATAATTATTTAAAAGGTTATGTATGATACCATTTCTATTATTCTAACCATTATCTTCTAATTTTAGTTGTCCCTCCAAATGAATGCATACGATAAGTATCTATAATTACTTTCTATTATATTAATTCCTATATATTTAGAATCCTATTCAAATGTTCTTCAATAATTGATTATCTTTAAATAGAACGAAAAGGTTCAAAATGACCATTTGAATCATATGGTTCATAATCATAACTATCCAATAATTTTACTTAAACCTTTTAAATCATAGCTTACATTTATAATTATGCCAATGGACTTCTTAACATCAAATAATAAAAATTATCAATATGGGATTTTGATAAATATACTTCAAATTTAGCATTAATAAGAACTTAAATCTAAAAATTTAATTTTGTAATATTTTAAGCATTACATTTAATAACAAAGTCAGGAATAATAAGATCTTAACTGATTGAATATAGATTATCAACTTCTATTTCTTTGATGGCTTAAAATAAATATAAATTGCGTTTATGAACTGGATCATATTTTTATGTTGGTAATTTACAAGTAAATAGAAAATTTTATATATTTTTAATTGATTTTAGTTTAAGTTTCTCATTTTCTCTAAATATTGCACGTGTCTCCTCAGAATTACTAAAATCTACTGGAGTCCAATATTCACTATTTTAAATATCTATTCTGCATCCAAATTATATTAAATAATTCATCATTTCTATATTATTTGACAATACAGCTATATGTAAAGGAGTGTTTCCAAATATATCTACTTGATCTAATAAAGAAATTTAATTATTTAAATAATCATATTCCCATTCATCTAAGTGCACAAGATATTATTAATATCTTTTTTTATAAATTTTCATTTCTTCCTTTTTAAGTGAAAAAATCCTATTATTTTAAGGAGTAGCATTACGAGATAAAAGCATTCCCTAAGAAAATGGTTTAATTTAACTTGAATGTAAAAGGTACAGAAAAGCTTCAATATTTGAATTCTTGATAGAGTTGTGTAATGCTGTTGAATCCATATATATAGCTAATGGATAGAATCTATTGAGTGCTGTGAATCTTTCTAGATTAGTTATTCTGAAATGACATGACCAATAAAAAAGAGACAATCTTAAAGCTGGATTTGAAATGTATCGTTCATATTCACAAAATCTATCATAAACTAAATTCTTAACTCTTTATGACACTCTTGATCTTTCATAGTCAATAAGGAACTAAATGAGGAATTCAATTATTAAAGTTGCAACAACTTTTTTGTTATTCCGTCCCGCCAGATCTAATGGATAATAACCTTCATAGTCAGTTTTGAAAAGTATAGCTTCTTTTTATATGAGAAGCTACATGCTTTCCAAATCTCCATAGAAAGCAACCCAATGAACTGGTGCCCAAAGAGTTCGAGGATTAAAACTATTTAAATCTCCATCTTCAAGAAACTATTCCAAACAAGCTGCTCTTTCATTATAATTAGCAAAACAGCACATCTATACTGCATTGATACCAAATTTATCATTTAAATTAATGTAAGCATGCATGGGCTATTGCAATTTTGAATATTCAGTCAAAATTTCACGAATAAGTTTTGGGTTTTATTGAAGAGCAGCACGATGAAGAAGATTACGACCATTGTTATCAACTGTATTGAAATCAATAGTTGTTTATTCAAGAGAACGAGCAAATTCAATATCACCAATGCTTTGATTGAGTTCTTCCCTTTCGACAAATATTTTTTATATTCGATTAATCATTAAATTGATTACAAAAACATAAACATTTATTCCTCTAATCTAAGTTATTTTACACCATATTCATTATTTCCATATCTATATAAATGATCGAATTTCCCATATATATCCTCTTTCGATAACTAAAAAGTGATATTAAATTATATACTTTTGATTTTTCATCATTTTCTGTAAAATCAGTAATCTTTTACAATCCTGAGAATAATAACAATAATTTTAAAGGTTATTATGATAATTATCTTGGATTAAAAGTAGTAGTCTATAAAGTTTCATCACTTTTCTCTGTTTCAATCAAAATCTTCATATCGAAATCATCTTAAGATAATACATTATTTTTATACCTCTATCTAATAACCTATGAAATTTGGACTCTATAGTAACAGTATAACCCCAATAATAGCCTTCCTTTTTAGCATCCTAACTTGAAACAGGAGTACCAGTCAAATGAGTAGATGTAGGATCATCTAATTTTAATGTGACTCTAGTTCCTGGTTACAATGGATAATTAATTAAGACTTATCTTTTTTGTCCAATTTCCACCCAAGATGTATCTCCTTTACTTGGTCTTTCAACAACAACACCTTCTCTATAGGGACATACCTATTCTGTCAATAAATGATGTTTTGATTCTATTGGATTCATGAGACCAACATTTTTTAAATCTGAGTGAATTGGAAACAAGTACTTTCTCAAATATTATGGTGTTTCCAAATATTATAAATTTCTTACAACATATGATGCCACATCAAATTATTTACTTTTTGGTATACTAAAATGTATATATGTACATACTATGAATAATCTCTTAGGATGATTACTTCATCTACTTGAAAGATTGCAAACATCCTTGCCAATTAAGACATAAAATAACTTCTCAATTCAGATGATTAAGCATTAGAGATAATTGAATCTGGAATGGCAATTGTAACATGTCTTTATTCAACTGATAATTCCTTCTTTTATTGTTCCTTTTTCTTTTTCTTATCTTTCTTAATCTCTTGTACTTCTTAGATTACTTATTCTGGCTACTTCTCATCATCAAACTTTACAATAGATTTCACTTTATTCTTTTTATCCATAATTAAGATATATATATTTATCACATGAAATCATCATCATCATCAACGTTATCAAAGTCTTCATCTTCATCTTCTATTATATTTTTAGTCTTTCCAAATGATATTCCTTTAGGTGGACCTTACTATTGACTCTTCTTCTTTATAGCTTCTTCTGCTTCAAATTGTTTTCTCTTTTTAATATAAATTTCTTCCACTGTCTTAAATAATTCTTCATAATGATTCAATAATAGTTTTCCTTCCAATTTAGTTAACAACGTCTTCAAGAATTCGGTTGTATAATTAGGACCAACATTTTACAAAGCAGCAGCAAAATTTTCACCAATTTTCTTCAAATCCACTTATCCAATATTCTTTTTAACTGGTTTGTCTCCTCCAAATAAATCAAAAACATTATTCATATCAGATTCCTTTGATTGTACTTCTGATTTCTACTATTAAGTTTAAGGTTATTTAGACTTGTCATCTTACTTCTATTCTTACTTTTCCTCTTATTCTTCGTCAGCATATTACTCCCAATCCTCTACGTCTGACATTTGGATAATTAAATTAAAGAATAATCACAACTTTAATTCTCACTTTATATATACAATAATATTTTACGAACTCTTTCCTTTTATATAGTTTTTTTACTTAACTATTATTATCATAAATCTTTATTAAATCTTATTTCTATTTAAATCCAAAAATACACTAACAACTATTATATAGATGAATTTTTGATTATATCAATTATTCACTCAAAAACCCTTTCAAAAGAACTTATAAATATCTATTAACAGACTAAATGCAAATTCATATTTGAATAGATATAGATTAATAATATTGTAATTACATAAATACTGTCAACAACGATCAAATTATTATTATATAAATTTTTGCATGTCTCCACCTATTTTAACATATTCTTCATATAAATCTGACACCATTATATTTCGACCTGGATGATTGGAAGGCAATTTATTCTTTTAGGTAAGAGCAGAATCAAAAAATAATCTCTTTATAGTTTATTCAGATGGTCTTTGCATATCAGATAATCTTAAAGCATTTTCAGATGGTCTTTAGACTTCAGATCTTCTTTCATAATTAAATTTTTAGAATTCTTAAAAGGAACTCTATTCAGTTTTCCTTTGATATTCAGTAGCATAATAAATATTTTTTGGTTCATTGCTAGAATATCTCTATTCTATATTAATACTAGGTCTGGATTCAAATTACAATTAATAACTCAAACGAGCATCTTAAGAATATGTCTTATGATCTTCTTATTTCTTTTCATAATTTACTGATCCTCTAGATTCATATCCAGAGTTGGATGATATTACTTAATTTTCATATGATTATTATTTAGGTTTTATAATGTCTGGTTTATTGAGATTGCTCAATCTTTAATCAAAATAAATGTTATGTTCCTCTAAATGGCGTTGATCCCTTTCTTTTTTTTCAAAATTGCGATCTATATCCACTTTTTGAGTAAATTTAGCGTTACCATTTTCTATTTTTGCTGGAGTTTAGTAAGTATTAAGTGAAGACATAGTAGTAGAACTATTACGCTATTCAGGTTGAGCATGAACAGGCATAGAGGCTCTTTGAGTAAACAAATCTGTTTTCATTTTTGAATTTATTAAAGCTTTGTTGATATATTTATAAAGATTAATTGAACCTTCCTTATTGTTTGATAACTATTGTATACCTTATTCTATTCTAAATATGATGGTTTTGACTAATTAATAATCTTGAGTATTGATTATTTCTTATAAACTGGATATCATTTGATTTAATATTTTTTATGTGTATGGCATATTCTCTTTTTATAATTCCTATTGCAATTTTTATTTCAAAGTTTATAATTTCATATTAATTCTTTGTATTGACATTTATTTCTAATCATAAAATGAATCCTCCATTTTTGGAAATTAAGTGTAAACTGTCATATCTAATTGTGTTATTGGTTATTATGCAGGAATTGATTTTTATTCATATGTGGGTATAGTATTATGGACAGATTAAAATGAACTAGTTTTAGTAGGACTTTATTATTGACTTCCATTTGTTTTTTAGAAACTCTATTAATAATTTAGATTAGATTATCCAACTGTTATTGATTAAGCAAATTGTGCTTAAGCTTTATTTTTAACAGCTTAACTTGAATGTTTACTAGATTAATTAGATTAAAAAGTAAATTGTTTTTCTGATTCTTTTGCTTTATTTGATTAAGGTTATAATTGAGATTCACCTGCATTAATACGTGATCGTAATAATTATGATTTTTCTTATTGAACTTAGGATATATTCTTAAATTTTGTAAGAAATTCTTCTACTAGATTAAACATTTAAGTCAATTATTATTCCTAATTGAATCATATTCAATCTTATACTTTGTATACTGGTATTGTACTATCTGCAATTGATATAGCTGATAAATCTGGATTGTTAAATTTATCTACAATTTANATGATATTACTTAATTTTCATATGATTATTATTTAGGTTTTATAATGTCTGGTTTATTGAGATTGCTCAATCTTTAATCAAAATAAATGTTATGTTCCTCTAAATGGCGTTGATCCCTTTCTTTTTTTTCAAAATTGCGATCTATATCCACTTTTTGAGTAAATTTAGCGTTACCATTTTCTATTTTTGCTGGAGTTTAGTAAGTATTAAGTGAAGACATAGTAGTAGAACTATTACGCTATTCAGGTTGAGCATGAACAGGCATAGAGGCTCTTTGAGTAAACAAATCTGTTTTCATTTTTGAATTTATTAAAGCTTTGTTGATATATTTATAAAGATTAATTGAACCTTCCTTATTGTTTGATAACTATTGTATACCTTATTCTATTCTAAATATGATGGTTTTGACTAATTAATAATCTTGAGTATTGATTATTTCTTATAAACTGGATATCATTTGATTTAATATTTTTTATGTGTATGGCATATTCTCTTTTTATAATTCCTATTGCAATTTTTATTTCAAAGTTTATAATTTCATATTAATTCTTTGTATTGACATTTATTTCTAATCATAAAATGAATCCTCCATTTTTGGAAATTAAGTGTAAACTGTCATATCTAATTGTGTTATTGGTTATTATGCAGGAATTGATTTTTATTCATATGTGGGTATAGTATTATGGACAGATTAAAATGAACTAGTTTTAGTAGGACTTTATTATTGACTTCCATTTGTTTTTTAGAAACTCTATTAATAATTTAGATTAGATTATCCAACTGTTATTGATTAAGCAAATTGTGCTTAAGCTTTATTTTTAACAGCTTAACTTGAATGTTTACTAGATTAATTAGATTAAAAAGTAAATTGTTTTTCTGATTCTTTTGCTTTATTTGATTAAGGTTATAATTGAGATTCACCTGCATTAATACGTGATCGTAATAATTATGATTTTTCTTATTGAACTTAGGATATATTCTTAAATTTTGTAAGAAATTCTTCTACTAGATTAAACATTTAAGTCAATTATTATTCCTAATTGAATCATATTCAATCTTATACTTTGTATACTGGTATTGTACTATCTGCAATTGATATAGCTGATAAATCTGGATTGTTAAATTTATCTACAATTTATGAATATTCCTAGGCTACTTGATTGGCATCCAATTCTAATTAATGTTTGATAGTGTTCCTTTTATTTTATTATTCTGGAGCTTTAAGAGTAACAGAATATCTCTCTAACATGTCTTAAATATTATGATTATTTGATACTTAATACTTTATCTTTTAAGTGTGACATATCATCAAAGAGATCATTTTCATTCAATAATCGCTAATTTTGTAATTTCTGAGATTCAAATTTCTTGTTCTCTTCTCCAAAGGTTAATCTAGCTATTACATCCTTTTTTGGTGGTGGATCTAAATCAAACTATGGTTGTATTGGATTTAGAAACATCTTATCATGTCTTGATTATTCATTTAAAAACTATAATTTGTTATTAATTCACTACATTTGAGGATTCGTTAAGACTTCCTAATATTTATTCATCAACATGAGATACTCTTTCTGAAGGATTATATTTATATTTATTCATTATATCCTATACTGATGGTCTTTATTATGTTGATTGCACATTATTTTTAGGACTAGATGCTCCACTATTTTTGAAAAAAGGATTCGAAAACATATTTTATTTATTATATATATATTTTCTTCTGTTTTTTCAATGGAATGAACATATATTTTATTGAATATTTGTTAATTTGTATTTTAAATATCAGCAGTCCACAGTTGAACTCCATCCCATATAACTCATGTGATCTTAAATTGATGGAACAAGGACTGAATCTGAGCAATTAGGATCTTCATCCAATTAGCAAACAGTGTATGAACTCTTGTGATACCAGATTTCTCTATCAACATGATTGAATCCAAAGTTCTCAGGTGGAACCTAAATGTTATTTTAAATTATCTTACATGTGGAACTGCATCCTTTTCATGAACAACTCTGAAATGAGTGACCTTTGTGAATGATGAGAAATAGTTATAATAAGCTGTATCTCCAACTCTTGGTAAACCAAAAGTACTCAATTGAACTGTGTATCCAGCAATTGCCAATTCAGTTGTGTATAAAGTGGCCATAGCAGCTCCCAATGAGTGACCAGTTACATGAATAATGGCTTTTGGATACAATCCTCTGTATTTTGTGAACAAAGAATCAACTTAGGGCTTGATGGAGTTAAAGGCATCCAAAAATCCACTGTGAACTTAGCAATTACATGCTGTGTTGTAATTGACCTTATCAAATTGGATGTTGTCCAACCAGTTTTGAATGTTGCTAGAACCTCTGAAGACAACTGTGATGGCATTGTATGATGGGTTGTAGGCTATGTATCCTTTTGTACCCTAAAATAATATATTTCATTATATCTTACAGCAATGTTGTTTTCGAACACTAAGGGCTTTTCAATATTGGGGTAATTGGTGCTAACATATCCAACCTTCCATGTGTTGATGGCTGTGTCTGGACAATAAGCAGCAAAAGACAAAGCAGCCTCTTCAGTTGCTAAGGCTTCATTATAAACGAAAGCACAATTGATTGTTGCGGCTAAGACAACTAAAATCAAAACTGATGATCTCATTTAGATTTTATTTATTTAAATATACTCACAATTTCAAATCTCTCCTTTTAATACCCGTATTATTAATATATATATATTAATTATAAAATGCATCATAAGATATACAGTTTAATATAAATAACACGACATTGTGAGAGATTTTATTTCAAATTACACATTAATCTAACTGAAAAATAGAAAAATTTATTACTCTTAATTAACTCTAAAATTATTTAACTCCAAAAATTACTCTAAAATTATACAAATTCTCCAAATAATTATATAGAATTTTATTATTTCAAATATACTAATAACCTAATAATAATAGGTTAAGGTTATTATATTGGGTAGAAATGTATAATCAATTAATTTGAATAATTGTTCTTTTTTTATCTAGAATATATATAAAATATATAAGTAATATTATTAGTTAACTAATTTCTAATAAATTATTCATCTTCATGATTATTCTTAATTTATATTATATAATATTAGAAAGAATATATATATATATATGATATTATATTAAATCTTATATAAATACCAGAAATTATAATTGTGAATTCATGTGAAATATTAGATGATTTAAGATATTTAATATTAAAGAAAATACTAATGTAAAAAAATCTTATATATATTAAAATACTATAGATTAGAATTGATAGATGATGTCACATATTTGATATTATCATTCTGTGAATTATTCTTTGCAAGAATTGCTAGACCATCCTAAATATGTTAAATGATCTGTCAAATTTGGACTATAAACAGAGGCTGAACATTTTTAATCTTCTCCCTTTATTTCCTGGCAAATTATATAATTTACTCCATCCTTATACCAAATTTCAGTATTAACATGTTCAAATTCATATCTGACAGGTGGTAGATGAGGAGCAATATCCTTCTTATTTGTTAATCTTGAATGGGTAACTTTTAAAGTTGAAAACCAATCATAAAAATCAGAATCACCAACTCTTGGAGATCCAACAGTAACAAGCGTTACTTTAATTCCCATCATAGATAGTTCACTAGCAAATAATGTTGCCATGGCTCCTCCCAAAGAGTGTCCTGTAACATGATATTTTGCATATGGATATTTAATTCTATACTCACCTAGTAACACATCTAAATGAATTTTAAGTGATGTATAGGCTGCAAAGAATCCTTCATGAACTTAACATTTGCAAATGATATTGAATTCAATTTTCTTTGCATCTATGTCAGCTATGAAATTCTTTATATTTGAAGAACCTCTGAAAACAACAGTAATAGCTTAACTATGTGAATTATAAGCTATATAACCTCTTGTTTCCTATGAATAATTAAATATATTACTAGCTCTATGTTTTCAAATATTTAAATCTTACTCAAGTGAGGATATTATTAACTTATAGTACCAACATTCCAACTTAAAATGTCTTCTGGATGACAATAGGCAGCAAAGGATAAGGCAGTTAATTCATTAGCTAAACTTGGATCATAATTAAAGGCAGAAACAATTGCAATGAGAGCAAATACAATTTTCATTTTTTAAATATTTGTCTTAATGTAGTATCCTGACCACAATTTATACTTAACAAATTATATAATATTATTAAATAATTAATTTTGATTTAGTAATGACTTTATTATTTTTACTATCTATGAATACAATTATCTATTATCTCTCTCACCTTTATAGAATTAATAAACTATTAACTTTAATGTATCCAATATACATAAATAAATTAATCTACAATACTAAAAATCATAATTTAAATATAATAATTATCTCTATAAATTTAATAATGATTTCTAGTATTGTATATATTTTTAATCATTGTTTATAGATATACTTCATTTGCATATAAATAAATGATATTTATTAATTGTATAAATAATTAATAAATTATTTTTCTGTTATTAACATAAATGAACCACAGTTATTACAATAAATCCAACAGCAATTTAACTCCTGGCAAAGCAAAGTCACAACATGTAACTTAAATTTAGTTGTAAGACATTCAATTTAAATTAAGAAACATTAGTAAATATATTAGAGATTCCTCTACTGAAAACAATAAAAAAGGAGATAATATGTTGAATACATTAATCCAATAGTCTTAATAAGCAATACAATCAGCTAGATAATTTAGTATTGATAGACCTATTAAGACATCTCCTATTGAATCGTATATTTTCCCATAAAAATCAAATAGATCTCCACATATTCAAAAAAAAGTAATCAGCACTTCTTAAAATTTGTCTTCCTAAATTAGAAAAAGCACAGAATAACAACAAAGAAGCAGTGCATAGTTTGATAGACTACTTAATGAAAATACTTCATTGTTGATGCGAATCTAAGAATTAGAACAAAAAGTAAGAAATTGATGTTAACAAGTGAGAATTAATTATTATAAATGAAATGTTAGTGCAACAATTAGAACAATAAAAGATCATAAGAAAATGTACTCAAAATAACAAATTAAAATAAAGGTGATATAGATGAATTCTTACAATCACATCATTGTAATGAAAATGAAAATAGAATATTAAAAGAATTAATAAATAGGTAATCCTCTATTATGCATATCCCATCAGTCATTTAAACACTTTCACTTATTAAATGAAATCATAATATATAAATAATAATAACTCAAATGATTTCATTAATATTCTTTTAATTTTATCTATTAATTCCATAAATAATCTAAATTTTATATTGATTATAGAATATATTGTTATTTTCATAAATTTATCTTAAGATACAATATTGTTATATTCTACATAATAATTAATAAAAATAATAATCATTATTTTCTATAAAAAGTCATATTAAATATTGAATATATTTCTATTTATATTAAATATTAAATTATTAGATAATTTATTATAAATCTGCTCATTATATTTTGGTATGATTCTTCTAATAGAACTTTTCATACTATTATAATTAATTTTATTTAAATCATAAATATATTTATTAAATAAGAATTTTATTATAATTTTTATCCAATTCTTCTTTTATCCATCTAAAAAGAGTTGAAGATGATTAAGAATATTGATAATAAATAATTTTTGCATAAAATTTCTTTGATTTAAAATGTTAAAATTGATTTTATTTTAAATTAGCCAATAAATAATTACAACAATTTTTTGTTTAGGTTCATTCAATTCTGATTGAAAATGTTATTTAGTTTATTATTTAATTCTAAATAACATAATTTAGTATCATAATTATAGATATCTATCCATAATAGTTTAGATAATTCTTAAGTATTATTTAATATTGAATAAGCATCTGATGATTGTTTTTTGATATTCCAAATATTTAAATACTTTATTAACTTGAAATAAATTTGACATTCTGATTTTATAAATTAAGATATATTAATATGTTCTATATGTATTTAATTGTTGTATAGTTCAAAACTTATTTAAATTTTCATTATTGCATAAGATTATGTGATAATGATAGAAAATTTCATTAGATTCTAAGTTTGTTTTAGAAAAGTATAGAAAATATTTCTTTTTTCTCCAAAATATCTCTGAGATAATGAGATTGACTATATTATTTTGAATTGCGTTTAGGTATACAAATATTATTGTTATAATAATTATTAACAAAATTATATTCAGTGATTTTTTCCTAATAATCAAATACTTTTTTCTTATTTCTTTTTTTTTTAGATAGCAAGCTCTTTAAATTTAGTTTCAACAACTTGTTTGAACTTCTTTTCCTAAGAAGATTTATTTTTAAGGCTATTTCTAGCATTAATGAACCAATTTAAGACCTTTATATAATAGAGATTCAAATGTACTTATTTATTGGTGAGATTTGTCTATTGAACTAATTATTCAACTTATTATTGCTTTGGATATGGATTATTATAGTTTTCAATTAACCATTTTTTAAGTATCATATTAGCTGATTTAGAGTAAGTCCTTTTAGTATTAACTAAGAAATGAATATAAATGGATTATACTTGGGTAATTTGATAACAATTTTAGTTTCTATATGTCTTCATAGAGTTTTATTTTGTTTTAAATTTGAGTTGTGACTTCTTCAAAAAATTAGGTTGTTTATGTTTATGTGAATGTACTATATATTTTATCATCAATCATTCTCTATTTCAGCGTTTCAAAAAACTTTTTAAGTAAAGTATTCTTGTCAACAGTCTATGATATAATATATAAAAATCAATACACTAGTTTCTTAAGTGCATTCTACATCAATAGAATCGTTTTTTTTTATCATTTCTTCTGTTAAGCTTTATCCTGTCTATTATTGAGTAATCCAACTAAACCAGATATGTTATAGTGTTTTCATCTCTTATATTGCTTTTTGTGCTTTTGATTCGTTAACTAGAAGTATTAAATATCTTTTAATACCTTATTACTAAAGTTATAGGTAAGAAGATTCTTTCATATCATCTTCTTTTATGGTTTGGAATTGCATATTTGTAGAGGAATCTTTTTTATTTTTAAAATTGATTAAATTAAAGTCAAAATTTTACTGATTAATAGCATATCAGCAGAGCAGATGAATGACGTAGGTATAGATTTTATGAAAATACACAATCAGTATTGGAAATAAATTTTTGATATTATACAAAATAACTGAATTTTATATCATTAATTTTAGGTATTAAATATTTTCTATAAATTAAGAAATAATTTGATTCATTAAATAATTATTGAATTCACATATTAAATTAGGAATATATTTAAGTGATTTTATTTCTAATATAATTTTAGTTTAAGTCAAACAAATTATTTTTAATTCCATAATCAATTTTAATTATTTGATTATATACAACTCAAACGCATAATTTTCAGTATGCTTTTATTAAGTATATTTGAGTATTATGCATAATTACAATAATTATTAGAGAGAAAATCATTTTATTAATTAGAATAGATAATAAGTATAAACAAAATAAAAATGAAATAGAAATATTATAATTTAAAACATTAGAAAATAATATATTTTATTTTATCTTATTCATATCCATATACATAAAGACATTTTAGGATCATAGATTAACATATTTAGATTATTATCATATATATATATCAATTAGATACATTATTTGCTATTTCTATTATTTTTTTAATTAATTAATGGATTATTTGCCATATTGCTAGATTCATGATCAACCAATTATTTTTTTAGATCTATAACCAAAAATATCTAAAGGGAAAAGAGCCCTTTGTAGATTTTGTGAACTAAATGGACCAACTCCAATTGAAATAGCTTTAGGTATAAAAAAAAAATAAATAAATTCTGAATTGGAATAATACAATGAATATTTTTCAAGCTTTTTGTATTCAATTGAAAGAACAATAAAAGATTTGGACACTGTGAGAAGTTAATTTTCGAAGAATATCGAATAATTAGAAGAAAACCTAATTAAAGAGAAAGAGAAATTACTTTAAGAAAAAAATGAGGTTATATAAAATTTGAAGTTGGATTTTTAGTGTTTAACTATTACTCAACTTTAAAATATTGGAGAAGAATTAAGTCAAAAGAATCCATAAAACTCATAAAACTTTGAAAAGAATAAAGAGAAATTTGATCAAGAAATTAATTAAATTATGAAATGCAAAGAATTAAAAATACTATCAGATATAATAACTTTATAAGATAAATTAACACTAATTTTAAATCAAAAAGAATCAGAACCAAATCAAAATAAAGGTTTTATCGAATATAGTCTTAATAAAGAAGAACTATATTTGAAGTAGAAAAATCATGTATTATTGATAGGTGGCAGTGGGAGTGGTAAAACAACTCTATTTAATAAAATCACTAATTCAAATTTAAATGTTGAATAAGGATAATCAATTACTAGCGATATCTATATTAAAAACTCATAATATGGAGAAGGATTTACATTATTTGATACACCTGGCTATGTTAATTAAGGAATGTATCTCAAAACATTACCAGCATATTTATATACATTAGAAAACTTTGAAATTTCTAGAATAGTTGTTGTTATTCGTTTTAATCGTTTATATAATACAATAGATTCTTATGACGATATATTAACTGTATTTTAAAGATATAAAGATAAAATTACAATAGTGATTACTTTTTTTGATTAATGTATTAAGAAAGAATATGTTTAAAATTAAATAATATCTTAATTTTAGTAACACAACATCAAATCTATAATTTTTACTTAAATTTAGGATACTGGTGAATCACTCTGTAAATTATTAGATACTTAGATAAAATCTTCTTATCAATAAAAAATTTAATTAAAAGAAACTGAAATTATCCAAATATTGAAATTGGAAGAAGATAAAAATTGTTAATGTGATATAAAAGATAAAGAATATAATTTAATTTGTAAATTAAAAAAAATCTTAAAACAACCAGAAATGAATAAAATTGATAATATTTAGTAATTTTAGAGTTCTCTTGAATAAATTATTTTATAAGTAATAAAAACTAATTTTTAAATGTTTTAAAGAATAGAAAAAAAGTATGTTAATCAATTTTAAGAGTTTTTATATTTATAAAGTTTTATCAATTTTACAAATGGTTAGATAAAATAAATTTTAATTGTAGCTGAACAAAAAATAAATAAGATTCAATGGGACTAATAGAAAATTAGTATTTTTTTATATAAAATCATTAGAATTGCAAAAGTATATAAATAATCAAATGATTTCTTATGATAATAGTTTGGAAATAGCTCTTTAAAAATGCATAAATATGTTTAAGTCTAATGTTAAAAATGTAAAATTCTATTATTATTAGGATATTCATTATTGATTTTTTATTTCATATATTTATATTATTTAATAATGATTAGGGAATTCTTAAAAGATAATACAGAAAGTTGTCTTGATTTGATAGATAGAGGTGAGAATCTTGAAGAAGTTGATAAAAAGAGTGGCAAATCATTATTATAAATTGCAATAACAAATAATAATTTAGCTTTAGTCAAAGCTTTATTAACTAAGAAGGCCGATGTCAATTTTTTAAACAAATTTGATAAGAGCACTCCTTTATTTACATCAATTTAATTAAATTTCTTAGAAGCAGCATAAGCATTATTATAAACTCATTAAGTTGATGTTGAAGTAGAAATAGAAGAGAGAACATATTTGGAACATGCAGTAGTGATTGGAACAGTGTAAATGATCTAATTACTTATAAGTAATAAGTGAAATATAATTAGAATATAAGGTACCTATATAAGGAAATCTACTACATTTAGCTATTAATGCAGAATAAGATGAAAATGCATTATTTTTAATTTAAAATGAAATAGGATTATTTAATTAAGATGAAGATCAAGAGAATGTTTTACATTTATTAGCATTTAATGGTAATGCTGAATTACTAAATGCTATAATTAAAAGACACATAAATAAACCATTTTAAGTTGATATTTGGAATTAATAAAATAAAGAAGGAAATGCACCTTTACATATAGCTGCAATTAATGATAAGTAATTATTCTTGAAAGTATTACTTACAAATAAGGATAATATTAATTTGGATGTGAATAAATAAAATAGAGCTGGATTAACTTATTAATAAATAATAGAAGATAGAAAAAAGAAAGTTGAATTAGAATAATAAGAGTAATAAGTAAGAAAAAGATAAATAGCAGAAGATAGAGTATTTTTTTAATTAATTAATTAATTAGAAAGAAAGATAATAATAAAGGGCTAAGGAAGTAGAGAATCAGATAATAGAAGAAAAAGAAGCAAAAAGAAAATAAAAAGAATAAGAAGCTAATAAAGAAATCTTATAGAAGAAAGAAGATACAAAAAATAGACTTTTGATGTTGGCTATCTTTGCCGTTGTTATTCTAGGATTCTATGTAGTGTTATAATTTAGTATAAAGAACAAATGAGTATCAAGATGTGAATTTATTATATTTAAATAAATTTTATGACATTGATTTCTATAGTCTCAACTTAATAGTCTTAATAAACCATGATGAGATAATATATGATCTATGAATATTATTTAATTTTTGGATTATGACACTTCTGAAGATAAAAAAAATTATTAATTGTTATTTTAAGATCAAATTATATAATTTTATTTATATAAATAAATATATTTTAACTGAGTTTAGTTAGAAATTCATGTCAGTTTTTGTGTGAGAATTCTAAAAATGTTAAAACATAAATATAAGGATTTGATTAATATGAATGTCATCTAGGAGGAAGTGAAAAATAGGTTGTTGACTTTTTATTTATATTGGATACTCTTAATTTTTGTTTTTGGCCATAATAAGATTATGAATATGAAAATTTATCATCTATCATAAAAGATAGTTTATAGAAATATCCTGAATAATTTAAAGCATAATCCATATTGAAAATGACATTTGAAGAATTTCTAAAATTTTTATTCCCTAATTTTCCTGAATTTCCATTAATTACTGAAAGATATAGATTATTGTAAAATGCCTTAGAAGTTTTATTCACATTTCTGAAAATTACTTAATATATTAATAACCTAATTTCTAGGATTTTAGGATCATACAATATATTAAGGTGGATAAATCTTTTTTTTAATAAACGCTCATAAATTTTAATAGGAGATATTTATGTAGAATTGATAAAGGAGGAATTTAAAAAATTAGGATAAAAATTAAATAGTATAGAATTCGATTAGATAATATGGTAAATTGTTTAAGAATAATGATTTGACATAGTACCACATCATAGAAATTTGTCTATATATTATTGATTGTATAAAATAAATGTGTATTAAATATATATTCAAGACAAGAAAATAATAAAATTATTGATGCATCATATAACTATTTAATCCTATTTAATTCTACTTTAATTTCCATATCATATTATTTATAGTTGATATCAATATATGTAAAATAATTTTATGTAAAATCCTCTTTTATATTTTCTATCATAACCTCCATCATATATAACATAGCCAAATTTATTATAATTCAAATATAACCCATTCTATTTTCTAACATTTTTTATCTTTTCCTCATCTTTGCAACCCTCCTTCATAATAGAACCAGAATAAATTATTTTCATTTGGTTTTTCCTCATTCTGTCATTGATCCTGTCTTTAATACTTATCTTATTTTTCTATTTTTTTCTAAGCCTTATACTTTATTTTTGATTTATTGAATGACTTTATTAGACTAATATGAATATTAGTATATAGATTTAACCTATTAATAATAAAATAAATGAATAAACGTGATATTCTGTTATAAGCACGTGAAGGGTATGTATTAATCAATTAATTTAGTCGTAAATAATCTGAATAGTAACTGAGTCTTTTAATGAATCGAATTAACCTCATATAATAAAATCAACTCAAAGTCATTCGAAGGATTAAATTGCAATAGAAGTCTGTTGAAATGAAACAATTCATACAATCCGAACACGATTCATTTAATTAGAGTGTTATATACACATTATTATGATAGAGACTAATTTAGAATATGCAAAAATTATAGCAATTACAGCAAACGTAATTAATGGCAAAAACAAAAAAACAATAAAGTGAAGAGGGACGTAAGAAAACATAAGAACAATAAAGATGGATTAAGTAATAAGAGACTTAAAACTTGAAAATTAAGAAACTTGAATTAGAGAGACAAATACAGTAATAAAGAGAATCTGAACTAATTAAAAATATTGTCAGATACAAAAAACTCAAATAATAAAGAGCATAATCATAAATTAAAATGAGAATTAGATAAAATTCTAATGAAGAACTTAGAAATAAGGAATATTCTTAATTATTAGAGGTTGAATGTCAAAAAAGAATATAGACAGAATAATCTATTCGCAAATTAGAGTAGAAGGAATAATTATTGATTTAAGAACTATAAACATCATAATAGTTGAGTTCGACATACTCACGTTAATTAGTATTATTCTTTATTAATTTTAGGATCCTAGAAACATTACCAAAATTAGAGCAAAGTCGTACTTTCTCTGATGAATATTTTTATATTATTATATTATCAACATATATTTAATATAATCATTAAACATTTTTTTAGGTATTTTTTAAGTAATTAATTATGTAAATAAGATTAAATATATATTTCAATAATTTGGTATCTATTATAATTAATTTCAATATGAAATAAAGAGATTTATACTATAAAGAATTAAAAAGTTAAAATGTCTATCTTCTAAAATGGATGCTACATATATTCTAATTTTGAATTAAAGTGGTTTATGCATTTAAATAATATTTAAAAGCAAACTGTTTTGTTATTTATTATAAATATTCTTTTGTCGAAGAGAATAATCAATTTACAACTATTTTTAAATTACTCTAATCTTGTAAGTAATATAGCAATCCAATAATATTTATTCCACAAATAGATTAATTAACATACAAGAAGAACAATATAAATTTCAATATAATTTTAAACTAATATGTATTAAAATTGTTATTATATCTCATAAAAGTCAAACAATTTAAAGGATTTAATTTATAAATATATTACTAATTATTTTATGATTCTATAAAAAAATAAAATACAATAAAATTATTATTTAGATCTAAATTATCATATTTAAAGAGAATAAAATTATTAAAAAATAATTAAAAAGATATAAATATTTAAATCTAGTTCTATAATTTATTATTTTCTATATAAATAATCTCCTAGAGTTTTCTGAATTAAAATAACAGCTTTCAAACCATGAAATATAAGATTTTGTGTTTCATATAAGTAAAATATTAATAGAGAAATTTGGTGAGAAAAGCGCTAGTGGAATTGTCATAGAAGAAATCAATATAATGCTAATTTTTAAACATCATAAAGGAAATGGAACTATTTAATATTACAAGAGGATTGCTTACAAATATTTGGTTAACATTTGTTTTGTTACAATGAAGATCTAGTTAAAACTATCAACAAATCAAAATATATACTTATGTGACTATAAAAATAGAAGGATAATATTGATAGAATTAATAGATAACAAATTAAATATCTGTTAATTAATAGATAATGGATAGTAATATAAAAGATGTTGTTTAGATAAAGTGTGATAAACTGTATGAGTATTAATTAGTAAATGATATTGAAAGAATAGTACTTTAAGATTTGAATAATATATAATAAATCTTACATTCTGATTATGAATACTGTATGTTTTACAATTTCTTGCGTTTTATAAATAAGTTTAATGAATAAATTACGCCTTTTATTTATTATTATTATTAAAAATGGAAACTGATCCTATGAATGTTACATAAAATTAAACTTTAAATAGGCGTCATTATCCAAAAGATGTTCAAGTAACTTAATTTGTATGATAAAAAGGGTTTAAAATCGGAATGGTATGGTATTGAACATCATCTGTAAGAGATTGGATAAGACATTTAACGCAATGAAAGAGAAATTTTGAATCTAAGAAAGAAGGAATTATTGTACCTGATTATTAATTCATTCTTTTAGGACTGAATTGGATCGTAAAATGCTTGAGTAATTGCAAATTAAACAGAAAGAATTGGAGTAGAAATATGAAGATGCACAAGAGATGAAAAGGCGATAAATGAAATTCTAAGAAGAATAAAAAAAATTCTTAGAGGATAAGGCTGTGTTGTAAAAAGGAATATCTTCCATATATGACAAATAAAAATAAGATTCCTTAATAAGGGAAATGGATTTGAGACAATAAAAATTAGAGTGGGAATAATAAGCTTTGGATGAGAATAGAAGGAGAATGGAATAGGATTTCTTATAGAGGAGATTATAGAAAGAATAATGGGCTAAAGAATAAGATGCAGACCTTAAATTATCATAGTTGAGACATATGGAAGAAAGAGAAAGATTTAGAAATGATTAAATAGAAATTCAAGAATTGAATAGAAGAAATGCTGAAAAAGAATTAATTAAAGAGGAAAATTATAAAAATGTATCAATTATCAAATTTAATTAATAGTTTTATAGGCTTTGCTCTCAAAATTAAGCTTAATTGTAGAAAATGCATATAGACAATGTTCTTTAACCTTTATTAGAGAGATAAGCTCAATTGGAATCATTGATTGCTAAAAATATGGATGCTTATTAAAGAAAACTACTTCAAGATGAATTAGATAGAGTTATGAAGAGACAAGAAGAATATAGATAAACACTTAATGCTAATAGAAAGATGTTGGATGATAGAGAGTAAGGAAAAGTGTAAGAGAAGAGTGTTAAATAAGAATAAAATAAATAAAGATTAGAAGATGTAATTTGATTATATTATTGTATTAGTTGTCAAATTATAATCAATTTTTAGTTTAAAGAAAGGTTGATTAAGTAGAATAATAAAGATAATATAAAGAATATCTAGATTAATAACGTATAGAAAAGTATTAATTATTTATTATTTTAGAGAGGAATAAAGATTGAAATAACTGAGGATGGGAAGATAAGAAAAATCAATGAATATGTTGGATTTGTAGGCATATAAAAATTAAGAGACATAATTAAATGCAAAGATTATTGGATGGTCACCTTAAGTTGGGTAAAATATAATTTTATTATTATATAGTTAATTACCACCAAAATAAGATTATTTATTAAAATAACAATCTCTAGCTTAATTAAAATAGGATGAAATGAATACAATTAATTAAAATTTGAGTAATGTTTCTCAAGTTAGTCGAGGATAAGCTTTAAGAGGAGCAGGATAAAATGCAATTCATTAAAATCACAATCCCTTAACAAATCCTATTCCATTTAATAATCAGAATCCTTACATATAGAAATAATATGAGTAAATGATTAGACCAAGACCTTATTGAAATTTATTCATATTCAATAATAATGTTTCATATCATATACTTTTTAATTTTATTAATAAATTTTAAATATCTAGATTATTTTTAAATAATCATTTCATTCTTTTTATAGATAAAGTAGAGCAATATAATAAATTGTTAATAAATAATAACTACTCCTTAAGTATATTATAAAATAATTGTTTTATAAATTATGAAAGCTTTACGTAACCTCCTTAATAAAGACTATGAAGATTTTCTGTAACAAAAACATGAATAAAATAATCAAAATAAGTTAATAACTAAAAGAACTGTTGCAACTCGTGAATCAGGAAGACCTATTGGATCACGAACTCATTAAAGACTTTAAAAACCTGTATCAGCAAGTTAAAGTATGGGAAATCTATTTGGAAATGTGAAAGGAAGTTTATTCACATCCCCTAAACATTCCATTTAATAGGAAGCAAGTCCATATTTAACTGAATAATAAGAAAAATTTTTAGTTAAGTAATATTGGAGATCTTTACTTCGTTGGTAAGGATTTGATGATTATTTGTTCTTGAGGGATCCATTAAATATAAAACATATAAAAGGGAGGGATATTTTAACAAAGAATGATGTAGTTGAAGAATTGAATTCATAAAATATGCATATGTAAGTAATGTATTAGGCAGACAGTGGGATGCAAGAGTATAAAGATTAACATAGAAGATTATAAATGCAATAATTATAGAAATTATATTAACCAGGAGAAGCTAATTATTAGAAATTTAATCCAGATAAATATAAATAAACATTTTTTGGTGGGAGAGATGTAGCTAAATTATAATAGATAGTGTTTGAGAATCCTAAATTTGTAGAGTTTATAGAAAAGATATAAAAATTATTATAGATTATGAATGAAAAGATGGTTGTTGAGGAAGTGAATTAAATTTCACCTATTGGAGAGAGAATGATTAGATTATTATGGAAAATAGGATGTTTAAATATGTTTTTAGTTGGTTATTATATTCATAATATGATATTGGAGATATATGGTAAAGAGAAATTGGCATATTCAAATTGGAAAAAGGTATTGAGAATTTGTAATATGCAAGGAAATCATTGTCATAAATATAAATTAATAGCTTATAAACACATATCTAAGATTTGTATAAAACTTTAATAATATGATAAAAGTTTAATTTATCTTAAGAAAATGCTTAAATTATCATGGATAGTTAATGATACTAATTATGAAATATTTACATATGATAAAATATCATTATGTTATTATTACAAATAAGATATGAATAAAGCTATTTATTATCATGAGAAATTTGCATAAGGGGAATATGAAGAACCAGGTAAAGGTATGAGAAATGTAGGTGAAGCAGCATATTTATTAGATGCTAAAACAAAAGAAGGATTTATTGATCAAAATTCTTATTCTGAAGATGAATATGATTTAGATGTATTGTTATAGAATGGAAATCTTAATAAATGGGAAACTGAAAATAAGAGGAAAGATCTTAAAATATTAGTCAAGAAAATACCTATAGAATATAAAAAAGGACATAGTTTTGGTAAAATACATAGACCAACTAATAATGTCATTGATTTTAAACATGCTATGTTAATACTACATTAATTTTAAAATAAATAATCAATTCCATTAGGTCCTATTTATTAAAAAGAAGAAGTAGATTAGTAAGAGTCAACTGCTAAAAAGTTTAAAAAGAAAGACTAAACACAATCATGTCAATATTTATTTAATTAAAAGAGCACAAATAGAGTTGCATCTAACTTTTTATTACAAGAAGAAATTAAAGAGTAAACTACTGGTGATAATTTATGTTTTAAACCATCTGAAAATGTTTACTATATCAAAAAAATGATCAGAGTCTTTTAATATGATCTTAAGTATTTATTATAGAAACAATCTCTTTTTAAAAACTCCACTGATTGTATATGATAATAAATATATGTTAATTTATTAATCTATTAAAAAATTACACACTTTACCATCCAAAAATTAAAAAGAGATTTTTTAGTGAAAAAGCCTAGTGATATAATTAATGAAAAACACACTTTTCTTTAATAAGTATATTAATCGGGAGCATAAAATAATTAATAAATCAATGAATTTTTAGAAATAATTAGTCACTCCTCTACTAAACACTTTTCCTCCATTAAATTACGATCATTATATTCTCTAGATATAAGAATCTTTTATTACATATGCTTTATTAAGACTTCTAAAATATTTCAATTATTAATTGAAAAAGTATCAGATATGAGAATGCATATGGAAATTCTATTTTAATGAAAAAATTAATAGATTACAATAAACATAGACATAAACATATATATTTGACTAATCTTCAAAGTTTGATGTAATTCTATTGATTAAAAATTTTAATTTAAATGCTTGTTTCCTTCAAGATTATGAAGACATATAGTTTAATCTTATAATTAATCTTATTCATTAGAATTTGTACCATAAGTAAATGAAAAGTTAAAAATTGAGCCAATACAAAATAAAAATTCAATTTAAATGTAAAGCATTAAATATTAAATAATTAAAAATGCCATTTACATTTTAAATAATAAGTTTATCATAACATAAGAGCTCATTCCTTAAAATAATTATAAGATTTATATGTAAAGTTTAAATTGTATATAAATCTAATGAGTTTACTTAGAATACTCATTTGATAGAATTTTAAATAAATGCTATGTAAGAAGTATTAATTGAATAATATTTTATAAAATTAGCAAAAGATATTTGTTAATATTTTTAGAAAAGCTTAAGGATTTGATTACTATTAATTTAATCTAATCAATTTTACTTCAATAATTTAAGTCTCATTCTTAAATTTGAATATTTCTATGTTATACGTCATCATCCAAAATTAAAATTAATTTATTAATTATATATTCTACAATGAATAAGAAATATTATCAATTATTTACAGAGTCTCAATAAAACCATTCTTTACCATAAATTCTCTCTACCCAATCAGTAAAAGAGACAGGGTCTTTTGAAGAAATTATTTTTGATTCTTCTTTTGTTACTTCCTCATCCATTTATATTGTAGGTACCCTAGAAGATTTATTCACTACTATTCTATATCCACATTCAAGGGATTTCTTGACTCCTGGCATTAATGGGCCAGGTTCTTGACTAGCTGATTAATGACTCTTTCTACTATTTTTGCTAGAAACAAAAAGCTTTCTATTTGGTATTACAACTATTGGGCTTTTGATCTTTTTGCTAGTCTCCACTCTAAAAACCGATTCTAGACCGTCCATAGAATTCCTTGCGTTAAAGTGATTATGACTCTTTTGAAGGTTGATTTGCTCCTTTAATGGTTATTTTAATGAATTCTTTCGTCTAACATAATCAATCTCATCTCTCTATGTTTATTTGTTCAATATTATTCTATGAAGTTATCCAGATAATAAGGTTCTATTTGATTATACTGATTTATTAAACATTGAAATTTTTTAAATTAATTTATTAAAATAGCATTATTACCTAAATCTTAATTTAAATGACATCATATTAATTATTATTAGAATATGTTATTTAATGGTTAGTTTAAAGGATTTTATATCTTTATATATTTAGTTAATATATTTTAATTATTAAGTTTATTAAATACAAATATATTTAATAATATTCATATTACTATTTATATGCAAAGTAGTTGAAAAGCCTAATTTATTTTTAATATTACTAAAATTATTTTCAGAGATGTAATTTAAAACAAATAACTATTTTTATATGTAATTCAATCAGATTCACAGTTTATATAAAGATAAACTATAAAAATGACTTTTTAATCTTGAAATAAAATGACACACTTTATAACAATATAATTAATTCTAAATTCCATATAAATGCAGAAGACTCAATATTTTATAGATTTATTCATTTAAGTAATTTATTTTATATTTTATATATAGTATAATTAATAATAATACTATGAGAATTTAAGCTACATCATTCAGATTGCCAGCATTAAAATTATAACCAAAAGACTCTTATTAATGTCTCAGTTATGGAGATAATAATCTTTCAAACTCATCAATGATTAAATACTAAAGCAGTCCACTCAGAAATTATGATCCTTCTCCAATTAAAAAGAGAGTTCGAGGAATGACTATAGCTATATATAATAGTCAAGAAAAGCTCAAGACAGCTGATTATAGAAATGGAGGGGAATTCATTACTTAAATCTAACAAAATAATTAAAGTACTTCCGTTGTCAATACTTTTCGACGATATAGAAGTAAACTTAAGTAATTGATGTAACCTGCAAAAGATGAAGGAGTAAATTCAAGAGACCCTCGTTTATTTTCATTTAAAGATCCTGGAGCTACTATTCGTCTTGACAGATTGAATAATGATCACAAAGATCAACAAATTTAAGATAAAGTAACACAACTTATGGGGAGGGTTAGATTGCTTTTTTCTTCTAAATAATTCTATCAAGAACCTCTACATTAAGACACTTTCCAAGTCACCCTTGTAAAACTAAAAGATGAATATGATTGTTTATACCAAGATTTTAATGACTATTATGTCTAAAATAATAAATTAGATAAATAAGTCTTACAACTACTAAATCATATGGAGATTATCGAAACCTTACTTAAACCTAAACAGCCTATTAAAATTAAAAAGTATCAACCACAATAACCTAATATAATTCAACCAGAATAATAATCTCCTATTGTTGAAGCATAAGAAATTGTTGAAGAAACACCTTAACAATCTTTAATTGTTGAGCCTCCACAATTTTCACCTTAATAACCAAATCAACTTTCAACTCATGAACCTAGAGAACCAAGTGTATTCACTCCTCTCACTTCTAAACAATATAATAATGATTAATCAATAAGTGATTTGGAAAATGATCAATAAAATAAGCCAAATATTTAAAAAAAGAAAAAATAAAAAAATAAAAAAAGCCCCTAAAAATCTTAAAAGACTATTGTTGTTTAGGAATCAATATTAGATCTTAATGCTTTAGAAGATTAGAATTAGATTACTCAATAAATATAATCTCAAAAAACAATTAAATAAAGATCAACTCCTTAAAATAATTAGGCTTAAATTATACAGTATGATAATGTTCTTGATTCTGAACAAAATTAATAAGAAGATACTAGTAATTAAATAGATAAGCCTGCCCTTAAAAGAACTGTCAGCAATTTAGGATCTATGAGTAAAAAAAGAAATACATTGTTGGAAAATAAGGAAGGATAAAAAAAATAAAAGAAGGTAGGAACAATTTCTGAACAAGATGATAGTAATTAGGAGGAGGAAAAATAAAATAATACATAAATAGAAGGTCAGATTGATTCATATTATGAATAATAATAAAGCAAAATTAAAAGTTAAGAATTTACTTTTTTAGATATGTTAATTGAATCCTAAAATATTTATAAGTATCCATTTTATTAAAATTGGGAATTTCACACTGATGAAATTATAAAGGGAACTAGTTTCGGTGAATATGATTTATGATTATAATTCTTCTTGTTTAACTAATTCATATATAATTATTTATATGAATAAATATGAACTTATTACTTTTTGTAATTAAGATTTTAAATAAGAAATTAGGTGAAAAATATTAATTTAGATATAAAAGTAATTTTTCCATTTTTTATTTCTTAAAATATTAAAAAATATATAAAAAAATAAATAATAATCTGATTTTCCAATTATTTAGGAGTTTAAGAAAATGCTTACAAAAATTAATTTTATTAATAATTATGTTCATATAATAGCAGAATTATCATCATAATACCTATTTAATAGTATGATAATTATGTGTATAAGAATATTATTTAGGAATTAGTACTGATTCTTAAATAATTGAAATTAGTTTTTTTCTAATATATATTTTAAATATGTTACTATATATGATTCTTAATCTATTTATTAAGTAATCTAATATTCTTATAAATTAATGATGAGTGGATTGAATAAATGAGATTTAAATAAATTTTGACATAAATATCAAAAAATTTATGTTAAGCTTAATTAAAGAATTAAATACATTGAAATACTGAATCGAGTTGTGTAATTTATTATTTAAATATTAGTTAATCTTAAATCCTCTTAAAACAAAAGTGTGCAGTATCAATAATTTATAAAAGAATTTATTATGGTTATTAATTGAGACTCAATAATTATTAATGGTGATATAATTTAGAGTGATATTGAAATGATATTGATTTATAATTCAATAATATAATTAATTTTTAAATAAAATGATGCTGAATGAATTTACATCGTTCTTTGATAATCTCGAAGTTATTAATAAAATCAAACATATCTGGTCAAAGTTTTAGCTCAGTATATATGAAGTAAATAAATTATGAAAATCCATAGAAAGATTCAATTATTTTCGAATCTGTGTGTCATAAAATTAGCAGAAAAACTTAAAAGCTTAAACCAATTATAATTCAATTGGGTCAAGAACATTTGTATTTATTTAAAAATAAGAATCCTCATGGCATGTTATTATTGACTGTAGTAGTGATGACTATATAAAAAAATGAGAATGGACTTATGATTAGATTGTTGAAAAATGGATAATATATTGATATTATAACAACAGATGCAATGTTATTGAAATAACTATTAGCATTTAAATGTCTATAAACAACCTTTCATGAGGAATTTGGAGTAACAAAAATGATAGGGAAAGGCAGTTTTGCTAAAGTTTATTTAGCATCTAAGAAATAGACTGGTGCTTAGTATGCTATAAAGGCATTTAACAAAGAATTTATGTTAGAGCAATTCAAAGGTAAGGAAAGTTTAGAGAATGAAATACGTGTGATGAGAAGGTTGAATTAAGATAATCTTGTCCATTTACATGAAGCATATGAGACATAGAATTCAATATACTTTGTAATTGATCTTTTATAAGGTGGAGAACTACTTGCTAGAGCAAAAACTAATCCATTTTCATTAGATACACTCTAAAAACTTATGTATAACTTTATTAAAGCTTTGGTACATATACATAGTAAGAAATGCATACATAGAGATTTGAAACCAGAAAATTTATTACTTAAATCAAAAGATTCTAATGTAGATGTAGTAATAGCAGATTTTGGACTTGCAGCATTTTTAGGAGAGGAAATTCTATTTAAAAGATGTGGCACTCCTGGGTTTGTTGCACCTGAAATATTAATGTATAAAGAGGATGATCCTTTTTATGATGAAAAATGTGATATCTTTAGTGCTGGTGTTATATTTTATATCTTATTGACTGGCAAACAACCTTTTTAAGGAGCTGACTATAAAGCAATTTTAAGGGCTAATAAGAATTGTGAAATTAATTACAACATTAAGCAAATTCAATAGGTATTTTGATTTATTCTAAATAGGCATCTCCAAAATTGTAAGAATTAATAAGAAAAATGTTATAATAAAATCCAAAAGATAGGCCAAGTGCTGAAGCTTGTTTATAACATCCTTATTTTGAAGAAATCTTTAATAAAAATGATTTAGTTGAAATTCATGAAAATTTAATTGAATATGAAATAGAACATGAACATAGATTATAAAAGAAAGGAAGCTTTGATAGTCAAGTAGGTTCAATGGAATTAGTAGTTAGAACTCCAATTTTAAATGGTAGAACTGATACAATTGGATCTTTATCTGTTTGTTCAGGATAAGGATCTACTAGTCGTTTAGAGAAACCATAACCCTAATTATAATAACAATCAAAATTTAGTTAGTTTTGTTAAACTATGAAAACAGTGTAATAAGATACAAATACTAATACTATGGCTTCTCCATAAAATAAAAAAAAAGATTAACAAGATTTACATAAATTTGCATTAAAGAATTCTTATTAACAAAAATAAATGAGTAAGGATGATGATTTTGTAAATGAAGAATCAGCACATTTAGATGATGCAATTTAGAAATTGAATAGTTAAGCTCCAAAAATAGGATTATTTAAAAAGAGTGCTTCATACAAAGTACCAAAATCAACTTAAGAATGATATATCAATTAATGAATTGCCAATTGCCTGTTGAATCCAACATATCAATTTCGATACCATTTCCAAATCCAATATATCCTAGATCTGTAAAAGATCTATCTATTTCATTTCTATTCACACATCTTGGTTCTATTCTATATCTATGTCTAGATGGTAATGGTAAAATTAATTGAGGAGTTTCACTTCTATCTGCATATTCATCTTCACTTTCAGGAGTCTATGAATAATCTTATATAAAATACTTTCTTAAATTCAACCTAACCTCTTGAAATTTTATATTCTCTTAATTCCTCATCATTCATCTTTACTCCATCAGAATCACTTTTTAACCAAGAATGTTATAATGATTGTGCTGCTGTTGCTCTTCTTTCTGGATAAGGATTAAGCATTGGTTTCAAAAATGAGGCTACAAATCTATAATAAAATATTACCTAATTCTTTTGCATCCTTAGGATTATATTTATATTTCTCAATTAATACATCTGTTAATGACCAACAATTTAATACAGGTATTCTTTATAAATTACCATCTTTATTAAAATATCTTTTAGATTTTAATCCTCTTTAAGAAAATTTCAAAGGAAATTTACCTATTAATTCTTAGATCTAAGCTAAATGATCATCATTTTTTGAAAAATTAGCTCCTTTTCTTGGTTCAAATAAAAAGTCACCTGTCAACAATTCAAAAAGCATACATGCAAAACTCCACATGTCAGCAGTAGCATTATATCTTGAACCTATTAAAACTTCTGGTGATCTATATTATCTAGTCTATATAAGAGTAGAAAATTAATGATGTGTCCAACAAGCATTACCTAAATCAGCCACTTTAACTGAAAACTCATTCTTCTATATTTATTTAAATAATGATTTATTATCTATTTTAAATAAATTAGTTTGAAATTCTCTTTTTTCTTCCATTTTTATCTCTTCTTCTTTATTTTTTATAAATTATTCTTCTTCTAATATTCTCATATCTATTTCTTATAGTTTCTATTATTTTTATTACTTTTTCTTTTATCTTCTTTATAAATTTCTTAATTAATTTTTAGTTAATTTTTATTATTCATTTTCTTAAACTTATTCATTTACTTTTAATTCTTCATTAATAACTGTTTTTACAGAATCTTCTAATTTAATAGGTTCTTCTTTTTTTATATCAAATAATTAATGATAAAAATCCAATCTATCTTTAAAAATCTAATTTTTAGTTAGTTAACCATTTTCAATAATATCTCTTATTTCATCTTAAGTTAATTATAATAAAACATTTTCTGGTTTTAAATCTGTATGAATCACTCCACAATGATCATGTAAAAACTCTAATCCAATTAATACTTCCTTAGCTATTTTTCTACATAATCTCATTGGAACACCCTTAAATTCATATCTCTTTATAATTTCTAATAGATTCACTCCCAATATTTCAAAAACCATACAAAAATGACAACCATATGGACCTCTATATACAAATGAATTTAGTAATTAAACTACATGAGTATCATCACGATTTAATCTTTGATTTGGTTTATATTAAATTAATTTCTTTAACCATTTTTCATCTCCAACATGTTAAGCTACTTTTTATAATATTTCAACTTCATCATAAGCTGCTTCCAAATAATTTTCTGCTGATTTTTATATTTTGATAGCAACATATGTATCAAATTTAAAATCTTTACATAACCATACTGTTGAAAAGTGTCCCCAACCTAATTTTTGAATAACAACATATCTATTTTATAAGACTTCTCCAACATGAACAGGATGATATCCACCAATCTTATAATCTTCAATTCCCTCATCTTCTGAATCATGCTCTTCATCCAATTAATGAAATAATTCCATCTTCTTTGGTTTTTACATAGATTAAGTCATATATTAAGATGTTGCCATTTAACAAACAGGCTATAACACTTATGATTCAATTAAATTTGAGTCTTGCAACACTTGATAATAGGACTTGCTCATAACAGTTGATTAAAATAAATCGCTAGTGTACATATTCTCATTGCTCATTTTTGAATTTGAATATATTAATTAATTAATTAATTATACTGTTAATAAAACATTTGAAATTCCTTTTATTATTTTTTAATTATAAAAAATAGAACTCCAAACATTTATTTCTTTCTAGAATCTCTTATCATTGTAATATTCTTTGTTGCCCATTCTATTCTGTATTTAAACTGTGAATAATACTCTTAATAAATAAAAAATTATATAAAATTCTTCTTAAATTGAAATATAAATTATGTTTACTTAAAAGAAGACAAATAATTTTTTATATTATTTTTTATAATGAATTTAGAATAAATATAAAAAGAACTTGATTCCATAAATAGATAAACTAAGATTATTAATTTGTAGTGTAAATTATATACTGCCTATCATTCATTTATGTATAGATTTATGAATAAGGATAAGTAAGAAATTAATATTAATTTTAGTTTCAAAGTTTACACATTTAGAAATCATTATGGATCTTATATGGCATTAGGAATGGCAATCCATAATACTTATCATCTAAAATAATCTATTCTAAAATAATGTATTCATTTAACAAAATCTAAAAATCCTACAATCATAAAATTAGCAGCAATACCTATAACTACAGTTTATTTTGGAGTCTTATTTGGATTATGGCATATTCCTTCATTTACTGGAGAATTAGCTATAAGAATATACTTTGGTATGCAATCTGCTGTTTTTGATTTTTTAGTAGATAAAGAATCAACATTTTAAGATATCCCTTTGCGATCAATAATAAAATGAATGCAAATATTTTAAATAATATTTATTTATTCATATAATATAAATCACTTTGGATTAAATTAAGATAAAAATAGAATCTATAAATTTTGAAAACATTAACTAATATTTTTTCACATTCATTAACTCTAATTACAAGTATCTTCAAATTCTTTGAATAATGATTCATATTAAAAATAATTATCATCTCTTTTAATTATATTTATATAATCTTAAGCTTTTTAATATTCTTCCATTTAAATTAAACAAAATACTAGTCTGTAATAACACTTTACTTTATATTCCTTTTTTAATAAAAATTATTTAATTACTTTCTATTCTAAACGAGGCATAATAGGTTCAAGAATCTTTTAGCATTCTTAATAATCTTTTAATTTAATTAATGCTTAAGCTCTATTGCTAATTAATACTAAATAAAAGTCTTCTTTTATAACTTCAGAGTTTTTCTCTTTGTTCAAATTTTTAGGCCACTTTTCAATAAAGTTAATTCCTCTTAAATATCTAGATGCAGCACCTACATAATCTCCATTTTAATATAATTTATTTCCTTCTTATTTGAATTTTTCTAATTAAATTACACGACTATATATATGATTAACAAAAATACTTTTCAACATTAGTAACATCTAATTATTACTGTGGTTGTATTACTTCTTCAACTTATATCATATAGTATTTTACTTGATCTTTTACAAAATTTTCAATATTATCTGGTTTTTCTAACAAGTCTCCTTATATTTTAAACCAAGCCTTTTCTCCTTCTTTCATAGATAGAAGGGCTAAACGAAATCCTTTTATAAGAGGAATGCTAGAGGCTAAACAAATCTTCAAAATATTTTGGTTTTGAGTTGGATTTAGTATAGTACCTTTTTCATCTCTTTCTTCACATCTTATTTTAATTCTAGATTTTTCATTTATTTATTTTTAAGGATCCTCATTTTTTGATACAACAACAATATATTTAATTAGATTTTATTATTACAAGATTATTTTATCATATTTAGACACAATTCGTTCCATTTCTGTTTAAGTTTTATTCTGTTAACTAATTTCTGAATTTTGGAAAAGTTGATCATCTTCTATAGAAAACCAATCTGATTAATTCATATAAATTGAATTTATAAAAATAAATAAAAAATCAATTTCTATATTTTTTATTTGATCTTTAATCATATTTCCATCATCTTATCTATAAAGAAGGATTCAATCATTTCATGTAGATTAAGAATACTCTGATGACTTATCTCCATGGCCAATTAATATATATATTTTCAATATGAAAGACCATAAAAATTGATCATTATTGTTAATAATAACCATATAATGCTTTAAAATTAAATGACATTTTAAATTTTTAAGTTCTTGCCCACTCATTGGTCTCTGACAATGTATTTTGACTTAGTTCTTCCAATTTTCTTTACAATCTCTAAAATCCTTCTTAGGATACGGATCCCTAAAATGTCAATGTCATTATTTTAATTAAATTTATCTCATGATTTAATTAATCTAAAAACTTTGTTTTTTTTGGATGTGTAGATACTGCTTCAATATTCTTAAAACATTAACTAACAATAAATGACATTATTGAATCAGTAACTGTTTAATCTAAATTAATTTAGGCCAATATTACAGCCTATTCATTAAGTACTGTTAACCATTATATAACATATGGTCTTGGTATCATATCCATTCCTTATGGCTAATCAAGGTTTAATAATTTCACATAACTTTAAAGACATGGCTAATAATATTAAGATAAAATTCCATTAATTTATTACTGAATTGGTTCTGCAAATTCTTTAAAACTTTTTAACTTTTTAGAATTTGAATACACACTCTAAGCTAAATCTTTTATCTAAGTAGCAATCAACTTTATATTATGCAAAAGTATCAAATAATCTTAGGATTCTTTGCAATTAGATTATAAATAATTAAGACTATCTTGCATTAATTATAAAAAGAGAATTCCATCTATATTTTTATTCTTAGATATTCTATTAAAATAATATAAATCCTTACTTAAATATCTCATTAAATATTTGCAACATGAATTCAGAAAAATTAACTCCAAAAAAATCTTTTTAAGGAACAACAAAACTAACTTTTATCTATTTTAATGTGTAATTTGAAAATTATAAAGATAAAGATTTAACTTCTATATCATTAATAGAATTATCTATCTTTAGACAATCTCCAAATAAATTTGTAATTATCTAAGCCATATTCTTTATTGATTCGATATCTTAATTTATTCTTTAACATAATATGGAACTATATTATTAATTAAACCATGAATTTTAAGCTGATTCCAAAAACTATAGCATCTTAATCTCTATTTCTTCTTTCAATTTTTACATGTTTGGATTTAAATTAAGATCTCTACATAAATTTTAAAACTATTTAACTTATTTACTAAATTTTCCAATTACAAAATTTTCTAATGCTTTACAATTCTATAATTGTAACTCTTTTTAAGGTAAAGAACATTGTTAAAGGAATTCAATAATAAAATCACCTCTAATCATCTCAACTTAGTAAGCTTCATTATCTCTCTATTACAATGTCTTATTAAAATAAGCATTAAAATTTGATTTTATAGATTACTATAGATTATTAACAATGTCTTAAGTACTATTTTATGTTAGATTTAATTCATTTATATATTCAGCTATTTCTAAAATCTAATTGTACTCCAAATTGTCTTGTTTTATCTATTGAAGCATATCATTATATATTTATTTCATTACTTGATCTATCTATTCATTCAATTATTTAAATAATGATATATTCTTATATTAATTAATGTTTTCCTTTTAAAGAGATATAAGTTTCATCACTTGAGCATTATTTCTTTAAAGATAAGCTTCCTTCAATTAATTTGGCAATTATACATACTATTCACATTTTCTAATGAAATCAATTACTGATTTCAAATTTTGTTAACTTATTCTTAATTTATTCATAGATTATGAAATAGAATTTAATTTAGACAATAATGAAAATGTTCTTTTAGATAAAGATCCTAAAATTAAAATTTGATCAACTTGCATAGGTTAACTTGACTTATCATTAGATGCTAATGATTTTTTTCTTTTTATTGAATCTTTATATTCTTTGGAAATGAATTCATTATGTATTTACAAAATACCTTAATTGATACAGAAGAAATCATCAATAAAATAGTAAACGATATTTTTATTCATTTCTATATTTTATTATTATAGCATAGTCATGGATTACTTTGAAATTTATGGCTATACTATTTTTAAGAATGTTTAAGCATCGAATTATGGAGAATCAAGATGAATTTTAACAATAACTTTATCTAAATTCTTAATTTATTGTTTGATTTATTCAACTGATTCTACATCAATAACTGCATTTAAACTTTCAGCTATTTACTTCTTTTTTAATGCAGCATTTCTATTTTTATTAGATTTCGTTGTTCTTTGTTAAGGAATAAAAGGATTATAAAAAGTCTTAATTAAATATTCTGGATTTCCATCCCATTATAAATTAATATGTTCTAATTTCTTTTATCTCTTATTTTACTCTCTTTATAAGTTTAGATTCTCAGGAGGAGGTTAATCAGATTCTTTCCATGATGTTTGTTGTATTTGCTCTTGAATTTATTGAACTCTAACACTTTTGTACCAATTCTCAAATTATTCTTTGAGTTTTTTAATTTCAAGAATATATTCAAGATTAAAATGAGGTCTTTCATCTTTTAAATACTTAATTATTTTAAAAGCAACAAGACCTTTATCTTATAATTTCTTATCTACTAAAATATGTGTAGATAATGAAAGTAATTTATATTCATCATCTTCAAGATCTGCAAATACTTTAATGAATTCAATTCTTTATGGATGCTTCTCTAAAATATTCAGAAATAATTCAGCACTATAATATGCAGATTTTCTTAGACTACCATCAACTTTAGATTTATTTCCTATACAATATAATAATCCAAATGGCAATTATTCATTACCTATTAAATATAATCTAATTTCTTTAGGATTTAATTGCATTTTGAATATGTCAAGTTATTTAAGATATTTAGATGTCTTTACTTTGATTTTTTGTTAAGATTCTTTGATTTTTGTTAAGACAGCTATAATTTATTGCTAATTATTCATTAAATATATATATAATGTCATTTATTAATCTTTGGAAGATTATTTTAGCTTTAACTCATTTATGAACCTGTTTAATAAAATTGTTGATTGGCTTGACTATTTGGTCTATCTTTATCATTTTAATATCTTTCTTTATCTATTTTATCTCTATTGTTTTTTGATTTCTCTTGCATTTATTTGTAACCAACACCAAACTAAAATATAATTTTAAATAGATATACTCTTCCCATTCTTTCAGGAGATGTTTCTTTAGGTGGGAAATGTGCCCATCCTCTATAATCTCCTAATTATCCTTTAAATTTATCTAATTCTTTATCACATGAAGCACAAGACCAAAGTTGTTTCTTAGCAAATAAACCTTCTTAATCTTTAGATCCTCCTTCTCCTTCCAGCATCATAAATATTTAATTAATCTATTTAATTAATATAATAAATATACTCTTTATTCTAGATAAATCAAAGCTTTTTTAGTTTCAGATTTATTAGCTAATTATTTAATGAGAGCTTAAACAACTTCTTCTAATCTAGAGACAAGATCATTTTGTAGTTTTTCTAAATCTTCGAGTTCAGCCTTCTTTTCTAATTTAATTCTTAATTCTTCAATTTATTTAGATAATTCATCTCTAACCTATTTTAATTTAGGTTCAAAGAGGGCTAAGAGATCTTCTCTTGTAACAACACCATCAATCTTTTTTCCAAATTAAGCTATCTTAGCCTTATTTGTATCTTAATCTTTTTTCATTTAATCTTATATTTCTCTTAATTCTTATAAACCAGAAATGATTGAATCAGTTTTAGTTTATTTCATCTTATTTTCTAATTCAGCAATTTTTTATTAAACTTATTATGCATTTTATGAAAATTGAGATTTGTGATTAATTAATTCTCTAATAATAAAATAAATAAAATAATTACTATTCATTTTAAGCTACTTAATCTTGTAATTCTTTAAAAGTATTTAAAAAATCTGGACTTAATTAAGGTCCTTTACTTGGACTATTATCTAATTGTGGTTAAGATCCACGTTTATTTTTATTTAAAAGATCTTTGATTTAAGTGATTTCATTTTTTATTTTTTCTTATTCACTTAAATCACCTTTTTTACCAAGATTTATTTTGAATTCTCTTCTAACTTTTTCAATTTCTTCATCAATATGATCATATGTTTATTTTTATTATAATGCAACTTTTTAACCAAGATTTGTTAAATCTTATTAAGTAGCATAATTTTCTAATAATGCTCTAATTTTATTAATTTCTGCCAAAATAATGACCATTTAATTTTCTCCAATATTATTTCCTTCTTCACCTGAATTACCAAATGAAGCTAAATTGAGTTATGTTTGTAATTATTCTAATAAAGTAAATAGCTTTTTAATATCATTTTTAATGATTAATAAATCTTCTGAATCAACATTAGATCCTCCTCCTGAAACTACTTCCCTATTTTTCTTTTTTAATTCATCAAGTAATTCAAATAATTTTTAAATCTCTTCTTCATGATTATCTAATTTTTTGTTAATATCAGTTAAATCAATTTCAGAATTTGGTTAATCAACATAATCTTAATCTTTCACTTAAATTGGTTATAATAAAGTTTTTGGTTGATTATTTAATTGTTTTAGTAATTCTTTATATTAAGATTCTAAAATAATATAAATAATATTTACCTAATTATGCTAAGCGATTCTAAACATCCTTTAGAGAATCATCAGATAAAGGCTTAGATTAAATTTGATAAACATTAGTATCTGGCTTTTATGTTTATAAATCAGATATTATTTTATTTTAATCGTTGATAAGTTTACGAAGTTTATCTAATTCTTCATTAATTTTATCAATCTATATCTATTTCTAAATGATATCTTCAGCATTTTTATTTATTTATTATTACTCTTATTCCTGAGCCTTAGCAATCTCCTTTATTTAGATATCTTAATCTCTCAAAATATTATCTAAGAAATAATTGATGATAATTTCATACCATATCGTTATTTTAATGCTTACAACTCTGCTTTAGTAGCAAAATTCTAATGAATTTCTTTTACTTAAGAATCAATCACATCAACTTTATCTTTTGTATCAGTCTATTATGATTCTTCCCTTAATTTCTATCATTTAATTTTATATTTACCTACACCCAATCACTATTGTCCTTCACCTATCCATTTATAAGTATCATTCCCTTATGTAACTGTTTGAGAATAGAAATAATGACAGAAAAATTCTTCTACAAGATCTCTTCCGAAAATGTAACTTGCATCATCTTATCTAAGTTCATATTAGCTAAATCCTAATCAAAAGAAGTGAAGTTGGGATCAAATATCACATTTATAATTTATTCATCCATTTTAAATAAATTAATGAATAGATTCTTTTTCACAGGATAAGCTACTCCTTTAGAAAACAGCGAATTCGATGACGAATACACTCTTAAAGTACCATCAGAAGAAGAAGTTCGAATTGTAGCTGTTAGATTAAGAAATTGTATATTCTTCTTCTTATTATATTACTCTAGGCTAATATTTTTTAACAGGTATAGATGTTTGCAGAGAAAAAATCTTCAAAAAACATCTTGAAGATGAAAAAGGCACTCCCAATGGTTTCTTACCATGCAAACCACTTGTAGATAGCTATTATTATTGCATTTCATAAGTATATATATATATATATTTCATTTAATTATTAGGGATAATATGGATAATCAGTTTAAGATGCCCCAACTGAAGCATAAGATAATCTATAAAAATTTTAAAGCTGTTTATTTAATAAATTGAATCCAGCCAACTATTGTAAAGGGTTTATCATTTAATAAATATTCTTTAGATTTGCAAGTAAAGCAGTAAGAGATTTGTATCATCTTCCAGGTACCAAAATTAAAGATACAACAATATGATTACGCATAATCAATAATTGCATAATAATAAAATAAAATTGTTTAATTTCAATTACTATCTCCATCATTATTTTGATCATCATCATCTTATTATTATTTTCTCTTTTGTGTATTTCTTCTATCTTTTCTCTAATCTCTATGATTATAATCATGACTATTTTATCTATTTCTTGATCCTCTCTTTTTTTATCTATTTTATTAATCAATCAATTTCATTAAAATTTCATTATTCATTTCATTATCATCAAGTTCATCATTTTATTATTATAATTATTATTATTATTAGATATTTTGAGGATACATTTATGGATACATACCATAAGGATTCTGAAATTACATCATTCCTTATTACTACATTAATTACTATTAAGGCATAAATCCTTGCTATTAAAATTATTATGGTATCATTTATTATCTTGAATGATCAAATTCATCTACTCTCTATTTCAATTACTTAATTTCATTCAAAATCTGTTATTTTTATAAATCATCTCTTTCATTCAATAATTATGTTAAACTATCATCCTTATCTGAATCAATAACTGGTTTCTTTTTTGAAACTAAAGCAGACAGTTATTAAATATATTAATTTTATTCTTCCATTTGTTTCTACATATTTAACAATTTTTAGTTTCCTTGAATTGCATAAGACTATGGTCTTGTTTAATTTTAATTACTTTGAATAGAAGTTCTTCTCTGTATTTATTAAGGTTATACTTCTGGATTATCTACTGCTTATAATAAATTATTTTAGTTTTAATTTTAAACTGATTAAAGATCAGTCTATAATGATTCAATAGGAAGTGTGTTTTAGACATTAAAAGTAGGTTAATAATTTTTGTAATTTATTTAATTATGTTCATTTCTCTATTTATCTTTCTAAACTAATTCTCTTTATAGTTGCATTGATTGTTATTCTAATGAATAAATATGATCTTCCTTCCCTTTCATTCTCGTATTATAATCACTAACCTTTTTAAGCATTTTTTAATACTGTTTACTCCTAAAATTACATTAACTATATTAGTTAATCAAACTTCTGTTTATTTGAATTGGCTTAGATCATTGGTTGATAACCATTACCATAACCACTAGGTGGTGCTTTGGAAAACATATTTTATCCTAGCATCTAAAATGCATTTTAGTATTGATCCATTTTAATTAATAAAATGAATATTATAAATTTATTGTAAACTAAATATCATAATTTATTAAATTTTAATATAATCTTAACTCATTCTTTATTAATATCATGAAGTGACTTTTATGATATTTTATAATTTTGTTAATGCAAATAGTAAGATAAATATTTAGAGATATATAATATTAATTATTGAATTATGATCATATAATTATTTTAGATGGAAATAGAATAATATTTTAGGATGATGAAATAATATATTAAAGAAAATGGAATAATAAGTAATTTTCATTTAAAAAAAAATATGAACAAAAATTAAAAGATAGTATTTTTTCATAATTGATCAAATATTAATACATAATATAGAAATACTAAAAATGAATAAAGTACTTATAGAAATATTAAATCATTATATTATTTACTATATCAACTCAATTTAATAGTGCTATTAAGATTATCTCATTGATCCACCATTGTTTAATTTCGATGTTCCACTACTTGTTATTACTGATGTACCATATATTATGTCTATTATCTAACTTATTCCATGATTGCATTTTAAATAGCATCATGCCATTAATCTAAAAGAAGATTTGAAGTCGCATTAAAGACAAATTCAGAATCACAATTTTCATAACGGATCTATTTAGGATTAGAATTTTACTTTAAGAGTATGTTATTTAGTTGTATCAAAAAGTGGATTCTTAATTACTACTGCATCTACAAAGGATATGAATAATATTGGTTCTGCATCACCAGGTTTCTTAAATAAAACTAATCCAACATTTGTTAATATTACAAAGACTTCTTACCAATCACCTTAAAACATCTTCTTTTTAAATATCTATAACCATCCCATATTTTATGAATATAATCCTTATTTAGAACTCACTTTATATGTTGGATTCTTTCCTTGATCTTGACTTGTCTATTTTTTAATAATTTAAGATATGGGTATTTCATCTTTGACTCCTTTCATTTTAATTTTAAATTAAACTAAGAATTCTACTTTAAATAATGAAATCTTTTGGGATGCAAATATATCAGTTAAAAATGAATTTAATTCGCTTCTTTTAAATGTTTCAATTAAATAATCATCTGAACCTGCTACTTTGATACAACAAATGACAGGTGAAGCCTTAGATATATTTTGAAATCCTCACCTCTGAAAAAACCAAAGTATGTATGTTTTTTAATGGAAATGATCTTGACAATTTAGACGGTTTCTTTTCTCCTTCAAATATATAGAATGTGTGTTCAGTCAAAAATAAGATTCTCCTAGCCTTTTTACCTTTAGCATCAATTCTATAAACTCCATCAGAAAAACATCTCTATATTATTGATTTGTATATATTCTTCTCTAATTTCAAGTATTCCATTATCTTTGGATCATCTCTAATACCCAAAAAATCTCTATAATATAAAATATTTTCATCAATTTTTATTTATTGAGTATCAGGTGCTAATTCTTCTAAATTTTTTGTTCCTAATTCCCCCCAAAATTTATCAAATTATTATAAAAGTTTATTTTCTTTAGGTTTCTCATTGTTTAATACAACTTATTCCTTATCTTCATTCTCTTCATTTATTACTTCAACAATACTATTCTCATATTTTATATTGATTCTTGCACCAATCCTATTATTTATCATAGATGGTTTGTTACTATTAACATTTTATTAATCTGGATTCTAATTGTCAATATCTTAAACTTCTTCAATTTTTAAAGGTCCACTTTAAATTTCTTCCAAAGGATTAAATGTACTTCCATATTAATTTCCTCTTATTGAAGACATTCTTTAAGATGAATTTCGTCCAATTATATAAATTTTAGAAGATGTCATACCACCTCCAATTGATATTTTACTCAATCTACCAAGTCCTCCACCATTCATTTATTAAGAATTAAACATACTTGTTCTTGGTATAAGACTACTTCTCAATTATTAATTTTCAATATTTGTATTTTCAAACATCTTTTTATAATGAGTTACTTCTCTTTTTAATTCTATAATTTATTATTCAAGTCCTTCTTTTGCTTTTTCATATATTTAATTCAATTCTTCTAATTATTGATTCTATATTTATAAACTATATATATATATTAATAATAAAATTACTCTTCTAATTTGATTTCTAATTAATTTATTTAATCTTTATGTTGTTATAATGATTATTTTATAATATCTATATCTTTATTTTATTGAGATTTAATCTCTAATTCTTCTATAATTTCCATTAATGATTTATTATTTAATTGTAATCTACTATTTTCCTTATTTATCTTATTTAATTATTCTCTTAGATTTTTGGTATCTATTTACATTTCTTTCAATTCTGTTTCTAATCTAGTTATACCTTTCAATTATTCATTATAAAAATTTAATTATAATTTTAAATCTTTATTCTAATCTTACATTTACTATAAATATATAAATATATATTTACATTAATTTAAGTTTAAAATATATCATTATCTTATAAACATAATTGAATTTATTAATCTTTATTTTAAATTTCTATTTCAAATTATTATAATTATCCTTAAGTTAATTCTTTTTCAATAATCAATTCTTCTAACTTCTTATTTTTTATATCAATATCATTAATTAAATTAGCAATCAATCCTTCAATACATTAAGTTGCCTTATTTATTTCAGTTAGATAAGAAAGACCTCCTTTATTTATAAATTTCTATTTAATTATATCAGTCTATTGATAAATTATATTTGTAAAGTTTCTTCTATCATTAGATGCACTTGAAATCAAATTAATTTATTTTTAATTATCTTCCTCACTTGAATAATGATAATCTTCTCCTTATTATTCTACAATATTTTGTTTTCTATTTTCAAAACCTTTAGATTATCTTCTAGTTTAATCATTTATCAATCTTTCAAGATCATTAGAAAGTTCAAGAATCTCATCAATTTTAACTTTCTATTAATTATCCACAAATGGTTGAATGTATCTCATAATTTCAATAGAATTTATTTTTATAGTTCTCTATAATTCCTTACCTAACCTTTCTAATTCACGATAATCAACTATAGGGCCATATTTATTGGCAATCAATTTATAGAAATTTTTGAATTGCATAAGAAAATCATTATTAATGTTCTATAACATATCCAAAGGTAATCGTCTAGCACATTTGCCTAGTGTATCAACATTAATTTAAGATTAAGGTTCAATTACTTCTTATTGTAATAAGAATTCAAGAATGACTGTTTCAACTAAGTAATATGGAGTTAATGTTACGTGCACAATAAGTCACATTTTATTATTTCTCTTTGATAAACTTATACAGCTATTCTTTAACATTGTCATCTAAATCACATCTTATATCTAATCTAGCATATTAATCTAATATGTTTGAAAACTCAAGAAGTGTTAGATATTTATTTTGATAAGTTTATCTGAATTGATCAATCAAGTCTGAAAACATAATAATGATTAATTACTCTATTTAAGTTGTTTTAAAAATATATATAAATTCTCTGATTTAAATCAGTTTACAAACTTGGCACTAGGAGGTTTGTTTTATTATGATGCACCTTGAGCACCTTATTCTGCAGGCTTTAGTATTTGGAACGAACACATAAGGGATTCATCAATAGTCATCATAGAACCTGCATATGAGACTTCATACAAATACCTGCATTATCAAACTCACCACAATAATTTGGAGCTGAAAATAAAGTTACCAATTATCTTTTACTAAAGAACTCATATCCATCTTCAACTACCTAATATAATAATTGTTCTTACTTAATGGGCTCTACAAATAAGATCTAATTCATGCTTTTTCAAAAAAACTTATACAATTTCTTAACTAAAAACATATGAAACACCCCTTTCATTATCAGCCCATCCTTAGACATCTTTATCTGGATCAGACCAAAGTAAATCACATAAGAGTCCTGTATCTGGTACATCAGTAGGTCTCATTATTCTTCTTATCTATTCTAAATTAGATAGTTCAGGTGATAATCCTCCATGCATACATAGTATCTTTTCATCTATTAATGCTGCCACAGGTAGACAATTAAAGCAATCTGTGAATGTTTTCCATAATTTAATTGTATATCGACGTTTACCTTAATATATAATGATATTGCTTACATTCATCATAAAAACCATATATTCTATTGATAGATGCACATTCATGATTACCCCTTAAAAGGAAAAAGTTCTCTGGATATTTAATTTTGTATGCCAATAATAAACAAATTGTTTCTAATGATTGTTTACCTCTATCTACATAATCACCTAAAAAAAGATAATTGCTCTCAGGAGGATAACCACCATACTCAAATAATCTCAGAAGATCAAAATATTGACCATGTACATCGCCTATAATATCATTAAAATTAACACATCACCACAAATCTTTAAAGGTGCCTCTAATTCCAATAATATCGGCTAGCTTATGAAAATGTCTCTTGCTTTTATACAAAGACCTCTAACTTCAGGTTCTGTTAAATTTACATTTTTTCCTGGTTTGCTCCCTCTGACACTTAATAATCTCTCGATTATGTTATCTACATCTATCTCCCCCTATTTATCCTTTGCCATTTTGAAATTTTCTTTTATAATAAAAATAATATAAGAGCCAATTAAAAATTATGATAGCTTCTTCCGCTTCAGACATATCACTAAACATAAACTATGAAAGTCTTCTTAAGAAATAAAAGAATACTCAAATCTCAAGTAAATCCTAAGGAAATTAATTAGTTAATTGTAAAATGAAAATCAAAATTATAGAGAAACCATACCTATCATCATTATTTTTAAAGATCAATAAAAAATATAGAAAATAACCATATGAATTGATTTTTTGAAGTTTATGATTATCAAGAAAATGAGAATTATGAAAACCATACTTTAGAGGTAAGAGAATCAAAATTTAATAAAAAGTTCAAACTTAAAACTTCTTAACTTTTAAATATTAGTAAAGACAATTTCAATCTCCAACCCTTTAAAAAATGAAATAAATACCATGAGCTAAGTTACTATTATTAATTAATAATAAATTAATTTTAAGAAATCATTAAAAATTAAAATGTAAGGCTTTTTTGATTAAATATGCCACTTACTATATGAGATATTTGAAAATTACAAAGAAATTTATAATTATTTTTTTATTGATAAAAATGAAATTCAAAAAGAAAGGAATTGATTTTTTACATAAATCTTTAAATTTGATAAATTAGAATTATATTGATATTTTTATCATAAAAATTAACTCTTGCATAAGGGGCAATCACTTTTGTTGCTACTATGAAACCATTTCTAAATACAAGTTGAGTGAAATTTATGTTTGCATGTTCTACAAGCCATTTTTGGTAATTCTCCATTCTAATGGATTATATAATAACAAATAGCACATTCTTCAAGATCTAAAATTCATATTTAATTAGATTTATACCTTAAAATTGTTAATCAATATTTTTCTTCCATAATTTTAATGCTGTTAATATAGTATCATTTTCATTTTATAAGATCATTCTAATCATAAGACTCCATTTTTTTAATTTATCTTCACTAATCTTCACTCCTTTCTTAGTTTCTACTTTTAATGGTTTTAAAGGAAATCCTACAGGAACTTATATAAGGATTTCTATTTTTTATTCTTCCTTTTAATAAGTAGCTGTTATTTCTTATTGATTTTTAGATATATAAATATCAAAACCTTCACTACGCCATTCTTCTTAATTTAATTCAATCAATTCAATTTCTCTTGTGTATATTGCTTTACTAATAATCTAAAGTAAATCTTCTAATTATTTCTTTTATGTTGTATTACATTCTTAATTGTACCATTATTTAAAATAACTTTATTAAGCAACAATAAATTAATAAAATGAAATTACAATCATCTTTAATAATTCAGATTAATCATCCTAAATTACCATAAGATTTAAATCCTATTAATAAATTTCTTTATAATTAAACTTTGCCATAACTCCATTATCATTTAAAAATTATAATATGTATAATAGATTGCTTAAATAAGTAGGATACTTATCTTTAAATTAAACACAATTTTTATTCTATAAAACAACAAGCCAAGCAAGTAAATTAGTTAATATTTTACCATCAAGAGGGAATGTTATTATATCTTCTACATCTTCCTCATCTTCTTATCTTAATCTTCTCATTTCTTCTTTTTTCATATCAAATCCATCCAAAACTGGACTTAAACCACTATGATCTTATATATTCTTTAATGCAATAAATGCAGCTTTTTAGATACTAATGAATGGACATTATAATAATTGATAATATATTGAATCATCAATCTTTTGCCATTATTCCATTTAAATACAACGTAATAGAGTTTCTGCATATTCAATAAATAGAGTATCATTTTATTCATCCATAAATTCTGGATTTGGATTTTCACAAAATTGAATTATTTATAATAAAGAATCTGTTAATTCAAAATTTAGATAATCTATAAATTCTATTGGAAATGCTTCAATAAAGTTCAATATTTTTCTAACAAATTAAAGTGCTGATACAATACTAAATGAATAAAATCTTTTTAATTGAACATTCTATTAAAATAATTATCTAAATAAATTGTTAATTTATTTTATATAAGCTGCAAATGGTGTAATTGTTTTTCTTTCACAAATTAAATTTATAAAATCAAATACAACCATTTTATCATAATTAGATTCCAAATTCATTTCAAATAACAATTTTATTGTTTAATCTAATTCTGTTTCATCTTCTAATTCTAATAGATTTGATTGTTATCTTAACATAAGTGTATATAAATCTAAATATGAAATCTATTTATTTTAATGATAAGTTTATAAAACATTTTAGAATTATTGCTTTAAATCCACTACATTTATAATTTATCTTATAGTTATCAACTTATTTACATTATTATCATTTAAAGCTATTTTTAGTTATTCCACAATTAATTATGCTAATAAATCTGTTTATTTTGATCTATAATTATTCTCTCTCTCCTCTATTGTTATTTATTTTATTAGGTTTTTAAGTGCAACTCCATAAACTATATCAGTGTTGTTAAATAAAATTTTTATAAGATCTAAACTTTTTGGTTCTTATTATTCATAAGAATCTAAGAAAATGGGAATTATTTGATTTCCAAGAATATTTTATATGAATCTCTTTAACTTATGATCATATAACATAATAGATGAATAATTAGATGCTAAAAACAAAGCTAATAATTCCAATTAATTATTTTAATACATCTTTTTGAAATAATCTTATGGAATTTCAATTAGAGACAAGATTTTCCAAGATATAGAGCTTTAAAAGTTAAAATTTAAAAATTATAATAAATCTTAACTATTTAATTATGTAAATAGATCTTAAAAGAAATGAAGATGTTATTATAATGTTTCAGTTTTTATTAATGGTAATGTGGTTTAGAAAAACTAAACAAACAAATCCTAATATTTTTTATTTATTAATTTATATAAGAAATTACCTTTTTGACTTTAGTTTTTTAAATATAATTGTAATAGAACATCAAATAATAATTATTATGGTTGTATTTTATTCATAATATATGATAATTCTTCAAATATCTATAGGTAATTTTTATCCATTGTCTTAATAACTTATTAACCTATTTATTAATATTTTGATATAAGTATATTTAATATTTGTTAATTAGCATTTTAAATAATGCAAGGAATAAATATTTTCTAACTTAAATTTGTAATACTAAGTGATTAGCTTAAAAATTTGGTTATAAAAGTTTCATTTTATTATAATTATTAATATTTAACATATTTCTCAATTAGATTATATTCTTATTATGAATCTTTCATTGTTAAATACTTTAAATAAAATTATGGATCAAGACTTATATCAACTAAATTATGTAAACATATCCATTTTAATTTAAAAATTTATTATTCTTCTTTTGGAATTACTTATTTGTATTCTTAAGTAATAATCTTTTATAATATAGTTTCAATTATTAATTACTCATTTATTCTTTATAAATTATAGATATATATTTTAACTTATGAACATTTTTTTAATAATTCTTCTGAAGAAACTAATTCAATAGAATTGAATAAATTATTAATTATTTCTTATATCTTTTAACCAAAATTATCTTTCTTAAAATTCTTAGAATTTGGGATTATTTCAAAAAGTAAAGATCCTCTTTCAAAATCATTATTGTTATAGATTTCATCAAATACATGGATTAAATATTACTAAACTGTCTAATAAGCAGGACTTTATTCTTTAACTTTAAAGAGTTATGAAATTATATTAACAAATACTTAATAATCATCTAATTGTAGAGTTTTGAATTCAGACATAATAGATTTAATAATTTCATTTAAAAATTCTTATTATTCTTCTTTAACTTTTAAAATATTGAAAAATTATAGTAAACTAAATGGAACTTATTTATATGGATTATGATTATATGCTTATACACCTTATTGAGATAGAGTATTTTATAATACTGATTTGATTGATTAAACAATAATATTTTTTACTTATCCTAAACATTAATTATATTGAACCAAACAAGGAATCATTCTTTTACAAACTAAAAAGTAAAGTATTTCAAAATAACTATTGATTAAATTTTCTGAAAAAAATCTACTTTCTTCATGAGTAATACCTGATAAGATAGCATTTAATAATTTAGTCATAGAAGCTAATTTTTATCTAAAAACTTCCTCTTTTTTAATATCTACTATACTATAGATAGGATTAAGTGATACAAATATAACCAATTAATCATATAATAATTTTCCAACTCCAAAACCAGCTTTAGATATTAATTCCAAAGATTTATTTTCAAGACCTTAGAGTTTTAATATTTAATCCTATTAAACTCTTTAGAATAATTTAGTAATAAATCCTTTCCATAATGCACTTACTATTAAACGATCTTTTTATTCAAATAGTTAAACTGTCTTTTTAAGTAATTGATCACTTTTATGTAAGACAAAGGGAGCTGATATATCATTAGACAATAGAAAATGTAATGTTTCAATGATTGTTGCTACAATTCTAGTTTTTTAAGTATTGAGTAATTCTACAATAATGGTAGTTTTATTAGTAAAATCAAGTAATTTCATTATTTATTCAATGAAATCATTATCAGGATTCCATTCTATGGCTGTTTTAATTGAATTTATGGCTGATACTTTCAATCTTTCATAGATATGATCAACTTTTTCATCTTCTAAATTAGATTCTTATTTGATAGTAGCAATAGATAGAGACATATATAATTTTAAGTCAATTATATATTAATCACTGCACATTTTTATAGCTTATGTTTATCTTTCTTTGGTTGGGAATGCAATTTGAAAGGCATTCAATGCGGCTGTTGAAATCTAATAAATAAATGAAGTAGATGTATACTTCAGAATTGTAATCATTCATCATAATAAACCATTATGGGAATAATTACTTGAATTTTTTGGATAAGGACTTTTTCCCATATTCACAAATTAAAGATAAAACTTGATTGGATAATTCTAAAACTCTTCTTTCATATTCATTATCAACATATCTTCTATATATATTTACAAAAGTAGGTGTAAATTATTCAAAGAATTCTTATGATTTATTAGGTAATAAAGTTTTGAGTTCTGATAATGTTTTTATTTTTGTTGTTTCACTCTTTTTTTGTAGACCATGAACAACCTTTTGGATTTCTGGATCGGTAATCACATCTTGTTCGATTTCACCTTTTAAATATTGATTAGCTAATTAGCTGAATAAGTTTGTGGTTTGATTGATCATTAATTAATTATTAAAGAAATTTATATAATTAATTTAATATATTTACATATTTTAATAATCTTTAATACGTAATTATCTAACAAAAATAGTATATCCTTAAATTATTAAAACTAATAATAGATTTATGCATATTTCTATAATTCATAATATTATTTTGTTATATTTATTTTTTTTTAAATAAAATCTAAATTAGAATAAATTAAGAGATGTTAATATTAATTCTTTAATTAATTCAGATAAATTTATCTTAATAGAGATATACTATCTGATAATTCTATTATAATAAACTAAATTCAAGGATTCACATGATTATTTATCTTTAAATTGTGATGTATTTGAGTTTGTAGATCAATTATTTAGAACTTCTTTAAAAAAATAAATATTCTAGTACATATAATATTAAATTATTTTCCTCTAATAACGCTCTTAAATATTAATTGGAAATCTTAGAAATATGTTCATCAATATTCCTTTTAGTTAATAGCGCTTAAAATCCCTTTTTGTATTTTTTTTGTATTAACCATCTGTTTAGTGAGAGTCTAATTGTAATTCTGAAGAAAATGTTCGTTATTTTCAATCTATAAATGAGAATCTTATTTTTAGAATAGTATTAATTATATAGATATATAGTAAATATTTATGTGTATTATTCATTTAAGATTTGATGTGACGATACTAACACACTAAATCTATCCTTTAAAAGATAAATAATTTGATTATCTTCTTAAAATTTTATTAAGTAGACACCAAATAAAAATAGTTATCTAAAAATTATGTTATTTTATGATAAGTATATTAAATTTAATTAAAATTAATGGGTAACGAATAAATAAAACCAAGTATTGCTCATTCAACTGAATGGACATTTATTAGAGAAATCAAATAACATCCTTTATTTGGACATATCAAAGTATATAAAGGACCCTCTGATTAATTATAATGTTTAAAGACTGTTATTGTGGAAGAGTCCTAATATAAAGATCAAATGGATTCCCTCAAAAAAATAATTGTAAAGGATGTCTTAACATAAAACTAACCAAATTGTTCTTCATTAGTTTGTGTCAATCGTTTAGAAACATAAAAACAAGAAGAATTCTGTTCTAATTATGTCAAAATATATTTAACAGCCGATTATTCAGATTAACCAATTCAATAAATTAAAGATGTTAAATTATTTATGCTAGATATAATATAAGCACTCTAAGTAATGGATTAGAAAGGTGTAAATAATTGTCAATTTTGTCCTGCCAAAATTCTTTAATTTGGAGATCGAGTTAAAGTTGTTAATACATAATTATTTACTGAAATTTCTGATTATGAATAACTTTATTTTAATGAAGTTTCTAAAGATGATTGGATGATTGCACCAGAGGTAATGCATTCTTTGAAAGTTAATTGTCCTCCTTCATTTAATAGTGAATTAGCTGTTATTTTTAATTTTGGAATTATGATGATAAATTTATTAACTGGAATTCATCCAAAAGATGCATAAATTTATGATTATAAGAATTTAACTATCAATGATAATTTGTCATCTTATTTACATTCTATTGATTAATTACAAATACCATGTAAAATTATATAAATATATCTAATTTTAGGTCATATTAAATAAATAATCCAAGATTGTGTTAATGTTAAATCAACTCTAAGACCAACTTTTAAATTAATTACTAATTTATTAAGATAAGTTGAAATTCCACTTCAAGTTTCATAAATAAAAAATGAAGATATTCCAACCAATTAAATATTCAATCCTTGTTATGAAGATGTTAAAAAAGTCTTAAGTGAATCTCATGTTAATAAGAATCTTAATTTTCATAATGAATCCCCATAAAAGATTGAAAAATAAGATTTTATGACTGATACTCAATAATCAGCATAATTTAGAAAATCTAAATAAATTTATAATTTAGAAAATACTTATAATTCTAGAGCCTCTATCTAATAAAAGTAACACCCCTCCAATAAAGTTAAGACTTAAGCAAAGGTATCAAAAGTAAAGAGTCCAAACAAAAAGCCTAAACCAATTAGGGCTAATGGTAATCACCCAAAATGATATTATTATATAACTATTTTATTTTCAAATTTTATTTGGCTTTCAACTCAAATGTCTGATTATTAGATCAAATATTAAGAAATCAAAGGAAGCTTAACAATTCTCTTGCAATAAAATAATATGCTCAAATAATAACTAAAAGAAGCCTTTGAAGAAGTTTAAGAAAAATAATAACTAAAAGAAGAATGGGCATAGGAAGTCTAAAGAGTTTAAGAAACTATTTACCAATTGTCTTATGACAACTAAAGTAACAATGAAATTTACAATAGATTTCTAGTAAGAAAATGAGTAATTATTGAGGGATTGTTAAGAGTCTTCTTATCTGATTGAATAATAAATTGAATAGATAACAAATCTTAAAGATTAAAATGAAAAACTCTTAGTTTAATTAGATTAGAGCAGACAATCAAATTTGTAAAAGGAAATCACAATAAAATAATAGAAAGATGAATTTAATAAGAAATTAGAATAATAGTAATCAAATCATTTTGAAGAAATAAAAAAATTATAAGGGATCATAGACAATTAAAGTGGATTAATATAATCTTATGAAAAATTAAATGAAATTGAAAAGCTAGACACTTAAAATTCATTCTATTAACAACAAATGGCAGTTGAGGATTAAATGTTAGAATTGAAAAATAGAAACATTATTTTAACAAATAAAATAACAGAAGAGAAGTAGAAGTATGATTAATTATTTGAATAACATAAAGATGAAGTTCTAAAATTATAAGGTGTAATTAAAGATTAAAAAGAATTAATATCATAATATGAGAGAATAATTGAAAGAGACAAAAAGTAAATGTAACCTTAATCTTATCCTTAAAATACATCTTATATAGAATCATAAATAATACCATAATAATAATAATAATTGCAATAATACTAATAATAATTATAATAATAATAATAATTGTAATAATAATAATTGTAATAATAATAATAATAATAATAATACTAATAATAATAATACTTATAATAATAGTAATAATAATACTAATAATCATTATAATAATAATAATAGTAATAAATTTATTCTTCTAAATTATAATATGAAAAATATATTTAACCATCATTATCTATCCAAACCTAACCTTTACATACATAACCTTCATATTCCTAACCTATGTATACTCAACCTATGAATACAAACATAATTTATACATAACCTGTTTCCCATAGATAACCTAAAACATTTTTTACTAATAATAAAATTAATCATTAATTATAATAATAATAAAAGGAAACAAAAAACCAAAGAGAATATCATATACCAAAAAATAGCTTTCATTTAGATGATGATGATTATTAAAAGTCAGGTCCGGAGTTTTAGGAAACATTTTTATATAAATTCTAAAATGTTATTGGAAGAATGGAAGATAAACTATAAAAAATGTAGAATGAACTTAATAGTTCAGATGTTTCTGACAAACCAAGAAAATTAAAATGATTAAATTTATACATTGTTAATTTTGTTGCCAATCACCAAGGAAATTACTCATCTTATTATGCAAACGTTACTTATTTTTTTTATGTTTCTTATTTTATATATATAAATAAATACCTGCTTGATTTTTTAATATTCCAGGCTATTTTTATACTTCATCTACACTGAATTACATTATTGGTTATTAAGGTTGAATCTTTATCTAATTAGTTTAAGGTAAAGGACTACTATTAACATAATTCTTAAAATTATATATAAGTTTACCACTGTATTTTAAAATCCAAAACTTTATTAAGGAAGTGATTAACTTAATGGTTATAATTATTAATTTTATGTTATGGCTTAAAATTAAGGTGGAGATTATAAATATTGTTATTATTCTTATTGTAATTATTGTTCTTATTACAATTAAGCAAATTAATCTTTATTTTATTACATTTGTATTCCTATTTATTATTGTAATTGATGATTCTACTAACTTAATCCTTATTTCTACATTCTTATTTTACTAAGTTCTTCATTAGTGACTCTATATTGCTCTTACAGATTTTACAACATAAGTTTCAAACTAGAAATCAATCATTTATTTACTTATCATTTAAAATTTACATTTATTTTAAATCCTCTTATTTTTCTAGTAAAATACTTTAATAAAGTTAATTTAATTAATTCTGCATTTGATAAACTTGTTAAGTAGAATCATTAACTTATTAACGTGCTTAAATAATCCCATTTTAATCATATCCAGGTATCATACTTACATTTGTAGGAATATTTAAGGGTTAGATAATTGATTGTACTTATTGAACACTCTAAATAGGTTATATTCCAATATTTGCATTTGATCCTAATCTTGGTCTAGGTTAATTAAGTAGATTTGAATTGGAACCAAATCTTTATTGAGGAATTAAGTTTTAATTTGAACCTAATCTACCTCCATTAGGGTTACTTGAGAATCTTCTAGCAACTTATAATAAAGAATCTGGTAAAGTTATTGGTAAAGGGTATTTAAATTTAGAACACAATTAAACTAAATGTAAAGCAACTATGAATTCTCCTTTATTTAAATGACCCTTTTCTCCTATATCACAAAGATTCCATAATTCTTTTAATTAATCTAAACTCAATCCAGATTTAGAAAATAAAGCTCTTGCTTGCATACCCTAAATTATTTAAGTGCCTTCTTAATCTATAGTTAGAAAAAAATTCTCATATTTTTGCAACTATTCAATTGAGATATCATAATTAGGTGGTTAGAATCCTTGGAGCTAAGGTAAAGGACAGGGGATATTTTTTGTAAGTAATTTCTCATCTGGCTGATAACCATTTTAGGCTAATGCAATCAATTTAAGAGCAGCAAAAAATTCATCTTTAGTGAATGACTGTCCATTAGATGATGTAATTTACCAAATAGCCTATAATATTAATGTAGTAAAGTACTCCTAAAATCTATTAATTCAAACCACTTGCTTTAAAGAAATTGATCACCATATCTTAACCAAGAATTCCTTAACCCTTTTAGATTTAACTTATAAATATTTACAGTCTAATCGCAATTAGTAAAGAAATATTGGAAGGCGAGCAATTCATCTTAAGTATATTAAATTGACATTTGTTATATAAAAATATTAATAAATTCAATTATTCCTTTTTAAGGAATACCTACATATATATAGTAAATAATCTAAACTAAAAAAAATTATTCTACATTTCCTAATAAATCTTAACCTTTTGATTCGATCAATAAGTTGATTTTTCTGTATTTATTTTGAATATTAATTAACAACCAATTTAAATGTATTTAAATTTTCAATCATAAATAGATTAATAATATGAACAATGTCTGGATATTAATATAAGAGTAAATCTTATAGCAATTTCTCTTCTCTATAAATATCTATAATCTTATTAATTTTGGTTATATATATATATTAATTTATTCATTTGCTATGTGAGTATGTTTTTTGTATATTAATATATCAAATCTATATTTCCAAATATTTTGTGTGTATTGTTAGTTTTAGGGTAATACATTACGAGACATAAAACAAAGAGAATAATATACATATTATAAATGTTGATATATTATTTACATGTAATAATTATTATGAAATTTAAGATCACAAAATAAAATTAGATAAAAAATAATCCTAAAATCTTTTAGCTTCGTACATATTTAAGTTGTTGTTATGCCCACAATTAATTGTTATTAAATGACCAAAGATTTTTTATTTTTTTCTTTTTCTTAATTCTTAAACTTATTTAGTTGATTAGAAACTTTTAATAATTTAATATATGTGCTCTATGATTACTTCTACATGATTAGAAAGTTGATTGTTAAGATTCTGTTAATTATATTATGAATGATGTTGTTTCAAAAGTATTTGAATTCTTTTAATAATTGATTTGATTGTTTAAAAGGAATTTTAATCGAACATAAAGCAACTACCAAAAAATAATGCAATTTTTTCTGGTGTAGGTTTTGAATCCATTACTTTAAAAATATCATTATTACTATACTCAATTAATTAGAGCAGTTTTTTTGATTCTTAATAAAAATGTTAATTTTCTGATAATTAATTATTATTTTTTTATTCATTAAAATTGATAAATGTTTGTAAAGATTAACTCAAATTTACTGTTTAATTTTCAGATAATATTTGTTTAAAAAAGAAATCCATATATTCTAATAATATAATATATTAATACATTTAGATTCTTGATTAAAGTAGGAATGAAAAGGAGAGTATGTTTAATTAGTGAAATATTATCTAACCAAACTTGTTTGCAATTATGCTATATAAGGGATAATTTCATCAACAGCATCTTGGATTATCAATTTAGGCCCTTTAAAATTATAAAAAGATAAATAATTTGGATAATCCCAGTTTACAATACAATTTAGTAGAAATCTGAGTATTGAAGAATTAAACCTAAGTTCTAATAACATAAATTACATTGCAGCTGCAATTTAACCTAAAGAAGAGAAGGTTCTATCTGCAATTAAAAAAGATAAATTAAGTTTTTATGCTATTTCTGATGCAAACATTCCTCCCAAAGAGAGACCATGAATACCAAGAGTTTTTATCTGAAATTTATTTTGAAAGTATTAAACAACAAATATACCACATTCAATTATATTTTCTGTAGTTAATGTTCCAGTACTTTAACCATATTTACAATAATTCCATAATATTACATTAATCTATAAGCTTTAATAAATTTTGAACCAAGTACACTAAATATAATAGATGATTGATGTACATTAATATATTGATATTCATAATATCCAGCATTTGGATTACAAAATAATACTGTTTGACCATTTGATTTATTATTTACTATATGTATACAATCAATTAAGTTATTTTTATATTTAATAATATGTCTAGAAGCATTTGGATTGAGTTATAGTATCTCTAATCTACACCATTCTAAAGTTCCAAATAATATTTATTATTTAAAGGGTTTCATAATATATTTGATTTGTGCAGATTAATCCATATAGGCATTAAGAAATTATTAGAGTTTTATTGTTTCATTTTTAATGATTTGTTAATTTTATTAAGATTCCAAAACTTCAATATAGTTAGATAATAAATTTAAATAATTTATTTACTATTAATTCAATTATCCTTCCATTTATTAGTATATTTTTTATTAGACTAAAAAGAAATTTTTAGCTTTTTAAAATTGATATTATGAGCTATTATCATCCAAATATCTGAAGAATTTAAGTTCCTATCTTGTTTGATATATTTTTTCTTCGTTAAAGGTGAGTAAAAAATTGTACTTATAAAATAATTAGTATGAACCTGGAAATGCCATCAATCTACAAATAAATCTTATGATAAAGTAAAAGACAAGGATAAATATGACACAGATATTATATAATATTGAGTCTAGGATATAATAAAGTGTGATGACAAGTAAGGTAATGATTAAGGATGATAGAAAATTGATGTTCATTAATTATATTTTATGTACTATAATAATCATTATCTATATATTAAGTACGGGTTAAACACTTCTGGTACAATGAAGAGACCTGCACCTAAATAACTTAATATGGTATTCCGGGTTACTTTTATTAATGATGGAGTGACTGAATAATTAAATATTTTACATCTTGCTGTTAAACCTGCTGTAGTCAAAGTTGTCAAACACAATAATACAAATCTTGTGTTTACACTTGCTTTATCTAGAAGATATTGCTTCTTGAGAGCTTTTTATAGTAAAAATGTATATTTACATGTAATGCAATTAGGAAGTTGATCAAAGAATTCAGTGGTAGCTTGATAGGTTTAGCAAACTTATTATTAAGTATCAGCCTTGAGAATATATTGGAAAGTATACTAAGGAATTCTATTCGGACTCTTAATTTTGCATATGTGTATATGTATCTAATAAAAATAATTATGTAGAAACCTGAATTGCAGAGAATTTTTAAGGACCTTGCTGCAAAAGTGCCAAATGAATAAAAAGAGAAAGCAGCTATGGAATTATAGAGTGTCTACTACAAATACATTCAATAGAGTGATGAATTGTTCAATAAAATTTAGAAACTAATAAATAGTTCTGAGATTCATGAAAAATTTGGTAATGATGATCAATTATAATAATAATAGGAGGTATATTGGCATTGGATCAATTAACAACTACTGTATAAGAGGCTTAAGTGTTAACATTTGTAAATAAGTTTATTCCCAATGTATCAGGTTAATTTATATATAATGATGAAAAATTTTTAAGAAAGAGTGCTGAAGTCTTTGGTAAATTACTTAGATTAGGTGGAACAAAAATAGCACAAGTAGTAGATTTACATTTTGCAGAAGCATAAAAATAATTGAGAAGTGAAAAATATAAATTAGCTGGTGTATTATGTTTAAAAGAAATTTTGAATGAAGCAGCTTCAATCACTTTTAATAAACTATTTTAAACTATGCAAACAGATAGAAACTTTACACTCATTCATGGAGCCATTAGATCAAAATAATAATCATTAAGAGAAGCAGCCTTAGATTTATTTAGTGAAATTGTAAAATAAATTGCATAAAGAGAATGTATTAAATTATTATTAAAAGATAATAGAATCATATCAAGATTACTTAGTCAAAATCTATATTGATGAAATAGAATCCAAAAAAAAATCAAAAGAAGAAGAATACATTCATGGTAATATTATGATGATCAAAATTCTTCTAACTTATGCTAAATAAGATGTAATTTATAATTTATATTGAATATAGGTCTTTTCTTAAAATTAAATTTTTGATTAAGGAGAATATGTTCTATCTAAAAAGGATCATAAATTAGCAATTATTAATAAAGCTGTGATAGAAACCTTGCCTATCTTAGCCAAACATGCTAAACATCATGCTGTATAGGAATTTATGGAATAAAGCATATCATTTCTATTATAATAAACTATGCAAGCCAGATCTGTGAAAGACAAAGGTTTGCCTTATATGACTTTAGCTATGCTCATTTCATTTTTGAATGAAAATATGCTTCAAGATCTCATTAAAAAAGTGATATTGCATATTCGATAAGAATTGTTACAAAAGAACTTTTGTGTAGAAATGATTAACTGTTTATAAGTGATATTTTAGAATTATACAAGGAAATTTGCAGAATTTACATCAGTTGATGTTCTAGTAGATGTATCAATATTTCATATTCATTTAAGTAAATACTCTTAAATGGTTTGCATCCTCAATCAGTCTAATTTCTAAATTAATTATGCAGATCACAACCCAGATAATCTGAATACATTTAATAAAAGCTCTTATAAACAATTGCAGCAATTCTTTTAAAAAAGATCATTAATTTTGTAAATTCTAAATAATAGATTGATAACAGCATCTTGAATGATTTTTAAGGATATTTATAAAAAGCTATTACTACAACAGAATTCAGATCTCCAGAGGCTATTGCTAATGCAATTCAAACACTTAGCACTTTTTCATTTGATTTATAAGATAGTCTTGCAATTTTTGTTAAAGATGCTGTTTTACCAAATCTTGCTAATTCTAATCCAATTATAAGAAAAGCTACTGCAAAAGCAGGATGCCTATTATATATAAAGAAAGGGAGATCAACAGGATAATAGATGATCTCTAAGAATGTTATGTATGAAATACTAGATAAGTTTATGAATGTTGCCATTTCAGATACTGAATAAGATATAAGGTAAACAATGCTTGCATCTTTAAATGAAAATTTTGATCCATATTTAAATTCTCCTAATAATTTGAGAAAATTATTTTTATGCATGAATGATCCAATTCCAGAAGTGTAAGAAATTGCTTTAACAATTCTATGTCGTTTATCCATTTTAAATCCATCAGAAATTACACCATTTCTTAAAAAGACTTTATTTGAATATCTTTAAACTCTTACATTTGATAGTAATCAACCTGAAAAGCAGACCATAAATAAATTATACTTATTAACATCATTAATAAAACATGGAAGAACAATTGTTTAACCATATACCAGTAATATAGCTAAAGTAATTTAATAACATCTAAAGAATCCAAATACTAGTGCTATTGTTACATCATATTTATTATAGGCATTTGCTTAATTAACAGAAACTGCAAATTAAGA